ACGAGAACCAGCTATCCATAGATGAATATATTAGTCACAATGTTACTCCAGTAATGCTAGACAGTGCAGATACTTAATATCTTTTTGTATTTGACAAAGTTCCGACGGGTTTATTGGCATTGCAAGGACAAGACCAGCCTGGTCAATTAATACGTAAAAGTATGAAAAATCTCAAGGTCTCCACCAAGTACTTGCAAGGTAAATGAGAGAATGAAAATTAAGAGTTCCCACCTTGAGAAAATCCAAACATCATTAGAAAATTGTATCCACTTGAGTTGCCTATATAGGGATCTCCCCCCTTGCCATAAAATGGGCACCACATCCCCTGAAAGTGCTGTCTAAATGAATGTTTTTCTCTTTATAGTCAGCAAGGAGTTTACCACTGGTGAGGTTAGCAAATATTTTAAACCATCTTGTTATTCTTTGCAAATTAATAGACTGCGATGATTGAATCTCAGTTAACATTTTGTGTCCTTATCAAACAGTCATTTGTGTTTGTCCAAGAAGATGGGGAAAGATCAATCATCATGGCAACTGGTGCAACAAGCATCTTAAACGACAAAATTGCCAAGCAATACTTTGGTATGAAAAGAATTAGTCTTTATTATTAGTCTATTTGAAGCCGTGGAATAAGACAGGGTAGGCACAGATTCTTCGAAAGCAAACCTTATTTCCATCTCTCAAATAACAGACATATTTGATTTGAAACAAAATTTGGAAGATAAAGAGATGGTGCATGGATATATCACCCCCTAATCTATATGATTTATATCTAATCAATGCAGCAATTTCTAAGATTTTCCATCATCTTTGTATATTTCAGAGAATCCAATCATGAATGATTGTCAAATGTTAACGACTGAAATATCCCAAGTTCCGTTATCCGGAGTCCTTGCTGTTTTAAAAACCGCAAAGTAATTAAGTTTGTATAGTAAAAAAGCGACCTACACTCTGACACTCGTGAATTTCTTAGGCAAAAAACAAGAGATTTTTGCAACGAATACTTTTTAAAATGTCCTCTTTTTCAGAGCGGCTGGTGTTCTGACAGTCCTTGATTTGGATGTTTCTCCTTCAGTAAGTTTTAGTCGATAAAAAACGCCAGGATTTGGACCGATTATCGGAACACTGAAAGCTTTGTTAATTGATTAATTTACGTTCTAATTAGGTCGCAATTAACGAAGCTCGATTAGGAAGCATTGATGAGCTGAAAGAGTGAGTATGCTAACGGAACTATCGTAACCTAAATTGGTGATATTCCTAAGCAACAATGGATTATGTTTCCTGTGTTTTTAGATGTGTCAAAACGGCGGATATTTTAAAACCAGCAAAACACGCTGCTCGAGAGATGCTCCCATACCTCGACCCAAAAGCGAGGTAGGCTTCAACCCGGTGTTATTTCAGGCCTGTTTCAATTTGACTTCACGAATTCCTGCGACAATATTTCGTACGATTTTGAGCTAGTTCTCTATTGACAAAGGGTTGGAAACATGGTGGAATTAGCGGAAATGATGAGAGAAAAGTGCGGATCAAAATTAATCGCAATTACGTGTGGAAAAGACTCCTCTATCTTGGCAACAGAAAATCACGTAAGCTTTTAAAACCAAAATATCGGTTCGAAAACTCTCAAAGATCTTCGAGTTTTAAGCTAGTCCAAGCGAAAAGGGCCCAAAAAGGCTCCAACACTGTATCATTTTTTCGGAAAAGAAAATTCTTCACTGCGTTTTTTTCTCTCTCACAAATATATTTTTTTTCAACTTTCTCTGAAAGCTAGTTGAGGTTCCAACGGTGCCTGTTTCAAGTGTTCTAGACGCGACAGGTGCTGGAGACGCATTCCTTGGAGGACTGGTTTCAGGTGAGCTCCGGGTATTTTTGAAGCAAATCACGCCAGTCTTCTTGCAAGATATCATTGTTATATATTGCTGTATATTTTAAGGTTTATACTACAATGGATTGCCAACGGATGAAGATAGTTTGCGGTAAGAAATGAGATGTCTGGGATCGTGTATTTAAGTGTTTTATAAGTCGTGTATGATATGATTTTAAGGCCTTGTTACACGGTGCAATATTTCTTGCAACTTGCAATGCAATTCAACTTTTAAGAGATGTAAATTTGGGAGCAACGAAACGTTTGTGTTTATTACACTTCATGCACTTTTCTTCTGCAACACTCTTCACTAATTTACATCTCTTAGAAGTAGAATTGCATTGCAAGTTGCAGGAAAAATTGCACCGTGTAAAAACATGGCCTTTACAAAAAGTTCAACTTTTTAGGAAACTTGGTAATATTGCGAATGTCGTTGGTGGTGCATGTTGCGAGGTTCTTGGTGGCTTACCAACAGAGGAATCATGGTAGGTCGCACACGTGATCAACGTTATGTGACGTCATTATGACGTCAAAAACGACTGTATCTTGGGAGCGGGAGGGGGGAGTCTGGGGTCTACTGTTTTCATTTTTGTGACGTTTTACAATTTTTTTTACAGCTTAAAACTCGAGAAGGGTTTAGAAGGACTGTTAGAGATAAAAATCTGTAAGTTAACTGTTGCATGTGATCATTTTAAAACGATAACCTGAATTCTAAAGGCAGTTCAAGTCACACGATTTCTTCTGCAGCAAAGACTGATGAAAGGTCTGTTGAAAGCTCTGTTAAAAGCTCACCAGGTTTTCAGGAAAGCTTGAAACTTGATGCGGATTGTGTCTCAGCAATTTCAAGTTCACTCGAAACCATTGCTGTGGATGAATTTATCAATATTCTGGAGAACTGTTCAGGGCGAGTTCTTGTTTCTGGCATTGGTAGGTTCAAACAATAAACTACTTTTAAAGCAGTACGTTACATAAATCAAGTGTTTATCACAGGAAACCTGAATGGTAGTGTCGCAGCTCCTCGCAAAAATTATTTTCATTGACTGAACTTTACAATACATTTCTGTTTCAACCAATAGCATAGTTTCGTTCTTTACAAAGCATAGAAAAACATTATCCAATTGGACGAAAGCTTCCAAGAGCTGCGACATGTTCCAACCTGAAATTCCTAATCAAACTCTCAAACTCAAATAGCATTGTTGGCTTGCATTCACTTTTACAGAATGATACCATCATACCATTCCATTGTATTGTAGGGAAGTCTGGTATCGTGGCGCGTCGTATGTCTGCCTCGCTGGCTTCCACGGGAATACCGTCGCATTTTATCCACGCTGCGGAATGGACGCACGGTGATCTGGGTAAGAATACCTTTATGAAGTCTTGCAGGATAGTTTGGGGTTCATATTGATCAAGTGGGACAACAAGGGACCACTTTCTCATCTGTTTCCACCATAGGTAATGCCTTACCAGAAGACGTTGCGGTGTTTTTGTCACACAGTGGACACACCAAGGAATGTCTGGAGGTTGCAAGACACCTTAAGAAAAGAAATGTTCCTGTTTTAACCATCGTTGGAAAAAATGGTACTTCGGAAGATTTAACAGCCCTGGATTGCTCTAAACTGTTCTTTATAGAGGTCCAGTAAGGATCATCTCTTATTGATCCAGTGTTACTACAGGAGGAAACGTAAACTAAACTAACTTTATTTATACTGGATAGCTCTATCAGTTCTAAACTGTTCTTTATAGAGGTCCAGTAAGGATCATCTCTTATTGATCCGTGTTACTACAGGAGGAAACCTAAACTAAACTAACTTTATTTATACTGGATAGCTCTATCAGTTCTAAACTGTTCTTCCTAGAGATCCAGTAAGGATCATCTCTTATTGATCCAGTGTTACTACAGGAGGAAACGTAAACTAAACTAACTTTATTTATACTGGATAGCTCTATCAGTTCTAAACTGTTCTTTATAGAGGTCCAGTAAGGATCATCTCTTATTGATCCAGTGTTACTACAGGAGGAAACCTAAACTAAACTAACTTTATTTATACTGGATAGCTCTATCAGTTCTAAACTGTTCTTCCTAGAGATCCAGTAAGGATCATCTCTTATTGATCCAGTGTTACTACAGGAGGAAACCTAAACTAAACTAACTTTATTTATACTGGATAGTTCTATCAGTTGTTCTTCCTAGAAAAGATATATCTTCATGTGTGTTTCATTGTAGACTGTCTTCTCCAAGAATTCAGCGATGTGTCACTCTCTTACGATTCTGGATGTGACATCAAAGAGACATTGTCCGTTGTTCCATCTAGGTCTATTATACTTCAAGTAAGCATTTCTATTTCTTAAGAAATGCTCCAAAAAGTTTTAAAATCAACAGAAGCTAACCTGTGCCTTCATTTCTTGCAGGAAATGTTGATAAATGGAGTGGTTAGCGAGCTAATAAAACGTCGCGAATTTGATTTAAAAGACTTTGCAAAATCACATCCAGGCGGTTCTCTTGGGAGACAATTATCTGAATAAATAAATCATTGAAAAACATTATTCGCATTAGAAAATGCATTATTTGTACTAGATTATTTGTATATGAAATTTATGAAATTAAAGATTATAAGTTATCAGAATATAGAAATCCTTCTTATTCATACAAAGAGTGGACTGCATCTTACCATTGTAAATAATTTTGAACCAAAAATAAAGTCTTTATCCTTTTTTTAGGTCATAATAAAAAAACATTCCTCTTCCCGGGTTCGAATCATCGACTTACCTCTTGCAAGATTGCTGTCATTACCACTAAACCACAACTTTTAATGGTGAACGGTTATGATTATTTCTTTTACTTTACCATTATTTTTAAGTTCATAACAAATGCTTTTTTTCGTGAAGTAAAAGAAATCTCAAGCATTCATCACAAGGATGCGTGGCTCAGTGGTCAAAGGCAATGGTTTCGTAGGTGGTCAGTCGATGGTTCAAGTCCTTGAGGCAATGTTTTTTCATCATGACCTTAAAAAAATAGTAAAGTAAAAGAAATAACCACAGCACTTCATCACAAAAGCGCATGGCTCAGTGGTAAATGCAATGGTTTCGTAGGTGGAAAGTCGATGGTTCAAGTCCATGAAGCAATGTTTTTTTCATTATGACCTTGAAAAAAGAGTAAAATAAAAGAAATAACAAGAGCAATTCATCACAAGGACGCATGGCTCAGTGGTAAATGCAATGGTTTCGTAGGTGAAAAGTTGATGGTTCAAGTCCTTGAAGCAATGTTTTTTTCATTATGACCTTGAAAAAAGAGTAAAGTAAAAGAAATAACCACAGCACTTCATCACAAAAGCGCGCGGCTCAGTGGTAATTGCAATGGTTTCGTAGGTGGAAAGTCGATGGTTCAAGTCCATGAAGCAATGTTTTTTTCATTATGACCTTGAAAAAAGAGTAAAATAAAAGAAATAACAAGAGCAATTCATCACAAGGACGCATGGCTCAGTAGTAAATGCAATGGTTTCGTAGGTGAAAAGTTGATGGTTCAAGTCCTTGAAGCAATGTTTTTTTCATTATGACCTTGAAAAAAGAGTAAAGTAAAAGAAATAACCACAGCACTTCATCACAAAAGCGCACGGCTCAGTGGTAATTGCAATGGTTTCGTAGGTGGAAAGTCGATGGTTCAAGTCCATGAAGCAATGTTTTTTTCATTATGACCTTGAAAAAAGAGTAAAATAAAAGAAATAACAAGAGCAATTCATCACAAGGACGCATGGCTCAGTGGTAAATGCAATGGTTTCGTAGGTGGAAAGTCGATGGTTCAAGTCCATGAAGCAATGTTTTTTTCATTATGACCTTGAAAAAAGAGTAAAATAAAAGAAATAACAAGAGCAATTCATCACAAGGACGCATGGCTCAGTGGTAAATGCAATGGTTTCGTAGGTGAAAAGTTGATGGTTCAAGTCCTTGAAGCAATGTTTTTTTCATTATGACCTTGAAAAAAGAGTAAAGTAAAAGAAATAACCACAGCACTTCATCACAAAAGCGCACGGCTCAGTGGTAATTGCAATGGTTTCGTAGGTGGAAAGTCGATGGTTCAAGTCCGTGAAGCAATGTTTTTTCATTATGACCTTGAAAAAAGAGTAAAGTAAAAGAAATAACCACAGCACTTCATCACAAAAGCGCACGGCTCAGTGGTAATTGCAATGGTTTCGTAGGTGGAAAGTCGATGGTTCAAGTCCGTGAAGCAATGTTTTTTCATTATGACCTTGAAAAAAGAGTAAAGAAAACGAAATAACCACAGCAATTCATCACAAGAACGCACGGCTCAGTGGTAAAAGCAGTGGTTTCGTAGGTGGAAAGTCGATGGTTCAAGTCCGTGAAGCAATGTTTTTTCATTGTGACCTTGAAAAAAGAGTAAAGAAAACGAAATAACCACAGCAATTCATCACAAGAACGCATGGCTCAGTGGTAAAAGCAGTGGTTTCGTAGGTGGAAAGGCGATGGTTCAAGTCCTTGAAGTCGATGGTTCAAGTCCGTGAAGCAATATTTTTTCATTATGACCTTGAAAAAAAGAGTCAAGTAAAAGAAATAATCTCAAGCATTCATCACAAGAACGCATGGCTCAGTGGTAATTGCAATGGTTTCGTAGGTGGAAAGTCGATGGTTCAAGTCCGTGAAGCAATGTTTTTTCATTATGACCTTGAAAAAAGAGTAAAGTAAAAGAAATAACCACAGCAATTCATCACAAGAACGCATGGCTCAGTGGTAAATGCAATGGTTTCGTAAGTGGAAAGGCGATGGTTCAAGTCCGTGAAGCAATGTTTTTTCATTATGACCTTGAAAAAAGAGGAAAGTAAAAGAAATAACCCCAGCAATTCATCAGAAAGACGCATGGTTCAATGGTAAAGGCAATGGTCTCGTAGGTGGAAAGTCGACGATGGTTCAAGTCCGTGAAGCAGTGTTTTTTATTGTGACCAATGCTTTTTCATTACGGCATTAAAGAATGGGTGAAGGAAAATATGTAATTATAGCCGTTCATCATAAGGACGCATAGCTCAGTTGTAAAAATTTTGCCATTTCACCCTTTTAAGTTCATTTTGATAACTAGCTGTTGACGCCGCACTGGAACTGCTTCGTGATGACGCACGGGGATATGCGTGACACGTTCGCCTTTCGCGTGTGCACGAAACGGAACAAAGTGTTGTCAAGTTGTTGTTATGACTAAAGTGTTGGATAGTTTACAATAGTTTACTAGCTTTGTTTTTACGTGTGGCCAAGACACGATGTCTGGATTTAATACAGTTGGATTTGTCGTATTAAATAATATCCTTTGTGAAACCCTACGGGAGTATCTGGTTAAAATCGAGAATTAATCTACGCGAGTGTAAACAATCTAATTCAGAACTGTTAAACGAAGCGTTCAAGGAATATAAATATTCCGAAATTGAACAGCATTTGTTACAAACGAAAATTCGGCAGGTAAAACACGAGATGGCGAGCTAAATAAACAATTCATATGCGACAAATCAATGGTTTATACTTTGTAATAATGGAAAGGTTTTATACAAATTTGTCGACCTATTCGGAATACTTGCAGCTGTTTTTATTCGCCGAATCGTGAGCAACGAACGTATTTGAACAAAATGATGGGACGTGTTGGAAAATCCCCAAAGGAAGCTTTCTCGTCGGAGACCTACGAAAATCCGTCGACAGCATTCTCAAGTTTAGAGCAAACAAATTCAGCCGACATTCGAAGGTACTCATGAATGAATTCTGTGTTCTATTTATAATATTGTCCCAACTTGAATATGTATTGCCAATTCGCGTTCTCCTCGGGTCAGTGAATCGTCGATGACATTTGAGCTTTTGGAAATGCTATACCATAGAATTCAATAGTTTTTTTATCGGTGTCTGTTGATACCGGACACGTGCTATACTGTGTTATTGTGTTTGCCGTAAATGTGGAAGTTATATTATTTAATATTGTTTTGCTTTGAAAATAGCGAAGGTATAATTTTATTCAAATATATCAAGAGCTTTGTCCCCAGCCCGTAATTGAACAAGAAGTGCTTGGGGGAAAGCAATTTAGAGCGATCATCATAGAGACATAGACAAAACAGTCGTCGTTATCGGCGTTGATTTCGGGACAACTGCTTTCTCGTTTGGACTTTTGCAGAGCACAAATTACTCGAAAAATTGATAAAGTAGGCTTGGCAACGAGTAAATTAAACACATTTGCTCATTTTATTGTTTATATCAACTATTCTGTCCCACAGTAGGGATCCAGCAGAACAGAGCATTGAAAATTTAACGAAGGTCGAACCTTCTGCTGGCGACCTGAAAATCCGCAAACAGGAGGAAGATTCGACCACAACCGAGCAGACTTCCTACGAAGAAAAAACCGAAGAAAAAAACACAGACGAAGATGTGTAAGTTGTATTTAGTGAAATTTTCGTTTGCCGTAGACTGCAGGTGTTTCGCCGATAAGCTTTCGACTCGGTGAAACCGTCAAACTCGTAGGGCTTTAACTTTGAAAATATTTACGGAATGACATACGTTTTGCTGGAGAATTTCCCTCAAATTTTTTTGGGGGAAGTTTAGATTCAGTTTTGGATTTTAATATTGTATGTTTAACATTTCGCCTGCATTAGTTTGCTATTTATCAATATGCACAGGCAGAGCACAGCGGGGGAAGCATAATTTAGATGCTTCATCTTCAGACACGACTTTAATATTTTAAAAGCATTCGGAGGAAATTTTTGCAGATTGTCGTACGCCATTTAAACACTTTGCGATACGATCTTTCTTTTATACTTTGCGGTTCATTTATTCGTTCAATTCCGCCTTCAATCCTGCGAAGCGAAAACAAATTTTCGATTTAGATTTTACAATACAAATATATCCTGACCGTTGTCCAGCTCGTGAGCAACGTGATGTATACCTAGATTGCATTTTAAGCCTTTAGTAGCTGAATAATTGTTGGTAGTAGCAGTGAATCATAACGGTTTGAATTGTACGAGCGCTTTAGCCATGCGTAAGCCGTATAAAGTAACTGTAGCCTTGTATATTTAAAATAAGAACAATATATTCAGATGGCTTCTACTAGAACTCTCTCCCCCCCTTCACTTAGTAATTGCTTAGATTGTTGTAGTTGATATGAGGTCATCGCGTGTTTATTTGCACATAAAAATACAATGTAAAAATTGAAACAAACTGCAACATTTTGACAAACTGCGACATTTTGGAATGTTCTAAAATGTTACAAAAGGCCCAATTAGAACATGGGTTGATGTTGCAAATATATATATACTTACAGATATTGTGCGTGTTAAAATATAAACGTAATTTACGTTTTGCACGATAAATACTCTTAGGATAATATGGGAATGACAAAGGGCAACCTGGTGTGTGTGTATTGTGTAATCCACCAGTGATTGTTCAGACTCCATTTTTTCTTTGACATTTGAAGATTACTATTCAGAACTCCATTTTTTCATTCACATTTTTGATATTGAAATGTCCTCAACTTGATGAAGGATTTGTTTATTGTGTAAATAGACATACATATTCAACTCTGAATGTTATCGGGTATATTCTCTGATCCATTAACCCCATAACCTTCAGAAGTTCACAGAAGAGATTGATGAGTAACATCCACTGTCATTCTTCACAATAAAATAACGAAGTACGGTTCAGATATACTTTACGAGCCAGTAAAGATGGAATAGGAAGTTCCAAACTGCACTCGAGAAACGAGTTCTTAGAGAAAATAGCGGGAGAATTCCAGCAGATTTGTTGAAAGTTGCAGATATTTTGGTATGAATATAATATCATTGAGCTAGGTCGTACAGAACCAGAATTTTAAGTTTGTAGTACAGTATATTCACTGATGTATAGTATATAATAAATAGTTTTTCTAAACTTCGCGGATATGCAAAAAAGACAGTCAGGGAAGTATAGAGGTATTACGTGTAGATCCGCATATCCCACCCTATCCTCATAATGACGATCCCTAATAGTCCCCACGCCTACCTCTAAAACGTTTTCCGTTCAGCGTATAGACGGTATAGTGGTGAACGGACTGCTCCGAAATCGCAGAGGCGTAGCTTCGATTTCTACCGTAGAGACTGAGTTCTAGTTTTGCCAGCCTCATCCTCTTAGTCTTAGAAAATAGAAATATATTCGGAAGAATTGCTGGCCATAGTCCAGACACATGAAATTTAATTACAGTCCTCGACAAATTCCTAGCAACAGGATAGCAACGGACAAAGTTTTGTCGTATTTGTAAAATATGTAAGAGGCTGAGCTATACCTCATCAACCAAGTAGGAAACATTAGCGTTTGCTTTACTTCGAAACGGATCAATTTGTAAGGATCGTTCCTCATTGCTGGCTTAAAATATGAACCGGATTTTTGATTGCGGAATGGACACGCCTGCCTGCATGGGAATTGTTATCAAGGTTTCGAAATCGGGAGGGCTGTTGAGGACCCTCCGTAAAAAAATGGTGCGTAAATGTGTGAATATTAACTGTGGGAATCATATCAGCATTGTCTGTCTTTGTTTCATACTTGAAACAACGAATGACATACGTCTTCTTCCTTTAACACGCATCCCTCATCACACAATTTGATTGTATTGTAATTGTTACCTGGTTTTGCAATGTACGTTATGATTTGTGCGAACGATAGTTTGTGCCAAGAAGCATTCATTATAATATAAAGGTTGCACATTTGCCATTTTATGCTGAACACAATGCCAACACCATTTATGGCGAACACGTCAGCTTTTGGGGCTGTGAAGGAAGTTCTTTGATAAGAGCGCACTTAACCTAAGATTTTGCCCTTAGCAATAAATATTGCAATAAACAGAAGTTGAATAGGTTTGTTTGTTCGGTGTAAAGAGGTATATTTTCCCAGCTGTGTGGTAGAAAAATAGCTCGGTAAGAGAAGATGAACAAACTGCAAAATCGCACGGAGGATCTTCCTAAATTGGAGAATGATTTCTCCAGACATAGTGCGTGGACTGTTGTACGCTTTCAAAGAAAAGTTTCTTTGAGAACCGGCTGAGCAATATTACAGAGCTCTTACAAAATACCACAACAAGCTCTCTTAACACAAGTTCTCAAGAGCGTCAAAACAATAGACGGTAACTGCCTATCCTGTCAGAGTGTGCATCATTTAAATACTGAAAATCCTGCCAGACAGTCTATAAATGCAGTGTTGTTGTTAGCGAAAGAGTCGACGGTCAGCGAAACACACAGTGTGCTAAACTCTCGTGCCGTATACCTGTGCATACGGTTACCGTACACAGTAACACGAAAGATTTCTTTACTCAAGGGTCAAACGAGACTTTTTGAAACGATAAAATGTCACAGCTCAAGGTGATGACTTTACCGTCGACCGGGACCTCGTTGTACACAATTAGTGAAAATATTTGCGGTGATGCTGGTGATGTAACTTGGTCGACCTCTGAAATAATGTAAGAAGTTATTTATTTATTCATTTTGTGCTAGACAAAGCTTATTTTATCGTGACACCTGATTAACCTTGTTTCGTTGCCAGAAGACTAGGGTCAGTGACATTATATACTCGGGTTAACATAAAGAATTGTATAAAAAATCTTGGGTTTCCCCGTTTCTGGAAAACGCTTTCTTGACAATTTCGTTTTCACATTACGTCAATATCCAGTCAAACCCAGTGAGACTTGTTCGAGTACAGGATATGGTAGAATTATTTTGTTTATATAAGACGATAGCACTCATGGTCACTAGGAGGTTACTAAGGTTATATTTTCTTTGTATATTATCAAGAGTCTTCTCTTGCCGTGCCAAAAGACGCTTTCATTTGAAAACCTGTATTTGATAGGAAGTTATGCATGTATAATCACGATTCATTGCATACCTATATTTCACAAAATTGTTCTCATATGATGAATGAAAAGTGAAAGAAATCCTTTCGACTTTTTGTTTTCGTTTTATGCATTATATCCTTGATCGACTTTCATTTGGCACAAAGAAATTTAAGGATATTATTCCGATTGTTTTAATTTGAATGTTTATGTAATTACTTGCGTGTTTGTTTATTGATAAAGAATTTTTTATATCATCCATTTGCGCGCTTTCTATGCTGACGCAATAGGCGCGCGCGCAAGTCAATTCATTTGTAATTCCAGACTGTCGATAATTAGGATTTCCTTATGTCTCAACCCATGGCAGTGACCTATTTCGTATTCTTGCGTATCTTAAAGTGTCATAGAGGCTTTCCTCTGACGGAATCGAAGGCGTGTATTTAATTGTAGTCGTAATGGTAGGCTACAGACGCACGCTGCTTTTGAATCAGTGGTTATTGATGGCAATAAAATACAGGGTAATTAAATTTGCCACCTGGGTTAATAACCGTTTAAACAAGTGACAGGGCAGGGGGGTGGACGAACGATTCAATAAATCCTGTGATATTAGATCATATCGTGAATGCGACTGTCGTTTCGTCGGTGGATTGTCAATTCTCTTTTCGGCTAGTATAAGTAAATATCACCTGATCTGAACGTGCTGAGGCATTTATTATTAAATTTAATTTTCAAAAGTACTTTGTCCATAGTAAAAGTACTTTATGTCTGTAGTTTTTCTCCGGACAGACAGATTGCGGCTACATTATCACCTCCTATCGTATTACACAGTTCGTGTTTTTGGAACGTGAAGGGTTGAAACAGCTGAAACCTTGCGTTTTCGAAACTTGAAGAGTAGGAAGGATTTGAAATTAACGATGATGTGGTCTTATCACGGGGCGCTTCAGTAAGTTTACAAGTGGTTTGTGTATTTGAGAAACAAAAGTGCAGAGGACGCATGAACTGCAACGATAAATACCATGCCATGTTAACCTTTGTGTTGAAATTCCACATGTTTTGTGCATCAGGCTGCATTTTTCTTAAAGTTCGATAAGATGCGGAGATTTGTGTGTGTTTCTCGGTATTTCGTGCGAAGCGGTTTCTTCAGGAAGTCGAAGTAACTGCTTCTCTGAGCATCAGTCTGACGTAGATCAAAGCGTAGTTTCTTTGCTCGAAGCATCGAGAAAAGAGTCTGGAGTGTTTTGAGTTGGGATGCATGCTAGCAGCTTTCACGAGTTCTAAAGCCCGAGTGTTATATTACGTCACGTCGGCACCTCGACAACACCTCGGATAGTACGGATATTTCTACGAATATTTCTACCAATATTTCTACGAATTTCTTTAAAAAGGTCAGGACGTTTCATTACGATCCATTCACGTGGGAATTTTTTTATCAACTCTCTCGACTGCCCCGTTCAATCCAGTAACATGGAGTCCAGAGGACGCGACTTCGAAGGCCTGAGCTCAAAGTAATGGCAAGATAACGTAATTACTTCGTTAACTCCAAGATTATTTTGTTTAATCAACAATAATTGCCAACAGTAATTTGTTCAAAAACTCATATAATTTCGGCGAACATATTATATCAACACTCGGCTCTCTGCAATGTCTCTCTTGCCGGCTTTTAATTGGCAAAATCAACAATGAAATTGAAAAATTAGTTCATTTCTAAACTTGAACGCCGTATATAACTTTGTTTATTGAAACAGCGCGTAAAAAGGTGCAGGTTTATACAAATGAATGAATCATTCAGTCGTGCAAAGGCTCGTTGCTGAAATATCTATAGCTTTACGTTTTTTTTTCAACGCTTAGCAGCAGCTGAGAATAGAAATAAAAGTATTTTCTGCCAAAGGTAAACATTTCACGTAAATATAATTTCTTTGGAGGCTGTGGATGAGAGCGCTGTTTAATCAAGCACTGACGCCAGTCATTTTAGTAAAAACAGGTTAAATACAATAGAAGGTATCGCAGATCATAACATTTCACTTTGAATCCTCACGAAAACGCGTCGTAAAATTTCAGTTTTTATTTAAAGCAATTCGTTTGTAATTTATGAACAGTGGCATGTGGCATGACTCAAACTGACAGACTGTCATTGCCTCAATGCAAGATGAATATCCTAAGATTGATTTAATATGAGCAAGATTCTGGATTAACAAAATTAAAAGACAACGAACGCACAACATTCTTATCGCACAGCAGTTAGCCGTCATTGTCCAATTTTCATATCTGACCGCGATTTGACTTCCTTTAACTTTTTCTCGAATACATTGCATGTATAAAAATTACGAGAAGAGTGCTTGAAATTCGTGAAGCAGATGTCGGGCCATGGAGAATAGCTTGAGGTAGCAAACATTGGATCTAAAACTGAACAAATTTAACAGGAGTTCTACGTCTTGAATACTGAATGGAGTAGCTGAATGACGGAGCCTGCAGTAGTCTCCCATTATAGTGCGGTTATAGTATACGATATTGTGGTTCTGGTATTATAGTTTATCAGCATTCGTACAACTGCGGTTGAACGACCTTTAAAACTGGCTCATCGAACAAAACGCAATGAATTTGTGGCCCGGCGTACAAGCTTCGTTGAAGACGTACGAGATTCTTCTTTCATTTTTCCTTCGCAAGCGCAATCAAACGCACGGGGAAATAATTGGGTTTGCAGTTGCAATTATAAATTATTCATTGCTTGATGAAATAAGCAAGTTAATTATTTGTTTAGAAACGATAAAGAGAAGGCGACTAACGGCAGTCGAAGACGAAAACTTTTGCGTTCATTCACTCTCGCGTCAATTCCGACGACATTTGAAAAGACAAGCAGAATGTTTCAGCTCGCAAAAGCACCGCTCAAAGTCAAGTTTCTTGTCTCTCCCAAAGGTATTTATAAACGTGTTTTGTTCTTAGGCCATATGGCTATGTAAATTCGTAGGTTTTCGTTCGTTTTTAAAACCTGTGGGGGGCAATGCTCACTGATACAAGCGCCACCATAACGTCCATAAGCTTTATGGAATATATCTTTTTGTATAAGATAGGCAAATGGCGCGCTGTTCAACCATCTTTTTTAACGGGAATAAGCTATCCATTTTGATCTAGTGTTCCTACAGGAAGATATCGAACTTTAATAACTTTGTTTACACGCTGAGTAGCTTTATCAGTTCTAAACTACTCTTCTTAGAGGTCCAGTAAGAATCATCTCTTATTGATCCACCGGTGTTACGGGGGAAATCCCTTTTCCAAACTGTTCTTCTTATAAGAAAAGTAAGGATTATCTCTTATTGATCCAGTGTTACTACAGGAGGAAACCTAAACTAACTTAATTTATACTGGATAGCTCTATCAGTTCTAAACTGTTCTTCCTAGAGATCCAGTAAGGATCATCTCTTATTGATCCAGTGTTACTACAGGAGGAAACCTAAACTAAACTAACTTTATTTATACTGGATAGCTTTATCAGTTCTAAGAAGTATTCAGTGTGTTATCGATGAAGGAAATCGGTTAAATACCGAACCAGTGTATCTGTGTAATATTACCCTTATCCCCTGCAGAACTTAACCGTTATGTCATACACTAACTACTGTACTTTTCATCTTCCAGGTGCTGCCTGGTTCCTTGAAGAGGACATTGAACATCGTCCATCTCTTGCGAGCGACACACAGACAGACAGTACTCCATTTAGCTACAATTCCTCTCAAACTTACTATTCTTCAGCGCCATGTTCTCCAAGCTCTGATGCACTGGTAAGTCCGGATATAATTCCATGTTTTTACCTAAAAGATACCTGTCTCTGTGCTGAGAAGAAGACTTATTTCATTGTCTTCGAAAATCATACTATCTCGTATTCATCTGGTCTACACAGTTCCCGATTTTCAGCGGTTTAATATATACTTATCTTTGGACATTTTGTGTCACGCTATTTCATTGGTTTGCTTTAGTAACCTAGATTTTTGCATTAAGTAAAATTAAACCACATTATGGCAATAGGCTACAGTTTTTCTTTTATTATTAATGATAACGATCGATAATTATTATGACGTAGGTTCGATAATTGTTTTATCCGAGACAAGTCATTTACGAGATGAAACACATGCATGCTTTGTGACAGTAACGTTGATAACGAGAGCATTTGAAAAGTTGCATTTATGGATTAGAATAATTCAAATGCTTCCAGAGATTACCGAAAAGCCACCTGGAAAATTTCGGTCTTTCAGTATTTGAGATAAAGTCACGCACTGGAAAGAGACGACTGAGCTATATATAAAATTGATACACTGAAGAGTTCCGCCTCGTCATTTCATCCTAGCTTATGCCCGGGAAGTGATGATTTTTGAATGTTACCGTAGGACCGTGCACTCCAGAGAGAGAGCACTCACATATTTCAAACATTAGATCTTGTCGTTCATTTCCTTATGTGTTTTCAACACGTGCATAGCCGTCAATGAATGTATTTAGGTGCTTGTTATCTGAACGATTCCTGGTCAATGAATGGCATTAAAGAGCCTCTTAATCTCTCAGTAGTTTCTTCATCGATAACTGCAGGTCTTAAAAGGCGCATCCTGACACCTTCAGAATCCTTTGTGTGTGAAGACGTGCTTAATTTGTTTTATTTCAGTCGTGTTTACCTGGTAACCGACTATTGCGTGGCTTGACCTGTTCAATTAAGCCATATTCTTCAGTCTGATTCGTGCAAAATTGCTTGATAGAAATCGTAGATATAGGTTTGGAAGATCATACATCCAGCACTTTGTATTAGACGGCTTGCTGAGAGCTTTTGGTTAATGGGAAACAGAGGCCTTCGAGGCATCGCGTGTGTTGATTGAATCAACTGAATAATGGTTGTCTTTCATTGCCTTTCGTGAACATTACACAGGATATTTATGGTAAATGGTTTCCTTGTATTATGTATATCTTACATAACATATATGAGTTAGCCATGTTGCAAATTATTGACAGTAGCATACTGTGGTATATAGTGATTTATGCTTTTGTTATTGATAACTTATGCTCCGTAAAATAGGAAAAGTACTTAGCCACCCGCAGGAATAAGTTATCCAAATTGCTTCGTAATACGTGACCCGATACGGGTGGTGGCTTGTATATAATTGTATATTCCGCGTTTTTTTAAACCTTTCCGGCTTAAAAGCTGCGAATTTTTCCTGAGGATGTCTGTGTTTCTATATGAAGATTATGGATTCACTGTCAGGATTAGGTCGCTCTTGTTTTGACTCAAGATATAGCTACCTCGAGATCATAAGTTGCGATGGTAAACTATCTTTACCAGAGAAACGTTCAATACGCTATTAAAAGCAGTATTCGTAGGCTCCTATAGCTATAATAAAGAAGTCTCCCGGCCTCAGTGATATTTCTCTGTCAATATAAGAGGGAAAAGTTGATAGGTGAAAAAGTCTAAAGATTTGAAATGTTTTTTTGCGATAACCAAGTAGTTTATCATCGTTTGTACATTGGGATATGTCGATATGATCGTATAGCCTAGCTGTAGCAAGGAAGTTTGTGAAACTAACATTATTTTAAAACAACAATGACACGGGACCACAATATAACAGGATAAAGATTAAAACCTAATGGTAATATATAGGACATTATATCCAGTCGCGAACTTATACCTGCAGGTCAAATACCTTCGTAGCGATTTGTAACATGAGTTGTGTTTAAACTGAACCTGTTATCTTTGGTATTCAAACATTTATTGTCATGTAGGAAGGAAATTGTTGTTAATTATTTTCAACGCCCTCAGTCGATGAAGGTTTCGGAATTAAAAACCACGCAATCGCTTGCAGTCCATTTATGGGATGAAGTTTTATTTTAAGATGCTAAATTCCCGTTCAATACTCGCAATGAAAATGATACAATTCCCTATCAAAACTCACGACGGAAATAATACAATTTTTCGAACAAAATGTGGTCATTTATTTGAGAAAGCATTGTTATTTTGGGTTGTGTATAAAGTATAGACTGCCAGTAAAGACGCACATCGTGTGCCTCGGCACATCGGCGCACATTTTGCATGTGTGCCCATGCAGTGTGAATGTAATATTTCACCATCAAACTGCACTTAGTCTCAACAGCTTTTAAAAAAAATTCACTAAGTTACGATTACCATTCTTGTGAAACTGAAATTACATAATCCCTTCGCTTGTCATCGCTAAATTTATAATCTTTTAAACACGAAACCGGCTTTGTGTCATCCCAGTTAACAGAGACGGTGGTTTGATTCACCAAGTTGCCGCATTTGACGTGTTTACTCAAATAATCGAATATAAGAGCCAAGTTTTGTATGAGTCAGATCTACTAAAGGTCAATTCCCGCTGGTATCTTGTTACATTCTGGCAGTTGTACTTGTTCCAAATTGTTTAGCTGATTAAGAGATATACCTCGTGTTTGACAGACGTTGCTGGTTGAAACTTAAAAGGTCTGCTTTTTGTCGTGGTAAAACATTGCCATGCCTGTTGCGTTGAATCTGGCGACCGCTCTTAAGCATTTCAAAAATCAGGTACGAGTTAGACTGTTGACATATTCACGAGAATTACACCCAGGTTTATGTTAGTTCAGAGCTTGTTTTATCAGCTTTCTTTGCGCAAATCTGACGCAGCGCAATTTATGCCGATCAGAGGTACATGATATATATCATGTATAACGCTGTTCCGAACAGTTTGGCCAAAGTTCTGCTGTTTTTGAATAAATTTGCTGCTGTATAGTGGTAGATATGTTGCGTGAAGTTACTTGAAAGATTTCGTAAAATTTTAGTGTAATATATATAATGGTTTGATAGCGTCTTTGTTTATAGGTATCGTTTAGGGCATTTATAATAATGATTTTTCCTGACGTTATTGATGTCTGGTTTTGGCCATTACATCGCATTTGCGAAAGCAATTCGTTTAAAAGCTTTTAAGTGATTTTTTTGATCGGACAAAGAGGTTCGAACCCAAGGGGGTGTCCCGTGAATTTGCTGACTAGTAATTTCCCTGTATTGCGGTCTCGACTTGCTGACGAGGACATCGCGATGTAGGTTCCTTAAGTGCCTTAGCTGAAAGTTGCTCTCAGGTTAGTTCCGAGTACTTTCGACTGGGAGCTGAGGTCGGGTTGTTTGATGAGGGAGTATTGTCAAGTGTTGCGGGTTTTTCCCATGTTGCAAATCAAACATTCAACAGGAGTTGTCAGGATGGGTTTGGTTAAAGTGATCGGGAGGGAGGGAGTGTTTAATATTGTTACATTTGTGTGGATTACAGATTACTGAGGGCGTTTTTAGGCAGAAAAGCTTAAACTGGGTCAATAGACTAGCTTCGTGTCAGGCTAAAGGTAATTAAATATGGCTGACTCCGGGAGATATCGAGGGACGGGAAGTTGTAGGGACGTACCTGTACTACTTCTGACGATTATGATGACGTTTTGTCATGATTAATATATAGCGTTTGTACGATATCTGCACAATGTTACTATCCATCCAGTCAATATTTCCTACCCAGTTATCTCTGCTTCTAAATGCTTGCTATATAGTACTCTGTTTGCTGTCTGAGGATTCATGCCAATTTTAGCGCCAGCACGACCAGACAAAAGCTCAACTATGATGAAATTATACAAAAACTGTTGGGAAAGACGCCAAGCTCGCTCCTAAGAAATTGCATACGAGTCCTTAATCCTTATCATTGTTTCACAAACGCTTCAATATTTACCACCCGTCATTGTTAACACGTTATGGAAAAGGGCAAACGACTTCAAAACGCAATTCAGTTAAAAGAATTCACGCGTCTATAACGATAACAGAGCAACAATTTAGGTAGCTTTGCCATTCAATTCTCGCTGTACAACTCCCTATAATTTCGTCACCACAAATTGCATTGATGACGGTTGCACTTTCATTGTGTGATGACGTAAAGCAAAGTACTTTACGCCCAGGTGCTTTTCAAGTACTTGCATATTTCAAAAGAAGAGCATAATACAGGATCACCTGTGTTGTATATGACGGCTTCTCGCATACAGCCATTGTCGCCTTGTCAAGATTAATTCTTTTGTACCCGACAAGTATAGACAAGACACGTCTCCTTTGTGATATATTCACGGACATTTGCGTGGCTTAATGCGATACCAGGGGATGAAGAGCTCGGAGGATGGCAAATTCTTGCCAATGTTATTTGCCAGTTTGCAACGCACGTTAGAACCGAATTTTACATATTCAACACTCGAGAGGGTAAGATATTTGTGTTTTCAAATTCTCAGAGGATTTTCCAAGGCTTCTGTCGCTTTCATAACTGAGCGCGTTTATTGAGATCAATGCTATATATATGAAAAGGTTTGTTGTTTTTAGTTTTCTGCGGGCTAAACTGACGAGCTATGCCCGCTGACGGCATAACGCTTTTGGCAAGCAATCTGTTTGTTTTGTAAATGTATTCGCGAATATAACGCCGACTTACCTATATATAAACGGTTTTAGGCATAGAGGAATAACAGTTAATATTTCATTTCCTAAATATTCAAGCAGTTATTTTGATAATCTGTGCCAAAACGGTGCATCTGTAGCAGTGACTTTCGTATTTATTTAAATATTTTCACTCATAAAATTATTATATGACTGGTATTAATTCATGACATTATATATATATGTGGTATCGTTTATTTCGGCCGTGTTTTGTCAACTTTAAAAACTAATTTATATAAAATTCATTTTACAAACATGCACTATTGTATTTAGCATGTCTTTTTCTTGCCAAACAGATGGACTTTGTATTAAGCGATAGTCCGATATATTTCGTTATGAAGATGTAAATGTATAATATTTAGGTATAAAATGGTAAAATTAATTAATTTAGAGTCCGAGGAATAAACTTTTCCGGACAACCAGCAATGATCAGTAGCGAGAAGTAGTTTTATTGTTGTTGTTAGTTATGGCATCAATTCATGACTGACATTTTACAACTTTTGACGTCCTGACCTTTGCTGGAAACGTCTTGAACTTTTTTGGTATTTCCGATAAAAATGCGACATATTGCACCTCTAGGCTTTATAATACACTTGCCAAATCGAAAAGCAAAATTCCTGACGATGCTGCAACCATATAATTAACAGCTAGTGCGGACCATCAATGATAGATTTAAGACTACAAGGAAATAAGTCCTCTAGTTCATGGCTTGTTCAATATCATGTGTCATTTAGTAGACATGAATTATATTCAATATTTCGGAATTCCATTGAAGTTCAAACGTGCCCATTCAACATTTGATAAACATCCTATAGATAATCTGATAAGTTATATTGGGGAAGATTGATAGTATATATTAGCATTGTGTTGCATGAGCCAATAATGTTATTAAAAAAATAAGAGCAGATTAAGAGAATATAGAACACAAAGCAATATAATTGTAGTTTAGACAAATATTTTTATTGTATCGTTTTCTAAAGCGCTGGCTGAGTCAGACAATTTTTAAGGAATTTTATTTAATTGGGTATATTCATTGGGTAATTATGGCTGAGCGTGCGGGCGTGCTGTCAGGTCCGCGGTTTTAATTAAGCAGGCAAATGAATGAAATTCCAAAATTCTTGAGAGCAGCAAGTTAAATCATAAACGAAATCGTATTTCAAATTTCGCTTTCTTCTGTCAGTACAAGAAGAATGATAATAGTCCTATATACGATTGTTGAACTGCATGCGTTGTGTTTGTTAGGATGAGAGGACTGTCAATTTGAATGCAGTATTCATTTATCCAGCTCAATGAGACAATTGTTTAAAGAAATATCGAAACATAAATAAGTTCTAAACTCTTCTTCCTATATAGAGGTACAATAGGGATGCTCTCTTGTTGATCCAGAAATACTTCTCTCTGTAGTAAAAGTGATTTTAACACACTTGAGCTTCTTAGGTTGTTTTGGCCGATAGTAAAAAAGGTATTTTGTTTTGAAAGGCATCAACTTCGAAATATCTTCCTTAATATTGTGTTGTATTTTTGTGTATTTCGTTGCTATGCGCGGTGTCTAGGGTTTGCAATAATTATACATGTCGTTATAGTATAATTTGAATACAATAAGTGTTAGTCTTTTATTCATGCAAAGCCGCACTGTAGTTTCGACACGCAGGATCTGAAAAACGTCGTTCAGTTTTGCTTTGAGAATGAATTGATAACCATGTGAATGAATTGTGGTATTTGCAAGCAAGTCTTAATGCCACACGCTTGCATTTTGTGTCCTCACATGATTAGGATTTGCACGCTATTTTTCACGCCACTTAAATTAGCTTGCGCCAATATCTGCAGCCTTTCCTGAATTCATCTTTGATGTGAGTTCAGACATGCTGTCGGTGAATGATTTAACGAAAGATTATCTTAATTTAGCCTCTGCACGTAGTCTGGTCTATTTACATTCTACTGTAACACGCCTGAGTCCTTTCGGACAGTTTTATGGATGGATGGATGTAAGACCTTAGCTCTCTCTTATCGTTTGTCAACGCCTCATCTTTTCAAATATAGGACGCGAAGTAGAGCCCGTCGATAATCGTGGGAAGATAGTTTAGAACTCCATTTCATTCAATAGTTTCCTGACTTTCCTCTTTGGTAATGAAAATCGTCTGCCGGTAGACAGAGTAAAAGATTCATCCGTTTAGATACAGGAATACATCTAAATATGACGACATTCTTACAATATAGTGAAGACTATGACGCAGAAGACATAAGCTATTCTGTTTTGAAATATAACGTTGTCAAGGTCAATATTAATACAAGCTTGATTAGGCAGTTAGACTATATTTGCTCGATCTCTATATATGCTAACACATCGGGAGTGGAGTCTGTGCGAGTATCCAAGTCTATATAAGTCACGGCTAGTTATTTCAACAATTAGAGTTACTATAGGGTGGTTAGTAATTCTAAGAAGGTTATTTTAAGCGATGATGCCTCCTTCAAACATTTCACTCTCGTTGCCAGATTCTGATTGTTTGCACAGTAAAAGTTTCTTTAATCCAAGTATGTGTTGGCATTGTGAAGATACTTAAAGGTTTCTTTGATGAAAATCGTGTGCAGACACCTCAGAATAATTTTTATGTATAATTATCATTTCACAATACTTGTCAGGGTAATGCCACGAAACTTTTTGTGTAGATTCATCAGATTATTCAGGCTTCTGCAGTCAAGACCTGTACGTCTTGCGTGCCTATTTTTTCACCTCTGGAAAAAAGACTCTTGTTGAAGATTTGTAGGCCAAATATTTTAAGGGGAAATGAAATGATTGTGGAGTAAATCGTGGCGTAAATACTCACGCAAATACGAAATATATCACTATTATTTTATATTGGTTTCTCCGTTTCTCTTTCGCCCCCCACGTTTGCAATACAATTGCTTTTTTTTCTGACTAAAAACAGTTGTTTTCCGCTGTATGCATGCGTGACCTCGTTAGACCTCGCATGCGGAGTGCTCTTGAGATAGCAAGCTTCACACACGCGATGGAACCTTGATTGACCTCCATAACAACGCGTCCGGTTAAATATTGGCCATTGACATTGACTTCTGCCTTATCCCATCCTGTGACTCGTGAGTATCATGTGGTTTGTTCATGTTTTCGCGCCAGAATGAGCGATGCATGATCATAGCTCTCATCCATAATAGGAAAAGCGTCTCGCTATCATCTGACTACAAATTTTACCTTAGTCATCTCCTAAAAAGGAGCTACTTTTTAAACTGTTGCAAACACTGGTTAGTAGATGTGACCTTGGTGTCAATGACGGATTTTTTATTCCTGCAGTATGCAACGCTTTATAATTTCAGCCCTGTAATTAAGCATAAAAGTGCTTCTAGTTTGACTCAACCCGACACTTCAATCGCAAGTATCCATTTCATCAAGTAATTAATATCTAATGGATTGATCACCGGTCATTTTCTTGCTGTTTCAATAAATATATATCGAAAGAATGGCTTATAATAGTATGATGTCTAAGATAATAAAGTATATTGTAAAAACGCCATAAATCATTTTGAAAGTAATAGTCGCGTTTGAAGTTTTAGCGTCAACAAAGTTTTAACAAAGTTTTCTTTTAGCTTATCATTACAATAGTAATGCACATTAGCACTTTGCAAAATACATCATGCATTAAATGCACAAGTATTGTATAACAAATCTTTGAAAATACGTAGTTTTTGGCCATTTTTCCTTTTCAATTACACGTTGTTTTGTTTCTTGGGACGTCAGTAGATGGAAGAAGGCTTAGTGGAGGTTTTTTTGAACGTCTCAGCGAAGGTTCGCGTTAATCGGCCGTTAAACCTTTGCAATAATGATCTTACATTATGTATTCTTAAGCAGATGTTGCTATTGTTGTGATCACTATGCCGAGTGCAGGGGATCTTACTGAAAATCATTTTCTCGTTTAGACCAGAAAAAAGAAAGCGAGTGTACCAATTAATGCAGACATGTAAGTAAATGATTTGGGGTGAATTATATCCTATATTTATGGTTAAAATAAGCGATAATTGTAAAAACGACGAATGAATGTAGTGCAGGAGATATATTGAAAAATAAAGGGATCTTTTGAGCTAAAAATACGATGGAACTTTCTCCAAAGTCCTGTGTCTAGAATTTGACAACTTCTTGCTAGCATGAATTTCTCCCCGTTTCTGGAGACGCAGAGCAATTATCAGGAATTTTGTGTGAAATTCACTGGTTCATCATCTTCAACCGATCTTCAACCGATCTTTTTCTGTTTCCCAGGTCTCCTCGGCCATCAATAAGCTTAGAAAACATTCACCGACTGCGCGTGTCATCGAGTAAGATCACGCTGGATGGCCATGACGATCAGACGGAGATCCCGGAGCCTGATGATGAGAAAGGCAGCACGATGACATTGGAGGATAAGAATCGACCTTTGAGACGAAGTTTTTCATTCACGCAAAGAAACTTTCGTCGTAATGCTGTGATAGAAGCACCTGGAGGGGAATTGTCTGGTAAGTGTTCGGGGCATCCCTACATACTCCAAGGTATCCCTCATACCCTGAGGTATCCCAACGGTCACGATTTGGTTGAGTATGAGTTGGACTCTGTCGATGACCTTCAGGTGTTCCAAGTTCAGTCGTCAGACCTCTTAGCGCTCGGCAATAACAGAAGTTATCAGCGTAAAGTTAACCTAATTTGTACAGCTGTATCCCCTCACCGTATCTCTGTATCCCTTGTATCCACTAATGTTGATTCAATTACTGTACTTTATTCTTCGCAGTGAAAACGAAACGAAAACGAGACAACGTTTTAGAAGGTAGATTCCAAATACAGTTATTTAACTTCTTTCACCTGGCGCACAAGCCTGGAGGATTTTAAAAGATGCTAAAAGTTGCTTGTGTTTTTACTTGCAGCTTTTTTCAAAGCCGTGGAACATCAGGACGTTGAGCAAGTGACGAAGCTTCTGTCGACGCATGAAGTAGAAGTAAACGAGTATGTTGAAATTATAGAAATGTTTTCAAAATGTTTACACGTCGTAGCGCAGAGAGAGAATAGAGTTTTATCAGGAGAGAGAATAAGTATCATCTTGCTGTCACTAGGATTTTATTTGTACATGTTGTACATTAACAAGATCTCTGTTTGGTGTTTCAGGTTGAACGACGATGGTTTTACGCCATTGGATGTTTCGCTCATGCTGCATTCTGATGGAATAACGTCTCAATTGTTGGAACGGGAGGCGAGGGAAAGCAATAGACGTGAGTGTATTGATGATGTCCACCACCTCTCATCTTTCAGTTTCTTTGTTCTTCCTTCTTCGTCTCTTATACGTGTCCATGTTGTCAGAGCCTGTCTTCTTTTCATTTTAATGTCTACCTCGCCCTCATTCTTTCTGCAATATTTCCACCACATCCCCTTCTAATCTCTTTCAAAATATCTCGACCAACTCTCTCTTTACCAATTCAATAATTAGTGTCAGCGTCGTTGTTGGAAAATCATCTAAAAATGCTGCAGACGTTTGCAGAAGAACAGGTTGATCATTACGTTGCTGATGTGGTAAATAAGGGAAACACAGACGCTAAGGTAAAAAAGACGAGAGACTTTTACTAAAATAGCTGATTCGATGCTTTTCAGAAACGTTTAGTGCTGGTGTCTCATTTAAATTTCCATTTAAATTCAAAATTTTCTTTCAAACAGGAGAGCGAAAAACAGCTAAAGGAATGTGAATGGCGTTGTCATCTTTTACGGAAAATGTTGGTTGGTTTTCAAGGTCTAGGTTAGTTATTACGGTTGTAATATGAGGCATAGTGATTGAAATATAGTGTCGATAGATTTCATCTCTTTGTTAGCTTCTTTTAGAGCGGTAAAATGCTTAACTTATTCACTATGTTTTGTTTTTCACAGCTCTTCCTTCGAAGCCAACAACAGTCTTCCTCTCGGCCGCATCAGAAACGTCTCTTCTCGTCCGCTTCTCAGGTCCAGCGGCTGCAGAAAATAGTCCTGTGACAAAGTTTAAAGGTTTGTATTCGGACAAAGAATTCTTCACGACTTTTTACAACGAAATACTGTAAGAATTCCGCATCAAAATAATGCTTTCTCTTGCAGTTCAATGGAGCCGAGATAAGTCTTTTGATAGCTTGGATGGTGAATATTTCTCGCATAATATTCTTGACAAACAATACACTATCTCTGAACTTCAAAAGGTAAGCACTTCTTGACAGACAAAATGCTGTTAACCGTTCACACTAGAACCGTTTCGACTCTTGTCTCACAAGTCGTCAACTTCATCTGACTAGTATCTCTTGTTTATAGTCGATAGCCTATTACGTCCGTGTTTGTGTTGGTAATATCAGAGGTTATGGAGAATGGATGATGTCTAGTCCACCCTGTGTTGTACCTTCCAGTAAGTAATTTTGTGCTCAACTCAACTAAATTATTTGATATCGTTCTTCCTAGAGGTCCAGTAAGGATCATCTCTTATTGATCCAGTGTTACTACAGGAGGAAACCTAAACTAAACTGTTGTCCCATTTTAGGCTGGCATGAGATTGATGACAGTATTCCAAGGTTTCAAGGCAGGCTGGACAGAATTGCAAAGTTATTTGAAGAGGTTCAGATCTACCAAACGAGTTTCCGTCACCCGCGTGGGCCCGAGTCCAAGTCTTTTCGATTGCGTCGGTCACCACAAATGCATCGTAAACGAGCGAGCTCGTGGCACGTACCTACAGGTAGGCGATGGTTTTTAGTATTCATACTGAACTGAATTAACTTGTACGATCCTCGTGTATACTGGATAGCTCTATCAGTTATTTCTAAACTGTTCGTCCTAGAGGTCCAGTAAGGATCATCACTTATTGATCCAGTGTTACTACAGGAGGAAACCTAAACTAAACTAACATTATAGCAACGTTTTAGCTTTATGAGTTTTAAGCGTGTTGTCCTCTTTTCAGGACACGAGGTTTGTTACACCGACAGGAAAGACAGCAAGAAACGAAGCTTCACAAAATATGCAAAACTTTTAACATCAACTCCGAAGTTTGTGAAGGACGTCAAGAGGTAAATCTTGATATTAATATTACAACGTTCAGATCGTTAGGGAATAATGTAGACTTTGAGATATTCTAAGGATTCAAAACCCTTTCTCTAAACTTTGCTCAATTGTTTTGTACTTTTCTAGAGGTATTTATTTAGCAACGGTATTCTACACGAAGGACGACAAAATTCTTGTAACGCTGGATGAAAATTTACCAATCGTCGAAGTAGACGATTCTTCAAGCGGATCTTTCATGCAAGAGTTTCAATGGTTGTTGAAGGTAGGTCGACCTTCAAGACGTGAGAATACTTTGATTTAGGACTAGGAAAAGTTCTCCTCCACGCTAACGAACCGCTCTGTTTCATATTTTTCAGGTTGGTTGTACTTGGCAGGATATTAAAATGTTAAAAGATCAAGTTGAAAGAAATCTTTCCTCGACCTCAGTGTATCTGAGAGGACGTCTTTTACAAGCACTCGACACGCTTCAGGTTAATAAAAAAAGAGTTTTTAGAGTTTCATAAGTTAAAAGTACTTTACTTCACCTTTTTTTGACCGTGAAGGAGGTCTAAAAACACTAATGCCTCGTCTTCAAACTTGATGTAATGTATTTTCTTTTACAGGCGGGTGTTGGCTGTGACGATTTAGGACAACTACACTACCAAATTATCAAGGATAAAAATGGAACTAATATTATAGTTATAACTAAAAGAATCAAGGTCAGTTGAAGTACTGAACATCGTTTACCTTTGTTATACTTCTTCGGCCTGTCATTTGTGTCAAGTGCATGAAATGACCGTTTAAAAACATAATTTTTTGTGTTTAGAACCCTAGCTTTATTCGCTCAAGAACCTTATCCATGAAATGGATATCACTTTCAAAACTTCAAAAGAAAACGATACAGAAAGATGTGGAGGACTCTCCAAATGCTGTCAATCAGATTGTCTCACAAATTCAGGTGACTTTTATGAATGAAATCGATTAACCAATCAAGCAACCCTATTAATAAACTGCGTCATATCTCTGTGAATGTGCATGAGAGTAGCTAAGATGTGTTTTTTTTCACTTTTCAGGATGTAATCTCTTACCATCAGCAAACAAAGAAGCCTCTTGACAAGTATGTGGTCCTTATCACTTCTTTCCGCGTGCTTTTTGTGATGTATTATCTTTTTATAATAATTTATAGTGACGCAGTGATTGCTAATCTCTTAATTCTTCTCATTCAGGGGTTTATATATTGGCCTTATGAAATTAAGGACATCGGTTGATGCGATTCACATCACTGTTCCACGGTATTCCCCAAATATCTTACCTCACGTGAAGGTCCGAGATAACCCGCACGTATCCAGGTAACAAAGACTCTTACCTCATGCAAAACACGCCTGAGCTCTCTCAAAGATGCGTTTTATTAATCATACAAGAGTTTCCTAAAATTGACGACTCTTTCATTTCCTTTTGTAGAGAAGAATGGGAATGGCTTACTGGTTTAACGACGGTATGTAATACTGGGTGTATATGTTGTAAATCTAGTTTTGAACATATCTTTTGAATCATTTCCAAAATGTTCAGGAGTGTGAAGATTTATTGTGTGTGTTTTAGATGCCAGAGGAGGAACTCGCGACGGAGAATTTACCGAGTTTTCAGTCAACGATAGAAAACGCTTTGAAAACTTTACTGAATGATATTGGTGTCAGCAGAAAGGTTTGTCGACATAATGGTTGTTTATTGTGAAGGTTAAGGCATTGCGTTGGTTAAAGCCTTTTCACTTTGATGACGGTTTTTCTTCAATATTGTTTTCATTTAGGAAAACTATCGTATCTACGACCGCGAGGTAGTGGAACTGAGTAAAGACGTTTCGTTGTTGATTCTTGTCCCACCGCCTGAGCACGTTTGTTCGTGTCCTGGTGAAGGAGATATATTCTCTGTTAACGATCGATTCTTATCCATTCCTGTTCCAGTCTTTGAAATGAGTAAGTTTAGTTGATAGTCCAGTGGAATGAGTGGATCTTTCAGATCGTCCATTGCTTCACTTTCAGGAGAATTAGTTTAGAGCAGGTTTTATGGTATGTTTTACCCAACGGTTATTGTTCATTTTTAGATGTGATGAAAACGTATCAGAACCAGTTCATATGTCATTACTCTCGACTCTCTTCCATCCTCGACATGGCGTCCTTAATTAGTCAACAGGATTGCAGAAAGGTTTGTGTTTTTAAATTGAACAGCAGCATACGTTATTTCTCATATTCCTTCATCTGCTACCTTTATACGAACCACTCTCAATTTGTGCTTCAACATGGCGAAATGTTATGTTGCCAAAAAGATAATGATTTCTTCTTTTGCAGGCGATCTTGGAGGACGAGGTGAATGAAACCAGAGCAGCCCAAGACGCTCTTAGTAATTTCCAGAAGGTAAATCTATCAGAACTTAACCACGCTCTCTAGTCATGGACACATAATATCCTTAGATTAACTACAAATCTCCAAGTTGAATGTGACTTACGTCTGTGTTCTAAAAGCTCACTCACATCAAACTGCTCGAGTGGGAGATCTCAATGGGAGATTCTCATAACTTTTCAAAGCGGCATTTCACTCAAATGAAAGCTTGAATTTCCACGTTTTACTTTAATTCTTTCTATTTATTAAGAGAGGACTGATTAATATCAGTGATAACACAATTTCTATGTCAGACGCTCTACGATTTCTTGAATTCATCTATAACTTTTCCCTCAACAGGAGTTGGATGAAACGTGGAAAGGAATGCGATGGCTGCTGGACATTTTGCATTATTCGCGTGACCGGGAGAGTGTGAGTGGTATACCTCTAGACTTAGTGTTCGACACTCGTCGTCCTTGTAGTCCGGAACCTTACGACTCACATCGGAAACACTCGGAGAGAAAAACGTCTTCATCGAGTTCTAATGGTAGGGTAATTTTGCCTCCTGTAAACGTGAATTCAGCCTTGAATTTATATTCACAGAACATGACTTATTTTGATGAATTCTTCTGATGAATTATTAGGAATCACGACAAACCCGGAGAGCGGGATTCTCAAGATTTATTCCGCGTGCGAAACAGGACTTGCCCCAGGAAAAAGTATCAAGGTAAATGCTCGCGATGTTCGCCTTGCTTTGAATGCAGAACTGCCAGAAGTGACTGTTGCCTAACCATGCACTTTCTCGTACTCAATTGTACTTTTCTACCCCTATATAGCTCCACGTAACCCCTTGCACGACCGTTCAACAAGTCGTTCAATTAGTAGTCAGACAACTGGAGATACTCGTGAAGCAGAAGAAGCCGGACACAAAACCACTGACTGAAGAGAAACTTAAAGAATTCTGTCTAGTCGCCGTCATAGGCGCCCGTGAACGCTGTCTTAATGACGACTATAAAATACTACAACTACAAAACCCGTGGGTGAAAGGAAAACTGTTTGTGCGCTTGCGTGTAGAGGCTATTGCCGCTGACAATCGTTCACCGTCGACCTCTGTCTGACCGCAAGCTAACTGTTCGCCAAATAGAGAGAAGAAAATTTGGTTCAGCAGTTTTTGAAGTGGAAATGATAGGCCTTTACGATGCGGGTTCACACTGTCTAAGTGTCTTAGGATATTGATCTAAGAGAGAGAGAGAGAGAGAGCTGGTTCACACTGTGTCTTAAGAGAAGTGTCTGAGAGAAATAAAGGAGTCTTAGGACTTTATTTATTAGTTTACTTCATTTTCAAATATTTCACAATTCACAAAAGGCGACTTTCTGCGTGCAGAACTTCTACTGCGATCAAAACAACTTGGATAGTGTGAACTATATGGACGAGGATCTGCCTTTGTCCGGCCTTGTCCGGGATTATTGGAACTATCAGATCCCACAAAAGAATTGAGATTCAAAATATATAAAATATGTGAAAAATATTAGTGCTGTAGACGGCATTATGAGCTGTGCTCATTTGTTTATATTGTAGAGAAAAGTTATCAAAATATTGTTAATATTTGTTTTAAATTTTATGAATAAATTTTATGAATAATATTGAACTGATATTGTTTGAAAACATTTTTAAAATATATCGTAAAGGTCAACAATGCATTGCAACCTTCCAACTTTTGCAAAACGGTCCATTAACGATCGAAGCTGCGCGGTCATCCATGTTATCGACCTGGTAACGAGTTGAAAATTTTCAAAATGGCGGATTTTTTGGAGTGGAAAAGTTGTATTTTGATGTTTTGAATTGTAATTTTCTCCAAGATGCAAGCAAGTTTAGGGCAGGATCGTAGTGGAGAGGATGTATGGAGTGAGTAGCAAATATATTTAAGGTGTTTTTCAGCGATGGCGCGTGACAAGGAGAAAATAATCCAACATGAACAGCATATTATTAAAACTATACAGTACTACACTACTACAGCACGTTAACGTATGTGTATATACCCAAGTTCACAACGTGGGGAACAATCAAAAGTATATGTTAATTTCTCTCTGGCAAATATCTCGTGCATGCATATTTCATATACAACACAACGACCTACCTTCTACCTATGATGAATGATGATAAACAAGCATTCACTTTACATTAAGATGTGGCGACCTGGAAGTCTGACATATCCTCAAAAGTCTCATTCATCCGTCAGAATCTTAAAAAACAAGCGAATAATCGACCTGCCGCATGGAAACACGCACTGAACATCCAAAAATCATACTTCACAACCGTCTTGAAACGGTCCAATCGCTTTGATCTCACAGAAGAGGATATTGATAATGTCGATGTGATAGTGGAAATTGTTGACGAGTTTATTTTTAACGGAGGGAAGGATTTTACTGCCATGCAAGAGTTGCATTTGCTTGAGATTATCCGTAGTCATTTCCAAGCAAATGACGATGACGTCAATAGATGTTTGCAATTTGCTGCCATGTTTAACCTGAGTCCTCATGATGAAATGAAGGTGATGTTATTATTTGTGACTTTGCTCAACTGTCGTGTATCGATCCTTAAATGTGTATGTTGTTTTCCAGGAATACCGTTGTAAAATGTTAGGGAAACTTGTGTCAATGTCTGTTGCCCTTGATTGCTCAAAAATACTGGAATGTGTTGCTGTATGGATTATGGTAATAAAAATTTAAATTGTGGATATTTTAGAATATGTTATCCATCTAATGATGCACAATAATGCTTAGTTGATCCATCAAATCATTTCATAGAAACATCGTTCTTCATTTCAAGACATTTTGGACTTGATTCAGGCTATCATTTACGATTACTGCATCCTGGTACCAACCTCATTGGCTGCGCTAGAGAGAATGGTGAATCATTCATCATTACTTGCCTCACAGTTTCTCACTGCGGTGACCTTATTGTATCCTATGTATAAAGCTCCTTCACAAGGTACACATATGTCCTCTATGATCCCTGGCTGTGTGACTGTTGACCATGTGTTCTCTTAAGATAATAGCAAAATAACTACACCCACATGTTTATCTGACCAGATATTAACAATTTCTAGATGAAGAAATGTCTACGGAGAATTTAGAAAAACGCAAATCATGTCTGCCACCATTTTCTCTCCTGACTTTGGTTGCCGACTGGGTTGCTTCACAGCCTGGTATCTCTCTCACCCCATACCCACAGCATTTGGGGATGCTCCCTAATTGTAGGGCGGCCAATCAAGATATGGAAACACCTGCGCCAGCAGGCCCGGCAAACAAACTTCCTCTTACACCCATACTGGGTCTCATCAGGTAAAACTCAACTCAAAGTTGATTCACTCTGTTTGGGTGTACTTCCTTAGTATGGTGGATCAAAAACTTGATAAAGCTATGAATTGATAGCTGGAAAGCTCTGATAGAGCTACCCAATGTAAACACCATTGTTTACATGAGATCAACAAGACATGATTCATATTTCAGGTGGAGTATTCTGGGAACCCTGTGTTTCCTGTCGCAGCGTCAAACCAAATTATCGCCAGATCAACACAAGGAGATTAAGCTGGTGTTTTCAAAACTGCAGTTTGGTGTTTTGGAGACGTTGTTAACTGCTAAAAAACAACGGGAAGAGAAAGAGCAGGACAGTGAGATTGAACCTGGAGAGGTGATGGAAGAGGAGCTGGATTATAGGAGCCTAGTAACTATCCATAATCTCCAAGAAATATGTATGGAATTGTTGGATATCAGTAAAGAGTTGCCTTGTGAAGGTGTTTATATGAATTATTGCTTTCTTGTCACATTACATGAGTATATTCCCTGTTTTGTAAAGGTGAAGCTTACTGGACCTCATTTCTGAAATTGTGTTTTTGTTAAAGCGTTTATCTTGTTTTTAAGATGCTCTGGAATCAAGAGATAGTTTGATGATTCTAGCTGTTGACAGACTGGCACAAATAATTCAAGTGGCAAAATCAACCGATTGTTTGTCAGGAAAAATATGTAATTTTGTTCAACATATAAATATCTAAAGTTAGTTCAGTTTAAGTTTCCTCCTGTAGTAACACTGGATCAATAAGAGATGATTCTTACTCGACCTCTAGGAAGAACAGTTTAGAACTGATAGAGCTATTCAGTATAAATAAAGTTAGTTTAGTTTAGGTTTCCTCCTGTAGTAACACTGGATCAATAAGAGATGATACTTACTGGACGTCTAGAAATCTATAAAACCTTATCGCGGTTACCTCTGGGAGGAATAGTTCTAAACTGAAAGTATAATTTTTTTCAGCGGAATTTTCATCCACTTATAAAAATCTACCTCATACAAGGTAAGAATGTCTCTTCTTCATAAGATTTAAGAGCTCTATCGTATATTTAAAGCTCGCAAAATTTTAATTTTAGATTGCTAAATTTAGTCCTGCAGTCTCGATGAGTATTGTGATGGGTTCTTGATAAATTAAAGTTTTTGAGGCTGAGGGTCTATCGGTCAGAGGACAGAGCTGGATGCGAGAAATTGAGAATGACTTCAACTGTCAACAGAGTAGAAGAGTAATATGAAATTGCTGTATTCATTTTGCGATACGAAAAGGACCGTAACTAAAAGACAAATGAAATCAAAGCAAGATATAAAGAGAGGAAAGTCGACTTTACTTAGTAAAAATCCCGCTTTGAATTCACTCGTGTATGATCGTACAAATGAAACAATAGTTTGGAAGATAAAGAGGGAAAAGAGATGTGTTTAATGAGGAGTTCCATTATCGTGTAAAAATATTTTCCGTTTGTTCTGCATGAACCGAAGCATATTGTTTCATTAAATGTTACCTTTCTTAGTTTTAGTGTTGGGTAAGATTGAGAAGTTTTATTTTATATAGAAATTCCAACGCATCGGGGAACTAAAATACCGTTGCATACTGTACTGTTCTGAATGATAAAAGTTTCAAATATAGGCATGTTTTTAGCACTAGTTATCCGTCTAGTTGTGTTAGATTTCCTGGATTCCGTGCAATTAATAATCACGTGTAACGATCACGTTCAATGATCACCCATTGTTTGTTATTCCTGGTTAGCAAAACAACTGTGGTTACCCCACGATATAAATTATGAATTTTCATCTGAGTTGTTGGTTAGTATCGTTGATTTATTTTACGACATACGCCAGCCGGAGTGAAATGCTTTAACTTGTTAATCTTGTGTGGTTACCCCACGATGTAAATTATTAATTTTCATCTGAGTAGGTTAGTGTCGTTAATGTGGTTAATGTCGTTGATTTATTTCACGACATAGTAACCAAGTTCAACTCTCCTCACCTAGGGCCGAGTGGAATGCTTTAACTTGTTAATCGTTCTCATCGTGCTTGCTGTTGAGTTTTTTTTCTGTTTTAAAAAGTTGTTTCAATAGTTTTTTGTCCTTGGTTTAATGATGTGTGAAGGATAGAGTTTGAATGAAACCTGGAGACTGACATCGGTAGATGATGAAGAATCCTAGCATCTTGTTTTCCGTTAGGAAAGTCATTCTCGCGACGTTCTGTCTTGCTTTGCTGTTTCATGTAAGTAAATAGTCCATTTTAAATATATCTTTTTTATGACTTTGTAGTTTAGTATCTCTCTGAATCGATAGAAGATGACCGTTATTGCATAAAACTCTATAGGAAGAACAGTTTAAAGCTGATGGAGCTATCCAGTATACATGAACTTAGTTTAGTTTAGAGATTATCGATCTTTTAGAATTGAGAGCATAAGCAATATGGATGAAGTTATAAGGTTGGATAGCTCGGCTTTTTCTCTGCAGTAGCATAACCAAAACCCGTTCACTGGTTGTTGCCAGGAGAAATTAAACTAAAGTTACATTAGCGTTGCATACCTGGAAGCAGCATTTCATTTTCAACACCAATATATGGTTAATATTTATTCAAATATTCAATAAATTTCGACCATTTTTTAAACGTTTTTCGATTGGAACAGTACTCAAAGAACGAGGCGATGTTTCGATGTTTCCTCAATACAAAAACACAAACACAAAGGACAAACAAAATATTATCTACGAGAGTAGAAATTTTAAGAATAACGCGTGCAAAACCTTGCGGAAAACTTTTCGTGCAAGTTGGTTGGAAATTAGCCCTGCGGCGGTTGAGGACTGAAGATGCGACGTGATGACGGAACTCTCCACAATATCTTCCGACGATTACAGAAAGTTTAAAGAGTAATATAGGCTTTTGTAACTCGTCTTAAAGAGACATCCAGAAACCAAAAACAAAGGGTTTATTTTCCAATGGATTAAGCGAAATGAAAACTGTACTCTTGTTCAGACATGTTTGTATATAATGCGGTTTGTTTTCTAATGAATGACTGCCCTATTTGGCGTGGGGGGCACCTGTTGTTAACCTGTTCTATTAAGAATCGGTTTCGCAAACAATGCAAGATGTTTGAGTCGCTCTATCAATTTTCGTCCATTCCCACCAGAAATAAATATTTCCCCCCAAAATATTGCGAATTCTCAAAGTTTTTCAACTTCATGTTGACCTAGTTTAGTGAAATAAGCGCTCAGATGCATCATAATTTACTAAAACATTCTCCAATTGCGATCTCAGAATAGCTGACCACATCCCACAAATGAATTAATTGAGAATACCTCTTCATATCTTTCGTTCCATTGAAGAAAGAAATTTTATACACTGACATTTAATCTCAAAGATGGATAGAATTTCTCTATAGAACTTTCAATTTGTACCAGAGAAAAATAGCTTCTTAGTATTTAGTTCAGTGAGTGTAACGATTTTTTGAAACACAACTTGTTAAACAAACTTAAGGTCCCGCCTTTCTTGAACCTTTTTGATAATAATAATTCATCTGTCACTCCAAACTTCTGTTTCCCTTTTTTCAAAACTACAAAAGACAATAGTTAAAACCAAATAAACTTTAGTTTTCGCCAATTTGGGGATTGACGATTGTATTATTTGTAATTTTTTAGGTTCGTCTTGGCAACGCCGAATGTTTGTCTAATGGTAAACGAATCCTAAATCGTTGCTTGTATTTGTGTTGAACTTGCCTTTCGTTTTGTTTACTTAAGTATTTTGATCCTATTTTGATACCTAATGTCTTGTGGTATTTCTTTCCAGACGCACATCTTGACTGTTTTCCCAAAGATTTGATGCAACGTGCAGGTACTGTACACCTTCAAATTCTCAACAGTAATATATAAACGACGAGAGAAGTTTAAAGCAAAGTTTTTTTGTTTAAACATAAGCTAGTGTAGTTTAGATTTTGTCCTTTAGTAGCATTTTTTGAACACTCATTCCTCGCCTGTTTCATAGAGGAAAACGATTTAAATTTGATAGGGCTATTTAGAAGTAGAGTAAGTTAGAAGTAAAATGTTTATCTGGTCACCAAAAGTTGAATTTGTTCAATCTTCCTCTCTTAGTAACTCTTGGTGTTTTGTTTAGAGTACTGCAGCAGCAACACTTTCAAAACTGGAAGTGGTATTTTTCATTGTCCACGGCAATCTGATTCCTCAGAGCCCTTAGAATGGATTTCGGAAAAGCTTGTGAAACCCTGGATAAAAGTGGTTTTACATAAAACTCTCAACATGACCAAGCTCATACTTCAACAGCGATCTGGGGAGAATTCCCAAATCAAGGAAATCCTTGTGGAATTTGATGTTGGACCCGAAATGCAGGTAATAAAGTCTTAGCTGAGAGACCTACCTCGATCCCAGGCTATTTCCTGACCTGCGAGGTTCGACTGAAGTCTACCACTGCTTAAAATTGTGACTCCCCTTTCAGTTACCTGAAATTAGATTTCCTGCGGGTATTTGTTTGCGGGTTTTTCAGCGAATGAAGTTTGCATAAGTTTTCCTAAATTAATCCTTTCATCCTAGCTGTGCATGTTTATCTTTAAACATTCTCCGACCCCATCAAGTTAGCCTGGGTCCCACGAATCTTCAAAATTCTGCTCTGGTCTAAATGTATCCGTGTTCAAAACCCTTCATCACCTTCCGAAAGCGTTCGGAGAAAAACGTTGCACGTTTCAACCTAAGGTTTTCCGCCAGTAAATTCAACCTCTACGTCCTTTCTATCGACCTATTTAGATTGTATTTTGTGTTAATGTAGCTTTCAATTTACATATTTCATTCATGATTTTTGTTTCGCTACAGATGACCCTTACACAAAACGTCATCAATTCGACTGCAGCATTTGACCAGAAGACGTTTGCTCCACGTTCCTCGTTGACTATAAAATTTACAATTTTATCGTTTTACACATACCGAAGCGACGGATCAGTTTCTGGGCCTGGTTTTAGAACGATTCAAATATACGATGAAAATTGCGACCGAGGTTTGTTTCCAATTACCACATAGCTAGAAAAATATACATTTGAACACGTTTCTATGCAATAGTTTGTTCTTGTCCTGCAACTCAATAACTTATCAGTCACAAACTTGCACTGCCGCTTGACGAAGTCTTGTAACATTGGAATAGCAAACCAAAGGTCTTAGGTTTGATTCCAATCTTGGTAACTCAGAGTATTGAACCATCACAATATTAATCATATACCTTCGTCGTATACCTTGAGCTACAATTATCAAGCCTGTTTCAAAGCCATGTTGTCACGAACACTAATCAACTCGTATGTTTTCAGACTATCAAGAGTTGAACATCGAGCATCGTTCTCTTGCAACCGACACTTCCGTCGTCCGCAGTTGGGTGCCATTTACTGGAATGCTAAAAATGTACCTACGGTTTCATGAAACATTGACAATCCATTTCGCCGACAGCCCATCCGTGAAAGCTTATGCGTCTTACCAATTTGTGTTTGACACAGTTAAGCAAAAAATGCATGTCTATAAATTGAAGAATGGAGGAGACAAGACGGAAATCCACAGTGTAGGAGTTACTCAGAGGTTTAACAAAAAACCAAATCTGTTGTACATTTACAAAAAATCCTCCCAGTGGTTAGTTGGCAATAATTACAGGGTTATAACAATTGAAGATACTGCAGGAATACACATGAAATACTGGGGAATAGCTTGTTCATCTGTTAAACCTGTCGAGTTAACTTACTGGAAACATATAGGTACGTGAGTGAATTCTTCATCGCTAAGGAAGAACAGTTTAGAACTGATAGAGCTATCCAGTATAAATAAAGTTAGTTTAGTTTAGGTTTCCTCCTGTAGTAACACTGGATCAATAAGAGATGATCCTTACTGGACCTCTAGGAAGAACAGTTTAGAACTGATAGAGCTAATAAAGTTAGTTGATCTGATTTCTGATAATGGTTTAGGTAAATGTTACCAAAAAGCTGATTACTTCTGGTTGGCGGACAAGCTCGTCGGTGGAACGACCATCCCGGAACTACGCCACGGGAAGGACGGTCACATTCGCGACTTGAACGAAGTGAAAACGTTACCCTTTGGACCTTTTGTTGATGGACATACGTCGTCGTCTCTCTATCTCAGTGGGGCGTGTTCTGGGGGGCTGAACCTTCCAAAGTTTCACAAGGGATGTCTATCGGATGTAACAACTTGTGATTCTGGATTCACGATGGCATTTTGGGTTTCTGCGTTGGATGCGAAACCGGCCAGCGAGGACAAGCAGGTTTTTTGGCTGCCGGACTTAGGATTGTCTTTAACCTACAAGTAAGGCGAACCTAAAAGCATTTGTTTCTATTTTTGAATTATCATTCATTGAGAAAATATGGATGGAAAATGTGTTCTTTTCACATGTCGTTTAAAAACTTTTCAAAAGATCATTTTGAGAAGGTTTCAAACACACCACCTGGCTTTCCTCTGTTATAAAAACCCCTTTCCCCCCCAAAGAAAGCCCTGTCTTTATATATCTCCCAACTCCTCAAATAAATACAGTGTTTTTATTGTATTTTCCAGATCTTCAACGGCCGACGTTCAAATAAAGTCTGGTGAAAAAGATTACACATTATCCTTTCACATTGGGAGAAAGGACTGGTCTCATGTTTTCATATTTTGGGATCCAGTCAACGGTGTTAAAGCACTGATTGACAACTTGAAGGAGGTTTCTGGCACCTCAACTAACCAAATCAGTCCTTCAGGACCCGGCTACACGAGTTTTCAAGTTGGTCAAAAGTCAAGTGCCCTAACAGGATGCGCACGCATGGCAGTACGTGATATTGCATTGTGGGAACGCCGTATCAGCATGGCCGAAGCACATGAATATTATCATTGTAACAATTTTGAAAAACCTTGGGAGTTCACGGTGAACTCTCATGGAGTACCGACGACAACCGGTATGTCAAGAATATTCTATTAGATCATTCAGACCTTCAGCCACCTGGACTGTTTAGTCATTTATACGGTACGAATAGAAATTTAGGTCTTTTCAGACTCCAAAGTTTCTCGCTTGGTGATTTGATCAGTCGTAATCAACGAACGATATTTTCCGGGTTTGTTTTTTTTTCAAACTGAACCTGTTTCTCATTCTGTCTTTCTCCAGGCACCTTTCCTTTTCCTGCACAAAACATTGCGTCTTTTAAACACGGAGGAAGCTGTGTATCAGAATATGGTGCATGTCATGCAGTCATTGATGGTACTGGTTTATGCGGCTGGGGAAGATCAATTTTCTTGAAATTCGACAAAGAGTATATTGTCAACAAAGTGTTGTTTAGTAGTTGGTACGGGGAAAGAAGTCTGACCATTAAGTTTTCAGACGGGGCGACGGAGAAGGTATTTCATCATCTCACCGTGTTACGTTTAGTTTAGGTTTTCTCTTGTAGTAACACTGGATCAATAAGAGATGATCCTTACTGGACCTCTAGGAAGAACAGTTTAGAACTGATAGAGCTATCCAGTATAAATAAAGTTAGTTTAGTTTAGGTTTCCTCCTGTAGTAACACTGGATCAATAAGAGATATCCTTATGGACTCTAGGAAGAACAGTTTAGAACTGATAGAGCTATCCAGTATAAATAAAGTTAGTTTAGTTTAGGTTTCCTCCTGTAGTAACACTGGATCAATAAGAGATGATCCTTACTGGACTTCTAGGAAGAACAGTTTAGAACTGATAGAGCTATCCAGCATAAATAAAGTTAGTTTAGTTTAGGTTTCCTCCTGTAGTAACACTGGACCAATAAGAGATGATCCTTACTGGACCTTTTGGAAGAACAGTTCAGAACTTTCTGTTGATTGTAAAACCGGGGTAATACAGTCCTCTTGCTAGTTTCATGTAATTACAACTAAATGATATTGTTTTTTTAAGTTCCATTTGGGAAATGTATCTCATGTTCAAGAAATATACTTTGAAGATAAATCAACAAATTCATTGGATATTTCGGTGGAGAACACTATTGTACCGTATGTCTATGAAATCAGCGTTTATTATGATTTTTCTCCAGGTACGTTACCCTTTCTTGAGATCTCGGAGCTGTTATACATCAGTAGCCTAGTATTCATTTCAGATAGTTTACAAACGCTTAATGATCTTGAGTCCCATGTGACAATTTTCATTTGCTAGATCGTCTGCCAAGTTCGTATATCAACTGGGCTCGGGGATCTCGCGTCACAACGCAGGCTGGTAAAGCAATCCGCCCTTACGTTGTCGATGGGTTAACTTACGACTGGGACAAAACAGTTGTTAGCACAACTGAAGAAGGTAATCGAATCACCAATCAATATGACTTATCTATTGTGCTTGTACGTCTCCGCAAACCCTTCCTTGCAAACTCTTTGCCTGTTTTTATTGTTGCTTAAATATTCAAACGTAAATTCTTGAAATAACTTGGACGTCTAACGTGGCACGTCTTCAATTAATGACTTCACATCAAATATGGGATGACAACTGAACTGTTTAAAATAGACAAAAATACTTCTCGACGTTTCGACCTAAGGCCCTTTGTCATGCTTTAATCCTTCGAACTCTTCTGACAAAGGCTTTTACGTCGAAACGTCCAGAAGTATTGTCTATTTTAGGCAGTTGTTATACCAAATTTGATGCGTACATCCTTGTTACATATATAAACGACAAACGTGCCCACCACTGAAGGTTTTTTTGGATCCTCATCAACTTCAGGTGCATCGTCCACGCCACAACCTGCCTCATGCGACAGCTACAAGTGGATAAAAATTAAACTTCCTCGTGAAGTAAAGTTGAACCTCCTTAGACTTTGGTTGATAAGCGACGTTGCCAAGTATGATCACCTGAAGATGTTTGAATTGGAGTTCTCAAACGAAAAGAAATTTGAGGTTGGTAAAATTCTCACTCAATGAGTTTGAGCGTGAGCAAGCTCTCAGAATACAGGCGTAAGTCTTTAAGCAATCATTTCACATATGACTGAGGTTGAATTCAACCAGCGATCTCTAATCCTAGTAGCAAGATAATGTCTGTATGGTTTGAAAACTATTGCTTGAATATTTTTTATCTAGTATCTCTCAAATTTGCCTGTTAATGAAACCGTCTCGACGTACTGGAATGAATTCTTTTTCTATACTGTTACCAAGGATTCGATAAAACTTTCTTTTCTTGATACACATGAAATGACAAAGAAGAAAATTGCCGTAAAGGAAGTTGAGCTTTTCTTCGATTCTTCTAAAGGTAAGTAGGTACATAGGCGTACGGGCGCAACTTCGTTGGGGGGGGGGGGCAAAAAAAATCGCCCGAATTTTTGAATTATACAATGTGCCCGAATTATAACTTTTACCAGATTTGTAACAATAGGTTTGGCAAACCGGCGGATGTGCTGTTAAGAAAGTGGAACAAAAATAGCGAAATAGAATACAAATATGTTATATATATTACACAATTTGGTTTTAAAAATTTTAGCTATGTAATTTAGCTTTCAGTTTGCCCGAAGTTTCGGCTGAACTTTGATTCTCGAAATTCTTTGGGGGGGCGACAATCACCCCCCTGCCCCCCCCTGCCCCCCCTGCCCCCCTGCCCCTGCCTGCCCCCCTGCCCCCCCCTGTCTCGTACGCCTATGAGTGGGTAAACAATAGCAAGAAGATTCTCATTTTTGCGCGTCCTGTTGCATAAATGCACTTAGAAGTAAGGGACCGTTTTATTTGATACGAGTGGAGAAGCTGCTTTAATCTTTCAAAGGCTATTCATAAAATAAGAAGGTTATTTTGCAACAGGAAAGATCTTTCTTTCAATGGCAATATTAACGGTAATTTTTTGAATAATTTTTCAGGTTTTCTTGCCTCGAAAACTATCGTTGACAATGATGGAGCCCGCATCGCAGAGAAGGGACTGTCGACGGCTAAATTTGGTCCCTTTGATTTTTCTATCAACTTTCGCGTTAAAATGACGCAAGCCAACGCTAAATTTATCGGACGAAAAAACGGGGAAAATTTGTACAGAACAATGATTAAAACAACTGATGACTTCAACCTGCACATTCGAATTGGATTACACAACATTTATTCAGTTTCCAGTGTTGCTGATGGAACTTGGAAAAGCGTTATGTTGTTTTATAATGCACGGGAAAGCCTGTAAGTATATATTGTTTAGTTGGTGTGCGGTAGGTGTGTTGTATGGTACCAGTACCCCTGTAGGTGTGATGTGGTGTGGTACCAGTACCCCTGTAGGTGTGGTATTGTATGGTGTTGTGTGGTACCATTACCCCTGTAGGTGTGGTATGGTATGCATAGTGTGACATGGTACCAGTACCCCTGTACATGTGGTATGGTATGGATAGTGTGGTATGGTGTGCTGTGCTGTGGAATGGTGTGATGTAGCATAAGGTATCTTTCTATTAACACCAGAACGAACTAATGTTTTGCTGTCTCGAATTTTTAGGTTGTCATTATTCATTGATAAGCGTCTGGAGTCCAGTCTTATTGCGCTTGTCCCAGAAGAAGCGGATGGCTGGGAATGGGAGACTGGTACGACATTGAACAGTGGGTTCACTGGAACCTTAGTCAACTTTGTAATCTATCACGATGTTCGAGGTGAGTACATGAAGAAAGTTTGTCTTGCGATGAACTAAAGTATATTCCTTTTTATGCTTTTACTACAAATATATCTTTGGTTTAAAGGTTTTGGCATGAAAAACTACATAATCCCCGACTCCGCTCTGTCGGTGTCTTCTGCTTCAAGTGATACTACTGGAGCAAACATGGCTCGTCTTTACAGAGAAGGTAAGCGCTGTGTTTGCTGTCGTTTCTTCGTTCGGTCCGCCTTTCCCTAAGGAAACGTTTTCAAATTTTGACTACATGCATACTGCTGAGTTCAACGTTCAATTCAGAGAATATGCAACTATTTTGCTTGTGAAAATACAGCCTTATTGAAAATGGTATTGGTTTTAATGCTTATTAATAATCCATGTACAAAACATGTGAACTTCAGTACTGTTTCATTGGCTGTTTAGATTACAGTTAATTCTAGCCAACTTCGCTGTTAACTTGGGTATTGATCTTAATAAAGTGCTTTGATAATTTCAATGTCTTTTTCTTCAACAACCAGGCGCATGGGTAATAGCTCCGGAGAAAAACGACCAACAGCAATATTTGCAAGTTGATTTGGGCATCGCTCGTCGTGTTGGTTATGTCGCCTTTCAAGGCCACGACAATATGTGGGTGACCTCAGCTCGAATATCATACAGCATGGATGCTCTGGAGTGGACCTTCTTCCTTGATACAGAACAGAAAGCGCAGGTTGGTACGGGTGGGCAGGGGGATTATATCTCCCTTTCGTAGGGGAGTGGCGTGTTGCCTTCTGGAGGGTAGAAGATATTGCCTTCTTAACGATTTGTAGAGACGTCTAACCCACTCCATTTTAAATTGAAATTAAGATATTCAAAGCTTCTGAAAACGCAAACGCTGTTGCCATGGTAATGTTGTATACCCCCGTTGTCGCACGGTATATCCGCATATATCCATATTTAGCAAATGTTGGCATGGCTTTGAAGACGGAAATTTACGACTATAATTATGGTAAGTAATGATCCTTACTGGATCTCTAGGAAGAACAGTTTAGAACTGATAGAGCTATCCAGTATAAATAAAGTTAGTTTAGTTTAGGTTTTCTCCTGTAGTAACACTGGATCAATAAGTGATGATCCTTACTGGACCTCTAGGAAGAACAGTTTAGAACTGATAGAGCTATCCAGTATAAATAAAGTTAGATTAGTTTAGGTTTCCTCCTGTAGTAACACTGGATCAATAAGAGATGATCCTTACTGGACCTCTAGGAAAAACAGTTTAGAACTGATAGAGCTATCCAGTATAAATAAAGATAGTTTAGTTTAGGTTTCCTGTTTTAGTGGATGAACAAAAGATTTATCCCGGATAAAAATATTTTTCCAGGTCTTCCATTCAACTCAGTGCTACGCTATAATGTGCCTTCATACAAGGGCTGCATCAAAGGAGAAGACTTTTTTAAGCAGAACGTATTTCTACCCAAGTTTTTCAAATCTTCAAAAAGCACTCCTGAAGACTGTAAACACGCCTGTGGCTCGGAAGGCTACAAAATGGCAGGCTTGTTTCAAGGTATTTATGTACTTGTATTGATAAGTTTTAACAAGCGTTTTTGGACCTTTTTTTCATGAGCAAATCTTTGAGCTGTTGGCAGTGACTATATTCAGTGAAGGCGGCAAGGAAAGGCAAAATACAAGCGGATGGAATCTTGCAAAATACTATTATAACGTTTCACTTTTTTGTGTTTTAAAGGTTCATTGTGTTATTGCATGAAAGAAACGATGAAATTCACTAAACTAGCTGATGCTCGTTGCTCATTTCCTTGCCCTGGAAATCCGGTGCTCCACTGCGGTGGGGAAACAGCCGTTAGTTTATACGAAGTATCCTGTCCGCCGTTATGCAGTGACTGTACTGTTGGTATTTATTCCGACCCATTGAATGTATTGTTCAAGAAGCAAATAATCTTCACAAATTTCACCGGTAATGCGGTCGTTGGCATTGACGTTAGTTTGAATGGAGTTCACATGGTTAATGTTACAACAGGTAAGGATGTGGCTGTGTTTCTGAGCTAAATTTTTCAGCTAGGTTTTATATTTAAAATAAGCTGTCCTGTGGTGATCCAGTGTAAGTAGTATTCTACAATAAGCTGTCGTGGTTTGTGTCTGAACTACCTGAGAAAGATATCTCAAACGTGGTGGTCCAGTGTAGGTAGTATTCTACAATAAGCTGTCGTGGTTTGTGTCTGAACTACCTGAGAAAGATATCTCAAACGTGGTGGTCTAGTGTAGGTAGTATTCTACAATAAGCTGTCGCGGTTTGTGTCTGAACTACCTGAGAAAGATATCTCAAACGTGGTGGTCTAGTGTAGGTAGTATTCTACAATACTGCTGACTTCTGTTTATTTAATCTTAAATTATGTTTTTTTAAACCAGGTGAATTTGAACACATATTTGTTGATTCTGGTCAATTGATTCTAATTGCCGAAGCCCGAGATTCTCTTGAAAGACAGGTTGCTGTGGCAACAACAGAAATCACTGCACATTGTCAAGCATACACCACCATCTTAACTTGCCCGGAGTGGGTTCTTAAAGGAGAGACTTATGAATGCAAATTGTATATACAGCGGGGAACTGGGACGAATGTGAACTGTACTATTGATGGGGAGGATGTGCCACTAGAGATAGACGGTGAGGGATATGTTTGTATACATTGTAGAAACAGTGGGATAAGGAGATTTTCCTCCTGTACTAACACTGGATCAATAAGAGATGATTCTTACTGAACGTCTAGGAAGAACAGTTTAGAACTGATAGAGCTATCCAGTATAAATAAAGTTGGTTTAGTTTAGGTTTCCTGTATTATTAACAGATGGAGAATTATTAATTTACCTATATTTTCTAGATAACATGTTATTTAAAACGGGCGAAATTCTCGAAGAAAATCCAGTCGCTGTTGTCAATGACAGTTCCACAACAATTCTTCCAGCTCAATTTTCGCTTCTCTCTGGCATGATCACAGGGTTTGAGTTCATGACTAGCGGCCCTGGAAGCCTCTCTATCAAGGTACGGTAAAATGAACAGTTCTTGTGAATTCGTTATGAAATTAAATTTGTTACATATTTTATACAGTAGGATGAAATAGCAGAATATAGTATGAATTTTTTATTTGCAATTACTTTACTGCAAGATATTTCGCCTGTTAATCCGAATGGTGACGTAATAAAGCCGTTTGTCTTTCAATAGGTTTTTAGACCAACTTGTGAGGCTGGGACTAAATATTGTCAAACCAATTACAAGTGTGTGTCCACCAGCGTTTTCAGTCAAGAATGCCTACAGGGGAACCCACCAAGAACCCTGAATACGTTTCCGTCCACTGGTAAAATGTGCGATGATTCAGATCCGTATTGCCCGACTCGGAAACCGCCCTCCAACGTGACTTCCCGTTTTCAGGTAATATACGATAAACAATTTCAGTTTTCCCGCGCTGGGCTCCATGCTGTGAAGCCAAACCAATTTACACGTGTGTTTCCTGGAGACATGATAGGTTACTCTGATGCTGTCAATCTTCAGTACAAAACGACGGGCGTATCATTCCGGGCGGAAGAAAGCGAGACGGGGTTCTATACCCCGGTGGCTCGGGTTGAAGGCCGCACGGCACTTCTTCGTGGTCATTACGCAGCCCCCCGGAGTTTGTTTTTTAATTTGAATAAAACCGGTGAACTCAACTGTCAAGTTGGTAACGAAATCTTGCAAAAAACTCTGGTCGCACAAATCAATGCGTATGAAATTATCGAAGATGTGGTCTTGATGTTACCCGATTTTACCGCGACTAACCAACTAACAGTAATCGCGGTACCTGGACACCCCGGTTTAAACGTGAACTACACGTTTCATTTCGATGAGAACGATACCATTGTTGTTGCCAATAAACACTCTCATGACGGGTTGAACATTAGCCATACCTTCACTCACTCCGGGTTACACCAAGTCAATTTAACGGTGACTAATATTCGATATACCGTCAATGTTTCCTCGTGGATACGTGTGTTAGACCCCATCACTGAGCTAACCTGGGATTGCCCGATGTACCTAGCAATGAATGATCAAACTAGAATCCCTTTTAGTGCTAATTCTGGGCAGAATGTTACAGTTACCGCTCAATTTGGAGATGGCAATTCCTTCACTCAAGGACAGCTTGATTTTGTACCTGGAACTAAGAATTACCTGCCGCATACCTACATGACGACGGGCTCATATAACGTTAGCCTTTTTGCAGAAAACGCGGTCAGTGTTGCATACCTAACTGGACTGGTAATTGGTATGAAACCTGTTGATAATGTCACTCTTACCGTAGAGAGTGAAAGTGGTACCCACCAGGATAATACATTTCCGCTGGAAGCACCTTTGGTCTTAACTATTGCCAGCAATGGTGATGCTGTAAGTTTTGAAGTTAACTTTGGAGATTCCTCGGCTCAAAATGTCACGGAAGAAACATCGTTAAGCCATCTCTATACTGAGACTGGAACCTACACGATTACTGTCAATGCCTCAAATCTTGTTAGCCATAAAACTACTAATGTATCGGTAACTTTGCTAGAGTCAGTTCAAAATATACAAATTGACAATGATGGTCCAGTTAAACTTGGAGAACCGATGACCTTTGAGGTCAGCATGAAACAAATGGGCACATATCCTTGCTACTATTTCAACCTCGGAGATGGGACTGAGTTCGTTTACCGAGGCGCCTTCTTGGCCACGTGTCCCAAAGACTTCGATCACGTGACAGACATTCGTTATATTACGTCATCTGATAAGATCCAATTCACTCACACCTACACCAACGTCACAGTGTATCAGGTGACCTGCGTCGGCTCGAATCCAGTCTCCAAGGAAGATGTTAAAATTGAGACGGTCGTCGTGAACAAGCCTTGTACGTCACCTGTCGTCAGCATCGAGGGACTCGCGCAAAGCGTGGAAAGCGCGCGGGAATTTATGCGGTCAGAGGAATTCGAGATTATTACTAAGAACACGATTGATTGCGAAGCAACATCAGTGACGGATTTTGAATGGAAAGTATTTAAGGTGACTTCGCTGGGTTTCTCGGAAGATGAAAGCGAGGAAATATCACTGCCTCATATTAAGATGGATGACTGGAAAGTTGTTTTCACCCCCCGATCTTTGGGCTACGGTGTATATTACATTCGTTTTACCCTCACCATGGTCGGTGTCGAGGGTGTTAGTTCTTCCACTTTCGGATACGTCAAAATTACACCATCGCCGATTGTTGCCGAGGTTCGTGGTGGCTCGACGCGTTTCGTGGGATTCAACAAAGTGATTTCACTTGATGGCGGAGTTTCACGGGATCCTGATGTTGAAGAAGGCGATTATGAAGGTGAGAGACATGTTTCCTCCTGTAGTAACACTGGATCAATAAGAGATGATTCTTACTGGACCTCTAGGAAGAACAGTTTAGAACTAACAGAGCTATCCAGTATAAATAAAGTTAGTTTAGTTTAGGTTTCCTCCTGTAGTAACACTGGATCAATAAGAGATGATCCTTACTGGACCTCTAGGAAGAACAGTTTAGAACTAACAGATCTATCCAGTATAAATAAAGTTAGTTTAGTTTAGGTTTCCTCCTGTAGTAACACTGGATCAATAAGAGATGATTCTTACTGGACCTCTAGGAAGAACAGTTTAGAACTAACAGAGCTATCCAGTATAAATAAAGTTAGTTTAGTTTAGGTTTCCTCCTGTAGTAACACTGGATCAATAAGAGATGATCCTTACTGGTCCTCTAGGAAGAACAGTTTAGAACTGATAGAGATACTCAAAATACCAATTGCTGACAAATTCTATTCTAGGGATGTATTTCTACTGGCATTGTAAGCGGAGCGACGATAACTACACATTTCCCGCCGAACCAGAGGCAATAAAGCAGTCGAGAATAGCGAATATTACCAACGGCACTAGTTTTGTTGACTTTGGTGGCTGTTTTGGTCAAGGACCTGGCCGCTTGAATTACTCAAACACAACGTTGGCGATAGATGTTGACACTGGACTTATGAGGGAGAATGCTTCATATACACTGCAACTTTTGGTGAAGAAAGATTTCAGGAGAAGTCTTTTTAATTTATTTCTGAAGGTTATTACTGGGGATCCACCTACTGTAGCCCTAAGGTAAACGAAATGAAGATATTTGAAAATTGCTTGCCCTTTCTTGGTTTTTTTTTTGCCAATCATACCCTGGTCTTGCCATTAAATTCTGTACAATTCTTCATTCAGCTGTTTGAGAAATTGTCTCGAGAAATTCAACCCTTCCACGAAAGTGTCCCTGGAGGTGACATGTGAGGATTGCAGGAGCGCCATGAATTACCGCTGGGAGGTTTACCTGTTCAACGAAGGCTCCTGGGATATGATTGATAATCACGAGGAGATCATACTAACGCGACCGTCGTCGCCAAATTTGGTCATCAAGGAGGAATCGTTGCTCGGTAATCGGACGTACAAGATTCGGGTAGCGGCGTGGAGACACGGAGGCAATCCGGGCATTGCCGAACTTGTACGAACTGTCAACATACCGCCTTACGATGGATGGTGTCATGCTAGTCCTCTAACGGGATACGCTTTGGATACCTTATTCGGTGTGTATATACAAATACATTTATTACACAGCCTGATCTGAACTCGTTTTTTACAATTCCCCACTTAGTTTTCGTGTTTGTCTGAATCACTATTCTATATAACAAATAACTTTTAACTTTGGCTTGAAGCGTCAAATTGTTATTGAACCTTGCAATGGGCCCTGGTTCAATTGAAGATAAATTTTCCTGGTCGTATTAAGATTGTATTGTTTATCATCGATGTTTAGGAATCACCTGCGGAGATTGGATTGACGACAATCTGCCACTGAAGTACACGTTTTCATATTTCCCTGGCACGGGAACGCTGGAGTCTTTGGTTTACGTCGGAGGGAACTCGTTCAGCCCCAACGTGACATTCCCGACTGGCCAAGATGCGAATAACACGCTCTACTTTGTGGTTCTTATAACAGATTCGTTAGATGCTTCGACTCTCGTTCAAACCGAAGTTCAGGTAGACAATTTAACTCTTATAAACAGAGAAGTCTGCGTGTTTGGCATGGGTATAATACGCTTTCAAAGCCTCACACAACCCTCATATGTTTGGTTTAGTTAGCTTTCCATTTATTCCATGCAGTTCAATAACTCAGGTGAAAATCATTGTTATACGCCATTGTCAAATGATCACAGAATAACAATAGATTATGGTGAAACATAATGAATTATTATAGGCAAATAAAAAACCAGCCTTAATTTAAAAGAAACTGGCAAAGTTTTAAAGCTGTTTCTTCGCAATCTTCAGGTTAATCCTACGAATACTGACGCACTTAAATCGAAGGTCGAAGATCTTACATCGACTAACGGCACTCTGAAAAGCATGTTGTCATCTGGTGACACACAAAATGCGTTTCAAATGATTTCCGCTGTCGGGAATATGTTAAATTTTGAGTCGGAGAAAAGTGAGAAAAGTGAAGAGTCGGTGGATACTGGCAAGAACACCACGGGTGAGCCACAGGACGAGAACAGCAAAGTAAAGGAAGAAGAAAAGAAAGAGGAGGCGAAGAAAGAAAATACGAAGGTTTGAATTCAATGTTTGTGATTTTGAATTCAGATCTTGGCCAATGTTATCTTTCAATCTTTCATGTTTGAGATTTTGAATTCAGATCTTGGCCCATGTTATCTTTGAATTCTGTAGGTTTAGGTGAATATTGGCAAAACAAACCTAAAATTACTGTCGATCTTATAAACTGTTTTTTCTGCTTAGTTGCGCACCAGTTTGGTGAACGTGATTTCAAATGCCCCGGTGAAGACGTTGGAAGATGCACATCGTACCTCGGCTGTACTTGGTACCGTTACCAAGGAAACGGAGGAAGTCTCTCAGGAGGCCCAAGTATGTGTATGAAGTTGTAGCAATTAGTGTAGGTAGTATTCTACAATAAGCTGTCGTGGTTTGTGTCTGAACTACCTGAGAAAGATATCTCAAACGTGGTGGTCCAGTGTAGGTAGTATTCTACAATAAGCTGTCGTGGTTTGTGTCTGAACTTCCTGAAACTATTCTAACATTTCATTTCTCAACGCATTCTAGGAAACAGCGACTTCAACTTTAGCAACAGTTGGCGACGTTCTGGAGTCCGAGGCTGAGAAACCTGGAACCCACCCAAGAACTGTCGCTAAGACAGCAGAAGCCGTATTATCTGGGCTGGGAAACGTTATTCAAGCCGCATTTTTTGTCGAAGAACCAGTGGCACCCCAGCAACCTAGCGTGGGAGAGACCGCAAGCGAGTCAAGGACCAGTGAAAGTAGCCAGACCTCACAGTCGAGAGCAACGAAAGCACCACCTGTGAAAGCAGAGGAGGAGAATGATGATGATGATGATGAAGAATCCGAGAAGAAACAGAAGGTAATTTAATATTTTTAGACTCAATAGAGCTTAATGTATTTTCTTAAAGCTTCTTCTCCATGTCTCAAGGTCCGTTCAAGTGAATGACATCATCCATTCCACTTCTGATGGATGTTTTATTGTCTGTTGTCTTGCAATCTATATGGGTTTGAAATCAACTAAGCCCAATGTAGTACTGCTTTATCAATAACACGCTACATCCCATACAGCAGAAGTGGATTGGATCCAACAAAATTGAATCGTGTGTCTCGGAGACCTTGATATCTTTCAAAAGACGATACACAATAAAACATTTCTACCCAAGATTACGAAAGGTTTTAGCTGTAACCAGGAAAGATACCCTCGCGCAATGGTATAACCTAATTAATGTTTTTTGTTTACTTTAGAAAAAGGAATTGGCAGATAAGTTAATGTCGGTGGTGAAAAAAGTTGCGAAAGCTGTAACAACGAACAAGGCGCCGGGCGAGGAAGCGACTCGTATTGACACTCCTTATCTCTCCCTGGAAGTTTATCGCGAAAATCCTGAAGAATTGGATTCGAAATTTCTAACCGCAGGATCAGGAAGCTTTGCTTTACCGCAAATGAGCGGTATGCTGAATGGAAGCGGAACATGTGATGTGTCTGTAAGTGCAGTTTAGATGTCTGTCGTGATGTTCGTACAAAATTATGAAAATAAATAAAATTATCCAGCACTTGATTTTACTCTGTGAAAAACTACACTATTTTCCTTTCATTTCCCTCCTGGTAACCAACTCAGGGTCGATAGAAACAGTTGATGTAAAACCTTTTAAAAAATACACGCATTTCCGCACCGAATCTGCTACCCAGAAACCAGCTAATAGAATCACTTCCAAAATGCTCTATTTTTCCTTTCAGACTGTTGCTACCCCAACCAATCCGTTTGAAGATGACGCCAACCGCATACACTCCGTCGTCATGACGACTGAAATAAGAAACGCTTCTGGAGGAATCTCAGTCGCGGACCTCGACGATCCCATCGACATTCGCTTACCACGTGACCCGAAACCAGTCCCCTCGGACCGTGTCTACGAAGCCATGGCGGGAAAGATGATAATGCATAAATTCCCGGTGACTCACAACGATAGCTCGATAAATATTGAACTAAATTTAGTCGGAAATTGCTCAGAACGTGCCAACTTTAGCCTGTATTTACAAAAACATCGCAAGCCCTCAGTTCATGAACATATGTTTAATATAACAATTCCTGATTATGAATTTACGCTCGAGTATAATAACAGATCAAAAAGTCCAAACACATTCTTTCTGTCCAATGTTGATTTAAACCGTCAGGCAACAGGCACCTTTTATGTTGGGGTAATCTACAACAGACCAGATGTCGAATGCCCGGAAACAATGAACTATACTTTGAATATTTATACATCTGGCTGTCTGTACTACGATGAAGACGAGGAGGTCTGGAAGGGAGATGGCTGTACGGTATGTCACGAAACCTTTGATTAGCTGAGGCCTGAGGGAAATGTGATTGTGAAAATGCTATTAAAATACGTGAAGTTTATTGAATAGACCTTTCTCGTGTTGAATTCGAAAGCGTAAAGCCTGATTACCACAAATATTATCAAGATATGAATCATTTTAAAGTTGATGAGAAGTCTATTTTCGTTCGTGTAGGTTGGGTTCTTGACGAACATGAATGAGACACAATGTCTTTGCAATCATCTCACTTCGTTTGGTGGCGATTTTGTTGTTGCTCCAAATTCCATCGACTGGGACGCCGTGGCAGCCGGGTTCAGCAATCTGGATGAAAATCCAATCGTGTTTGCTGTGGTCTTGTCCATTATTTGTCTTTACTTCATCATGTTGCTTTGGGTTCGACGCAAGGATAAGAAAGATCTTGAAGAGGTGAAGAAATAATGAGAAACCTAAACTAAACTAACTTTATTTATACTGGATAGATCTATCAGTTCTAAACTGTTCTTCCTAGAGGTCCAGTAAGGATCATCTCTTATTGATCCAGTGTTACTACAGGATGAAACCTGAACTAAACTAACTTTATTTATACTGGATAGCTCTATCAGTTCTAAACTGTTCTTCCTAGAGGTCCAGTAAGGATCATCTCTTATTGATCCAGTGTTACTACAGGATGAAACCTGAACTAAACTAACTTTATTTATACTGGATAACTCTATCAGTTCTAAACTGTTCTTCCTAGAGGTCCAGTAAAGATCATCTCTTATTGATGCAGTGTTACTACAGGGGGAAACCTAAACTAAACTAACTTTATTTATACTGAATAGCTCTATCAGTTCTAAACTGTTCTTCCTGGAGGTCCAGTAAGGATCATCTCTTATTGATCCAGTGTTACTACAGGAGGAAACCTAAACTAAACTAACTTTATTTATACTGGGTAGCTCTATCAGTTCTAAACTGTTCATTTGCTTTTCTTAACAGTTCGTCACCATTCCTCTACCGGACAACGATCCTCGTGACAACTATAACTATGAGGTCACAGTGTATACAGGACACCCAAATGATTCTGGTACGACAGCCAAGGTCTTCATCGTCATCTCAGGAAGCGAACACGACACGGAGCCGCGCGCTCTCGTGGACTCAACCAACACCGCCTTAAAAGCGGGCGGTGTGGACACCTTCATCCTGAGCGTGCCCTCAAAACTTGGCAAGATCGATCACGTGCGAGTATGGCATGACAACACGGGGAATTCCCCGAGCTGGTTCCTAAATCGAATCCTAGTTCGCGACGTTCAAACGAATCGAAAGACCTGGTTTCTTTGCGACCAGTGGTTTGCAGTGGAGGAAGATGATGGTCTTATTGATCGCGCTCTTCCCGCGGCGACTAAAGATGATCTGACTTCGTTCAACTTCTTGTTTTCGATCGAGGCTAGAAGAAAGTTGTTCGACGAACATTTGTGGTTCAGCGTTCTTTCGAGACGTCCACGCAATCAGTTCACACGCGCGCAACGTCTTTCGTGTTGTCTCGCGGTATGTACACGATCATTGGCTTGATGTGATCTTTCATGTTCACTTGCGCCCATTATTCCAGCCGGGATAGTTCGGATAGAATGAATGTCTCTTTTGCCTTTTTTTACAGTTCTTATTATCAACGATGTTGGCAAACGCCATGTTCTATCAGACCGATGATACCTCCTCTTCTGGCAACGATGTGCGTGCTGGCCCTCTCGTGTTCTCTCTGAAGCAGTTATGGATTGGATTCATAAGTTGCTTAGTGATTTTGCCCGTCAATCTTCTTATCGTGTATATATTCAGGAATGTGCGACCCAAGGAGGAACCAAATGCCGGGAGCAAAGATTCCGATAATGCTCGAAAGTATGCGCTGGATGACGAGACTGAAAACAACGTTTTTTCAGATCCAACTGAGAATTTAGTCGGCTGTTCAAAGGTAGACGATATGTTTTTAAATGAATGTTCTCTGCTTTCTTGAGAACTACTATACAACTATATAGTTTGACTAATTCAGGTTTCATTCTGTAGTAACACTGGATCAATAAGAGATGATCCTTACTGGACCTCTAGGAAGAACAGTTTAGAATTGATAGAGCTATCCAGTATAAATAAAGTTAGTTTAGTTTAGGTTTCCTCCTGTAGTAACACTGGATCAATAAGAGATGATCCTTACTGGACCTCTAGGAAGAACAGTTTAGAACTGATAGAGCTATCCAGTATAAATAAAGTTAGTTTAGTTTAGGTTTCCTCCTGTAGTAACACTGGATCAATAAGAGATGATCCTTACTGGACCTCTAGGAAGAACAGTTTAGAACTGATAGAGCTATCCAGTATAAATAAAGTTAGTTTAGTTTAGGTTTCCTCCTGTAGTAACACTGGATCAATAAGAGATGATCCTTACTGGACCTCTAGGAAAACAGTTTAGAACTGATAGAGTTATTCAACTTTATTTAAATGTAAAATATTTCCCTTTTTTTATAGAACTCGCTTCCGAGAAAATTAATCTACGTTGCTTATATTCTTCTCTTCCTAACAATCTCCATCTCAGCAACATTCACAATCTTCTACGGTTTCACATTTGGCAAAGAAAAATCAGAAAAGTGGATCAGCTCCACTCTGATATCTTTTGTTCAAGACTTGATGCTCTTCCAGCCTCTTAAAGTCTTCGCAGCAGCAACGATCATTGCGCTCATCATTAAGGATCCAAATAAAGTCGACCAGGGGGATACGAGTGACAGCAAGCCAGGACAAGCTGAACAGGTTTGTAAAATTCGTCTGGTGTAGATGAAGCTGTGGGCCATAGATTTTCAGGAGGATTCATGATTGGGTTTTGCTAAAATGTGTTTGGTCATGTTTTTTTTTTCATACCAAGATATCTCGGCCCATTGTGGTTAAGATTAGCTGGTTTTAGCTTTGTTTTCAACTGCTAGGGTTTCGGTATTCGACTAATTGCACTTCTGATTGCTTCATCTCAAAGAATTGTCGTGTTTAAATGGTTTATTTTCCTTCAAAGATGCTTGAGCTATAGATAGCTGAGCCTTGCTAATGTTTCATTGTCTTTAGGACAATGGCGAATCGATTGACGACGAAGAGAAATCGATATTCCCCGACGACAATTTCCGTGAGCCAAGGACACCAAGGTCAGTGATGAAGCCTCTTCCAGCCGCGCAACTGGTGGCCGTGAGGGAACTGCGTACGAAACAGAAGAAAATGCGTCGCATCATTAGCGAAGTGTGTTGGTACATTGCGTATCTTGTGTTGGTATCCATTGTTGCCTATGGTAACCGCGATCCTAAGGCGTATTTGGTTACCAAGACGATGAACGATTTATTTGTCGAGAATAAATATACGGCGAGAATGCGCTTTGAAGATGTAAGTTGCGTCATGATGAACTAGTCAGTACTTGGTATAGTGGTATGTTGCTTTTTTAGTAAATTAGACATGTAATTTCTTTTAGATTTCTAACATTCAACAATACTGGAGTTGGCTTCACAACAGCATCTTGCCTGCAATCAGCCCTCCTTTCTGGTATGGTCCATATGGTTTGGATGATATTGAGACCATCTCGAAGACAATTGCCAGTAAATCTCGCGCAAAGGCGAAATCAAAGAGCACGAAAACCAAAACAAGCAGTTCTTCGGGGTCAGATGATTTGAAGGCGGCCTATCATGATTATCCTGAGCAATTCACGGCTGACAGAGCAGTGTCGTATGTGGTTGGTTTGGCCAGAGCTCGCCAACTCAGGAATACTCTGGAAGGTGAGTTATACAATCAGTATCATAAAATATAGCAGCCAGCTGTGTTTCCTCCTGTAGTAACACTGGATCAATAAGAGATGATCTTTACTGGACCTTCAGGAAGAACTGTTTAGAACTGATAGAAATATCCAGTATAAAGTTTATTGCCCTAAAACTATCCGATTTCATTTCAGATTCTTGTGTTGTTCACCCGACCGTGCGTCATCTCCACCGCCAATGTAATAAAGAGTACAGTTGGTCAAACAAGGACGAAGGATGTTATAATGTCAGTTGGTCGGCATTTAACGGATCTGAACATAATTGCAAACAACTGAAAGGTGGAAAATCTGCGTGGAAATATCGCACAGCCAGGGACCTCAAAGGAACGCCATTCTGGGGCAAGTTTCATAACTACTGGGGCGGAGGTAAGAGTTTTTCTTTGAAACAAATCAACTAAACTAACTATATTTATACTGGACAACTCTATCAGTTCTAAGCTGTTCTTCCTAGAGGTCCAGTAAGGATCATCTCTTATTGATCCAGTGTTACTACAGGAGGAAACCTAAACTAAACCAACTTTATTTATACTCGTTAGCTCTATCAGTTCTAAACTGTTCTTGCTAGAGGTCCAGTAAGAATATGTCATATTTCTTTTAGGCTACGTGTGGAATCTGGACAGCAGCTTATCTGTGGTTCAACAGGAGGGGAAAATGCTGGAGAAACAATCCTGGCTTGACGATCAAACCCGGGCAGTTTTCTTCGAGTTCATTGTGTACAACGCGTTCACGAACTTCTTCTGTACCGTAACTTTACTCCTGGAGAAGCAAATCACCGGGGGAATTTACCCGTACGGACAAATACACACTCTACGATTATACCATTACGTTGGCACGGAGGCCTTTATCACCCTGGTATGTGAGCTGATCTTCGTGGGCGTCCTGTGTTACATCTTCACTCGTGAATTGAAAGAGGCCCGGAGCTCCGGTATCAAGAAATATTTCAAAGACCCCTGGAATTATTTTGATATTCTGGGACTGCTCTTCTCATTCGCCGCTATTGGGCTGTATTTTGCAAGAATGGCCGCAACTTCCCTAGCTTTAAGACGAATCAATAAAAACCGAGATACTTTTGTCAGTTTTCACTACGTAAGCGCTATAGACCAGTCGTTCACAGTGCTATTAGGCCTCGCTGTTTTTGTCTATTTCATGAAAGTTCTCCGACTTTTACGTTTCAACCGCAAGATCAGCCTTCTTTCAACGACTCTGATTGCGTGCACGGAAACATTGCTCGGCTTCCTGTTCACTTACATGCTCCTGTTCGCCGCTTACGCGCAATTAATGTACTTGGTGTATGGTCGAGATATGCCTGAATTTGCGACCTATCAAAGATGCCTTTCTGGTCTCATGGAAATGACACTTGGTTCAAGCGATTTTGACGGTATGAACGCGACAAACCGGATCCTAACCAGTTTCATTTTCTTTAGTTACACTTTGCTAAACACCTGTGTTTACATGAACCTGTTTATTTCGATTTTGAGCGAGACGTTCTCCGAAGTTCGTGCAGACGTGTTGCTTCAACCGAACGACTACGAGATTGTGGATTTCATGATCAAGAGTTTGAAGAAAACCGTTCTCCGACAGGTGGCGCCGATGACGGAGCCCATCTACAAAGAACCTAAAGATGACATCGACCTTGGAGTGGACAAGATTTCTGAAACTTCAGAATGTATACAAAGTGCTCTGCAAGGGCAGTGTAAAGAAGATATTCGTCAGGCGCTTTGGTTTCGAGATAGGAGCAAAATGAAAGAAAAGGGAGTTCTTTTAAACATTTTACTGGAAAGTGGCGAAATTTTCACGGAGAATGATATAGGTGAAGCTATACCTTTGTTTGATGGTATCTTAAAGAGACATACACTCGATGAACTCTTGGTTATTCAGAAAAATCAAAGAAGAAGAATCGCTTCAGAATTTGAGGAGTCGTTTAGTTCCAGTTGGCGTAGCTCAAGGTTTAGTCCCAGGGAAGCGAGCCAGATATTTACCGAGGATGGTGTTTTTTATGGTGATGGTGAATGCCAGTCGAATGCTGATTGTGGAGATGGTAGTGGCGATGATGATAATGGTGTTGGTGGTGATTATGATCACGATAATGTTGCTCCAAATGATGATTGCAATCGTGATGATGTTGGTAATAATGGTGATAGTGATTGTGATCACGATAATGGGAATTATGATCACGATAATGATGACTGTCATCACGATGATGGTGATTATGATCACGATAATTATGACTGCCATCACGATGATGGTGATTATGATCACGATAATGACGACTGCCATCACGATGATGGTGATTACGAGCATGATAATGATGACTGTCATCACGATGATGGTGATTATGAACACGATAATGATGAAGATAGTAATGATGGTCGTGATGAAAGTAATGATGATGATAATGGTCGTAATGATGAAGATGATGGTGGTAATGATAACATTGGTAGATTTAGTGATGGTCCACGTCCTGTTAGTGGTGATGATAATGAAAGTGACAACGAAGATGGTGATGATAATAATTTTGATGATAGTGATTGTGGGAATGATGATAACGAGTCGTTACACGATGCTGGTTCCAACAACGAGGACAATGCTAGTCAAAATGGTGGTGACTTGTACTATGATGGCCCTGAACGTGAATCCAACAGCAAGCTTCGTCTTGTCAACCAACAACCTGTCAAAGATTTGGAGAAAGATGATCTTAACAGTGTTTACTCGACCAGTCACCTGAGTCTTCGAAACCATGATTACGTCATCTCAATGGAATCGGACGAGGGAATGATGTAAAAGAGAAAATTTGTAGGAAATAACTGTCCACTGCAAATAACTTTCATAACTTTCCAGTAACGTATTTATAAAACATATTTATATTGATAAACACACTTGTTAAACAACAATAAACTCACTCTGACAGGTGCGTAGCCAGCCTGACGATCAGCGGGATAAAATCGTCATGCTGGCTAAGGCACTGACTCTGAATTCCAGAACATTTACCACAAGTAGCCTAAAATATGGCTACCCAACAGAAGGTGGCGCCTGGTGCGTTACCTTGATGTAAATGTTAATGCACAATTGTACAGATGTTAATCATCGGATAGTTTGTAAAAGTAAACTCTTTTGATATTAACTGTGTCTGTTTAACGTGATGATATAATATGATGATAACCGCAAGTAATGCTATGCAGTCGACATGTGCGACATTACGCGATAAATTTGCATAATCTCCGGACACATTCTTGCCTCAAAATCTCTTCACAGCTGAGCTCTACTGCGTGTACCGAAGTAAACAGAATTTGTTGGTTTTTTAGCTGTTAAACTCCTAACCCTTACACAACTACTAAGTACTAACCCTATAAATTTGTAGATGTGAGCTCAGTTGTAACCGGTAATACTGATAATTATGTCCAGCTCAGTGTTCCCCCCCCCGACTGGCCCGATTTCCGGCAAACCAACCTGCGACAACCCGCCGCTGTATTTTCGGTTCTAGTCCCCCTCGAATGGCAAGATGGCGACATACAAGGGTGGGAAAGGTTTGTTTTGAGAAATATTTTGTTTTTTTCTTCCAATGACAACTTCAAAATGAAACAAGATTTTGTTATTTTAATAGGCCAGAGAGGTGGGGACTATAGGAAGCGTGAACCGTGGATTGGTCAAAGGTATTTCAAGAGCTTCAACCTACTTTTACTTTTACAAAGTTTGTGACTCATCCTATCAGATCTGTATATTTTCTCGTTTTCAATTCATCGACCGTTCTCGTAATTATCAAATACAGATTTACCTTTTTTATGAAACGAGCTAAACCTCGGTGCAAACTACCAGGAAAGGCTTAAAATCTTGTTCGTTTTGGCTGTGATTTATCGGATATTTTCGTACAAAATCGTCAGCAAAACGTACAAATTACGTACATTCATTCAAAATTCATTTGGAAATCAACAAGTTGAAACCTTGCAGCCGCTCCCATGCCTCGGGAGTTACGTGGAAACATCGAATTTTTGCTTTTTATGTATTTATATCCACTCTATACAGGCATACAGGAAGCATGTGTGTATTAGAATGGTTGAATAGTTAGAAATATTTTTAACTTGGAAAGCTTGTTGTAACATGCTACATCTTGCTCAGGGAATATGGCAAGTCAGGAAGCTCTAGTCCTGTCCAAAGACGAAGCAACTCACCCAGGCATTTTCGGCCGGATCATAAAGATCACAGAGATGCAAGCAAGATGTGTGCCCATTACTTGAACAAAGGTGAGCTGCTGCTGGCTGATAGCCAGAATTTTGATGAGCTTCTATGTGAGCAGATGTTGGGATATCATTAACAATGCAATGTTTTCTTTGTCATATTAGCTTGGAGAGAAGTGGAACAAGATTTGAAAAAAGGTATTTGGATTCTCATATGTCTTGAGCCAATAATACCAGCTTCTTTTAATCTTACAATCAACTTCAATCTTTTACAGATCAAAATATCACTGGCACTGTCGAATATGTTGCAAAAACCCCCACAGATATAAAAGGTATTGTTTCATAAACTTTTGTATGCAGAATGCAAAGTCATGTAAGGCAGAATTATTTTAAAATCATCATGGTCGTTCCTATGTGTAAACAAATATTTCTGTTGGTAGATGAAGAACTATGCAAAGTTCATTTTGAACCCAAAAACAGAGAAGAGAAACCAGCCTCCCCTGACTAGCTGGCAAAACATTTCCCATTTCAAAAACCCAGAAAAACAAAACCGTAGCCCAGTGCTATTGCACAAACATGATCAATGGATTATCTGCGACTTTTTTAACAAGACAGTAATGCATTGAGACAGATGTTTTCAAAAGGAATGGTGGATAGCCTCCTTCAAAAGGTCCACATCATCACAGATATTAATATAGAGGTTCTGGATAGTGCTTTCCACTGGAATGTTTTTTTGGGGGGAGTTGTTTAATAATTTTCTAATTTGTTGGGTTAATGTTTGCAGTTGTATTGTTTATTTAAACATTAATCATAATCTGGTGAGTAGCACTATCCAGCCTCCTCCCTACAACCAGTCCTTGTTTCACTCGTCTCATCGTGAAGGAACAGATTTTAAAACCTTCAATATTATCATTGGTAATTTTTTGTATGTCAGTCAGTCAGTCATAATGAGAATTAGGTCAGTTAACTTTGCCATTTCAATGCACCAAATCCTCCAGCGATTTCAAAAAAGTTTAAAAAAAGACAAGCAAAGCTTAAGTGGATGTTTAATAATATTATTTGCATAATATAAGGACAATAGTGTAAATTTAGTATTTGTAACATTTCATATTGTTTCATAGAGGATAGAATATTGATCTTATAACACATTCGATATAGCAACTTTACCTATCAGGAGCAAGCCAGGAAACCTGTGAAGACATAGTTGAAAAGAATAATTCTGTGACTAAGGCTTCAGTTTCTACACCTGTGATGTTTTTCCTTTGTTCCAGGGTCTTCAGAAGATTTCTGGGTTTGTTCTTTATAGGTATAGTTGCCATATACAGTGTATTATGACATCAGTGGAGTAGAAAAATAGTTTCTTACTATTAAAGTGCAGGTCACTTTTATAGTTTTTGTTACTTGTTATTAAAGAAAAAAATGTGGTATTTAACTTTGTGCAACTTTATTTGCTTCATTGGTAAAGGTACAACCATTTTCACACAAAAAGGTAGGTAAAGTGATTGCAGTGGATATGACTAATCATATCTATATTAAACTAGGCCATTTACTTGATTTACAACAATGCAAACAAACTGGCAGCAGTCGAAACAGTATGTGCGCTCTAGTCTTAAACAAAGGTCAATGTGACCTCGGGTTCGAGTATGATCAATACTGTACAACCTTTGGTAAGTGTTAGGCATCATTTCCATGGCAATGTTTGATCCATATAAACGTACCATTTCCTATAATACTTTTATTTATATTCACACAACTAAGATGACACATGTACCATTATATCATAATCTCCTATATCATGATAACATAAAATCATATACCTAATATACACAATATCAATATTCCGTCACCACCCATTCATTCTCGCTCACAAAAGTGTCAACAACTTCTTTCATAGCTAAGTTCGGTATAAGCTGTTCTTGTTTCAGTTCTGTCCTTGTAACTGGGTCAAAATGACCGACTCTCTAGAAATTGAGAAGAAATCTCAAATCAGCCTTGCAGAATTCTCATGCATAATGTTGAAGTATAGGTTCATTTTTACAAGCTGTTTGTGCTTTCTAACCTGTAGATGTTCTTCGATATCCTTGCGATCATATCTGGAATTAGACGTTAAGGAAACCTATTTCATCTTTAAAAAAGTACAAAAACTTTGCCAAGACAATTTGCAGGGACTTTTGCTAAACAGTTATTTAGGTCAAGAGTTATAATTACAGTTTTCTATAAGCTTCATGTGTACGAAGTAATTTGGTTAAGCTAAAAATTAGGTAAATAAATGAGCAAGAAAGGATACGTTATTCCACTTGGAGTAATAACAGGATCTTTCATGATTTCAAAACTAATTTTTCCACATAAATAATCTGGGACTTCACGCTGCTGAAATGCAAACATCAAGCAATATAATCAACCAGTTTCTTGGTCATGTTTTGATCATCATTCTACCAACCTTCCTTCTTTCATCCACTGTTGAAAACAGTTCGTTAACCTCTGCAATATGTTTGTTCTACATCAAAGCAAGCAGAATAAGTCAGGAGTGAATGAAGGTGAACTTCCAAACAATAATAGCATGTTGAATATAATCTTTTGCAATGCTCACTCCTTCCTCTTCTATTTTTCGCGTCTCATTTATAATTTCGTCTTCGCACATCTCTCCAATTGCAGAGGCTCTTCTGTATAAAACAAAAATTATCCAGCTAGTAATTGCATTCAAAATAAAACAACGAGATTCATTTATCTACCTTGCCATATCGTCTTTAATTAAATGTGTGAGATATGTCTGTAGTTCAATTTCCTGTTGTATTTTTCTTGCTTCATTAATTTGAAATCTCTAAAGACATTAAATTGAGTTTATCTTGCAAGTTCACCTAATATATGCAGTTGCATTTTGAGGAAGAAATTGCAAAGATATTTATTGATGATTAAGGCAAGATTACCCTTTTCTGGGCCTGTCTGAGTGAGTATGAGATATCATCACCAAAATTACGTTTCTGGTCTTTGGATGCTTCCAGAGCTTTTTGTAAATATTTAATACTTTCGTCATACAAATGCTGTTCTAGTAGTGCCTGACCAAGGAAGTAATATCCTTTTACAATATTGCTGTCCAGTTCCAGAGCATGTCGGCAGTCATTGCAAGCCAAGTCCCACTTCTTCAATTTGAGGTAACACAGTGCTCGATTTGTGAACAATGTCGCCATATCTGGGCTTTTGAGCTTCAAATGGATGTTAATAATTTACTGATGCACAAAGCAAAAGTGGTAACGGCAATGTTATTCACCTATTGACTGGCAAAACAAAATAATCTGACATTCGGATGCAGACTCAGTAATATGCAGTAATATGCACCTGTTTGATTTTATATCTCTGCAGTTCTTATCGCAGCAAGCGCATCGATCATTCGTAAAGTTCAGCAAATGAACATCATATTAAGTCATTTACAACAGAATATCAATAAATTAAACTCGTAGTTTAAATATAAACAAACGTGGAAATATTTTCGTGTGCAAATCTCAAGTACTCACAATGGCTTTGCTGTAACAGTCAATAGCTGATTCGTACTGCTTTTTACTAAAATGAGCATTGCCACGATCTTTGATTTCAATAGCAGTCATTTCTTTAAAATCTTTCATGATATTTCAAGTACAAAACGGTGAAAAATCATTTTGCTTCTAGATCTTTCATATTTCATTATTTTCAATATTTTGGAAATTTGATGCCGCGCACAGCAGAAGCTTGGGCACTAGTATGTGATGACGTCAAATTTAAATGTCTTCAAAGGCGGCGTAAGTCCATAAAGTTGCAATTATCAAATAAAAAGAATTCAGAATCGTAAGTTTGTTACTTTCACTTTATTTATTGCTTTAGCTTTTCTGTTGATAGACAAACAAGATAAAATCCTAAAATTTGACAATTTACTTCAAACATTCGAGTTACAATCACATTAAATATTCCAAGAATCACAGAGACCTCGTATTGAGGCCTGGGCTTTTCTAAAAGCTAGTAATATCGTCCGCTTTCATAGGTCTATCACAGTATGGAATTTTCGCTTTTTTTGATCAACCAAATTTCATTGTGACGATGAAGAGGCTCGAAGGGGCTGTCATAACCAGCAAAGAAATACTCATTTGTAGCATATGTGTCACCAAGCCCTGCTTTTTCTAAGGCCTTTACCAATCGTGCTGTGTTTTCTTGCATTAAAGTTGTATTACTATAACCCGAGTACGTTGTCACATATTGGCAGTGTTTGGGAAAGGTGGTAATGTACACCTCACCCGTGGGCTCAGGTGGTCCCGACTGGTACTTAAAAGGTACAAAGAAATTCTCAGTAAAGTTGGATGCGCAGAAAGGTCCCGGGCCAGCTTTGATCGCAACGGCCACTGGAGCTGTCATTTCGATTTTCACCTTGGGTTTATTTGCGCCGGAGATGTAGGCAAATAGACGTTCGAAGCCAGTTCTGACTGCCGCGTCGTAGTCAACACCTAGGTAAAGAAAAGTTAATTGAAGGAGAGAGGATCAATTTTTGCTAAGGTTTCGCGATGAATGAAATTTTCACAATCTGGTATATTTTTGAAGCCCTCACGATCTTCTATGCTGTGTGACTGCTAATCAGTAACTGAACTGCCAGACGACACTGCTTGATCAACTCGTTGAGAGGCTTTGCGTCAGAGGAACATGCACCAAGCGCAGATCTTCTATGCTGTATGACTGCTAATCAGTAACTGAACGTATCAAGCGAATTACGAACGTAGTTCAAGTGTTAGCATTTGAAGTTTGTACTTAAGATTATTGGACTATGCTAGGAACAGCACCTGACATATCAGTGCTTGCCCATTTGTACTCTTGGTAGCATCTTTCTTCAAAATCATCCGTGTGCATGGCCACTGTATATTCTGGGCATTCGAGATCTCGGCAAAATGGCGGTTCTCCCATGATTGGAAGTGTCCGTATTTGCTGGATCACCAGAAAAACCATCGCACACGACAACAGAACTTTGTCAAACATCTTGAATGCGTAGTTTCAACAATCCTATAACAATAAAACAGAATCTCATGTACCAGACGACACTGCTTGATTGCTTGTATTTTTCTTGCAAACACAGCTGCATTTGCAAGCATACCAGCTCGGTATTGCGTAGAAAAGATTAAATAGTTACTTACTTGGCTTTCAATTGTACAATGCAAGATAGCATCAGCTTCCCCGCAGCTAACTGCTGTATTACGAAGGTTATCAAAACACATATCGCGAAAACACATATCGCGATCACGTGGAGATGTGACAAACGTAATCGTCTATCACCACTCACCAGGGATTTGATTACATAATATTTATCCACACTTGTTGCATAACCTATTGTTGGAATGCCTTTCTGACCCTTGTGGATATCACACTAGCGAGATTCAGATTTGGCTACCACTACCGCTACCTCTCGCTAATCTATTAAGCTCGTGATTGGTTAGTCTGATAGACCTATCGCATTTGGTTGATATTCCCTCAAAAGTTGTGGTAGTCGTAGTGGTAGTCAAATCTGAACCTCGCTACTCTATCAGGTCCAGAACGGTTGAAACGTCGCACTGTTTCACGAAAGAGTCCATATCTAATCAGGAAATACACATTCATCCTCCGCGCCTTTAAATAAATATATTTTAATCAGCAAATGGTGTTCAATTGAACTGCATGTTGATTCTTAGGGGCCCAATCGATTCATTTACAGTTTTGAATTCAATTTGAAAAAACTGGTTATTCTATTTATCTAGTAACTGGTTCTCTTTGAAAGGACGCAGTAAATTTTCTAGTTCGTTCTCGAAAACCAGTCGCAAATTTCACATGACATGCATGTTATTGCTAAGAAGAGATTTGCATGAATTTGCCGCGAGTTTTACTTTCAGAAACCAGTTTTTTGTCATCAAAGTAAAATCGAGTTTCACAATATTATATTTCGCAAGGTATGCAAATTTATCATGTTGCGACTGCGTGTCTCGTGCGCACTGCACGTGCATTTGCGCAATTCCCAGCTGCGGTGTGCCAGGAAAACGTGAGCGTGCTTATGAAACAGACTATAAATAAGGGAGGTTTTACTCGTCTCGCTCGACATCAGCAAGACTGTGAGAGACTTACAGTTAGACAGAGAGATCTGGTCGAGATTTAAGGAAAGGTGCGTACTTCAAGAAGAAAAGACTAAAAATCTGTTCTAGTATTCTTTAAGTTCAACGTGTTTTAATTTCTCCAGATTTAGCATTAACCCGTGCACAATGAAACAGTCCATTCTATTCGCGTTTCTTCTCGTCTTGGTTTTGGCGAATGCGTATCCCACCAACTCGGTAAACTCCTCTCGATCTTCTTCGAAATCGTGGTTCTGGAGCTTATCAAAAGTGGTTACTAGTTTGGGGAAGAAACTGTGGTATTGGGACGACAAATGCCATGACCTCGACTGCCCGAAATATGAGACAAAAAAGACCACCGATGATTATGAATTAAGATGTTACCCAAATTATTCGTGGGTTGGGACAGTTTATGAAGGTAACCAGTTTGATTTTTACAACACATAGTTGTAAAGTTGCGCATTCATGTACTTAACAACAGATTGTAATTTCATAAACATGACAAGTTTAAGAATATGATTTTATCAAGACTCTCAAGTCTAATATGCATGGCGATGTATGGCGTTATTAAAAGCATATTTCAATTCACGACCATTTGAAATATTTTGGTTTCTGATTTTAGGTAAAGAGCTCACGAGCGATGTGCGTAAAGATATGTTCATGCGACTCTTCCATTACATCCAAGGAGAAAATGTTGAAAAAGTTAAAATAGAAATGACCGTTCCTGTTGCGTCCAAAGTTGAAAGTATGAGTGATAAAACACGTTGGACAATGCTCTTCTTTGTACCATTCAAGTACCAAACATCTCCACCCCAGCCTACCGATCCACAAGTAGCCATTGTTCGCTTGCCCAAGATCTGCGTTTATGTGAAGTAAGTGAAGAACAGATATTGCATGCATGTTTCGGTGGTAAAAAGGAGTTTATGTTTCATTTGTCCAATCATTCGAGGGTCTCCTGTATAAGTTAGTTTAGGTTTCCTCCTTTAGTGACACTGGATCAATAAGAGATGATCCTTACTGGACCTCTAGGAAGAACAGTTTAGAACTGATAGAACTATCCAGTATAAATAAAGTTAGTTTAGTTTAGGTTTCCTCCTGTAGTAGCACTGGATCAATAATTCCTTACTGGAATATTAGGAAGGACAGTTTAATGAGTACAAGTAAAGTCAGTTAGTTTGGATTCATTCCGTTCTGACTTCTGTGCAGTAACACTTGATCCACTCTTACGGTTGTTCTTTCCTGCAAGTCCTGACCATCAGTCCAGTAGTGACATTGTGATTAACCAGCAGGATATTTTATATAGGAGCTTCAATTGGTACACTGATACAAAGAGAGTAGAAATGAAAGTTAAAGAGTTGGAAGAAGCCCTTAAAAAGGATAAGATCACAGACTATGTTGATCCTGACACAGCTTACATATATGGTGGTTACGATAACCCATGGACACTTCCATTTCTTCGTCACAACGAAGTCTGGATTTTGCAAAAATAAAGTGGTCAAAAACTGGAAACGATTACCTGCGATACGGAACATAAACCTTTTGCAAAAGGACGTTTGATTAATATATTGTTTATTAGAATATATAAATGTACGTATGATTTTAAATAAAAACTCGCTATGTTTGAAAACGTTGAGAAATGATGGATATTTTAAACCTGTTTGTGAATTCGTTGGCGCAATATTTGCTTGCACGCTCGTTATGCTGATTCATTGAATCCTTCTCAAATTCTCCAGGTGGAGAACGATCAGGCTATGCAGGTTCCAATGCTCGAGTCTGATTGGTCAATAATCGGTCAATAATATTTTGCGCTGTGCATGTGCGTCCCCTGGAAAAAAACAATCATGGCTGCAATTTCATGAGCGAGCAAAACAACAAATTATTTGAAAATGACAGAGGTCATCGATCGATATCTGAATCAGCTCAATAGCTGCTTGAAAACACTATCGTCAAGCAGAGGCAGAGAAGCTGCGGATATTTGCCGCGATTTACGACTTTATTGCATTGAGAATATAAACGAAACTCAACTGGGTAAGTTGGATGAAATGGTACTTGTCAATCAGGCTCGTTTTCCGTCCAATTGCAAAGCATCAAATACGAAAGGTCTTCTCTATGAACACGCTTTGTTTAGCATATTGCTCCTCGCTACTTTTCAATCAAGATGATGGCCTTATAACCTTTGTAAAAGCGGTTGTTCAACTTGACGAGGTATCAAATTTTGTTACAATCATTAAATGCCTGGAAATAAACTTGTTGCACTTTCTCCACGAAATGTTGCATTGCATGTAACCAACGTCTTTCTTCACCTCGTTCATTTCAAAGTTTGCCAAATGCAAAGAGGTCATCCTGTCCTTTCTTGCGGAATACATTGCAAAAGTTAAAACAAGGATTTCACCATATGCAACTGATATTAAGGTAAATTATGTACTTTACGTCTGTATAAAATAGTTTTTCAGACAGATTATTGTTGTGTATGATTGGAAATGATAACGATCTTGTCTCAGTTGTGTGATATCCCCCCATGCAGTTCTACCTCTGTTTTCAATTCCTTAGGATATATGTCTGAAGCTGTTCACCAAAGATAAAAATGCCAGGGTTAAAAATGAAACGTTTGAAGTGTTACTTCAAGTATGTGAAAAGACATTCATTTGTAGTCTTGATTTTCTATGTAAATATCCAGTTCCATCAAACATATCAATTATAGGTTTGCATTTGTTAGGGACATATATTGAGATGTTATGCTATCAAATATGTCATGCATACATAAGTATTTTCAAAAGTATCTTCTTTCTTCAACAGTTGTTTGAGTTGAAATTTGAACCCACAATTGTTGAGAAACTTGATGTTAAAAATATTGTTGAAAAGTATCCTTGATTTAGTTACATATTCCCTCCAAATATTTTATGCCACAATGTCTTCTTAAAAACTTAACAAGTAATCTATGCTAATACTTTGGACTGAAGTAATTGGAAGTTGCCTTGTAAAAACTTCTTAACAAGATCAACAAAGATATTTCTCAGCTTGCTCTCAGTCAACCAAGAAAAAGTCTTCAGGTAATGACCAATATCATGCATGGACAGCAATGACCTTCTCTCTTGTTTGGAGAATGGCATTTGTCACTCAGGGATGATACCATTGCATTACCATGTATCATTCTATCACTGTTCTTAGTGAGTTATGGCATATACTCATTACTCGGGACATTGGCCGAATATTTCCCTGAATATATGGTCGACAAGGCTGATAGACTTGTTCAAATTTATGTTGGGGTTCTTAAAGCGGAAGTAAGGAGTAGCTTTAAAGTATATTTATGATGTAATTTTATTGAAATTCAATTTTTATCACAAGGTCAGGCACTGCTTCTAAGGATTCTGTTTCATATCATTTTTTCATCTTTTTTTTCTCTCAGATGAGGAAATCAGGCAAACCTGACATGCCTGTTGTTGCAGGTTGTATCAGAGGTCTGGATTCCACTCTGGTCAATTTTACCCAATCTGTTAATGAAGGTGAAAATATTGAATGTTTTTCATTTGTTTTCTATGAAATAAAGTTATTCAAATGATTTGCAAATGCAGGCATCATTGCGTTGCCTCATTGTAGTATTTGTAGTAAAGAAGATTTTGACAAAATTTTAGGATATTTTCGAAAATGATGTATGTAGGTAATGTAGTACATGCAGTAAGAGATGCAGAGCTCAAATTATTATACAGGAGAACCAAATCATCTTTTGAGATGCAAAGCTTCTCCTTCTTGCCGTACCTTACAATTGTTAACATTTATATATCGTTAGAACATCACGTCAGTTAGCACTTTTGAGTAAATCATCGCGTTTTAACGTTGATCAAATACAAATAGAATGTAGTTGTTGATAGTTGCACGAAAGTTCTCAATACAAGGTCGGTCAAAATGACCGTCAAGGTAAATATATGAATTGGCTAGTCATTGACAGCTATTTTAAGCTTCGTGGGATATGTAAACGAAGAAATCAATCATTCTTTAAAGAGGTATGTTTTTTGTCATTCTTTTTTAGGATCCATATACGCGAAAAATATTTATTCCTTTTTGAGAAGTGCGATTGATTCAAAGGTAAGTTATCCTTTAAACTTCTGCAAATCTTGTTTACGTCCTTAGTGACTTCAAAATCTTCTTATAGATTAACTATGCAAGATACGATGTCCCTCGAGGTAATTTGACTGCAAACACATCTCTTTTATTATCCAAAACTCCAAAAAAGCATTTAAAATAGTTTCGCAGGGATCCCTAAAGATTTAACCGTTTAATCATTGAATTTATTTAGCGGGACTGAATTTTTTGGCCCGACATGCGTCTCAGTACAAGGAATATTTGACGAAAGATTATGAAGTGAGTGACCTTTTGGAATTTGAACGTCTGTTCACTTTGGTTGCACGGGTTTAAACTGAATTGATGGAAGACTTGTGAAAGACGATGAACTGATCAGTCATCGCGAAATGTTGAGGAATTTATTGTTTTTTCTAGTCTGTCTACAACACTTTATTCGATTGGTGTAAAAGAAAAAACAAGGAGTTAAGAGTGAAAGGTTTCGCGGCGTTGGAAGCATTCCTAAAGCAGGTAAGGTCGACGTTATTATGTTTTTGAATGTTTTTTGTATAATGCTATGATGAATTATGGTATTTTAAGGTTGCTGAATGCCTTGTCACCGAAGATTTCGAGACAACGGTTGAATGCGGAGATATTTTTAAGGTAAGATTTAACAAAAGGAACTTTATTATATCTCTCAGTCATGAATATTGGCTGTTGGGATTTATTAAATTCACTGTTTTACCCGGAGCTGGCGTTTTACTTACTTTATTGTGGCGTTCATTTTTTCATTTCTAGTATTTCATCAAAGAATTTCGACGAATCATTAATTCCAACGAGAGTTTAACTAGAGAAATTTCAATTGCCATCAGAGGTTATGGGTATTTTGCAAAGGTAAAAGAGTCAGAAGACGTCAATTTTGATTGATAGGTTCTGCCGTCTTGCACTGTTTGTTAATTTTGTCTCAACGTTTAAACTTTCAGCCGTGTAAGGTTTTTCTCAAAGATGAAGATATCAAATATATGTTTACATCAATCATTCAAATGAGCGAACAAATGTATTTCAAGTAAGCACAACTAAGCTAAAAAACCCTCATTTCTGGAAGTTTTGTACGATTTATAATAAAAAACATTTGTTTAAACTCGCGTTTATAAACACTTCTGTAGCGACAGCGAGTTAAAAGAGGAAAAGCTGCAAAATTTACCGAGTTTTCTTGAAGCGCTTGGGTTTATTGTTGAAGAAATAGATGAGGTACAATGATAATAATATTACTTTTATAATCCAGGAATGTTCATCTGTTTTGATTTTTAACTTGTTTCTATCAATCACTTTTCTCCTTAGATTCCTCCTGCATTTCTGTCGTTTTTGGAGCGACTTGTAGTCGTTTTGATCGAGAAATTTCCGGAACTAGGCAGAGGTCCACAGTTTATTTGCCTCAAAGCAATGTTGAAGTTATTCCTTGCATTGACGACGAGAGGTGCCTCGCTCAAGTCATTTCTGTCCGAAATAGGTAATCTTGCGTATTGTATAAATAGCCTCAGGTGTAGTCAGGGCCACCGAGAGGGGGGGGGGCAGGAGGTGGCATTTTGAAAGAACCTAAAATTAAAACACCTTAAAAAATTGTACCGTTTTCCGGCAAACTCGACCAGGGTCGAATAAGTCGTTTTTCCGGTGAACTCGACCATGGTCCGATTAGTCGTTTTCCGACTAATACGACCATGGTCGAATTAGTCGTTTTCCGGCGAATACGACGATGGTCGAATTAGTCGTTTTCCGGCGAACACGACCATGGTCGAATTAGTCGTTTTTCGGCGAACTCGACCATGGTCGAATTAGTCGTTTTTCGGCGAACTCGACCATGGTCGAATTAGTCGTTTTCCGGCGAACTCGACCATGGTCGAATGCGCCATTTAGCGCACAGTTTCTGTCGGCGGCCCTGGGTGTAACGACCATAATCTTTGTTGACTCGCGCCAGGTTTCTTCATGACAATTCCTTGAGTATTTTTACAAATTTCGATTTAGTCTATCAAGGTCTCATTCGGACATGCTCGCACCCAGTTCTTCTTGATGAGGTTGGTTTATTTCATTGTTTTTCATATCAGATCAATAGTAACGATCTTTGCAGGACAAGAACGGTTCCCAGTTCCCAATGACGGTTCCCAGCTCTGTGATCTTTCATCTCTTTCAACAAAACTCACCAAAAAACTACATCATTTTCCTTTACTGACGTTGTACTTCCGACAATTGTAGGGTGTTGATGCGATGGAAGGTGTTACTGAATTCGATGTTCGTCATATCTCGTACAAAGACTACCTGGAATTGTGGGAATGTTTCCTGGACGGTGGACAATACAAGGACCAAAGCATTATGCCGAAAGTGTCTTCCCTTACACAGGATATCCATCGCGCTATCTACGATGAACTTATTCAGGCGATCCTCAAGGTCGCTCATAAGCTAAATCTCTCATCATTTCGTGACGTGGAAACCCAAGACGAAGATTTGCAAACAGAGCAGCCGTCCTCACCAGATGCACCACTATTAACTACCTCAGGTGGTACCACAGATCCAATTTCTGGCATACAGCCTGAAGCACCCAAAGATTTCCAAATATTTATTAACCTGGTCGAGTTTTCCAGGTAGATTTTCCCAATTTTCACCCTAGAAAACATTTCACAATGGCCGCTTTCCAAGATCCGGTAGATGTATCTAAGTTCTACGTTTCATTGTTTAGGAAAATTCTTCTTAAGACCAAAACGAAATGGTTTGAGAATTGGATTTATACTTTTGGAAAAGAATTGGTCGTTTTATCTGCAAGGTTCTTACTCAATATTTTTTCCTTGTCATGTACTATTTTGCACAAAAATGAAGTTTGTTCTACAGCCAAATTCATTCTTTCATTCTTGTTTCATTTCATAAGGTTTCCCTTGGTGAGCGGCTTTTACAAATTGCTGGATATTGTTATGAAAATATCGCGCAAACTCGACTATTTTAAGGTGAATTTAATCGATTTTATACTACCGAAGTTATTTTTACGGATTTTTACTGCATTAAAGACCCATCATTTCTTTACTTCAGGGTATGACGTTGAAGGATGTTTCGACCGGCTGTGTTGACGATATGGAGACCGATCAACTGGATTTCTCTGACTGTCGAAATTGTTTTATATTGTTTCATAAATTTGCGATGGAGGTAGGCTACAGTCATTCACATTCTGGCCGTACTAGGAAGTTTCTCTTGTGATTAATAAATTCACTGTTGTTTTCGAAATATACCCAGGTTGTGGTAAGAATGAAACAGTATAAAGATGATTTGAAGTCCTCTTGCCTGCAGCTTGTCCTTTCTTTGCCAAACGAGTTGGTTTTATGTGATATTGACATTATTATTCCTACACTGAAGGTAAACAAATAAGATAGAGCCTTAGAGCTTCCTTGTAAGTGATTAATATTCAATTTTTGCTTGAAATTCCTAATTTAACCTTTTCTAGACGGCCTTCAAGCTCGGCCTAGGATTTCTGCCTCTGGCCGAGGCCGCCCTCGATGCTCTGGATACGTGGACAGCGGAGTTGCCATCGGAGATATTACATCCCTACCTACGAGAAGTTCTCCCACAGTTGGATGGTTACCTTAAAACTGCATCAGAACTAGGTTGGTCAACGATAGAGCTGCGTTTTCGGGGAGTAGTTTTAAGTCAAACAAGCTATGAGTTGGGGGTTCATTTCGTAGCCCATAGCACGATATGTATGTAACTACGAAGCCTTTCGTTAATTCTGAGTGTTGTTTGTAGAGACTTCAAATGAAAAAGAGACGAAATTGAGGTCAAGAAAATCAGGAAAAACAAAAGCGTCCAAAAGTAGCAAGAGAAATCCAAATGAGGTATATTTCTGTTACCATTTCTGATCTACAAAAACTGATAGTGAAAACTTTAAAGCTTTGTTCATCCATCCATGCTTGTTCTATTCGTCTTTATCCTTTCAGGAAGAGAATAGCCCGCTGAACAAGGTTCGTCATCGAATACTGATTCTTCTCGGAACGTTGGGTGGCAAGTGTAACCTGGGGTTACTTGAGGGCGGTGAAGGATCTGTTGCATCAAGTGGGATAGCATGGGATACAAAACAACATTTATCGTTTGCTGTCCCATTTCAAGATATGAAACCAACTATTTTTCTTGGTACGTTCATCGTCTGCAGCAGAATAACCCATCCAAGAAACACACATTTAAAACCTTTTGAATGAAAACCTTTTTAAAATTTATAATTTTAGATCCATTTCTTCCAAGGGTCGTGGAGCTCGCCACTAGTTCAAGTGATCGACAGACAAAGGTACATATAAATATTTTTTTTTAAGATTGGATATTCTGATAACTTTCTTCTTTCTCGTCATTAATATTGAGTTTTTTTTTCAAAAGGTCGCTGCGTCTGAGGTTTTCCACTCGCTGGTTCTGTTCATGCTGGGCAAAAGCGTTCAAATTCCGGATGCGAGTAGCAAGGTATTGTTAAATTACCCAACTATCTTTTGAGGTAACCTATAACACTCCAGTGTTAATTCTTCCCTCTGCTTTAGAGTCCTTTGGAGAAACTATGGAAGCGTGTGTTTCCTGTTGTCTTACAACTCGCGTGTGACGTGGAACAAGTAAGTCAAAGGGGAACTTCCATGTTTAGTTAGATCTAATGTTTTTGGAAGAAAAGAAAAAATACGTTCATATATCTCTTGTTTCTCTTTCATAGGTTTCACAACAGTTGTTCAGGCCTCTTCTATTCCAGTTGATCCATTGGTTCACGAACAACAAGCAATATGAAAGTCCGGACACCATCATCCTTCTTGAGACGTTACTTGTGAGTTTCAACCTGATTGTGAGATTCAATCATAGACTGCCATTTAAATGCATGGCCATCCTTTTTTTCAAAATTTTAGGACGGGATTGTCCATCCAACAGACACTGCTTTACGTGATCTTAGTGCGTTGGCTCTGGAAGAATTTCTGCGCTGGTCAATCAAACAAGCAACGAAAAACCAACTGGAGAAAAGTCCAATCAACATTAAGTCTTTATTTAAAAGACTTTACAGTCTAGCAACACATCCTAGTGCGAACAAGCGACTCGGAGCAGCATTGGCGTTTAATAATATTTACAGAGTTTTTAGGTAAGTCTGTTTATATTGTATGTATGCCAGTGGCATAGTTTTTGTCAAGGTACAGTTACACAGAGCCGTAATACCTGTTCAAATTTGCACTTGTCAGATATGGGAACTCAGCGAAGATTTGGAAAATATACCTTCTGCAGTTTAAGTAGTTTTGTTTTATTTTTTATTAGGGAAGAATCGTCGCTGGTTGAGAATTTCACGATTGAGATTCTTGTGACATATCTTGAAAGCTTAGAAATGGCGCATGAAGATGAAATTTCGTTAGGTGAGAATGTTTTTTATGCATCTTGCATGCAAATGATGTTGTATTTTGTATAATGTAATTGAATTGTATATTGCATACGCTTTGTTTTAAGGAACTCAATCCCAATGTATTGAAGTGATAAGTCATCTTGAAAGAATCATTGTTTCCAAATCTTCAGTCTTGTTGAATGTGAACAAGAAAAGGAGAGTGCCTCGGTATGAATCGTTGATTAAGATTACCTCTAATCCTAAAATCTAACGCTAATCCTAGGGATTATATTCGTATTAAGTTATTGCCCTAATTTCCATGTTATATTCATCGAAATTTCAGAGGATTTTCTGCGGACACAACAACACTTCGTCACCTGATACCTTGGCTCGTGAGAAAGTGCGGATGTTCTCAGACTGAATGTCGTCATCAATGTATGAGACTTGTGTCTGTGTTGGCTCCATTGCTTCCTGGTATGTCCACTCTTTATAGCTTGAAATATCTCTTGATCAATAAGAGATAATCCTTACTGGACCACTTGAAAGAACAGTTTAGAACTGATAGAACTATCCAGTATAAATAAAGTTAGTTTAGTTTAGGTTTCCTCCTGTAGTAACACTGAATCAATAAGAGATGATCCTGACTGGATCTCTAGGAAGAACAGTTTAGAACTGATAGAGCTATCCAGTATAAATAAAGTTAGTTTAGTTTAGGTTTCTTCCTGTAGTAACACTGGATCAATTAGAGATGATCTTTATACTTGACCTCCAGGAAGAACAGCTTAGAACTGCAACTTAGATTGCTAACTGTTTTTGCAGAATGTTCCTCTGTTCAAACGTGGATGAAGAAGACTGTAGAATCAGATGGTGAAGATTATTTTATATTAAGGTAAAGAAATGATAATTTCCCTTGTCTGTGAGTTTCGTTTCGTACTCAAGAATGGCAATTCTCTAATAACAGGTTTGAATGTGGCTTTGCTGGTAAATCTGGTATCCAGAAACATCCCACATTATCATCTATCAACGAGACATTCTCCCTCACTACCACTAAGCATTGGTTTGACCTCGTTCTGGCTGCCCTGGATTCGTACATCTGGAGTTTTGGGCAACGTTTGCTTACACCAAGCTCAATATTTCAAGGTCTGAATTCACATTAACAACCTTTTGGTTTTAAAGTCAAAGATGACTTAACTTACTTGAACTTTCCCCTCAATTGCCGCTAAAGAAGTATAATTCAAGCCAGAATGAAAGCAGGGAATTTTGACATTTTAGGTAAAACAACAAGTGTATTGTGGAGGACACTTTTGTATTTCATCGAAAAGCTTTCCTTGAATGGCATTGAAAAAGCCTTTGAGTGTTTTCCAACGACATCGGATGGCGTTAATACTCATGCTTTCTCACCCAGTGAAATTCAAGAATATAACAGGTATGAATAATCGTCCCTATACAAGAGCTCTTTGGACCTCAAGGAAGAGCACTTTAGAACTGGCGGAGCTTCAGAGTTGTGCTATATAATGATTAAATGAAGTCTTGTTTTTATTTAGGGCAAAATGCACTGTTCTTGTGAGAATTATAGCGTTCATAACATTGCTTCTTCAAATGAATGCAAAAGAATACTTAGAGGTCTGAAACAATATCATTATCCTAATATTTTCTCAAATGATTTCACTCTAATTGTTTTTTTTTCTTCATGAATTAGATTGTCCCATCAGAATTGTGGACAGGAAAATTCTTTGAAGCTCTCTGTACGAGCGTACTTGAGCCTCAATCACTCGGCTTTAACGTTGCCGATCTTGAAGTTTTGGAAAAATTGCCAGAACAGGTAAGATAATTGTTTACGATATAAACATACGATCGCTAAGCTCCCATCATTGTTTGTTTGTCCTGGCCCGATATATGAAGATATTTTTATGCTTGTTTTAGACATTTGAACTTTGTAAATCACTGGCGAGCAAATTACCAAAACAATTTTTAATTCACTTGACTACAACTTTGATGTCAAAAATATCCTTAGGCGGGTAAGGTTTGTCAAAAGTCTTTATGAATGTTATCGATTATTATGCAGTCACATCAGTAATGCTTCAGTGATGTATCCTAAACACACACCTTTCAGGCGATGTAATCTATTTGAACTGCTGCCTTTGCCGTTGTCTGGAGAAGAATGTGATCAAATGGACCATACAAGATTACAGCTTCTTGTGAGAGGCTACCAGCAACTTCATCGAGCTGAGATTTTGCTCCCAGCTTTGGCAAAAGAGGTTTGGAATAAGAGCTGCCTCGTGAATGTCAATGTGAAGTTCTGGCTGTAAATATTTCGTGCAAATGACGGGCGTTTGTCTTTCAGGGAGAATGGAGTGCAGAAAAATGTTCAGAAGAGTTGTTGAAGTCCGTATTCCAAGGATTTATCGTGCAGGATTCTGATGTATTTCGAATTGTTAATCTAACACCAGCCTCACGGGAACTTGCAAAAAAATTACTGGATTTAGCTTTCGATTTAGGATTGAAGGTATTTAATCCAATCACGATTAAACGATAAAACTGTATTCTAAATTGACGTGACATTTGATGTAAGAGTTTTAAATTGTGAAAATGCGTAATTTTCTGCTGTGTTTAGATTGAAAGTGTACTTCATTGCATACTGAATAAGTCTTGCCTCGCCGATGCAAAAGGTGTTTTATATATTTTGAGTTTCCTCTTGTGAAGTGAAGTTGTAGTTTATATGTAGTCTGTTAATTTTTTTAGAAGATAAAAACATACCTTCATTCACCTTCAGAAAATACCCTTACTTTAATAAAACACATGCAGCTGATTTTTAACCTTACGTATATTCAACATAGGTTCTTCATCGACCGTTGGAATGGTTTTCTACCAGACGTTTCACAATACAATCGAGCATTTGCTCATCAAGAATTCGAGCGAACATTTGCCAAAGATATTGGAATATAACAGAGATGAAGCTCAATGGGCAAGTCTGTTACATCACCACACATGTGATACTTTCTTCTTGGATCGTGGCTGCCTTTTTTCTGAAAAGCATCGTGAGTAACAACACTAATTTTTTGATAAATTCTTAGGTATCCAGCACCGTTATCGCTTTGTTGGACAGCATGGTAAAAGACAAGGAACTGAGAAAGATGTAAGCGATTCAATAGTGATCTTTCGTAAGAATTCCGGGCTTCTACTGTAAAAGTAGACTTTCAATTTACGTTTTTTTCTGCGACCCAGGAATGGTCGAAAAATGACAACTGTGCTTCTAGAATCGTGGGAAAGACTGAGCCACTGGTGGGAGAATGGCGGTGAAGAGCTGAAGAGATCGACCGCCATTTTAATAAGGAATATATTGATTGTTGATCCCAAGGTAGGTTGTGTAGAAAATACATAAAAGTTTAAACCGCAGACACAGCTAATGTCGCTGGAAAACAAAAGAAAACAATCAATCTATGATGATGACTAAAGAAGTTCAATTTAACTTATATTAGCGACGATACATCTAAGTTTGTGTTCTTTTATAGTGTTTATCCGAAGTAAAATCTTCCAGGGGTATGTTCAAAACTTACAATGGCTTACTGAAAGATAAAACAATTACATTAACCGTCAAGGTATCATAAATGATCTACCTGCTGATATTCTGTTTTTTCAATGTTTTTGCAAAACTTTCAGCTAGTATTCAACGATTTTTTTTGTGATATTTAGATCCAATGTTTGGAGTTGTTACCTTGTTTTACAAGTGCAACAATACCTTCCGAACAAACTGAAGCTTTGAGGTAAATTGTCCAACTGACAGCACTGAATTCATTGTCTTTCTTAATGCTCCTTTCGTCCATTAATTCTTAGGTCTGCCTTGAAAACCCTTATCGCCGATAACTTTCCCTTGTCCTCAAAAGAGTTTAATGAAAACAATCCTAAATACAGCGATTATATCGCAGCTCTGGATAAGGTAAAGCCTTTCAATTGAACCTTTTGGAATCTAAAACATGCAGTTTTAAAAAAATAAGAATTCCAAGTCGAAACTGTGGAGAACCTAATAAAATGTTGTTTGTGAATGAAACTTAAAACTTCTTTTAGATCTTGTCCGCTCTCGTCATCTCTGGAAGTTTAATGCTGTTTGACTTGCTCATTTCTATCGTTTGTCGTGAGGAAAGTCACAGTCATGAGGAAGAAATACAAATTCAGTTTGCAAAGTTTATTAAACGGTATGAAGCCGCCAGTATTGTGTGTTTCCATTGCATGTGTTATTCAGATTTCACGTCATGTGCCTGGATTGACGTTTTGAACCATTTTCTGTTAGACTTAAGCTCCAACAAGCAAGAAAAGCTCTGGATATTTGTTTCGATGTGTTTACTAAAAAAGACACAGAATACCGCAATCTCACTCGTCGTGCTGCCATTGATAAAGTTTGTCTTGTTTTGCTACGAGCTTCGTCAACCTCTGTCTTCCGAGAGTTTTATGTCGATCATATTAAAAACATCATGGAAATTATTGAAACGAGATTTTCAAAGGTATTTTTTTTATTTCATGTGCTATCCCACCATGTTTGAGATATGATTTTGTAGTATGTTTGTAGTGAAATATATGCTGCATGTAAACGTACGTTTTTATATCCCCTTCAAGGCGACAGATAGTGTATTTGAAAGTCAACTTGTGTCGAAGTTGTGCTGTTTTAAACTTCTTGCTTTGCTCTACGCAAGACTGGAAAAAACAGACGTGAGTAGCATGGAATCCAGAATCAACAGAGCTTACAACAACGACGTGAAAACTGGGAAGGAACTCACTATGGCTATTACGAAGTATATATGATGATTATTCAGAATATTTTGTTAAAACGTTTAGAACTGATACAGTTATTTATGCGGCACAAGAGTTAGCTTACTTTATAGGTGATGATCCTTACTGCATGGACCTCTAGCCTCTAGGAAGAACAGTTTAGAACTGATAGAGCTATCCAGTATAAATAAAGTTGGTTTAGTTTAGGTTTCCTGCTGTAATAACACTGGATCAATGAGAGATGATTCTTACTGGACCTCTAGGAAGAACAGTTTAGAACTGATTGAGCTATCCAGTATAAATAAAGTTAGTTTAGTTTAGTTTTCCTCCTGTAGTAACACTGGATCAATAAGAGATGATCCTTACTGAACCTCTAGGAAGAATAGTTTAGAACTGATAGAGTTATCCAGTATAAATAAATTTTGTTATTACACAATAATATTTTGACTACTTCAATATTTTTTTTCGATTTAGGGCAGCTCATGCAGCTAAGAGCGAGAACATGCAAGGGGAGACAGTTCTTCTTCCACTCCGTCGCGAGTATCACTGTTCAGCGTACAATGCTCTCATATCAGTCATATCTCGCACACAAACACTGCTAAAGTTCTACAACGGCTTTCTGTTCAGCGAAGATTTGTCCAAGGTGCTTTTAAACACAAATATAACGAAGACATACAAAAGGTTTTAAGTTTTGGTTAATATTTTATGATTAAATCAACTAACTCCTTTCTTAACAGGGGCAGTTTCTGTTGGACAATCTTGTCGACTGTACGAAAAAATTACATTTCGAGATGGAACTCTCAGCACCACTTGATAAACGAACTCTGTTGACTTCAATCAGATGCGAAGCCAGAGCTACTAGAATGAATTCAAGTGAAAACTATGAACATGGTACGAGGATATAAAATGGCTGGCTTGAGTATCTGCTCTTGTGGGCTTGAGCTGTTTATCTCTGTTCAAATTTTGGATGATCATTTCTGTATCTTGAGAAGGGATATTTTTGTAAACACTCTCGTTTCTTTTCTAGTTAATCTTTTCTTTGTCAATTCTTTTCTTCGTTAGGTGTCTCCTTGCGTTATCTCTCGTCCCAGTATCTTGCTGACAGCAGTTTATGCGAGGAAGTGAGCCAGTTTGATTTCTCAACACCCATTCAAGCTTTATCTCAGAGCGAATCCACAGAACAGGATATCGCTGGTGGAGAGAACTCAGGAACGCCTGCTTCACCCAAAGTATGCGATCCATTTTAAGCCGATTCGTTTTGCCAAGGAATCAATTCGTGTCTAAACATATTTAATACTGACGTTTTTGCATCAGGAAAGTGATTCGGACATTTCATCAGAAGAACTGGAAATGGATGAACTTAACAGGCATGACTGCATGACAACATTGGTTGGTCTGATTAATCATTTAGTAAAGAACAAGATTTCCCCACAGCCAGAACAGGTGAGCATCAATAATTTCTTCCGAGGATTGCTTCATTGTTTTCAGGAAACTCGGACGATTGACTGTAAAGATGGCGACCTTTTATTTTATATTCCAGGGCAAAGAAGCGAACGAAATGCCGCCTTGGATGTCATATTTGCACAAGAAACTGTCGCATCACTCTAGTGAACTCAATGTCAGATTGTTCATCGCAAAATTGATCACAAACCTGCCCGAAGTATGTTGAAATCGTTTTCATTTGTGGTGTTTTCGGATCTTTCATCCGCTGTGCGATGATTTGAATACAAAGCTGACATTTTCTCTTCATTCTCTTAAAGGTATTTGAACCTTACGCAAAGTTTTGGCTGGACTCGTTGATGGAACTCATCCTTCTTCCCACTTTCAAAAATTCAGAGCTCAACTATTTTGTCATCGATATTGTGGTCACAATGTTATCCTGGTCATCGGTGACTATTCCTGAGGTACTTCATATCGTACCGTTTTGGGTTACATGAAATTCCTGAAGAAGTTAGAATTGTGATTTAGAAATACATGATTATTGTTGAATTGTTTTTTGTTTCGTTAGGATTCGTATTCTAGTCGACGTTTGACGAGTCGCCTTTTGGAGTATCTAATGGAGACGTGCAATCATCCCACTCGAAGTATCTTCAAGAATAATTTGGAGGTTATTAAGACGTTCGTTGAGGTTTGGAAAGAAAGAATTGACGTACCTTACAAGTAAGAGTCTATTTACATTACCTTGCTGTCCACTAACCACCCTGTTGTACTGTACATAGCTTTTTTCTGCTCCTTTTTAGACTTATATACGAAAGGTTTTCTAATGCCAGCGTAAATACAAAAGAGAATTCAGTTGGTATTCAACTGATGGGAGTTATCGTAGCTAATAAAATCACACCTTTTAAACCTGGATGTGGCGTTGATGAAAAAAGGTAGCTAAACATTTTTGTAGGTAGCTCTACCGTTTATGAACTGATAATTCTTCCTAGAGTTCCAGTAAGGATCATCTCTTATTGATCCAGTGTTACTACAGGAGGAAACCTAAACTAAACTAACTTTATTTATACTGGATAGCCCTATCAGTTCTAAACTGTTCTTTTAGTGGTCCAGTAAGGATCATCTCTTATTCATCCAGTGTTACTACAGGAGGAAACCTAAACTAAACTAACTTTATTTATACTGGATAGCTCTATCAGTTCTAAACTGTTCTTTCTGGAGGTTCCCTTTGACGAATGTCAAAATATCTATTCACTAACCAACTGGATTCTTTTAAGGTTCTATCAGGACTTGGTAAAAAATCTCAGTTTCAAATACAAAGACGTCCACGGGGCAGCAGCGGAGGTTATCGGAATGATTTTGAAGTATTTGTCTGAAGAAAATGACAAGGTAAATTGTGCCAATCTTACGACTCACACAAAGAATCTATTTGTGTATGTATGCAATGGTTACATATGTTTACGAGTTAAATTTGTAGTAATGGTTTATTTGGACTGCTGGTAATCGCTGCTCATCATTTTCCAGGAATCCTGCGATGGTCTAAGTGGTTTGCTCAATGAAAAACTGTCCTCGATGACTAAAGATCTGGATAAGTTTATACTCTGTGTTCACCAGCTACAAATTCATTTTCCACCGATTGTTGACGGGTGAGACTTAAACGCTTCATCATTGTACAACACAACATTTGAAATTAATGTTTTGTATCGGATATCATCCATTGAGTTCAAATACACATCAATTTTCTTGTAGGTTTATAAATCAAATACTCTTCGTTTTTCAACACGTCCACGCACAGTTCAAGACACTTTGCCTTGAGATTATTCTTTCAAGAGTAGGCGTCATACCCAACCTCTTTTTGGAACTCAAAACTAAAGGATTTCTGAATACATTGACCCACAGGTGCTGAACTGACTTTATTTACACTGGATGTAGCTCCGCGACGCTATCAGTTCGAAACGTATTTCACATATAGCTAGTATTGTTTCCGAGACATTTATTTTTCAATTTCAGAGATGAGGCGACGCAAGTTGCTTGTTTACGAATCATTCTTGGTCGTCTGAGTCAGATGAGTGTTGGCGACATACAAACATTGTTGCCGTCTGTCACAGATTTCTTGTCAAGTAAAAGCGTAGCTTGCCGTGGTTTGATGTTTGACATCCTTATTTGGATATACGATACCTACAGGTAATATTTCCATGCACGATAAACCATTATAACCTTTATCTTATTCTCTTGAGTGTTAACTAATGATATGGCTATGACGTCTTCTGCTGATTCCAGATTTGACGAGACGTTTAAGAACGAGGACTCTGAAGGCTCTGAAGATGTTTTATGTAGGACAAAAAACGTCTTACTTCAAGGTCTGGCTGATGAAAACAAAGAAATGAGGTAATTTTGTGTTTGATTTGCCCTTTTTATGTGTTTCCTTCAAACGAAATTATTTCAATGTTTATTCTCTATTTCTAGTCATATTTTAGATGATTGCTTAGGAGTTAAAAGTTGTTTTTCTTTTTATAAACTGAATATATATATAATCCTACTATATATAATATATATCCTTCAGGTTGAAGTTGAGAAATTTCTGGAGTGACGAGACACGGTTGCCCAACTCGACTTTGGAAAGACTAGTTCAAGTCCTGCGCGCCATGTATTCACCAATTACAGAGTCTGAGGTGCGACAGCAAAACGTTAGGAACCAGGCTGTTGTAGTTTGGCTTTTTTGAACTAACATTAGTTTTTTTATACAACAAAAACACAGGAGACCGCAATATAGTACTAGAAACTATTTCCTTATAGACCTTTATGATACGATTGTAAAAAATGTGAAAACTAATTGTGAAAATATTGATTTAATATTTGTTGACTTTATCTTTGTCCAGTATTTAAGCTACACAACAAATCTTCTTCTTCATTTGACGTCGCAAAGTCCAGATTTTGGCCGCTTAATCTTCGAGCAACCGCTTTCAGAATGCAAATTTCAGGTACGACTTTTGAACCTAATGATTCCGTATCATCAATATAGCTGACGAGAGATCTGTCGACTGTGGAACCAAACAGTTTCATTCACAGTCTTTTCCATTCTAGGATTATGAAATCAACTTCGCCTGGCAACAGAGAAACTCGACCATGACTCCGTTGTTCGTCTCAACTTTGATGCCCTCCGGGTCCTCGCAATCTTCATTTGGTAGTCACTCCATGGATATCACAGACGGCGGGCAGTTGCGGGCTACGCAGAACCCACAGTTCAGTATGACACAGACCGCTGGTGCAACTGGACCAACCGCGCAGACGTATGATTGGTTGAATCCAAGTAGCCTTGTGAGTGTAACTAACTATGATATGTCATAATATGTTATGAAACTGATGAACTATATCCAGTATAGTTAGGTTTCCTCATGTAGGAACATTGAATCAATAAGAGACGATCTCTACTGGACCTTTAAAAGGATAATTTAGAACTGATAGAGCTTATCTTTTCGTCTTGAACAGGATACCTCCCAATCTTCTTCAGCATCGTTTTCAGTCGGGAGTCAACCATCCAGTTTGTTGTTCAAATCAAACCCGAACATGCGGAGGTTTAAAACTCTCAGACCGCAGTCAGAACAACCATCAACGTCTTCAGCCGCCCAAAGCGATGACCCTTCAAACGAAAGTAAGCTTTGCTCGTGAAGGACACAATTTGAAATCACACAACTCGTTGTGTTGACTTGCTAAGCTTGTAGTTAGTCATCTGATGTTGCCGTTCAGTCGATGGAAACTTGTTTTCAGTAAAATGGCCAACGTGTTGCCGAGTGGGCCTCACGCTGTTTTTGCACAAGTTGTGACCACATTTTGTGTTTTCCCTATAAAGATTCCTCCCAGTTGCAAAACATTAGAAAATTGAAGAGAAGATTTGTGAAGGACCGGAAAGAAACCGATGTATATTTCGCGAAAAAAGAAATTGCCCGACAAAAATTACGAACGGTATGAAAATATCGCTGTTTCTGATCAGTAAATACCCCATTTTGTGGATAAAAATGTCCCCGTTTCTTGTCTTAATGCGAAAACAGAGACAGACAATGTTTTAGCGATTTTTCCTTGTTGCTAGGAATCAGTTCAAAGACAGAAAGTGGCGCGGGAAAACAAAGTAGTGATGTATCGTAAATACAGAGAAGGCGATCTCCCGGATATACAAATTAAACATTCAGATCTTATCACTCCTCTCCAGGCTCTTGCCCAGGTACGCCTCATATTCATGCAGTACTGCACCTTTCCCTATCACCCCCCCCCCAGTTTTTTCGTTATAAGCAGTTGACCAACGAACGTATAACTAGTTTAACATTCCGACTACTTTTCAGTGCGACAGTTACATCGCTAAGCAGTTGTTTTCAGGCATATTTCGAGGTATTTTCTCGCAAATTGACGAGAACGTGACAGACACTCAAGCAGACGAGATCTTCCGTGACATTCAGGACGCATTAAACAACATGATCACGTCATCCACACAATATTTCCCGCCTTTCATCTCCTGTATTCAGGTACGAATTGTCCCCAGATCTCAAGTAACCCTGGACTGCGTAGCATGACTGTTAACCTTATTTCTATTATTATTATTGCTCAGAACGTGTGTTATAACGAAGGAAAGTTATCTTTGGAGGCTGGAAAAGTGACTACAGCATCAATTGGAAGTTTACAACAGCCAACTGGTGTGTATTTGTTATACAGTTTACTGTATCTAGTCTAAGAATTCTCAACTGTTTTAAACTTAGGCTTAGCCTAACTGATCCAGTGTTACTACAGGAGGAAACCTAACCTAAACAAATGTTCATCAGATAAACTCGAGGTATTAATTCTGCCCAGGTATAATGCTGTTAGAAAAACAAATTTTACAAATGGCTGAAGATCCTGGAGAACGGCCAAGGAAGAGACAGAAAACTGGTGGCAATCCTTCTCCTGAGAGCACAGCAACATGGATCGAACTCTCAAAGTAAGATATCGTATTTTACTCACCTTAAATGAATCGGTTTTTGTCCTAATATCTTGCATATCTAGACTGTACAAGTCAGTGGAGGATTTTGATGTACTGCAAGGGATATTTAACAGCCATATTGGTACTCAGAGCATCACGAAAGACGCGCTCGAAGCTGAAGGAAGGGGAGATTATACGGAAGCATTGAAACTTTATTCCCAAGTAAGAAGTTTCTGTATGTTTTGAGATTTAGGTTAAGTTAAAAATTACGTCAACTGCAAGGTCCTTGAAGCCTACGGACGTTGGATTCCTGTACAGGAATCTAAACTATACAAAGACAAGCAGAGACAAAACTAATCTAGGTCTTTATTATCCCTTGTGATTGAAGAGTGATATTTATTTTTTCAGGCTACAAATTGCGATGAATGGCCAGCTGGTAGTTCTCCTCTACAGGCGGAAGAAGATTTTTGGGATGACTCAATTTTAGAAGTACGATACTGAGAATGATTTAGACTTGTTGTCGAAGAAAAGACTGCTTAAATAACCCTAAAACATTTAGCGTATTCAACGCTTACTTTTTGATCCTGTTTTCAGTGTTGCAGACGTTTAACGCTTTGGGACAAAATGGATCACAATTGCATAGTAAACTTCGATGAAGCAAATGGTGTGTTGGATCTAAATCAAATCTGGAGGGATGATTATTATAAGGTGCCATGAAGCTCTTTTTCACCCCCTCGAACGCTTACTATGACATTCTTAAACTTGTTTTTATTCTTAGGAGCATTACTTGCCTTTCCTACTTTGTTCAAAGACGAAGAAATTCTGTATCGGTGACCGCGATGAAGTGTTTTTCAATTTTATTTTTGATTCATTAAAAAACGAGGAGAGGAAAGTTTATCTTGAGGTAAGCAAGCATGATTTCAGCCAGGAACTTTTATTTAACCAGCATGCTTATTGCTGTGTTTATTTTTTGTGTTATTCAGAACAAATACAGCGATATTTTGGCGTTACTTTTTATACTTGACGAAGATTATGACAGGGCGAGATATTACACAAGCATTTGTTTACAAGCTTTTCTGGAGGTAATTACAGCGAGTGTTTTCGCCTTTTATAATTTGAAAGACTGTCCTCCATAGAGGTGCATTAACTCTTCTTGATGCTACTGGAAGAAACCTAAAGATTTTTCTATTAATTATAATTTAAGTGCTACACGAGTAAGCAAGTATTTCTGAATTTCCTTTCTTTTATTTGATGTTAAGGATTGGTCAGGTCTAGACTCCATAATGACATCAAGTCGTTCAGCTCATCTGCAGAGTCTTCAGGCCTTGACAGAAATGCAAGAGTTTCTCGATTTTATCAGCCACGAAGGTAGCATCTTTTATCTGCTTCACATGACCTGTTAAGTGCGTGGATTTGGATAAACACAACCCCAACCACGCGTACAGTTGAGAATGATGACATCGTTTACTTTTCAGATAACTTTTCAACGATATCATCAGTTAAGTCCTTGTTAAAGCGGTGGTCTTCTCGTGAACCCGACCCTAAACTTCATTCTGTTGGTGTTTGGGAAGATGTGATGACAAATAGGTACACTGCATGGATATATAGCTCTTTATTTACGTTTTCCTCCTAGAAAGGAACTTTGTATCATCTGCTAAGACCGGGTCAAGGAGCAAACAAAAGCTGCCATTTCTTTAATACTCTTCAGATCGGTTTTCCTCGACAAGATTTTGCTGAAGTTCGGTCAGTCTTCTCAACTGCATTCTAGGTAATTGGCATCATGCTGTACATTCATTGGTTTAAGTTTATTAAGCGATTCTGCAGGAAATTAAGTGATTAAACTTCCTGAACTTGTACGATGTCATTTTAGCGAAGACTCGATGGAGATTGATGGCTTGAACACAACTCAACTCGAAGAAATATTTTTGAGGGAACGAGTTTTGTTTAGTTTAAGACTTTCAGAAGTGGCGACCGGGCAGGTAAGCCTCCCTCTGATATCAACCTGATTCACATTTGAGATTGGCTGATGAAAATATGCTGTTTCTATGTTTTAAGGTCAATTTTCCAGTCGCCAAAAAACAATTGCAGAGTTCACTACATTTGATAAGAGATCGGCTGAAAAATGACAGTGAACTTGAAGTGCTTTGGACGCACTCGTACGGTGATTTGAATTGCAAGAAATGTCCCAACTTATTGCCATCAGAAGCAGTTGATACAGCAATCTCTGCTTTGGATCAGCTTGGTACGTACTTCTGTTAGTTCTTTGCGATGTTTCGTCAGTGTTTAAGACGAGATATCTTTGCGTTTCTGGCAGATAAAATAAAAGACAGTAAGGTTCTTCAAGAGAATGCTTCCACTGGTATCAGACATCATTTGTTGAAGAGCCGTAATCTCGACGCCATTACAAATGTTTTAAGCATTCCAGGTTCGTTCAGTACATATTCTTGTAGTATTTTGCATAAAACTACCTCTGTATGATTTTATTAGGGAATATTAGCAAGTTTAGGATGCATTAGGGCGTGCATGTTATCAAATCTAACGGCAGTATTACTTCAGGTCTGCGTCGTAGATTTAATGCCTCTGAAACTCGCTATTTTCACCATTATGAAAGATGAATTTCTTCACATTTGTCTGTCTTCCAATGCGGTAGGAACCTGGGATTCTCTGGAGAAAGAAGCCAAAGAAAAACTTCATGGATTGTGTTCTAGTAAAAATCCAGAACAGTTAGATAAGGTTAGGGAAAAATAGTAATGATTACATGATCATGATTGATTACCTCACCTACAGTTCTGTATATGTTTTATGTATATTGACGTTGTTCACCCGCCAGATCCTTGGTCATCTTACCACAAAATCGTTCACAACACTTCAACGGGCAATAAAAATCGCTCAAACCAACGAAAACAACCAGAAAAACGCTGAATCAGTGTAAGTTTCGACTTCAATGGTGAATTCATGCAAAACATTCGTTCCTTCGCAGTTGTTACGTTCTTGAGTATACAATACAATAAGAGGAATATTTTAAACTAATTCTAAATCATTCAGACGTTTTAATGACTTCTGTAGACGGAATTTGGTTACAAGTTCAATGACAATGGCGAACTTCTGTGACAGGCTGCTGAGGATGAAGGAAGAAGGTTGGTAGAGTTTGAAATTGAACCTTAACAATGCTTTATATCTTTTTGAGCTATTGTGATTACTATTTCAAAATTTCTTTCATTTCAGACAGTGAACAAACTCCAAGATTGGACATGAAGGTCAGGATTTTATTATGTTTTTATCTCTTGAAACCACCAACCATTACTCCAGGAGAGCATTTGATACTTGATGCATTTATACTGGAAGACTAGTCTCGCATTTGAATGCTGTGAAATCCTGATCAGACCATTGCATATTGGTGAAACCAAACCTAAGATTTGGGGATGGAAGACAACAGTGCCAAACTAACTTATCCTTTTGTAGTTGTTTCCGGGAATTGTGATACGATTTGTGCTCAAATCGATGGCGTTTGAGTCCGCCGAGGCTCGACAAAAATTTCCAAGACTTTTACAGCTTGTGGAGTTATACCCTGGTGGTGACATTGAAGCGTTTAAACGAAAGGTTGGTGTGAATATTTTTCATGGTTGGACCTCTAAGAAGAACAGTTAAGAACCGATAGAGAGAACCATCCAGTTTAAGTGAAGTTTTATTTTTCCTTAGAGCTCAGATGTTCCCTGCTGGATGTTCATTGGCTGGATCAGCCAGATGGTGGCCCTGCTTGATAAGAGGGAATCTCATGCTGTACAAGGGATATTGCAGGACCTCGCGAAACATTACCCTCAGGTAACAACAGGTTACGATGCACAGGATAGGGGTAAATGTCATCACACTAACTAATTCCATTTTTACCAGGCCCTTCTTTATCCATTGAAAATCAGCGCTGAACAGTTCAAGTTTGGTGGATCGATTGAAGAACAAAAAAATAAGAAATTCGTAGAAAGGTGAGATAACTAATAGTGTGAAAAAAAAACTTATTGTACGTGTCATGGTATCTGGAATTCTTTTCTGTTAAGCGAGGTTTGGTCGGGAAAAGATTGCTTGATACTTTCTGCTGATGTTTGAGTCAAATCATCAACTAACATCGCTGATTCATCTTCTTTTAGTTTGAATGAGAGTTTGTCTTTCCCCGCGTCGGATGACTTAATCCAAGCTCTGGAACAACTGACGAATCCCGAGATGGTGTTCAAGGTAAGTACTATATATTACTTCTGGATGGCTGTTTTACTCGCATCTCTGATCTACTGTTTTCTCTCTATTCCAGGACTGGATGGATGAAGTCAAAGTGCTGTTGTCTACGAAAGGCAACGCTGTCAAAATACGCGAATCCTACGGTGAGATGTCCAAGAAGCTTCTCAACGTCAAGAAGAGAGGAACAAATTCAGACGGTTTGGAATTTGGATCCATCAGAAGAAAGTTTGCTCAGGTAGGAAACAAATATTTCGTTTTCTTAAGCGACGGGATAGGTTGTTATCCTGACGGGGTTTTTTTCAGGAATTTTCAGGTAATGTGGTAAAGGTTTGTGGTGAAGATGGCTCAAAGATTATTGACATGTCCATTAAGGTTGGTGGTTGTGTCAAGCATGTAACACTGTTGACTGGTTCATCTCCACTTCGGATAAACGTTGTGATTGTCTATCTCGTTTAACAGGCGTTTGAAAGTGCAATGAAGACAACTAACGAAAAAATGAAAGCGAAAAAGTTTGTCGGAAATTTGAAGGATTATTCACCGTGGTTGGCGAACTTTCAAACACAGAGTGAAACGATTCAATTGGAAATACCTGGTAGGTTGAGGTTGCAATATGATCATTTTTAAAGTGGAAGCTAAGTATAGAAGTTTAACATGTAAACAAACCGACTTGACTTCCACTTTTCAGCCAGGATGTTGAGCTCTTGTTATTTGTCTTAGGTCAGTACTCGGGGCAATCAAAACCCTTGCCAGAATATCATGTTAAAGTAGCTGGATTTGGTGAGAAGGTCAGAAAACACAAACATTTCATTACTAAAGCAATTAGATAATGGTTGATAGCCAGGGGCGCCGGAATATGGATAATAACGGGGGCAGATATTCATATATTCGTGTTCTGCATTATTAACTCCTTTTGAAATCGATTGTTTTTACGGTCTGTGAACACGATTATATGAATATCTGCCCCCGTTATTATCGATATTCCGGCGACCCTGTTGATAGATGGTAGTTAGCTACAGTAAGTTAATGTGTGATTACCTCATTGAGCAATTGATTAACGTTACAATGTTTCTCGACTTGAAGGTGAAGGCAATGTCATCCTTGAGAGCGCCAAAACGTATTACAATACTGGGAAACGATGAACGGGAACACACGTTCCTCGTCAAAGGCGGCGAGGATCTCCGTCTGGATCAGCGAATTCAGCAGGTGAAAACAAGTTTAACATCTCGTTGATACATTCGATATAGTATTTATCAAACTTTGTATTTATATTTTACTTCAAAAATAGTAAAGTGGTAAGAATTTTTATTTAGTTGTTCGGTTTAATGAACGATGTCATGCGAGACGACGCCGCCTGTCACCAAAGAAACTTGAGTTTAAAAACTTACAAAGTCATACCAATGACGTCAAGGTAAGGTATTCTTAAAATAGTAAACATATCCTCATTTTAAAAACTTCCAGTCTATATTAATGACAATATTTCTCATTCCTGTGTATAGTTTACACTTCTTCGGCTTTTTCATCTGTTTAGAATTGGAGTGATCGAATGGTTAGAGAACACGACAGTTTTGAAGGAGTTTATTCGAAATGGTTTGTCGGAGACTGAGAATGAAACGTTTGAGTGAGTTGGAGCTGGTGTTTTGTTTTGGGTTGAAAGTTTATTGAAATGGTATAAATGCGTTACGAACGAAATGTGACGTCTGTGATCTCTCTCTCTCTCTCTTCCTTACATTTTTAGCACAATCGGTTACAAACACAATAAATGGATAGTAGAAAAGTTTCCAGTCAATGGCAACAAACACATCATAAATAATTATTACCCCATGTTCAAGTACGTTTTTCACTTATTGGTGCTTGTAACTTTCGTCTGTGACATTTGATTCCTGACCTGTGGCATTAAGACAATCTCTTAACCACACGAACCACAGATTTCCTCCAGTTGTTTATCCTTTTCATTCTAGGAAAGCTTCCAGAGAAGTTATTGAACGCAAATTCCGAGAATTGCAAAATTTAATGCCACACGATGCGCTCAGGTGGGTCCTAGAATAGAAATTAGAGAACGTGCAGTTATCAGCTGATGAAATCTGGATTACATTACCTCTTGTTTCTCGCAGACGTAGCTTCATGCGGCTGGCATCTTCACCAGAAGCTTTCTTGACACTTCGTGCATATTTTGCGCGCACTTACGGCTGTATGACGATATGTCATTATATTCTGGGAATTGGTGACCGACATTTGTCGAATTCGATGGTGGATTTGAAGCAGGGTCGAGTGATTGGCATCGATTTTGGTCATGCGTTCGGCTCAGCAACTCAGGTAGATGAAAATTATGGTTTAACCGTATCGCTACGAACATCGTTGCTTAAAGGCGGTGTTACACTATGCAACTTTCCTTGCAACTTGCAATGCAATTCTACTCCTGAGGCATCTAAAGTTGACAAATACGAACATTTCTCACAATCTGCTAACGTTTTCTTATCATTTCGAACACTCTTTACTAATTAACATCCCTCGAAATTATAATTGCATTGCAGGTTGCAAGGAAAATTGCATAGTGTAACAGCGCCTTAATACTTTCTTCAGCGTTACGTCTTTGCTAATGCATATCATTTCCAATCGACATTTAGTTTCTACCTCTGCCTGAGCTGATGCCGTTCCGTCTGACTCGTCAAATTTGTAACATGATGGAACCATTGCGTGTAAGCGGCCAACTGCAAAGCACCATGGTATACACGATGAGAGCATTGAGAAACAACCATGAAATCTTGCTAAACACAATGGACGTGTTTGTCAAGGAACCATCTCTTGACTGGCAGGTTGTTAACGAATGGTTTATTATTTACCAAAGTTCAATGTCACATAAACTTCGTCCATGCGGCAAGTGATATTTCTGCTCTGTTGAAACTGAGCAAGTCGTTTAATGAATCTTTTCAGAATTTTGCAAGAAAACAAGCCGAAAAACAGAAATTAAACCTCAGTAAGTCCTACAAATCTTCTCGATGTCACCAAAGATCATAAATTTCCATCACTTAACTCGTTTATTTGCTGTTTATTTAGACGATATGACAGACCTCGCCTGGTACCCAAAGGAGAAAATAAATTCGGCAAAACGAAAATTGAAAGGAGAGAATCCTGCAGAGATTATGAAGTAGGAGAACAGCTTTCTTTTATTTCAATTGATATGTACTTAGGAAATATTCAAACATTTTTAGCTCAACCGTTGCACAGAAACCGTTGCGAACCCTCTTTATTTGAAATGTCTTTGTTATTAGACAGGATCTGGAGTCTGGGCACAAGAAAGCCGGATATTATGAAGAAATGTTGTCAGTTTTGCTTGGCGACAAGCAGCATAACCAACGTGCCAGGCATTACGTCAACACGGTCGAGAATCAGGTTGCATGCCTTATCGATCAGGCGACGGATCCGAACATTTTAGGGAGGACTTATCATGGCTGGGAGCCCTGGGTATGAGAGCTATGAGTATAGTTTTTTAATGTAGACTACCGCTTACTGCTAGGAACGAGGATGAACAGTGAGTCTATAATTGGTTAATATTATAGTTAAAGACTGTGGAAACTCGTAACCAGGTTTATCCTAGTGAAACAAACTGAGAGTAATCACTTCCTACAAAATTCTAATCCACTCGTTCTGTTCTGGCAAGAAAATAATGACGTCAATCACGACATACAACATTGACTTCAACATTCACATTGAAAAAATACTAATGAATATTTGTATATAGTGACATGTATATTTGTTGTGTTCTTTGCATGAAATCATTCAATGCCCTTCTGTTCATTTGACTTATTTCAATGTGTGAATTGTATTTGACATTGTCCTTCTACAGTTTACGTTTCTGTGTGTTTAGTATCAGTAATATTTTCACTTATATCGTTTTGTTCGTACAGGGCTTCAGAGCTGCATATTTTCACGTTCCTCTGCTCTTCTGGCTCCGAATTATTCTTGTCATTCGTCATCTCAGAGTTATTCAATGTTTCCATTTCACTTGAAGTATCTTCCTTCATATTTATACTTTCATTCACATGCTGAGAGAAATCGTTCAACCCGTCATGATTTTGTTTGGTATTTGACGTGTCAACTTTCAGTTCTTCATTCCGAAATTCATCCTTCAAATTCACTTGTTCGTTCCCTTGTTGTTCCTCGGTGTTCAAGGTTTCACCGTCATGCTCACAATTGTCCACAGTCTCTTCTTCATTTGACATTTCATCCTCCGTGTTTCCATTTTCTTTTTGATTTGCGTCCGAAATCTCCATTACTTCATCATCACAATTCGTTTCTTCTCTTGTTTCTTGTGAGGTCTCTCTCTCGTCACTCTTGTCTTGACTCAGGGCGTCCGGTGCTCGGGTAAAACTCTTCCCTCGCCTGGGCGGGTTTGAATGTTTGCACGCGTTAGTCTCGTGACAAGTGCACTCAATGTCCGGTAGCGTCGCACTATCCCAGGCACCGGGCCCCGATAACAGTCCACGCAAGGTGCACGGTATTGCAGCTAGCTTTCTAAACTGATATAACAAGCTTCTAGCCCTTTTTAGCACAAGATCCCCGTCCATTTCAAGAGCCAAGTTGTTGAAATAGTTCAACATCTCATCAACTCGCATCGATTTCTCCCAAACCGTATCGCCATATTCCAAGATGATGGCAACACATAGGAAGATATGGAAGTACTCTGTTTGGTAATGACACCAGCATGCTTCCCACATGCGTAGCACATGAAGATCATAGAACTCTCGCTTGAAGCCAAGCAGCAGCCAGCGATGGCAGAACAACAGGTCCATGCCTTCATCCTCCAGCAGGAGATGGGCGTAGAACTTCACAGCCATCATACGCAGCAATTCTTTCAAGTAAAGCTAAAGAAATGAGAATGGTGGTGGTTATTCTGTGTAAGAGAGAGGTGTCTGTATTGAAGAGGTATCTATATTAGAGAGGTGGTCATATTAGAAAGGCAGTTGTATTAGAGATTTATTCATATTAATGAGATATGTCCACTAGTTTCCTACCAGCTGGAAATCCATGGAATCATCTCTTGGTGACGTTACAAACAAACTTCTCTCCATTAAACCAACAAAACACCAGAATGCATCAACCTCATCCTGGACTGTTGACAATATTGAGGCAAGCAGATCTGACATGCCTTGGTTGTACCCCACCTCTGGTTGGTAGAAGGCATAATTCAGGAGAATTTGTCTGACAAAGGAAATATCAGTGTTTGCATTAATGGGGAATTCATATCAAAGAGGTGTTGATATAGAAGAGGTCTTCTCTGGAGAAAAAGACAAGAATCTCACCTCATTATCTCAACATTTGGATTGTTGTTACCAGCGAAATAAGGATGAGATCGATCTGTCCTAACAACATCTTTATCCACGGTACACTGCACATTCAGCCAAAACTTGTCATACTCTGCCTTGGGCATGTTCAACCTGCCATGGATGAGCAATATTGTACAAATATATCATTTGACAAATATAAATTTGATATCATATAAATATTCACCTTCTCTCATTGATATCTGTGTACTCTTTTGTTTTGTTTTCTTTTATAGTCTTTCGGTCAGATGCTCTCGAATGGAATGGGTAGTAATGCAGGAGAAATGGCCAAACCTCACATCGGACTTCAGGAAATACTCCAGCAAAAAATACTTCCTATATTTGCAGAAGGTAAATGTTTTCGGATCAACTAATCATCCCAAACCAATTGGTTAACATAATTTTGTATTTGAATTTGGTGCATAGCAAGTTAATGGTTTGGACACACCAGCCAATAGTTATGTTTATATAAACCATGAACCTGTAGCACATTGTTGTGAGATCCTGATAACAGAAGAGCTCAAAGTAGGTTTTTTTCATATGATCATATGATTACTCTACACTACTATTATATAATCATTTTGCATTTTTGCGGTACATTAACTCAGCGAGCAATCGGGATATGGCTAGTTAATCAATAATTATCGATTAAAGTATCAATTAACATATCATCTTCCGCATTGTAACATTACGCCACGTAATCCAATATAATTTAAATTTCAACAAATATACCTTTCGAAAATTCGCCACATCTTCCAACTGACCAGCTTTGTTGAGGAACGTCTTCCAACGGGCTTTCGTCATCGAACGATAACGACTCTCCTCAAAACTTTGATTCGGCAAGATCGAATAAATTGGGACAACGGCAAACGCTGTTTTTCTCTCGCGTTCCTCGTAAGGCAGTTTCATCGTTTTGCATAAACTCCAATTTTCAAAAATTTCCACTAAATGATTCATACCTCCGAGGTCGAAATGAAAGACTTTGTAGTGGTTTTCATGATTTTCCACAACGAAATGACCGGATGTTTTATCGTCTTTAAAAAAGAATTTTAAGGATTTCATCTCCGTTAGATCGATGTGAAAGACACTTGGACTTGCATCATCGCTCAATAGATTTTCCGAAGACAACGGTGCGACTTGTTCGTCTGTAACGTAATTCTCTTGCAAAAGAGCATTCGATGTCCAGTGCAGTATTAATCTAGTATATTCGTCGTTTATTGTACAAGCTTTGAGTGTCAAATATCCAGGGATATTCTCGCCATTATAGTAAAGACACACGTTGTTCTTGCAAAAGATCGCCTCTCCTTGATCGTTCTCGTCAGAGTCTTTGTAAAATCGAGGAATATTTCGCTTTTTACTTCTTTGCTCCTCAGCAGACTTCATATTGCCGAGAATCAACAACATTAGCCGGCTTGTTTCCATAATTTGGGCTGTTTGTTTGCTTTAGAATAATAAAATATTTCCTATTTTGGAAAGGTATAAATGTTTTGCAATATTTTCTTTTCCCTTCGTTTTAGCTCTGGTGTTTACCACACGCGTGGGTGTCGCGTGCGTCCGAGGTTGCGCACATATTGGACGCAGCAAACGATAATCAGGAAATTCAAGACCCCTGGGGTCTGGGAACCCCTGGGGATGAGGTCCAATTTGTTCCTTGTCTCCCGGGCGTTTTTCGCCCCTTTGGATTCAGTGCTTTAGGTTAGTACCCAGCTTCAAATTCATGAAGCAAAGATATCTGGTTGACAGATTTGTGATGAATTGTTTTAAAAATCAAGTACAGGCATAAACATGCAACAAAGATATAACTGTTATATAATTTTTAGGTTCGTATGACCACACTATGAAGATGTGGGACAATTGTAACCCTGCTGGTGTCATGATCATTGATCACGGGCACCCTATTGAGTATATCCTGGTTCTTCCATCCGGTGGGCTGTGTTCCTCCGCAGGGTAACAAAAATATCAAGTGACCGTAGGTCAGTCTGGTCAGATAAATTAGGCAGAACGAGATTTCATCAGTCATTAGTATTTAGTAGAAATCAGCATTGGATTAAGTGATCAACTTTGATTAGGGATCAAAGTTAGATCCAGGAGCAGACTGGCTGACTGATGCGATATTTCGAACAATATTGCAGCACGTCTATCTTGTCAATGTCAAATATACCATATTCCGGTATATTCAACCTTATCAAGGTCACAGGTGAGCCAAGGTCGAATATACCAAATCGGTGAGTGATAATCGCGCGCGTGTTTCTCGCGAGTCTTTATGCGATGCTTCCACTGTGCCGTTTTTGCGCGGGAAATTTCAAACTTCATTTTTCATTGCATTCGCCTACTTTTGTTTTGCTACACTGAAACGTCGCATTTTGACCATTTTGATCCGGAAATCCCTTTATTTTGCGATGGAAGAAGAAACGACCAGCGCATTTAACGACACGTACATGAATCTGGACGAGTTTCACAGAGATTCAGCGGGATATTTTGATATGAAATCGCTGGTGCCCGAGATGACGAAATCAGAACCATGTTGTATGGGTATCGATGAGGCAGGGCGTGGTCCTGTGTTAGGTAAGGGGTGACCACTGTGTTGTGGGGTAGCTTTTATTAGTAAGCTCCTTAAGTAGTATCTCAGGCTGAGTTTGCTTCATTTTTCACTAGTGTATAACCATTGCCTTGTCATTGAGGATAAAAATTGTCTCACATCAGATGGAGAATAAATGGATTGATTTTAATAACAAGTCTCAATTGTAGGTCCAATGGTGTACAGTACCAGCTATTGTCCATTGTCTCAAGATCAGAAGTTAAAAGATTTGGGTTTTGCAGGTTGAATTATTGCATAAGATATATTAATATGTGTAACTGACTTTAAGTGAATCAATTATAAAAAAGTAGGTTATATGCGTGACTGTCATCTTTAGATTCCAAGACTTTAAATGAGGAAGAGAGGGAAGAGTTGTTTAAAGCAATCAATGAAAATAATAATTTTCTTGGCTGGATAACAAGAATACTTTCTCCAAACTATATTTCGAATGAAATGTTGAGAAGGTTTGTGAATGACATTTGACAGGGATCATGGATCTTCACCTTGTATCCATCAGACCACAAGATCACATCTATGAACAATTAAATCAAACTGATATTTCTTGTGTAGGACAAAATATAACCTGAATCAGATATCACACGACACTGCAATATGGTTGATCAAAAGTGTCATTGAAAATGGGGTTGATTTACAACAGGTGAGATTGAGAATAATTTCGTTTCAAATGTCCAGGTTACCCTCAAACTTGAAACACTCTTTGTATCAATCATAACTCATTTCTGTATTTCATAGGTATATGTGGATACAGTTGGTGATCCGAAAAAATATCAAAAAAAACTAGAACATGAGTTTCCACATCTTAAAATTACTGTGAAAGCTAAAGCTGATGCATTGTTTCCCATTGTGAGTGCTGCCAGTATTTGTGCCAAGGTAATTCAATATCAATAGTATTACGAAGTAGAATAAAGATGATTTGGTTTGAATTTCTTTGAGCATCAACTTTTAGTTTATATGTAATATATCTGAGGAAAATGACTTTCTTCATATCAGGTGGCACGGGATAGAGTCATTCAAACATGGAAATTCATTGAGAATATGAGTTTTCCAACTGAATATGGTTCTGGTTACCCAGCAGGTAATTTGTACTTTTTTCTTGTGGTTCATTTTTACCTTACCTGGTACCTGTTTTTTAAGTTCTTCTCACAAACAATTTCCTAGATCCAGCAACAAAGAAATGGCTGGCTACAATAGTTGACAGGATTTTTGGATTCCCACAATTTGTACGCTTCAGTTGGTCAACTTGTAAAGAAATACTGGATAAACAGTGTGCTCCTGTGGAATGGTAATGTCTGTTCATTTCATTCTCCTTATCAATTAATCCACTATTACTACAGAAGGAAACCTAAACTGAACTAACTTTATTTATACTGGATAGCTCTATCAGTTCTAAACTGTTCTTCCTAGAGGTCCAGTAAGGATCATCTCTTATTGATCCAGTGTTACTACAGGAGGAAACCTAAACTAAACTAACTTTATTTATACTGGATAGCTCTATCAGTTCTAAACTGTTCTTCCTAGAGGTCCAGTAAGGATCATCTCTTATTGATCCAGTGTTACTACAGGAGGAAACCTAAACTAAACTAACTTTATTTATACTGGATAGCTCTATCAGTTCTAAACTGTTCTTCCTAGAGGTCCAGTAAGGATCATCTCTTATTGATCCAGTGTTACTACAGGAGGAAACCTAAACAAAACTAACTTTATTTATACTGGATAGCTCTATCAGTTCTAAACTGTTCTTCCTAGAGGTCCAGTAAGGATCATCTCTTATTGATCCAGTGTTACTACAGGAGGAAACTTATACTAAACTAACTTTATTTATTCTCTGAAAGGGATGATGATAATGAAGAGGAGACAGCTAAGGATCTAAAGGGAACTGCAAGCATAACTTCATTCTTTGGAAAATCAAACAACAAGGCCGAAATAAAACCTCATCAATTCTTCCAGGAGAGATGTCTAGAACCTGTCACATTTTTTTAATGTTTTTGTACAGACAATAATGTAGAATAATGTGAATAAATAAATATAAATACAAGTGTTTTTGCACATGTAATTTGAACACAAAGTTTATTGTTTATGCTTAAACAGTTTAAACGCGTTCTTATATCTTAACTTCAGTCGCTTCTAGGTTATCGTACGCGACCATAATAATATTATCTCCTCTTATAAACAGTTGATTGATATGGCGGTTTTTCAACACAAGTGCCTTTCCACGAACTCGGTCAACTTTTAAAATACGAACAGTAACGACATTTCCTGGTAGTTTTGCTTGCTTTGTTTTCACAGCATTTATCTTTGTGTCCAATTTTGCGGTTTTTTGTTTTCGTTCTGGAGTGATTTCCCTTTTTCTTTTGCCCGAGAATCTCTCCGCATTTTCTTTGTGATCCTGCTTCGATGAATCGTTGAGTTTTGAGCTCGCAGACGGTGGTGATTCCTCAGCTTTTTCTTTTGATGTTTTGGATTGTGTTGATCTCTCTCTTTCCTGGGACACTGTTTCACCTGCTTCTTTTCTTTCCAACTTGCTTCTACATTTATCATCCACATTTTGTTTCTTTTTAGCCGAAGATTTTTCCTCAGAAAACACCTTAGTCTGAGCTTTTGTGGTTTTACAAGAGTCAGTTGTCTTTGAACTACCATCTTTTCGTTTGACTGAATTATTAACATCCTTCTTCAGACTCCCTTCTTTTAACTCGCAGAGTTTTTTAGCCGAACTGCTTCGCAAACATTTAGTCGTATCAACACATTCTTCACCGTCCTTACTTGAACTTTTTACGTTTTTCCCAGTTTCTTTAACGATCCTTGTACTACCCGAGTGTCGTGCATGCTTGTCGTTTTGAGAAGAACTCTTTGTTTTTGTATCTTCCACATCGGACTTGCTTCTGGTCTCGTCTTTTAAACTATCTTTCCTCGGTGCACAACTCTTGTCTCCTGTTTTCACACACTTGTTGAAATCACCCTTCTTCAAGGACGAGTCATTCCGATCATTAGAAGATTTCTCTCGACTTTTCAAACCAGAATTCTCTCGTTTTAACTCAGATTTCTTTCCTGTTTCATTCTTTTTGCTTGTTTTATTTTCCACTTTTGAGTTCCCCTTTGAATCTTTCTTCTCTTCTTCTTTTTGACCGGATATATTTTCCATCTTCATTGTATCAGAACTCGTCTTAGACTTGGTCGATTTCTCACTCTTGCCTTTCTTATTATCCCCTTTGCTGTTCGTCTCAGAATCTTTTCTAATTGTCTTGGAATTCTTTCCCCTGCTTTGCGTTTCTTCGCCTTTGCTCTTAGCGTCTTTCCTGGTGCTTGAAAAACGTTCCTTCGAAGACTCCGCACCACTCCTTCGTGTATTACTCTTACAAAGATCTTCATTTCTTGATAATCCTTGTGAGGACCTTCGCGCGAACTTGACCTGGGTCCCTTGCGTTTCGTCTAACTTTTTCTTGCTTGACAAGTTCGATTCTGAAGAACTTTTAACCTTTCGCAGATTGGTTTTCTCTTTACTTGCTTTTTCACCAGATCCTTTGACCTTCTCTGTCGGATTTCGTTGTTTCTCCCGAGTGTCACTTCGTCCTCTCCGCAGACTGCTATCATTGTCCACCTTCTTCTCTGCTTCATTCTTCTCATTGTGTTTATCCTTTCTTGAAGATCTTGTCCATCTTTTTATGGGTTCTTTACTTCCGACATGTTTTGTACTTGTTGAAGAATCAAGTCCCGGAACCGAGCTTCTTCTCTCGTCATTTCCAGAGCTTCGTCTCTCACTCCTTCTTCCTTTACTTAAATCTATTATCTTGCTTTTGACAGTGTTCTTATCTTCGTCTTTCTTTGAGGAACGACCATCCTTGTCAACAAGACTTTGTCTCCTTTCTTTGGGAATATTTGATTTACGTTTCTCGTTAACAGCTTTCTCAGTTCTTTTAGAATTTGTTTCACAACTGCTTTCTTTCGTAGACGAAACTGAACGTCTTCTTCTTGTGCTTTCATTGCTCTTAATTTCTGATGTCGTCTTGGAAGAGTTATTGTTAGTTTTTTGACGAGTACTAGATTTCTCGTGCGATTTAAGGGCTGAAACATTCTCCAACTTCTTGATATCCTGTCTAAACGGTTTGCACTCTTCTTCCACGCTTTTTTCGACATCACTGGAACTCAGTTCCCCCTCCTCTTTCTCATCAACATTTTCTCCTCTTCTCGTATCAATGATATCACCTGATTCAGAGCCAATGGTAGATTTCGCTTCTGCATCATCAGGAAACCGCTGTTCCATTCTATTCTCATCTTCCTTAAAATCAGAGCAATCGTCATGAGACTCGTCCTTGATTCTGAGTTCTTCTTCTGTTTCTTTGATGTTTTCTTGTTTCGTTATTTCCAGAACATTACAAGATTGAGAATCATGCGTAGACTTGATCAACTCTTCTTCAATTATTTTAGGCTGCTTCTCTTCACCGTTGGTTTCTTCAACACGCTTATCAACATATTCATCCTTTTTATCCTCTACCATTCGTTCCTTATCCTCTACCGTCCCCTCATCCTTTACCATTCCCTCGTTATTCTCAACCGTTCCCTCATTATCCTCAACCCTTCCCTCATCCTTTACCATTCCCTCATTATCCATAACCGTTCCCTCATTATCTTCAACCGTTCCCTCATCATCCGCTACCGTTTCCTCATTGTTCTCCACTGTTCCCTCACTATCCTCAGGCATGGAACTATCAACAATCTCTTTATTATCTTCAGTATCGTCATCATAAGAGAAACCAACTTGGCTGTTGTTACCTTCTTCTTCAGCAACCATACTCATCACAGTACCAACCTCGAGGTTATCACCACCTCCACCATCTGCTTCATTATCACTCTCCCTATAATCACCAACCACCTCTTCACAAGGCAGGTGCTTCATTGCACCCACACTCTCTTCCATACCGTACGTAATCGTATGATGCAAGGTGACTGTTTCCAACAACGCTGAGCTCTCTCGCGAAACTGTCTCATCAAATACAGTCGAATCCTGAGATCCTTCGTCAAACTCCATGGCTAATACATTACTCTGCAAAACAGCGCTTGCCTTGCATTCATATGAGTCATTATTCTGCTCATTTGGCAACAAAGTTTCAGCTTTTTTTAGTTCGGTTTCCGTTCCTTGTACTTCATCTAAAATATTAAAAATTGTAACTTGATTACTTGTCGTCTCCGTCAAGCTAACATCACCATGGCTTTCCATTTCTCTTGCAGAAATTTCGCCTGAATCGCTACTCTTTTTTGCCAGCTCCATCTCTCCCACACCACGGCAAAAAGCTTTTCTTTTTTGATCAGTTTTACTTGCCATATCTCTTGAAGGACTTCGTGTCAGAGGTGTATATTTTTCCAAAGAATTACTGGGTAAATCCCCCGTTTCTTTCTTATCAATGGAGTCCTTTTTTATAGCGATATCACTCGGTTCTGATCTTTGAAAATCATTTTCTAAAGCCTCTCTGTTGTCATTTTGGACAATTTCAATTTGACACAACTCGTCCTGTTTCTGCTCCAAATTTGAGTCGACAAAATCAATATCCTTCGTAACTATTTTGCAACTTTCATTGTCCTTACTTAGATCAGAATTCGACACGTCCATATTAGTAGCAGTCTCTTTCCTTTCTCCAAGATCAACTTCACAAGTTGAACTTGGAGTTTCCTCCCCCAAATTATCGTTCCTCCCACTATCTTCGTTGTCGTCCGTATTTGAATCAAGCGATGGGGTAGAACAATTCTCTGCTGTGGTTTTGTTGTCAAAACTCACACCATCAGTATTGCTAGAGAAACATTCTTTACCCTCAAAGTTCACATTTCCACTTTCTTCTTTGATCGCTTCCACACTCAAGACCTCGCCTTCCCCTTTTCCTCGCTGTCTTAATGTTTCTCGTTTCTTTCTTCGCCATTTCCTTTTCTTCTCTTTCTTTCGCTCAATTCTTTCCAAAGACTCCATCATTTCCTCAGCCGGGTCAACTATAACTTCTTCCTCGATTGCAAACATCTCGTCGACATCCATCATGGCCTTGTAAGGAAAAACGGCGCTAATAAACAACTTGTCACTTTTCGGAATAACCAAAGGCGAAGGGATGGGGGGTGGGAGATGGGGTCTCGTTCAGACCATGGTGTGCCGCAATCACCTCTCACCTATGTGTAGCGCTTTGGTATTAGCGCACTCCGAGAAACCTTTATGACCATTACAGTATAACACAATTGTTTTGAAAGGGCAAACATCAGGAGGAGGTTTGATATAGGTGTGGCACCCTCCAACTCAAAAGAGAACGATTGAATTGGGACTCAACGTGGAGAAACTATCCTTTGTTTAACAGGAGTTGCCCCCCTCCCGTGAGACGCCATGTTCGCAGGAGCTGTATGTAAGGTCAGCTAGTGTGTGTTTTGACGGGTGTGTAATTCGTGTACTGAGATGCATCGACGTAGCCAGTCTAACGATATAGTCCTGCTATGCAATTTTAACTTATTACCATCATTCAATTCTTTAAAACGTCATTATTTTCAGTGTCAACGAACACCAAAATATTAGCATTAGCAGAACTTGAATGTCTGGCTGGCTACGCATCAGAGATTTGCGTTTTTTTCAGGTTATTGAGATGTAAGTTAAAGGCAACGTATTGTGATGTTCAAAGGTTGTACTGAGGGCTGTTTGTTTCATTTCTAAATATGACTAAGAGAGATAATGATTAACACTTTATGCAAGCAATAGATCAAAAGCACGGATTTTCGTTTGTATTCTTTTGAGAAATTTAAATTCCTTCATAATATATGAAGGGGCAGGGTTGAGGTCGTCCTTGTTCTTTCCTTTGCAACTCTCTGTTCTTTCTTCTGGTCATCTTGAAGACCCAACAAACAGCCAGGAGTCTGTATCAATGGTCTGTTCTGACGTGGCAAGACAATTTGCACAGAATCTGAAAAACGTTTTGCATACAAACATCCTCCTCACAAACTGTTCTACTGAACTCCACACTTACCAGATTCATGTGTTTATCAAACGCCACAAGGTATCCAACGCAAACTCCACGCAACCCATTTAACCTCCGTGTCCAGACCTTCAACTTTGCCTTTTTTTCTATGCAATTGTACAGCACACTCAGAGGACCTTCCTTGTATTTCACTGAAGAATAAAATAAAGCGAAGCAATCACTTTTCACTCCTGTAGCCCGGTTAGGAGCTGAGGCTTAGCAAAGGTTGGCAAAAACAGCGAAATCTATCCAAGATAAACGAGCTATTTAATACAGTCCTAACCTTCCATCCTTTCTAAGACGTTCATCTGTTTTCCCTTTCTTTTTGCCTTCTCCAACATGGTGACTTTTTCCACGATGCCATCAGTCTGGCTTTTCACTTTCATCAAATGCTCCAACTTGCTAGGATCTCGCTTACGATTGCGTAGCTTCGCCAACCTGTTCTCTGCTATATTCTTCAACCTGTTTGCGACATCGTTGTCTTTCTCCTCATTTTTTACCTCTTTCAAAGACTTTGCGTACTCGCAAATGGTGTTGAGTATACGTGCATTCGGAAAAGGAGGCTGTAGGTTCTTGCTGTATAATGCTAACAAAGGGTTGAACGAAGCAGACATAAAATTCAGTTCGCCTTGACATCTTCGCCCGCTCTTCTTCGCCGCCATGTTTGATTTGGATATTTTGAAATTATTCACTATTATTTCATGTAAGCAAAATATAGTGGACCTTGAGGTTGGCAATGAACTTAGAAACCTTGCTGCTTCATTTTAAATGTTTAATTTCTGGTATTTTTTATAAAAAGCATACCAAAAGAGTTGAAGAGCAAACAGCATTCGTTACGAACTAAAATAAACGTGACTCTTTACAATATTATGCCTGTTTTTTTTTTCGCCCACGCGGGTGTTGCGAGGTAACAGGTGGAATGACACGAATAGGGGAGTCTAAAAATAAAGTGAATTGTTTAGCCACAGGCGGCATTTAAGAAGGAATCGCTTCGTTTTACTTGAAGCCTTCTGTCAACAAGCATATAAAATGAAGGATTATGCTTCCTTTGAACTGGGATAACGGAAAGAATGGTGTTCTTGTGAAAGGCAAATAAAATTATGGACGTAGTCGACATAGTAAGTAAAGTATTCTTTCTCAAATAATGTTATTCCTAGCTGTAAATTGTACAACATTTCCATCGAATTCACGCTGTCAAAAGCCAACTTCGCGGTTTTAATTTTAAACCGTCGAGTTAATATCGATATCCTTCGGAATCTGAAAAACGTAGTTTAATAATTAACAGAGTTTCGGTTTATTATTTTAGTTCAAAACTTCCCGTAGTAAAATATTGACGAACGATATCGCTTTTGATATGATATTTTCACAGAGAATCGTTCTCAATATGGGGTTTGTATTATGCAAGTTGTCTCAGCTATTTTCTGTCTGGATTGTTCTGCCTTTTCACATCCAACGTCTTTCATGCTTGACTACGTACAGAATTTAAAGAAGAAATCACAAAATTATTTTGAAAGTGGCTTTAAATTTTTTGATATTAAGCATTTGTTTTTAAATTTAAAGTCCACTACACGAATGTCACAAAAGATGTTGCAATTACATGTATTTACGATTGGAATTTTGAAATAAAATATATCAAAGTTTTTTGCAGGTCGGATTAAATTCTTGTTAATATTTGATATTTGAGAAAGACGAGAAAGCATTTTCGCTTCCATGCATGAAACGAAAATAGACTTGTATTTTACGAGGCAAATCTCAAGCACTGCTGGATCATAGTTACATATGCACATCAAAACAAGCCTTTGGGAAAGAAAAGATTTACGGCAATTCTCAGCAGAAATATCAAAATAATCGAAATTCCTCTTTGCGGGAAGCTGTATTAAAATGACCGTCCTCCCAGCTTCTGACTTCTAAGTTCTAGCACAGCACGATTTTGTGAACCTTTGTCAGCAAGTTGACGCGAAGTAGGTTGTTCTACACAGCAAAAGCTTACATAACTTCTATGTTAGTATTTTGCAAGCGTATATTTTATACCCAAAATCGCAAAGAACGATGAAATCAAGCAGTATTTTTTTGGCTTTGCGTGGTTATTGAAAGACAAATGGTTTATTAGTTTAATTATTTGTCAAACGTCTAATATATTGGCGGTATAATATTGAAATTTGTTGGTACGTTGTACGCATCATTGATTACAACAATATTCATGCAATATTTGGCCGCAATTTCCTGCTAGCAAGTGCTTGTACTTGATACTGAAGTTGTTGAAGTATTTTAGCTTCGTCACACATGCTCTTTGTTGCTTACGAGTAAAAGTGTTTTAGGAATAAAAGTGTTGTGTTTGAATTATTTGAGTAGACGGAACTTACTAAAGAAACACTGCCTTTGTTATTGTATCTTGGAATGTCGTTTCCCTAACATTCCAAAAATGAAACTCACGAAAATATGTTTGACAGGAGATACGAAAGCCCTTGTAGATAGATCAATACTACATCCGTCGGGCAAATACTTTATATTGTTGTTATACGGGCCTAATACCTAATATTTAAAGACTAGTTTTGATCTGGTTTGAGAGTGACAATCTGGTGAATCTACTAGAAAATTTCCATAATTATGTGCCATTAGCCAAAACAGTTATATAAATACAGAAATCAAAGTCAAAGCTACAGAGGTAGTCTCTTGGACAACTAAACTTAGAAACAAGGAGAAACATGATGATAAAAGCACAGCTTCATTAGTAAAATCATCATTGTTTTTGTGACCATTCTTTGGTGTTACACAAGAATGGTTCCAAGGCATTTAGGAGCTGCTGCGATTAGATAACCCATGTTAAATGCCACAGTATCATCGTTTTTATCGCCAGTGATTTAATTTGAATCCTTTGCAGGGTTCGGCAGTATGGGTGGATGTCAACATGGGCTACCTGTTGCCAGGCACCGTTGTGTCCGTGCTTGGATCTCATGTCAAGGTCCGCCTGGATGACAACAGAGAGGTATATTGATGAACATTTTTTGTGAAAAAAATATAGAGGATTGTAAACTAAATGCATGCTTCTTTCTAGGTATACACAGTTCACTCTCATCTTGTTAAACCATTGATCAGCAGTGGACCGAATGGTTATGAAGATATGATAAAAATGGAGTACGTTTTATACCATATAATTTGTTTTACAAGAAACCATTAATAGCCAGCTGTTTAATTCTCAGGGGGATTTATTAATTTTGTGACCAAATTCTACCCTTTCTTCTTCATGCAGTGACCTACATGAAGGCTCTATCTTATTTAACATAAAGAAAAGATACAGAAATGGTTTAATATATGTAAGTATAGGATTCAGGTTATCTACTGCATTGCTTTCTGGGAACTGCATGGTTATACTCACATAGATTTCCACCCATCCTTAATTTAAACCACCAACTGGCCTATATACAAGCAGGATGCACCTTCACACTAATACATCAATCCTTGCATCAAATTCACTTCTGACTGCCTCTTATATCTATCATTTAATGTGGAAGCTTTATGTTCATAATTCTCTAGACTTACATTGGTCAGATATTGATGTCAGTCAATCCTTACAAGATGTTTGATATTTATGGTCTCGACAAAGTCAAGGAGTACGAAGGAAAGCCTATTGGAGAATTACCACCGTAAGTTTAGTGGTGTCTACCCACATGTAGGTAATGACACTGCAGCAACAGACAGTTGCACTATCAGGTGTTGTCATGTTATAAATCATAATCTCAATCTCAACTTATTCTTTCTATATTTTCAGACATATATTTGCCATTGGTAATGCAGGATATTACCAAATGTTAAAAGACAAGATTAATCAAGTGGTTGTTATTAGGTAAAAACCAAAGTTCATTAAAGAGTTTTAAATTGTAAATGCCAGCAACTGTTCTACAGTGTATGTACAATTGCATCAACCATGCTCTCTGTAATTTCAGTGGAGAAAGTGGTGCAGGTAAAACAGAATCATCAAAGCTATTAGTTCAATATTTGGCTGCAGTGAATGAAGCGAAAGGCAGTCTTATAACAGAACAAGTAAGCAAAGATTATCTCAGAAAAACAACATCTTATGTTTACTCATATCTCAAGTCTGTCAAAATTGTCTGTTGGTAGGGTCTTGTTTTAAGGATAATCTAAGAAAAAAAACACGGGGCATTTTCTTATAAATAGCCTAATTTTCTAGATCATCGAAGCCACACCACTCCTAGAATCATTTGGAAACGCAAAAACCGTAAAGAACGACAACTCCAGTCGCTTCGGGAAATATCTTGAACTACATTTCGACAAGTACGATTAGATTTTGGACGTTTTCTTTGTGAACTCAAAATCAAACTTCCTGCGTCAGTCAGACTTCGTCCGTGTTTGACGTCATTATGAGAAAGATCTTTTGCTTAACGTGTAGGGTGGGGTCAATTTGTGGTGCTCAGATCTCGGAATATCTCTTGGAGCGTTCGCGGATTGTTGGTCAGGTAAATGCTGGATTTCTGTGGAAGATGCATTGATTTTGCCTGCATGCACACCGTATTTTACTACTACTAACCTTAAACTTCAAAGGTGTAAACATTTAAATCTTTTCAACCTTCAGGCCTACGGTGAAAGAAACTATCATATATTTTATGAAATGCTTGCTGGACTGCCCCAAGAGGAGAAAAACAAATATTCGTTAAAAAGAGCCGAAGACTATGCATATCTTAATCAGGTACTGAAAATTGAGGCCGAATAAAAAGATTATTGTAAGGGTAAACGAACATTCATCACGTGTACATGAGCTATAGAGATAGACTGTTAGCGATGCTTTCTTTTAGGGAAAGAGCTGTGTAATTCAAGGAAAGAACGACGTGCAAGATTTCTGTCACCTGGTTGCAGCAATGGAAGTCCTACGAATCAAGGTCTGTGATGATTACGAAGTTTATTTACGCCGTCGTACAGGTCAAACCTTGCACCGAACTCGACGGTTAAAAACAAAAGATAACAAAGCATTTTAATTAGCTGCGTATGTATAAGCTCTGTGTTTGTCTTTGCAGAAAGATGATCAGGACGGCATCTTTGCCATTCTTTCAACAATTCTTCACCTTGGAAACGTGTTGTTTGGTATCAGACAGGTTGGTTGTACTGCATTGATTTACTCTGTAACATTTTCTAACGCTGGTACAGTCTGTTTCAAAGTTGATTTCTACATACGATTGTAAATTACTGAAATAGTCAAAATGTGCACTTCAAGCAGAAACAGCAAAGTGCGTGGGATCTGGCCGCATTCCCAGCTGGACCAACTCAGTGCATTTTTTAAAGTTTATCTCTTTCTCGCCAAAGATTGATGGTCAGGATGCAGCGTATATCCAGGGGGATGAAGAAACAAAAATGGCATCAGAATTATTAGGACTGAAAGTGAACAACCTTTTACGTGGTTTAACACACAAAGTTACGGTAAGAAAACCCTGTCATCGCAGCCTAAATGTTCACAGTATAAATGTATATTCAAACACAGGAATCATTGATAAGTTTATAGATAGATATATAGTTTCTACCAAACAGTTTTTATCGTATTGAAATGATAGATATTTTAACCTTGGGTTATTCTATCGTTTTAGGAGGCGAGAGGCGAACAGTTTATGACTCCAAGATCCCAAGAACAAGCTTACAAATCAAGGTTTGGGAGATGCATGAACTCATAGCGTTGCGCTTGGCAAGGATTCTTCCTTGATAAATGAGATGATATCTTGCTGTGTTTTCGTGTTTAGAGATGCTCTCAGCAAAGCATTGTATTCAAGACTGTTTAGCTGGCTCGTAAAGAAAGCCAATGGTGTCATCAGCAAGGCCGATAAAAATATGTCGCTGGCAATTCTGGACATCTTCGGATTTGAGGCACGTTATACGTAAACAATTCATTCCTGAATAACGTATTCTTCTGACATTTGAATGTATTCATCAGGCGATCATCAAAAGGAGATAACTTACTTTGTTCTTCGTTCTCAAATTTCAGGACTTTCAAAGAAATAGCTTCGAACAGCTCTGCATCAACTACGCGAACGAAAGTCTTCAATTCTTTTTCAATCAATCCATCTTCACTCTCGAACAGGTAACTCTCTTCACGTGGGACGTTGCTAAGGATGGTGGCGTGTACGGGCGTTGCTACGGCTCAACAATGCCATCACCTTTTCCTTTTTATTTCAAAATTAGGAAGAGTACCAGAAAGAAGGCCTGCAATGGAAATGGATCCGATATTCTGACAACACGGCGTGCCTGGAGTTGATTGGTGGAGCAAACTTTGGTATTTTACATCTTCTATCGGACGAAACTACTTTTCCTAAGGTGATCATGCCCCTACGGAATTGTGTGATGATATTTTTGAATCTGTGAATATTCGAAGGAAAAACTCTTTTCCAGTTATTTTTTAATGCGATCATTTAAAAAAGTGTTGTTTTATTAATCCACTTCCAGTCAACAGACATCACTTTCTTGGACAAATGCTATCATCGGTATAAAAGTCATAAATGTTTTGAAAAACCAAAAACACACAAGCTGCAGTTTGGAATAAGCCATTACGCTGGGACAGTTTGGTATAGTGTAAGTATGAAATGCAGAAAGAAAGCGCTTAAAATATTTTCATCTGCTGCGAATTTTATCCTGTACACTGTACATCGTGTGTCAGTAGTGTTTCCTGTGATCTTTCACGTTTCTAATTTCTCAGGTTGAGAGATTTCTGGACAAAAATCGAGATGGTCTTCGAAAGGATCTTGTTGATCTCATCGCTTCCTGCAGAGAACCGGTATGTTTGCTATCATATAACCTGATAGATTTGTTCAAAATTGGTGAAAGAACTTCTTATTGCGCTGTTCTGTACGACATCATTCAAACCATTTGTTGACATGCTTGCTGCCAAGCTGTTTTTTCATCGTGCTTACCAGTTGGGTTTTTTGACGTATGCTCCTTTTTTTCAGTTCGTGTTTAAGCTGTTTCCTGAGCTGCAGTCCTACACAGGAACAGCCACCGTGAGCGACCTTACCTTACCTCAGAATCAAACATTGAGCCGAGGGCATCTTCTCAATCCCAGCTCTCCACAGAAGTCAACTGTCGCAGCGAAATTTCATGAATCGCTTGTCACTCTACTGCAGAAGATGAGAGAGTAAGATCAGTTATGATTATGATGATATTGATGATGATATTGATGATGATATTGATGATGATATTGATGATGATATTGATGATGATATTGATGATGATATTGATGATGATATTGATGATGATATTGATCAGATTATGATGATGTTGAGTTGGAGTTATTGACGTTCATTATATTGGTGATGATAATGATCAGTAGATTGCTCCTTGGAACCTGTGAAGAAGTGTATATATACTCAAATATTTGTTTCTTAAAATTTTAGGTGTAATCCATTCTTCATCCGATGTCTCAAACCAAACAATGAAAAGGTTTGTTTTGTGAACGCTTTTAGACCACGAGTTTAGTGAAGATTCACCCTGTCTTAAAATTCATCGATGTTATAGTTTATGCTTTATTCTTTTAGTCACCGATGTTGCTACAAACGCCGCTGGTCCTCGAACAATTACGCTACAGCGGTGTCCTCGAAACTGTACGAATCAGAAAGCTTGGGTATCCGATCAGATATCTCTACCCGGATTTCTTAAGAAGGTGGGGTAATCTAAATGTAGACATTTTGTTACATCTCTCAATATCATGCCCCTTAAGACCTTTCTGATTTTGGTCATAAGCCTTCCCACCCATCACCCCCCCCTTCATAAGCCTCCCCACCCATACACCCCCCCCCCTTCATCCACTGACTATACCACACCATCACCCCTTAATATTTTATGATACTATGTCCACAGACACTGTACCTACATACCCCTCTCTGTTCCAGGTATCGTTGCTTATCCTCAGGGAGGGTCAGACATGAAAGTCAGATGAAAGATCAGTGTCTTCAGATACTGCGAACAGTTGCTGGATCACAAACCGTCAACGCTTTTCAACTTGGTTACACTAAAGTAAGAGAACAGATTTCGACTTGATTTTAACTCTTACCTTAACCTTTACATAACAATATCACCCCTTGTCCCATATCGTTGCTTTATGGATCTTTCGCCCAGAAGTGTTCTTCTTTCATTCATTTCATCCAATTTTCATTCAATCCAAGGCATTTCTCAGTGAAGGTATGTCTCATAAGCTGGAAGAAGTGCGCTATCGTAAAATCAACCAAGCCACCATCACCCTTCAGAAACACGTAAGTGCAATCTGTTTGTCTGAGTTGGTGATCTAAGATGTCTATCCTCGGTTTCTATTCTGCTATTATTATGCGGGCTATCCAGGACTTCAGAACCAGTGATGCTGTAACCAATATTTTCGTGTCACAGGTTCGTCGTATGCTCTATCGCAGAAAATTTATCCAAATGAGGAAATCTGCTGTTCTCATTCAAAGTCAAGTTCGTGGCTGGGGTCAGAGGTGAGATAATACTTACGCCTGTATTCAAAAAGCTCACTCACACTCACACTCATTGAGTATGACATAAATATTTTGTTAATGCTGATCAATGAGAAAGTTTTTTCTGAATAGATAGAAAGATATAAAGTAAATCACTGAAAATCAAGCCCCTATTCGTCTGGAAATACCGCCATTGAAACGTTATGAGAAGATTAAGATTTCCCACTCAATGAGTTTGAGTGTGAGTGAGCTTTTTGAATACAGGCGTTAGTCTTGGTAATACTGACTGGAAAAACCTAGACTTACCTTCATACTTAACAACGCTTCATAAATATTCATGTCTTTTCTTTAAACAAGACGCAAGTACAAGAAGATGAGGGAAGGATTCATCAAGGCCCAGGCTCGATTCAAAGCAAGGTTACAGGAGAAGGAATATGCAAAGGTGAAGTACCTTTCTTTATGTGAAATACGAGCAGCTTTTAGGGAGGCTAGTGCACTGATTGAAGTCCAAATAGTTGTAAGAATACTAGGAGAATATTTGTGTCAGAATATAGCGTGAAAGAGCTTTGGTGTTTTTGTAGTTGCGGGAAGAATTTCGCAAGGAAAAAGCGATCAGAACGGCAGAAGAAAACGCAGTCCAAGAAAAAAAGGTAGTTCTCAACTTTGCATCGTCTCAGGTTGAATTTCGTATGTCAATAAAACCACGTTCTTGTCAGGTTGATAGTTTCAACAATTATTTCGTGATTTTTCAAACTATTTTCTCTGTTGGACAGGAAAGAGAACAAGGTGGTAATGTTGATGTCACCCAGCTTGAAATCACAACTGATTTGGCATTGGTCATTACAAAGTTACCAGGTAATAAATGTCTACCCAGGACGAGGTTAGCGAGATTCTTAGAGCATCACGTCTGATAGAGCTTTTGATTCTGTTTACCATGCAAGCACTTTCCTCGAGGATGCTAAATGATACCTGGATGATACCTGCTCGTGCTGATGTTGAGAAAAAACTCGAAGAAATGGGATTCAGTATTTGAAATAAACTCATGCAATGAATTTGATTCTTTAGCCTGGGATTTCACGGCAATGCAGAAATCTGTAGTTCCCGCCCCAAGTGATGTTATAAAGCATAACTATCGATCTTCACAACTTCCTCATGACGTTGACGCGTTTAAGTTTTCGAAGTTTGCACATCTCTACTTTCAGGTGAGTGACACCCCCCCTGCTGCTGACAAACGCTCGCATTAGACTTGAGTTATTCTCATCAATAATCTTAAATCGTGGCTTTTCATATCCTAGGATCAGAAAGAATGGAAGTTTACCAAGGTCCCGATTCGTAATTCGTTTTTAAAACTGAAAGTTGAAGACACGGCACAGGCCGTGACCATATTTAAACTGGTATGTGGTTTATGAATCTAATCTTATCCACTTTATCTTCTTTGATCTGATCCACTCTGATCTAATCCACTCTGATCCCAATCCTTGTGATCTGTTCCACTCTGATCTGATTCACTCTGATCTGTTCCACTCTGATCTGATCCACTCTGATTTGATCCACTCTGATCTAATCCACTCTGATCTGATCCACTCTGATCTAATCCACTCTGTTCTGATCCACTCTGATCTGATCCACACTGATATCTTCTGATCTGATCCACTTTGATCTTCTCTGATCGGATCAATCCACGTCATTCTTCTTTGATCCAATCTGGTCTATACCTTTGTCTTCTTTGATTAGATCCTCTTTAATCTGATCTGATCCACATTGCCTTTTCCCATCAGGTTCTACGTTTCATGAGCGACTGGTCAATTCTAGAAGCTCGAGAGTTCGCTATTGGTAACTACATCATACAAAAGGTTTGCAACAGAGGAACCATTTTTGTTAATATCTCATGAGCAGCAGCACTTTGGGAATAGCCAATGCTATTTAAAGTCTACAGATACAAGTTTCTTGTAACTCATATTTTGATAAATTTGATAATTTCAGGGCATCAGAAGTCCAAGTTTACGCGATGAAATCTTCACTCAGCTCGTGAACCAAACCTGGGGTAACGGCGTTGAAGCAAGCGTGGATCGTGGTTGGATACTCCTTGCTTTGTGCATGTCCTGCTTTAGACCCAGTGAAACCATGGAGAAATATTTATTAAAGTAAGAAGAGTTTGGGTTATGTTCTTGCACTATTCTGTCTGTCTCGTCTAACACAATATTTCATCGCCTTCTTCCAGACATTGTTCAGACAATGCGTACGATGGCTTCAAGAATCTTTGTCAACACAAGTTGTTGTCTTGGGATAAACAGAGACATTTCGTTACTCGCTGTCATCCGCCATGCCTGCTCGAGTGGGCCGCTGTCAAGCAGAAGGCGAATATGGCTCTTGAAGTGAACTCTTCTGACGGTAGGTTTGAGTGTACCTGACCGCTAATTTCACGACTAATGTCAACCAAAAGAACTTGATTTATATAGCAAATAGCAGTCATTTTATCCTTAATGAGGCTTCGCCTGAATCTCCTTCTTCATTGCTCATTTTCTTTCAAGGTGAGAAGGTTTCAATCGAAGTGAACTCGACCAGTACTGGTGATCAGGTCGCTGCCAAGATCCTAAAGGAGAAGTAAGTCTGGATGTTTGGGATTATCTGGGAACAAGAGAAGGATACTAAGGGTTACCGGAGGTTACTAGGATTACAGGAGGTCAGCGTTGTAATTCGGGCTAAACTATGAACGTTATTCAATCCATTTCAGGGGTGTTGTGGAATACCAGGGCGGTTGGAGCATCGATATTATTAATGATTACTGTCATTATTCACTGGCTGGATCGGATTACGTCATGGATTTGATTGCTGAGCTCGAATACCCGCCCTCGTTCCCAGTGTCTTGCTCACCCTCCGTCATCTCGGTGGATATGTCCTACAATGTTGGTCCGAATAAAATAAAACTACTTGAAGAGTGAGTCTAGCTTTCCTTCCCAAAGGTCCAGTAAGGATCACATCTTATTAGTCTAATGTTACCAAGCGTTAGTTAGACACGAACTATTCTTTCAAGAGGTCCACCAACACTGTAACTCGTTCATTTTCAGTCTTCATAAACAACGAGAAAGAAAGGAAACATTCGAAGACATTTCAAAAATTTTCCTCAATGGGGACTACAGTATCGATCTCCCGGATGGTGCTCCTCGTACCGACAAAAGATACACTCAAGTCATCCCCGTTCCACCCTCCTCTTCACCGCGAATTGTACACATACCCCCACCTCCCCAAGCCCCTCCTCCTCCGCCACCACCCGCCCCTGTTCAAGCCACGAGAACAAATGTTGATAGTTCAAGATATACCAGTACAACAGTTGATAGTTCAAGATATACTAATACAACAGTTGATAGCAAACCTTTTATTCCGAAACCCCCCAGCCCTCCCCCTTTCCCCTCGCCCTCGGAGACAAGTGTACCCCCAGGTACGTGACCATAGTTACAATCATAGTTCCATAGTTTGGATTCTCAATATTTTTGTGGTTTAGGTACATCCCTATATATCCCCCCTCCTCCCCCACCACCTCCCCCACCTCCTATTCAAGACCCCATGGCGAACAAAATAAAGAAAGTGAAACAGGATCAGAACAAAAAGGGAGCACAGAGACCGGCCCCTGTGAACGCTTACTCGCTAGACGAAATCCGAAGAAAGGCGACCACGATGCGAGAGAATCGTGAAACTACGACAGTCGACGGACGACCGGTGAATCCCGAAGATGTCATTGACCAGAAGGTGAAAAGAGCCTCAGAGTTACGCGCAGTTCCGAAAGAGCAACGATTGAAGTTGGCTTATCAGTCTGAACTTCAAGGTGAGGTTGAATAACTATAATGGAGTCTTTTTGACGGCGTGTTGTAATTTGCGACATTATACGTCTCTAGGGGCTGTTAAAAAGCGAGCTGACCGCATGAGCAAAACCTGGGAACAAGAGGAGATGAAGCTTGAGATGCGTCGCGCAGAGAGGTCTGGTGCCTCTGCGACGGCCGCGAGTGAACTGGAAGCTAGAGCACAACGTGTCCGCAAATCATGGGCAGTTCCTGAGGAACGCGAGGAAACGTTCTCGGCTCGAATCTACCACAATGGTACACAACCACCACCGAACCAGGTCGTCTCTCCTGAGCTACCCACAACAGAACGAGGCCTCAATGATTTTGTCGACAATCTATTTGATCCGGTTTTGTCATCAAATATGGACGACCTTACGGACTCCTACGTTCTAACTCGGTCTATCAAAGGTAAGTAATCTACCTCAAAACCTCTTATTCAAAATTCGAAAACGGTCCTTGAAATTTACCTTCTTTTGAGCAAGGATTAAAATGCCCCTGAGAATTTGTCACCCCCCTGGAGATTTGTCACCCCCCTGGAACTTGGACCGGAAATTACTTGAGAAACTAACTTGAAATTATTCTGCGCTTTTCCCAAGGTGGAGGAAAGATGTATCGAGCCAATACGGTGGGCTCTCCTCAGGCCTCCAGCCCACCACCGACCTCAAGCAGTAGCGTGCAACCGGCCTTTGTTAATGGCGGAATGGCCACTGGTGTGAATGGTCCCACCTTTGTACTTTTAAACAATGGTATGGCTAATGGTGGTATGATCCCAGCTACTGGTATGCAATATCAACCATTCATTCCTGGTATGGCAGCCGGTAAGGGGATGGCTAAAAAGAATCGATCCAATTTGCAGCAACTGCTGTTGAACGTTCGTTCTTCTTTTAGGCATGAACGGCTATCTGCCAATGCAGTACCCAATGGCCGGCGGTATGGCTTTGCAAGGCGTTCCACAAGCTGTGCCTGTTGTCGTTCCGGTCAGCAACCCTCAAACGCAGCCGCAGCAACAAACGCAGGGGCTCGGGACGAACCACGATGACACCGCCATTGAACGACAGCTGCAGGAACAAGAGAAGAAGCTCGCAGAGAGACAAGCGGAACTTGCAAAACTCTCGGAAAAACTGAACACCTTGAAACGCGAGCAGCAACAGCAACAACAGTTAGATCAACAACGCCGGCAACAGGAACAACTGCAACGACAACAACAAGAACTAATACAACGACAACAACAACAAAATCATACCCAAACTCAAGAACATCTTCAAACAGGTCAAAATTACCGTCCTACCCAAACCACTTCACTAAACCATTCCAACAGCCAAAACTATTTATCAAACAAGTCAACCCGTTTCTCAAACCATCCGCTACACACAGGAGCAAGTAGTTCCTTCCTCAAAAGTAAAGGTAGCCTGCTTCCACCTTCAGAATTCCGGGATCGTCACCCACTACCCCCGACACAACCAACCAGGAACACCACGACCGTTCAAGCTGCCTCGAACCCCCCGGAGGTGAACGAGGAGTACGTTGATGGCCCTATACTGAAGTCCAAGCCAGACGGGGGAGCTGCGTCGGTTGTTCTGGCCGTACACACCGGAAAACCTTCGTTTCATACGCCCACAAAACTGTATAATTTACACAGTCAAACAGAACTAGCTACGACCTCGTTTACCGTCGTGATGACAGAAAAAAGCGGGAGGACTGAGCTCTACCGCAAGTGCGCAGGCCCGTATTTGACGTATCAAAATGTCAAATGGAAATTATTTATGCGGAAAGAGGCAAGTGCGAAAGCCCTAATTTCACAGACCTAGTTTGGTTTGGTTAAGAATCATTCTCGCTGGACTCTAAGGTAGAACTTTTGTATGAAAATTGATTAGAGTTGTTTTTTTCTTCTACAGTTATTTATGGCTAATGAAAAGCTCAGCAGTGAACTGACGCAGCACCTTGTGTTCAGACAGGTACGCCTGACCCCACGTTTTCAATTTCCTGGTATTCGCGCAGTTGCATGTAAGTTCATTACGCGGGGTTATCTTCACAAAAGAAGTTTGTCCCCCTTTTCTCTTAGATTGTCTCGGACACATACAAAACATGTTGCTGCAGAATGACGCGAACCGATCGATACACAATGAAACAACTGCTTGGTAAGTTAAAACGTGGTCTTCCATCTTTGCTCCCTAGCTCAATAATTTGGCGAGCTATCTGAGAGCCAATGAATTTATTTCATTTGACATAAAAAATTGCCTGCGATACCTTTCTGATATACGAAACCGCGTTCTGTTATTTCTGGAACCTTTTTGTATGGTTTGTTACTTTCTTCGTTTCTAGAAAAGTACGGCATTTTCCCAGACAAGACGAGCACAAGTTCCCCGATTGAGGAAATTATAATTGATGCAGCAAAACAACTACCATACTATTTCTGTAGGTTCTTCAAAGTTTCGGTGAGTGACAGAAAGGGATTGCCATTGATAATAGTCGCGATGAATGAAGCTGCAAGGTCGCTTCGACATGCGGCAAACCAGTCGTCTGGTAACACAATGTACCTTTGTTTTGTAGAAACAAAACGAGAGCATTGATTTTCAATACCTCGGCGTGTCTCATTCTGGACTCCAGATTATCAAAAGAGAAAGAATCACAAGTGAATTGGAAACCATTGAACGATATCTGTAAGTATATCGCAAGGATATCATTAGGTTAAAAATGCGGGAAACCTGCATGGGCTATTTTAACACATATTCATTATTGACTAGAAATACATGCATGCAGTTGATCCTTAAGGTCGTGAAGACTGCTGTATCATCCGTTGTTCTATATTAAACAACACTTCATAAATTATTCCTTCTATCTCATTAGATACGGCGACGTGTTAAAAGTCCGAGTAAACAGCGACAAATTAACGATAAAAACGAAAGTGAAGAAGATTCACATATACACTGATAAAGTAATGCATATTCCCATGAATAGAAATTTTGTGAAAATTCTCCTGTATCATGTACATGTTTTGAGTTTCTTAAGGAAAATAAGGTCATTTTTATTTCGTAATATATTTTCCAGGCAACAGCGGTGAAGAAACTTATTGATCCCTATCTAGCTTTGGTTCATGAAAAGGTGATTGATACTTGGAGAAATAAATATTTTAGCCACCAGATGCTAGTGTCCTTTCCCTCACGAGTTAAATCATCTTGCGTTAGACGAGAGTTGTGAAATACTGGGTTGTTTTAGAAGCATGATGTCATTCACATTGATTTTCTTCCTAGGAGTCCAAATACGTGAAAGCTAAATTTGATTATATCACAAACGAATCAACGTTACTGAGCTTCAAGCAAGGTGATGTCATCAAACTGGTTGCCAAGGGCAATCTTTCAGACGGATGGCTCTATGGGGAACTGAGTTCTAGGGAAGGGTATTTCCCGGCTGAATATGTGACAGATGTCAGCGAGGTATGATTCAGCGTTGGTTTAGTACTACTACCTACTCAGTCCTTGATATCAAATCAAATTTCATCAATCGTCACTTATTTACCGCGTCTTTCTTTCCTCCATCAGAGGCGGCCGTCAATGTCCAAACCTGGAACAAAATCATCAATATCCGAAGGGTCCATTCCCAGATCTCCCACTCCAAACTCGGTCAACAGTGAACATTCTTCGACGTCATTGCAAGATGGTCGCTACTCTATGTTAGAGTTTGCAATGAAGTACTTCCGTTTTGGGCATGAAATGTAAGTGACTGCGCTGTTTTGGGCCTTTACCGAGGCATGAAATGACGTTTTTAAATGATGTGCATTATTCTTCAATCAAGGTATGTGATGCAGAGGAAGAAAGATGGTTCAATCAGAGGAACTATTAAGATCATGGATTCCATTGGCAGGGCGTTCAAAGGTACACTTCCACGAATGTGAGAGCTCGTTATAGCCTCGTTTTCTGAAAGTGATATTTATTTCCCTCAGGAAACCGAAAAGACGAATGGACGTGGAAAAACCAAGCTGATCTTGTTAAGTTCTCGAAAGTATGCTTCTTATCCGTGCTTGTGTTTCCTTTGCGTGAGCTTCCACTTAACATCTTTCCTTTATTTTCATCAATCCTATTCATTATCAGTAAAATTTTCCATTGTTTGGAAATCTTTTTACAGTCACCAATTCAAGCATCGCTGTTGAAATTCGACTCCTCAGTTCATAACAAGAAAGCTTTGGAATCCTTCATAAGTATGTGCTGTTAATATGGTTGAAACAATTACAGCAAGTTTTCAATAGTATTTTAATTTTTTCATGCCATTTTTCCAAGCTAAACGTTCTGTTATATTTTTCCGCATGAAAACGTTCTTTTTGCACGATGAAAGTTCTTTTCCCACGAAAAAGGTTCTTTTTATATGAAAAGTGTTCTAATTGCCTTTTTTCCCACGCGTGCTACATTTTTGGAACGTTTAACATTGCGACATTTTGGAATGGTTTTGTTACATCTTCGAATGTTCTAAATTGAACCATTGTTACTTTGCTGTTTTCTAAAGAATAAAACACATGGATTTTGGAACGCGAAAAGCTTGTTTTTTACTCGATCATTTCGCCGTTGCTGGCGGAAATTTTCGCGACCGGAAAATAGAATAAAACGTTTTTCCGGTTCGTTGGCAGAACGTCAACGAGAAGACGAAAGTAAGAGTGATTGGAGTCACGAGATAAATCTCAACAGCGGCGACAAGAAAGAGTTTTTTTCGTAAACTTTTTCGCTATTCAGGGGCGGTGAAGTGCTTGAGAGAGAGGCTGAGCTTAGGGTCGTCCTGTTTATGTTTTACCTTTCGTTTACAGCTATCATGAAGTACATGGGGGATTACGTCATGATAAGGGGAGAGACTCAGTCAGATCTGATATTTTATCTCCTTTTGGTGAGTATTTGTGGATGAATATCATACGTACGAATACTTAGATCAACGTTTTACAATAAAATCACCATGCATGTTACACCAATCATTAGCCGGCCCTCTGATCTGCATTTTCTGGATTTCTCAGGCTTGTCGTGAGTATCCGGAATTGAAGGACGAGGTTTACTGTCAGCTCATCAAACAAGTTACCAGCAACAAGAGCAACAGACCGTAAGTCATCATTACCAATCGTCCTTTCAAAGCTTGACTGCCTTTCACAAAACCTCTTCTCCTTGTTTCAGTGATAGCTGCGCTAAAGGTTGGAGGTTGTTCATCATTCTCACCGCGTATCTTCAGTGTTCTGATGTTCTCAGACCATATTTAGTTCGATATTTGCAGACAATTTCCAACGACCCGAAACGAGAATTTCATGGTGAGTTGCAATTGTTGAAAACAATAGATCGTCAGCCAACCAGCTTGCGTCTTTTACAATGGTTAAGGCCAGCTTTTTAAGTATTAAAGACAGAGTTTGTGTATGGTTAAAGATTACATTAACATTGGTGTGTTCTGTCTATGGGATTATCGAACCCGATTGCGTAGCCTGTTAATTCTGTTTCAGGCGCTGCAGCGACGGCCGAGATGAACTTGATGAAGACATTGAAGTATGGAGGACGAAGGACTGACCCCGGGCCGGCAGAGATGGAGCAACTTGTGGTATGGATCTTCTGCTACCAACACTCGATTAGCAATTCACCTCCCACCCTTAGCCTTACGCTGTAAGGTTGATTTGTTTGTAAATTTTATTCACAGCAAGGGAGAAGTACGAAGCGACTTCCAATCTACCTCCCAGGAGGAATTGTTAAAGTGTTGAAAGTCCAAACGTGCAGTGTAAGTTAAAGTCTTGAGACAAAACTTCTTTGCAGTTGTTCCCTATCATTCAGCTTCATTTGAACTACATGTTTAGCCTTATCGGCTTGTAGTTTATTGACAATCCTATTTGGCCCGGTATGTTTAGACTGGGTATGATGTGATAAAAGATCTATGCTCAGAGATGGACGTGTCTGGCGAAGATGAATGCAACGAGTTTGGTCTGTTTACGTTCTTGGAAAGGGGTAAGCAAAGACCAAGTGATGGAGACACTTCAAGATCACTGAAAAACGAACTGATTTAAGATTTGTTTGATGGTTTTAATGGTTTTTTAGAGAAATCATTGGATCCTCTCCGTGCTAACGAGTACGTGATGGACGTCATCTCGAGCTTGGATCGAAAACGCATCGACTACCACATGCATTTCCGGCGTGTGGTTTGGTTCAAGAGATTCCGTTTTGAGAACAAGATGTTGATAGATCTTCTTTATAACCAAATCAGTCCGAGCGTGAGGTCTGGGGATCTTCTGGGCGGTCAGACGTTTGATGTTCAACTACAGAATGAAGCATCTTTGTTGAATGCTCTGGATTATCATTTGGAAGGAAAACGACAACAACCTAACTTGTAAGTCACACTTGAGAGTTATTCTACCTAGCTAGGAAAAATATTTAAACAAAAACGCTAGATAGACCGTATCATAGACGATGGTCGAAGGTTTACAGGCCGTGCCTCTAATTTTTGTGGGATTAATTATAGGAAAGACATCGCAGACTCAATTCCGACGTGTATTTCGAACACGTTGCGTCCGCCGCAATGGGTCGTCCTTGTTCAGGATCATTACAGAACTATCAACCACCTCACTCCTGATGAAAGTAAAAGGAAATATTTGGGTAGGTTGTTGGAATGCATGCAGAGGGTGTGGTATATTGTGTGACATCTGATTTATTTAATATCTCTATAGATATCGTCAGACGATGGCGATTCTTTGGTTCAACATTCTTCCGAATACGGGTAAGAGTTACAAGGAGGCGATCATATTTAGAGACAGTCATATTTAGAGAGGTGGTAATTTTAGGGAGGTGGTCATATTAGAGAGGTGTTCATGTTAGAGAGATGGTCATGTTTAGAGAGGTGGTCATTTTAGGAAGGTATTCATATTAAAGAGGTGTTCACATTGAGAGGATAATATTGTTAGAGAGTCGTTTATATTAGAGAGGTGTAATATTCGACATTTATTTGAGGATAACTAAAGTCTCTATTTTAATATTCCAGCACTGTACACATCCAAGAGTTGGCAGGGAATGTACTTTGGTCATCAATAAAGAGGGAGTTCATTTTCTGGCCGTTCAAACCAAGGTATATTATAGCTTGTCAAAGAGTATCAGAGCTTCAGACTCAGAGTAGTTCACTTACGTTAATACTTCTCTTTGACAGGAAACGTTACTGGGTTTCTCATACAATGAAATTATTTCAACGCGATTGCTGATATCTGGCGAGCGAGGTCGACAATTTCTTGATCTCAAATGCGGAAATTTGATGGTACAGAAAGTGACAAGAATAGAGACTCAATTGGTACGTACAGTTAAACGTAATCCTATCTAAAGTGAGGGCAGGATTGAATTAGTGCATGGATACGAATCATAGGATATATAAGTTTCTACAGGTGCAAATTTGGTTCAACAAACACGATGTTTCTTTTGTTTTCAGGGTCGTGACATTGCGGATCTTATTGATATGTATTTCAAATTTCACAACAATGAAAAAATGGTCGGCCAGCAAAACGCCCAACAAAACGCGCAATTATATAGATAATAAAATAGACAATCTTTCTAACAATCATAATCATTAATAGAAGAAGTTATTTTATCGGCCTGATATTCTAAGTGCATGATTTCATATTAAAACTAGTAGAAATATTCCACAGTTAGACTAAACAGTCTCAACGCTATCAGCGACGCACAAAAACACCTCTCCCATATTAATTATTTCCGATTAATGGCTTATTTTTAACATTAGGTTGATTTAAGATCACAATATTTATTATGGGAATATTCATGTATAGGTAATTTTCTATTTAAAAAGGAAACAATTTGAATGTATTTATTTGCTTTAGTGCTCGTATTATAATTTAATAACCAATGTAAGTAATTTTTGATACAGCTTGTGTATATAGAAAGCACGTTGTATAATTGAAATAAAAAACATAAACTAAACTAAACTAACTTTATTTATACTGGATAGCTCTATCAGTTCTAAACTGTTCTTCCTAGAGGTCCAGTAAGGATCATCTCTTATTGATCCAGTGTTACTATAGGAGGAAAATGAAATAAACAACTTCCTATAACTGTTCATTCATTATTCATCCATGAGGTCTTGTAAGAACTGTGATTTCTTATCAAGGAGGAGACCTTACGTTCTGACCCCACGGACTTCTTCCCCTAGCGTTCTTTCCCGTGCATGGGTGAGATATCGTGGAACAGACATCCTATAGCTGGCTGACAGGAAACAAGCGGCCATCATCAATCCATTGACATTGTTAAAATGTTTTTAGTACGGAAGTTGTAAACTCTTCAAAACCGCAGCAAATTTTCTTTGTTTCATTGCAAAAGGCGTCGTACTAAGGGCATAAACTTACAGTAAATGTAGCTTTTTAGATCGTTCAATTGGAACAAACATTGCAACATGTGATGCCTTACACTGCTTCGTGTTGTCTTGGTATTTGAATCTCGTGGTGTGAATAATTTTGATGCTGGCTAACCACAACAAATATGGATCAAAATATTCAAATTTATTCAAAAGCATGACAAAACGTCAAAGATTCCATGGCAGACAAAAAGAAGTAAGCAATATATTGTAGTATTTACGTTATAACATCTTAATAACTACAAACTGAAAGGGAATACATGATCGATATTGAACGTATGCGAAATATTCAAAGTCACAAGAGTTCAAACGATCCTACATGGTCTCTCGATTTTTAGACAGGTAAGCTTCAACTTTGAGAGTTTATAAGCATCCTCTGCTGGGTGCTTTCTGTTTTAATTCGAAAACAATTCATTTCTATACGTGTTGTATACATACTTTAAGCTATAAACTATTAAACTTGCAATTTGCGAATTCCTTTACATGATAATGCTCGATTATTGATCATTAATGGCTTGTAAATTTGTAAATCCGAAACTAAACACTTATTTACATTTCATGATTTGCGACAATGTAAAAGTGGCAAATTTAATTTGTCATTTGATTAAGCATCAATATGTGAATGAAATAGCTCTACATTCGATCGCTTTATATTAAAATATTAACAACTTAGCGTGGCTGAAAATATTATATATTTCCAACTTTCTATCGTTTAGTTTGTAAATTTTGCTAAATCACGTCCTTCGGAAATAAGAAACGTCGATTCGGCGCCGAACGACACAACACTTTCAAAAGATATTTCTTTCATACGATTGACCCAAATTTTTTAGGCATTTATATCATGTATCGTTTAGTTAAAAATGGAGGGAAATATTTTAAATACAAACAAGCCTCGGCGAGAATAAACAAGCACATTCATGCCTTTTATAGCATTTTTTAGCGACGTTAATTCATTATTTAAACACTAGGATGATTTTAATCGATTGCTTTTACGTATATTTGTACATAATTATGCATACTAGTAAATTATTTATCAAAGGCAAAAGGTTAATTTCGTTCGCAGGTTTATTTAATATAGTTATTAAGTAACATATTTTATTGTATTGTATTGAATGTCAGCTGTAGTGGATATATTGAATCAGTGTTGCAAGAAGTAGACTTGTTCCCTGTTCTAGTTTATTGTTTTCAGGACATATTAATAGCTTATTGTTGTCTAAGTTCAGCAAGTATTATTCCAATAATGATTGTCTAATTGTTCTTTATTATGAAGCATAATCTTTTGTTGTATGGTACAATGTTGTGTTTGGATTAGGCAGAGTAAAATGCAAATCATAATGTATGTATGAATATTGCCTCTTTGATCATCAACACAGATCCATGCTGCATATCAATACCGCAAGATTGTGGCTCTAAAATGCTTAACTATGTGTAGATATATAGCTTAATACTTACACCAAGGTACTCTCTGTTGGAATGTCGACAATACAGAACAACCTTTGCCTAATAGTTGGCAAAGTTTATTATTAATACAATACTGTACTACCAGTTAGTTGTTTAATAAGGCTATTCTTTAAGCTCTCTAGTTAACACTTTCCTTCTAAACTTTGTGCTTTCTCCTCAGACGAAAACTGAATGTAGAATGAAATGGTATCATCTTCATGTTTTCCACAACTTTGAATCATTCCAGATATATTGCCTTTAAATTGTTTGCCAAAGGAAATTATTTGAGTATTTTCCTTTAAGTGTTCTTGTTAGAACAAACACAAAATATTTCAGCTATGCAAAGCAAAACTTTCGAAATCAGAAACAATAAAATAACACGGAACTCCTTCAATGCGTGTTTATGGATGTATCGCATTTAAATGTGCTTTGTGTTGAAACACATGGTCATTTACTGTTTCATTTTATCGATGACTTCCGTGATAGACATTTTACTATCCCGTTTTTTGACGAAAGACTAACTACAATAGTTATTTTATCATCTAATTGTAGCGATTTTTACGTTCTCAATTTCATTAGTTCATTTGTAACTGTCTGTTACAGTTCATTACACAGTTTATTTCCGAAATCAGAAGAAATTCTTCCGGATGGAATTAAGGAAAAAGACAAATGATCGGACGGAAATAAGAGACTTTTTAAGTGAATTAGTAGGAATAGCAGCTGAGTTCTTGCTAGTAACGATTCTAGGAACAGACTTACATGTCTATGTAGATATTCTCTTGTTACACTGGCTCTCAAATGAGTCAAATAACGTAAATTCTGGGTAAATTTGACCCGCTATTTTTGCCTTGCATTAGTTGCATTTCTGTATTGCCTTCCGTTTCCATCTTGAGAAAAGGAAACTTCGAGGTCAAGGATATACATATTAGCTACCATCTTTGCCAGTAGCTTAGGATAGTCTCCTTCGGCTTCGCCTTTTGGACAACGCGCCAAATATTTAGATTCAACGTGGGTTATTCTTGTATTATAAAAAGCTCATGCACACTCGAACGCAGTGAGTGGAAGACCTCAATCACCCCGTAACGATATCATGATGGTATTTCCACTCGACTAAGAGCTTTTAAATGCTTTATGGACGTAAATCTTTCCATTGATTGAGAAAGGACTCTCTTATTGATGAATAGTAACACAATTTCTTTGTCACGGTGAGTGTAAGAGAGGTTTTTGAATGCAGTCGTGAGTTGCGTAGACGATATCAAACCGCGTTGGTTGAGTTTCTAAGCGCTTTGCTTGTTTTGTCAATAGACAGCATGTCAATAGTTACCGTAGCCCTCTAGTCTCATAAATAAACGAACTTAGTAAAACCAAATACTTTACCATTTTCTGTTTAGAACACTAGAAAGATTTGTCGTGAAACTGAGATTTTTCAAAAGCAGACCAGATGAGATGGACTTGGATCAGGTAACTACTGTTGGTTTATAAACTATCTCTCTCTCAATCTGACTCTTGTAAGAATCTCCACTCATGGATGCTCGCTTCGAAAGTAAATGGCAAACACTCACATGTCGCATCGAGCCTCCGTCTTTACAAGGGGGACGCCTACCACTCATAAACGCCAAGATTTACGCCAAACGTACTCTTTTAAATCTTTAACAACCTTGCCGTCTTCACATGTTTGTTCGGAGCCTCGGAGGCTGGTAGATGACCAGAGATCTATCAGTGATTCCCCCACTCCACTTTCTAAATGGTCCCCCACCCTATTTTCCAAATGATTACGCCCCCCTCCCGACTTTCTAAATGCCCCCCCCCCCACTCGTTCACATTCCCTGAATGTAGACTGTAGAATGATCTCTAGTTTTTTATCAGGGGGATGTTGTCCTCGTGTCCGCCAAGTTCAACGATGGCTGGTTCAAAGGAATACGGCTGAGGGGTTACAAGGTACCGTAAGTCGATCGTTTATGTGATCAAACGTATGTGAAATCAACTGGTTGGTGCTTAAATTAAGCTTCTGCTGTTCATAATTAAGCATGAATTAGGCCGTAGTTGCAACCAGTAGAACCAAACAAACGTATTGTTTTCACTGATCTGTCTGGAGATCACATTCACAGAGGAAGATTCCCTCCGCATCCTAAATAGTTAAATGCGTTCAGGTTGAGCTGAAGCTATCGTGTGCCGTTTTCTAGCCAGCTGTATGTCCTAATATTCCGACACGTAGCAAACATGATTTAGTTGTGGTGTCTTCGGTTAATTATACCCCACGCTGTCTCGCTCGTTCCGTCATTGTTCAACACCGTACGTATAAAGACTAACTAATAACTAATATCTCAATGCGGCATGCGCATCGTCGCTTATACATTGAACTCGACCTCATAAATGCTCACAGCTGGAGCCGAAGTCTGTATATACACACGACAATGCTTTGTGTCTATCATCAAGGAGCGACCATAAATGCTATGAGCGCGCTTCGAGATCACACAGAACGCAAAAACAGATCATAACTCTCGTAGGAACGTAGAAATACGAACACACAATTGCACGTTCCTCAATTTTGAGGTAGGTTAAGTCATGGTCAGAAAAATATTTTTAATTAACATTTGAAATTAGGCGGAAACGTCCGTCATGCGTGGCTTTGCTGAATTAAATTCAGTGTGTTGGATTGTGGAAATCATTCACAGGCTAAACGCAAGTATTTTTGGATAATTCTGTGTGTATTTCGCCGTGAGAGAGTTGGGAATAGATCACTGTTGAAATGATGACCTGCGCTGTGATGGTGAGGATTTAATTTGATACATTGCATAAGGTGTTGGATATACGATGAATATAGACCTGTATAAATAGATTGTCGTGATAAGGATATTGAACGTTGGCTTGTCTGCGTGTGTTTGTTGTCTTCAGTTCCAAGAGTTATCAACCGGCTTGAATCATTGTTTCAGAAGCGGTCTTAAAAAAAAACTACATCGCTTTGCAAATGGAATGATCACCTGCTAACTAACCTATTGATATTATAATTTCCAAATATTTTGTATGAGAGTCATTTGCTGAGCTTTATGTTTCATTTTTGAATTAAGTCTTCCGTCCATCGTTTCTCTTTTCGTTTATATTTTCAAAACGTATTTGGATCACACAGAAGTAAATTTGTCAAACTATTAATAACTGTATTCAGTGTTACATTCAACGTGTACTGAACGGTCAATGGACCCTATCGTGAACATGGCAGGAATATTTTAGGTTCACAAGAGGACTACTTGATATGCATTGCCTCTTAGGGCGACTGTAAGAGTCGTAGCCACTGTCCGTCCGTCTTCATGGCTATTCGCCGGTTATAGCTCGTGTGATTGATATTATATATTGTGACACCTCTTTCTCTATTCCTGTGTCATCGGTCATTTATGCGCAGTATTTTGACAGAGACGTGTGAAATTCAACGTTGTTTTTATTCCGCAATTTTGACTTCTACAAGCCTCCAAGTAATAAAGTGTTAAAAGTTCATGAATGTAATGCGATGCTAATTCAGCTTAGGACATTTTTAGTCTTGAGACTTCATGATGTGAGTGGCCTCTTTTGCTGTAAGTTCAGACGGTCTGAGAGAGAAAAATTTGCGTGATAAATGGTGATGGAGCTTGTAGTTGATCTTTTTATTGACTTTTGCACTGCCATTGTTTCTATGTATCTAATATGATCCTGCCTGATCTGGATTAATCTTGATCGGATTCTGATTCTGATCTGTTGTAGCCGGTTTTCATTCTCATCTTAACCTGATCTTAACCTGATCTAATCCTCATCAGATCTTATGCAGACCTAATCCCGGATCGGGTCTTGACGTAATGCTAAACTCGTCCAGAACTGATGCCAAAATATTTAATCAGATTGTTTTCTTTCTGTTAGGTTGGCTACTTCCCGGAGGACGTCGTAGAGAAAGAATCCTTGAATGAAAGGTAACGTGTCTTCATTGTAATCATTTCATTGTTATCAAAGTGTGTCTGTACAACGTGTTCCTTCCCAGAAGACCACTGAAGATAACTGATTGAAACTCACCACGTTTTATATACCGGGAATACAACACTGTCAACAGGATACAATACCAATATTGTTGACGATTTCGAATCATGCAAATCTGTTGCGAATTCTGACTTTTAACTATGATTTTTCTTATCGTGGTTCCAAGTCGTGGACCGTGGGGCAGAATCTAAAAGATGAAGCCCCGACTCAGTCATTTTTGACTAAACGTTCGTAGTATTCCTTCCGTGTTTTGCCAGGCCATATATCGAAACATACTCTACTTTCATTTTCTTCAGTTGTAACGGGATAGATACCCCGCCAAGCGAAAACAACAATGAACCTTGTGATATTGAGTTAACCGGGGATGAGACAATGGTTGATAACGAGGAGAACAAAGGTACAAGAGTGGAACACACGTTATAACAAGGGACACGACATATATAATATACCTAAGCGTGTTTGAGAATTTGTATTGTGACGATAGATTTTATTTTTAGAACTCGATAAAAATGCAAAAAGGACGAAAGCGGCCGAGGTATACACATGCACGAAACGATGAAATCTTTTGAAGGCCTTCAGTGTGCTTTAAAATCCCAATACCTGGCGTCATTCCCCGCTGAATATCAGACAAAAAACGATTTATTTTCTTTTCTTTCAGGAAATCTTGTCCACCGAAGTTTCATATTGCACTGGTTTAGAATTATTAGTCGAGGTAGACTTTCATCTTTGATGGTTCTTCGTTCCTTTCACAAACTATGATGCCTCATCTTTTATTGTCTTTCTTGTAGAATTTTATTCAACCTATGAAAATTTATGGAATTTTATCAATAGAAGAAATAGATACTATCTTTTCAAATATTGAGGTAATTATACTGGAAACAATGGATCCATCTGTTTTATTGAATGAAACAAACTCTACCCCAGAAGAATTTCATGTTGATGGTGAAGAAAATACCAGGGTGCTTATATTGTTCTATGTAACTGGGACCCCGCCCTGGAAAATCCCAAACCAATCCACCTTTCCCCCCCCCCCTTCCTTAAACTGTAAAGCAATCGCATATACCTGGAGTTCTGTGAAATCAACACTAAATACTCATTTTTATAATATTCTAGTCATTAGCTGGTATCAGTAGAGAAATGGTCTCAAAGTTAAAAGTATGTTTGGAAAACTGGGATGTGGAGACTTCTCTTATTGGGGACGTTTTACTTGAGATGGTAAGTGAACGACGCGCCCAGAAACAGAAGATATATCAGAGTGGCGGAGATATAATTAATTTTTCTTTCATTTACACGTTGTTAATTATGTTATCTTATTTTCAGTTTTCATATCTGAAGATGTTCAAACCATATTTTGATTCACGATCGGCGGCAAACCAGGTATTGTTTCAACTGTGATGACGCGCCGCCGGAGTCCATATCCTTTAGTTTTTAAATCTAAACGCCTTCAAATGCATTGTTTCCCTTTCTGTGTAGATGAGAATACGATACGAGAAATCCAACGACAGATTTCGAAACTTTTTATCAAAAGTAAGAGTTCTCGAAGCGATCAAATTGACTGCTTGGTTTATCAATGTTTTTAACTGCCAATATTTAGGGTAAAATCATCTTGCATTAGACAGTAGAGTAAAACAATATAATGGAATATTCATTGGTGTAATTCCTTCTCGATTTTTTTAGGTTCAATGTGGGCAGACGTTAGACTCGTTGCTTTTAATGCCAATTCAGGTTAGGGAAATCCCACTAGATCTACTCTGCAACTGCGTATGTGAACGTGACGATAGAACGTGCATTTCAAATCGCAATTGATCTTTCTGTTCTTCATAGAGAATTCCAAGATACGAACTTTTATTGAAGGAACTGGTCAAGAGAACCGAACCGGTTGGTTAAATCTTGTTTTAGATATGCTCGTATTTAAATTTATTGTAATTTTATATTTTCTGTTTTGCCAGGAACATCCGGATTACGAGAACTTGTCAGAAGCGTTGTCCAAAGCACGCGAGGTTCATATCTTCATATACACGAAATTCTGTTTCTTTATTTGACTTCGCTGATATCAATTCATCCTCATCTATCTGTTCATCCTGATCTATCTATTCATCCCGTTCATTCTCATCCATCTATTCATTCTGATCTATCTATTCATCCCGTTCACCCTCATCTATCTGTTAATCATGTTTAATTTTCTGTCTTCCAGACGGCTACGGATTTGAATGAACATATTCGACAGATTGAAAACGAATCAAAGATATTTGAGATTATAAACATGTTTCCAAATGATGAATTAGTGAGTAGCTTGGTTGCTAGTTATGTCTGACTAGTATTGCTTTGTTTTGCCTCAGTCACCGTTTCATCGCCTCTCGTGACTTCTTTTGCCCTGAATACTTTCTTTCTTGCATGTTTCCCGGTGTGCCATTTTGTTCATAGCTTCAATATCCTTTGACCATATTCTTTCCAGGATCTAATCATTAGCGATTCCAACAATAGCCCAAAGATGAAACCATCCCGTAAGTTAAATACAATATCCCCTGGGCCTGGTATTTTTTAAGGCAATTATGCAAGGCATCAAAATGCTCGGCTTGATAATGGCGATATCATCCACACTTGTTTTGACATTTGCTTAATTGCTTGTATTTGCAGAATCAGTGAAATCAAAAACAAATTTAGAAGTAGGAAATGGTGTAAGAAGGTATGTCTTATAGAAGAATATTCTGATGTGTTATATTTTTCATCATCAAATGCTCGTCGTACGACTTTCACCCTTTTATTTCTCTCCTTTATAGAAGCGTTTCCCTGACAGACCTCAACAGAGTTCGTAATGGCAGCAATCTTCACCATGCCCCCTCGGATCCTGCTATTCACCGCATTAACGGAAGACACAAGGATCCCAAAACACATATATTTAAAACCAGGTAATCTTATATAACGACATTCCACTGTTATCTTTACTGTCGTCGTTTTCCATGAACTAACTAAATCGCTGTACTGTGTTCGTTGTATGAATATCTTCATGAGACTTTTGGCTTAATTCAGGATGTTTATTCACGAAGGAGCTGTACAAAAAGTTGTATTTAAAAATACTAATGTTAATCAGTCGGAGTTACCTCAGGAATATTCTGACAGGTAAAGTATGTCCAATTAAGGATAGCTAGATCAGTTCTAAACTGTTCTTCAGTTCAAGAAGTCCTGCAGTGTCATCACTTATTGATGCTTCTTTCTTTTCTAGATATTTGATTTTATTTTCGGACGTTGCTATCGTTGCTGTGGTGAGTTCCGTTTTTTTTACGAGAAAGGCTAACTTCAGAATGATTCTTTAGAATGATTCTAATTCCTAATTATCATTTACTAGTCGGCAGGGAATGTTCTCACAGGAAATAAGTTCAAACTAAAAGAACGAATCAATTTGGCGCAATGCTGGGTCGCCGACGCTGAAACTTTCTTACAGAAACCAGTTCCAGATGAGAGTAAGTGGGTGGAAATAAAGAGATTGTTGCCTTTCAATGTTTTATCCAGTATAGTTCGGGTTTTATCCTGCAGTAACACTGAGAGATGATCCTTACTGGTCCTCTAGGAAGAACAGTTTAGAACTGATAGAGCTATCTAGTATAAATAAAGTCAGTTTAGTTTAGGTTTCCTCCTGTAGTAACACTGGATTAATAGACCTCACTGAACCTTTAAGAATAATCATTAGGCAGTCAATAAATGGTTTATTGTTAATAGCGTTTGTGCTTGGCACTCCAAGGAGAACATATGTATTCCTGGCTCAGTCAGTGAAAGAGAAGCTGAGGTGGGAAAAACTACTACAACAGCGCATAGCTGTGGAGAAAACGAAATTATTGGAGGTATATTGATTGTCTCAAGTGACACAATGATGATTGTTCAAATTTTGGTACTAGTTTATTCTTATGTTGTTTCGTCATGTAGCTCTGGAAGTACAAAACAGTTCCTGATGTGATATTTGTCAAGACAACGGGAAAATCCAGAGTGGAATACCAAGCTATGAATGAGAATGGTAAGCTGAACCCTGGTATGAACAAGGCCGAACACCCCCTAACCAAGATCATTCCTGCATGTTTTAATGCAAACCAACTCTGCCACATCGATATTTAATGTACGAATTGTTGAAGCTGATTTCCTTCAATGTATCATTGTAAACATATTCCACTTATTCCGCTTATACAGAACTAAACCTACATGTGAATGAAGACGTCAACGTCATTGGGTTTCGAAAAAATGGCCATTGGTTAGCGGTGAGTTGTTGCTTTGGAAAAGTCCCCAATAGACCTTTTCAGCTTGCATGCAAATTAACCCATTTCAGATGTTGTGACCATGGAATAGCCAAAAAGATGAACCATTTCAGACCATGTGACTTGGAATGGGTTAATTTGCATACAAGCAGAAAAGGTCTATTGAAAAAATAGTTAATAAGAATAGCTCTCTATGGAAACAATATTCATTCTTTTTTTAGGGTTTGTACGACCCTGATAATAGTTCATATGATTTTATAAAAGATTGGTACGTTAAAGTATACCTTGATTCTGATAAACCAACTGTATGAATGTCTAGATTTAATACTCATCCGTTTCTTTTAAAAACTTTAGGTTACCTGGTGTAAATAGCATGGGAAAATTTGGTTGGTTTCCAGGTAAAGACATAGCTTCATAAAATATTTGGGCGACACAAATATTTGGCGATTCTTGATGTGTCTTATCTTGGATTCCGTGTTTTCTTCTTTTTCCCTTTAATGCCTCGTCTGCGTTATGTTTGCTCACGAAGACTGCTAGTATAACTTTCCTGTTATGTTTACAGCGGAATGCATCCATGGCAATTTTCAAGACAACAAGGAAAAATCGGTTGACCAGGTTAGCACCGTAAAGAGATTTTACTCATTTCTGTCGTATGCCCTGCTGTTAATAATTCCAGAGCGGCAACTCACTGATAACCCATTGGTATAATTTTATCATTTAGTTCAGCTACGTCTCTGTAGCTACGGCACTTCAGATCAAACACCGAATGGCAGAACTGGTAAGTGTAAATAAATATAGTTTTTTGTTTAATGATATTTCAAAGTTCTGGTGATGGATTTCTCTTTTCTCTTTTCAGACCAACTCGAAAATTCAACCGAAATTTTTGACCTCGGTGAAAGTCCATAAAGCGGACGGAACATTCAGAGTATGCAAATATTAATTTGATCTTGCCTATGGATGTATAGTAGTGACGCTTTTGTAAAATCGTCTTCCTTTAGACGCAACAAAATACGGCAGCTTATGGTAGAATAATGCCAACATATCACATACGATGCACCATCTTTTCAACGTAAATGTTTTGATTAGAATTTGAAAACTCAATTTAAATTGTAATGATATCTTTCTAGACTTGTAAACTCAACGAAGAAACCACGACCGAAGATATCATCAAGTAAGTTTTATTTGTTCAATTTTTGTACATACAAGGTGTATTTGCTGTAGAATTAATGAAATATATTTGTATAATTTTCCTCCAGTGGCCTTGACAAACACAACCGAATGACTGGTCTGAATATTGAAAAGGATCGTATCGAGTTATGGGAGGAATCGAAGGATGGTTCTGGTAAAAAAACGTTCTTCTTTTAAACGTTGTGTTCAATCACAGATCACCAGGAAATCGAATGAATTGGCTATTATTATCATTAATCAGAATTGATTCTTTTAAATGTCTATCGATTCAATTTCTTTTCCTAGTTAAACGAAAGCATAAACACAACGAGAAGATCCTGGAGATCCTATCATTTTGGGGGGAATATGATGTAAGTACACCATCCCTAAACAAAAAGCACAATTTCCTCTCTCTCCTCATCCCGAAAACAACAAACATAGCTCATACTCATATCCCTGTAATCCCAAATGAAAGAAGTCGCTAAAATAATAATTGTCTGCTGAAAAGAAAATCTTAGTCAAAGATAATCGTGTGCCTTGCCGTAGATAACTTGTGAAGGTTTTGTGGTAGAAAGAATTCCTTTCTTTTGCTTTAGTCTCACATTTCTTTCGTGAGCCGGACGCGTGGAGTGAAGGATACTGTTCTGGATACTTTGGCTGTTGAGCCCGCGCCATTTGAGAGCGACATCGAGAGACGTCGTGGTTCACACTCAGGAAGTTTCGCCACCAGGTCAAACTCGCGTAAAGAATTCAAAAAATCATCGTCCTTCTGTTCCTGACTGCGGAAAAGATTGATCACGAAGTGGCACAATTTCGCTTCAAGGAAGTCTGAAATGTGGCCCACCACACCTTGTGTCAGGTGAGGGGAAGGGGTGGTACCCTATTTTTATCTTGGAGAAAAAACTGACCGCAATTTTACCCCTCTACAAAAACGAATTATTTAAAAGCACAGTAATATCTATGATAAATACATCATGGCAATCCAGGCTGCCTGGTGTATTGTTACCCAATAAATTATCCTGTTAATTATGATCCCGCATTAGAACACAAACCATAGCACTAGAAATATTCTCGGAAATATGATCTGCGCACACGACACTGAAGGATTTTACCTGTAACGTACATTCAGTGAAATATTTGGACAAATTTTAAGTGGAATATTATGTGAAAATATTCGAATCGGACTCATTTTGTAAATGTATGATAATCATAGATTTGTAAAAAGTATACAACAATGTAATATAGTTATATTTTAAATGAAAGTAAACAAGGGAAGCTAACACTATACGTGGTTTTAAATTTAGCGGTTTCTAGAGAAATTGATGTTTTTTTGAGAGGCATAAGAAATACCGAAGTCTTGTTTATGAGATTGTTTGCGCGCTGTCGTTCCTCAAAAGCGCGCGTTTGTGACATCATTTTATTGTCAAAATGCCCGGGCACCTTTAAAATAACTGTTGCGTCGAAGAACAAACAGTTTGCATCGACGGAAAAGATTTCCATAGAGAATGAAAGGCCAGCTTTTTCTCAATGGACAAAGATGCAAGGTTCTATCCATCAAAAGAACTATAGTATCGAGGTCTCCATGCAACACGAAGCTGAAGAAAGATTAGACGCGGAGGAGTTTGCAATTGTAACATGTAAAAAACTCGAGCTTAGTTCTCACGTCTTTGATGTGTTGGTGCCAATATTTTACCGTCCTGGAAGACATTTTGTCTGGGGGATGGTGCTTGGTCTTCCAAATCTTCTCACAGCTCCAGTTTGGTGGGGTCTGATATTTGTGTTCGAAGCAGACGATCAACGAATAAAAATGTGTGAAGTTGATTAAGACTGATTGAAAATTTGATCCTTCGGTGCTCGAACTCAGCAACCTTGTTCAAAGCGTTTTGTTACACACACACAAATGATGACAAATATAAATCAAAATTGCTTTTGTGAAGTTTTATTTTTTTACCAAACAAGGGAAAGCTATAGTAGTTAACCGTAGTTTTATATGGGGAATTTCAGGCGGGGATCCTAAAGATAGGTAAAGATAAGCGTTGCAAGTTTGCACACGATACATTTGGGTGCAGAAGAGGTCAAGAGGAGGTGGGTTGCTTAGAGGGAGGACGTTTATCGTCAGTTCGGCCCGGCCCTAGAATTGTAATGTCTGGTGAATATTTCTACATGAAGTACATCAATATTTTTCCAATATGGACGCCAAATCTTTGCCTGTGAGTGCTTTTAAACAACAAATAATCAGAGCTGTGAATCGAAATACCGCTTTAATCATCGTGGCAGAGACAGGCAGTGGCAAGTCCACACAAATACCACAATTTTTACACGATTCGGGGCTGACAGAAGGTGGGAAACTAGCAGTTACACAGCCGAGAAGAATTGGTGCCATCTCTGTTGCAGGTCGAGTTAGTGAGGAAATTGGTTGTCGTCTTGGAGGTATGTAATACGTATTGTGTAATATACAGCAAATCTCAAAGATCCCTTGGATGTAAAGTTTTGTATTTTATTAAAATATACTTCTTTAATCAGGTTTGGTTGGTTACAAAGTGCGTTTTGATGACCGCACCTCATCAGACACTAGAATAAAATATTTGACTGATGGATGTCTGTTGCAAGAGTTCATTGACGATCCAGATTTGATGGATTACAGTGCAGTGATTTTAGACGAAGCTCATGAAAGAAGTTTAGATACCGTAAGTTCCATTCACCATCTACTAAAGCCAGTGAGAGGGGAGGGGTGGGGTGCGGGGCAAGGCAGTGGGGGGAGTGGTCGCAAGGCAGTGGATGGGGGGAGTGGTCGCAAGGCAGTGGGGAGGAGTGGTCGCAAGTCAGTGGGGTGGAGTGGTCGCAAGGCAGTGGGGTGGAAGTGGTCGCAAGGCAGTGGGGGAGGGAGTGGTCACAAGGCAGTGGGGGGGGGAGTGGTTGCAAGGCAGTGGGGGGGGAGTGGTCGCAAGGCAGTGGGGTGGAAGTGGTCGCAAGTTACCCAGGGCCCAGAATGGTCAGTGTCAGAGAAGCCCAGCAGAAATTTCATAGCAATCCTTTTGTTGATTGTGAGCAACAGGTGCCTGTGCTTATCAAGTGTAGGTAGGCCTTTACTCTAATTATTTTATGATTTGTGCATACATACTGTATCTTATTCTTAATTATTATATGTATTTTCCAGGATATTCTATTTGGACTTGTTAAAAGACTATTTCTTGCTAACCCTTCTAAAACTTCGAAGAGAAAATCTCCTCTAAAAATTATTGTCATGTCCGCCTCCTTGAATCATGAAAAGTTTTCAAAATTCTTTGGATCATGTCCAGTGCTTGAGATACCAGGTCGAAATTTCCCAGTGAAAACAATCTACTGTAATTTTATTGGAAAGGATAATGTCAACACTCCAAATTACTTGACAAATGTAAGTACATATGTGTTAATTTGTACCACAATCACTGTACAAACAAATAACTTGGATGCTCCAGGAAACTGTATATAAGTTGACTTTTGTCCTGGGAAAACATCTTTTAAGATAATAAGGCATTCTAAAGCAGGTTTATTTGTCCTTGGAAGTTTTAAGAAACATACCTGACAAATGGACAGGTAATAGTTTCGAAATTGTTGCCCAGACTGTAAAGCATTCTTTCTTACAAAATATACAGCATGTCTTAAATATACCTGGTAGAAGTTTAAGGAATCTCCTTCGCCCTGTGCTTGATATAATTCATACATTTTCTACTTTTAAATTCTAGACTGTTAACAAAGCAATGGAGATCCACACAGAATGCGGAGCTGGTCACATCCTGATATTTCTGACTGGGCAAGATGAGATTGAGCGATGCTGTGATAAGTTGTTTGAAAAAGCAGAAAACCTGGACTACAGATACGATGTCTCAAGTCGACATGTCAATGCAATGTTGGTTCTTCCGCTATATGGGTCAATGCCGACTGGTAATATTGTTTATCATTTTTAATTCAACGTTATCTGAGTGGCTGAATTAATGACCTAGCCCATAGCTGTCCAGACTATCCATAGAGAGCAGTTCTTTCTTTACTTATTTAGAGCTCCAGAAACGAGTGTTTGCTCCCGTGGATGGTGGTGTGAGAAAGGTTGTTGTTGCGACAAATATTGCAGCCACATCACTCACAATAGAGGGAATAAGGCAGGTGCTCTTTGTAATTAAAATACACAACAGTTTCAGTCCTGTGAAATTGAATCAAGATATGATAGTATACAGTTTATAAAGTCAAATTCAAGATATGACAATATTCCTATTTACTTCTAGATATGTGATCGATTGTGGCTTTGTTAAACAGCTTGTATTTAATCCAAGAACTGGATTAGATTCCCTTAATATTGTTTTAATATCCAGGTAAGATTTATTAATCATCCTCCTGCACTAATCTTAATCTATATTTTTATAAATGACCTCTTATAATTTGGTTGCTAATCTTTGTCAATAAATGACAGGTTCGTGTCTGAATCTTTGTAGGTCCGAGGCTTTGCAGAGATCTGGCAGAGCAGGCAGGACTAATGAAGGAATATGTCATCGTTTGTATACAAGGTGAAAATATTTTATGTCTGTTGTGAGATACTGTAGCTAACTTCTTTATTCAAGAGCTTGTTACACTGGCTTACACTAGCTAATTTGAACCACAATATCTTTTAGAGAAGTTCATGATGATATTATGGATCAGGAAACAGCCCCTGAGATTCAAAGAACAAATTTAGCTAAAGTTGTTTTGTATTTGAAAACAATGAACATCAATGATGTGATAAGGTCAGATATTATCATTATTGATATAACTTTTGCATATGCACGTAAGTAAGCACCATGACCATAATTTGGATTCTGCTACGTTTTCCAACAGGTTTGATTACATTGATTGTCCGGAGGAGAAGATGATTATCGAAGCTTTGAAACAGCTGTACATTCTTGGTGCATTAGACAGGTAACTACTGCAGAGATTACTTGTTGAGAAACCACTTTATGAACACTTTAAGTAGTATGCTTTGCTAATATTTGATATAGAAAGGGTGATATCACAGCTATTGGTCATAACATGGTGAAGTTTCCACTCTCTCCCTCTCTATCAAGAATAGTTTTAGCCTCGTTGGAGTTCAACTGCGTGGAACCTGTGTTGATAATCATAGCAATGCTCGCAGTGGAGGATATTTTCTTACGTCCTGGGAATCGCAAAAGATTTTCTGAGGCTACGAAAGCCTGGGAAGAGCTGGCCGCTTCTGCCGGAGGAAATAACGACTTCTTAACTCTGCTTTACGTTTTTGAAGAATGCTTTAAAAGGTTCGTGGGTTTTGCACTCAGGAGTTTATACAGGGTGTATCAAAAAAAAGGTAATCCAACTTTGGTGCGCTATTGTACGTGAACTACTCATTCTATTAACGAATTTTTTTCACATTCCGAAAGGTTATGCTTTTAACTATCGAATGACATGTTTTTGATACCAAATGGTGAAAAAATGAGCAAATAGGAGGCTGATAAAAATTGTTAGTCGAAATCGCATATTTTCACCTCTGAGAGTTGGGACTAAAACCATTGAAAATTAACTCTCTTTGGGACTTTTGCTTTTGAATAAACTACCCGCATATGCATATTAAGTAGGAATAAGGAGAACATTCCAAGCAATGCGGCATAAAACCAGTGCAAGCTGTGACATGTTCATGATTAATTGTTTTTTTCTTTTGTTATGCACTGCTTTAATTAGGCTCAAAGGTGAAAATATGCGATTGCGACTAACATTTTTTATCAGCCTCGTATGTGCTCACTTTTTCACCATTTGGTATTAAAAACTTGTCATCCGATAGTTAAAAGCCTGATCTTTCCGAATGTGAAAACAATTCGCTCATAGACTGAGTAGTTCACGTACAATAGCTTGTTGAAGCTGGATTACCTTTTTTTTGATACACCCTGTATAAGAGTTTCATCGACTCTCATGTCCTGGTAAAACGAAAACAAGAGTTGCATGACGAACGTTTGTCTGAGAGTTTCATCAAATGAGAACAAGAGTTGATAAAAATTTGTATGGGAGTTTTTCATCTTTGAATGGTTTATTCTACGTCTTAAATCTTAAATCTTAAAGCAATATTGTTGATTTTTAATGCATATTTCGTACAGCACTGAACCGGCCGATTGGTGTCGTGACTATTTTGTTCATTGGAGAGCTCTGAAGACGGCTGCAAACATTCTTGAGCAGCTCAGGTCCATTACACAACATCAGGTACGGTTTGAAAAGATTTATTCTGCGTTATCACTTATCATAGTCGAGAAAACGAAACAAACAACTTCATTCTTTATCATTTCAGAAAATGGAAAGGAATTTTGAGAAATCAAGGAACGATTTGCAAAGTGAAAAAGATGCGATCATAAACTCATTGTGTCAAGGACTCTTTCACAAAACAGCCCGAAAGTAATTGAGACGTTTTTAATACGACCATCTACTCTATCAAGTGTGTTTCCATATGGCATTTATTGCCTTTTTCTCCTACAGAGGCGGTGGAAGAAGTTTTCGAACAATGGATGGACATGGGACGTCAGTCTTTATTCATCCTTCGTCAGCGGTATGATTAAAGTTAGCATGCGTATAAATGTCGTACATAGCTGTGCCGTGCATGAATGTATAAACAGCTTATCCAAACAGACTGTTCTTTTTTTAAAAATTAAATTTGTTTAAAGCGTTTATATCAGGCTGCTCCTTTGAGACACGGCAAGCAAAATCTCCTATTGCATGTGAAGAGAGAACAACCTTTTCTGAACTACATACATGCATGTAACTGCATTACGTTTCCATTTCATGTTATACACTTCACTTTGAAAAAATATCTTCGCGTCTGCAACAATAATCATTAGAACAATTTATTGCACAAGACAGCTATTTGTTCTCAAATTTTAAATGAATATTTTGTATGTCTATTAAGTTGTTCGGTCGCGAAGAATATTTCGACTGGATTTTATTTCATGACGTGATATGGACATCCAAGATATACGTAAAAACGGTGTGCCCAGTAAGTTAAATGTTAATCACTTTTTGGAAAAAACAAGGCTGTGGAGCTATCTAGTGCATATGTTTAGTTTAGGTTTCCTCCTGTAGTAACACTGGATCAATAAGAGATGATACTTACTGGACCTCTAGGAAGAACAGTTTAGAACTGATAGAAATATCCAGTATAAAAAAAGTTAGTTTAGTTTAGGTTTCCTCCTGTAGTAACACTGGATCAATAAGAGATGAACCTTACTGGACCTCTAGGAAGAACAGTTTAGAACTGATAGAATTATCCTGTATAAATAAAGTCTTAAAAATTTCCTAAAACCTACAGATCCAGTATGAGAGAATAAGTGATTTGCTTATTCGTATTCACGAAGTAAATGACCTGAACTTTGCAAGCAGTCGTTCCGTGCAGCTCGAGAATAACGACAGTTTCCATGGAAACGCAGCTGAAAAAAACAGTATGTACAGTATGTATTCCAGCCAATGTTGACATCACTCTCGTAGTCACACGTAGGTAGTTATCAAGTGAAAATGTGTGTCACGCACACCACGAAAGAACAGTAATGAAATACGTAAGAATTGCCATCAACATACGCAAAAAAAACTAGAATAATTATTAGGTTTTTAAATATTTTAAGTTGCCCATTATATAGCTGTATAGCATTAATAAATTATGTTGACGACCTTGCAGCAATATTCTGATTGGCTCTGCAAGTCTTTCATTATATGGTTAAAAGTTAACTACCATTTTTTACAACTATCCGGTAATATAGGATATCTTAAACGTGGTGGTCCAGTGTTGTCGTAGTTATTCTACCGCTCGTTGAGGCTCACGATTAATTAACTTCAAAATCACTTTTGACAGATGAATCCGTTGCGCAGAGTTCAAATTTAAGTTTGCGGAGGAACAGTGAAAAGTCAATTATGGCAGCCAGAGAACGATATTTAGCAAGAAAAATAAAAAGGTTGAAGGATTCAGACAACTGATACGTGCTTTTCTGTGTGTTTTCTAAGGTACGCCACCTGTCGTTGCGTTTTAATGTACCAACAGTTTAGAACTGATAGAGCTATCCAGTATAAATAAAGTTGGTTTAGTTTAGGTTTCATCCTGTAGTAACACTGGATCAATAAGAGATGATCCTTACTGGACCTCTAGGAAGAACAGTTTAGAACTGATAGAGCTATCCAGTATAAATAAAGTTAGTTTAGTTTAGGTTTCCTTCTGTAGTAACACTGGATCAATAAGAGATGATTCTTACTAGACCTCTAGGAAGAGCAGTTTAGAACTGATAGAGCTATCCAGTATAAATAAAGTTGGTTTAGTTTAGGTTTCATCCTGTAGTAACACTGGATCAATAAGAGATGATCCTTACTGGACCTCTAGGAAGAACAGTTTAGAACTGATAGGGTTATCCAGTATAAATAAAGTTAGTTTAGTTCAGGTTTCCTCCTGTAGTAACACTGGATCAATAAGAGATGATCCTTACTGGACCTCTAGGAAGAACAGTTTAGAACTGATAGAGCTATCCAGTATAAATAAAGTTAGTTTAGTTTAGGTTTCCTCCTGTAGTAACACTGGATCAATAAGAGATGATCCTTACTGGACCTCTAGGAAGAACAGTTTAGAACTGATAGAGCTATCCAGTATAAATAAAGTTAGTTTAGTTTAGGTATCTTCTGTAGCTGGATCAATAAGAGATGATCTGGGAATGATAGAGATATCAAAATACAAAAGTCCGTTTACCTCTAGCTTTTGATTATAGAAAAAGTAAAAGATCGACTGACTATGCAATGTCAAAACATCACTGCTTCCTGTGATGTCCACCTGTTTGAGCAAAAATTGCATCTAATTATATCCGTGCTAATTGAGCACGTTTATAGTTTGCTGGAATTAATTTCGACGAGAGGCTTTTAACGTTAGTAATAACATTGTATGCGAGCTGTCATATTTATACGAGTCTTCTCTCTCATTAACAGTTGGACGTGCTTTTAACGTGGTTGTCTCTCGAAAGATCGTATACACTCGTTTTTGTTATGTCAATGGAAGAAATATGTCGTTTGTGTGATGATCCATTCTGCTGAGGAATATTCCGATTCAGAAAATTCTGGTTTGTCAAAATTTAAATTTATCTTGAAATAAGAAAATAGACTTCTCTTAGTCGTTTTTTTTATGTTGTTCGTCAGCTGCTACGGTTTCGGTACTTTTGACCGCGGCTGCATATTTTTGTAATTCTTGTTATAGGACCCTATGTTCAAGCGAGTTTTCGTATAGTGTATATAGAACTCTTGCGGTCAAAAAAGAATAAGAGTTTTGTGGGAAAGTTAATTGAGGGGTTCTCACCAAAGTAAGCGTTCGCAACTGAAATTATTGGGAACAGCTCTCGTTATATTTTCACAAATTAGCGATGAAGGCTTTCATGAAGCAAGTCAGAGAGCTTGTTTCTCTTCGATTCAACGATTGTCTTATATAGTCGATCAAAAACAAACCCCCATACAGCTAGATCAGTTTTGAATCACCCGCTATCTCGTTGTTAGATATCTGATCATGATAATTTAGGACAAATTGTTGGCCAACCTGCTAGCTGCTATATAAATTGTTTGTGACGATGTTGTAGAAACAGCTGTTTAATAACTGTGTTAACCTTGCGTTATTTTATTGTATGCATGATACATATCTCGAGTTCCACTGCTATACATATGTAGAAAACAGATTATTAAGAACACCCGTTGGTTAAGGATGTTTCAAATCTAAAAAGCATTTGAACGTTAAAAGCAAGAGTCGATTTTTTTGCCCGTGCCATGGGATTGCTAATTTGGCTGTAGTTAATATATCCTTAAGCGCGCGTTTCGTTTTATCCGTGTGCTCTATTATGAGATACGATTTTGATAAACTGAACGGCCTGACTACCTGCTTTCATAAAGTGTTCGTCGTTTACATCGAAGAAACGGATGTAGGAGAACCATGATGTCATGAATTTTTTTTGTGAAGCTGAAGTAAGGTCTAGCGATATGATGGCTCATGCATAAACCGTTGTTTTCCAGTGTAGAATTTTCATTTGTACCAGCCTAAAAACTTAAGATATCCCACAAGAGTTTGGGTTGATCGTGAACAAAGTTTATGTATGAAGAGAAATACAGTTTCGAGTTTTATCGCTTGATAAGGTCCTTTTAAAATATGACGTGTTCCGTGTACGTTATCAAGCGAGCGTATATAATTTCCTTGTTTATACCTGCAGCAAAGGAAATCCATTCGTACACGCTGTTAAGCTGTTTTATGAGTGTAATGTACTCCAACGCCTTTTAAAAGCACTTGCATGTATAGCGTGTTTTTCCCAGTTCGCAAACTACAAGTTGAAATACACTTAGACCGTTTAATTTTGACAACTCAGTTAGGATGATGTTTATAGTGCCGTTTATTTATCCCCGAATTTCAGTTAAACGAATATATTAATAGTGCATGTCATCCCAGCGTGAACCAGCGGCTGTGTGGGTATAATTGTGGCTATATCTTTTTCAATCGCAATTTTTAGTATGTTCACAGATCAGTATCTTCCGGAGACTTATGTAGGTGACGGGCGTTGTTTATTTTCTGCAATAACACAAAATAAGAACGCAACGTTAAATATACGCGTTAGTTTAGTTGTCAACATGCATTGTTCTTCAAACAAAAATGCTTTTTTCCAATATTGCTTCTATAGAAGCCGAAAATTGTTTAAAAGCTTGTGATGAAACACAGTGAATGTTTTGTTTTATGGATGTCTTCAGTGCCGAAAATGGCTGTACCTTACAGTACAAATAATTTTTAGTATACGAAAATCTTTAGTATAATCTAAAGTATACGAAAATATATCGTAAAAAGCTATTATTGATATTACGAAAAGCCAGGAAAGTTGACTTTCATGCATTTAAAATTTAATATCGCAAGGTTTGCCAGTGTTTTTATTTGTTCTCTCCGTCTCCCTGGCAACACGCGCGTTGAAATACCGTTTCCTTGGGTCGGGTGTATATATTTTGGCTTCATTGATCGAAAATTAATTCTTTTCATAAAACAGTGCAAATGTCTTGATAAGTTTGAGCGATTTTTGTGACATGTGCGGGTAGAATTAATGAGATAGATACAGTGCTTTTATTAAAAACCTTTGCCGAACTGCTTGCTTAATATATTAGTAGATAATTCAAAATGCAAACGTCGTTTTAATAACTTTCATATCTTCGGTCATATGACACTCGTGGAGTAAGAAAATCCTACAGTTTTTGCTTTAAAATATAAATTAAGTTCAACTTTGAAAGCTAAAAATACAAGCAAAACAATCGCCCTAATTGAACATTATCATTTCAATTGCTGTAGTTACTGAGTGAAAATCCCGTACACCCCCCCTGCTCTTTCCTGATTGAAATTTTTCCATCAGATATTTTCCACGGCTGTATATTTCACAGATTAATATATATATAATATTCATGCATGATGTGAAATTAATACTGATAATGATATGATTGTTTCTGATATCAAAAGCATGCTAAATGCTATGCCGTTCACCTTACCCACAATAAGGATAACCCATGCATGGGTTTGTCAGGCAATTTCTAAAGCGTTTTGTCCATTCAGTGGAATTTCTTCCCAGTCAAAAAGTACCACAACAATGTTTTATTTCTAGCATATATAGTAGAGTCCTTCTGCATGTAAGTTCCAGTCTTCGCGCGAACCTATAATATATATATCATTGATATATATACACCAATATATTGGTCCGCAAGCTATAGTTAGTCGCTGCGTTTTGCTTTTAATGTGTACATCTAAACCCCAGTCTGCTGTTGAAGCGAAGGGAATATAAAGGGAATGTTTTTAAACGATTCCTGTTTGGCCATCAGACAGCTGATAACGATGTAATATAGTATACTTCACTATATACATCTCCTTATCTTTTCGAAATAATTTGCACTCTATTGTTCGTTCCATTCCCGGCCGTGCCACGCCAGGCGGTATTTTAGATTAAATTACTCGTGAGCTATTACGAGCTCTTGAGAACCTCGCGAGGTCGCCGCGCTCACAAAATTTTGTAATGAGACTCTCGCGATCGGTTAGTTCAGTGTTCATGAGCCGACGTCAGCAAGCCAAATTAAACGTTTTGTGTGTTCGACCTGTCTGTTTATCTTTCATCATCTGTTCGACCTTGTCGTCTGAGATATATTATTGAAGACGTTTGTGCATTTTGAATTTCAGCTGTTCCTGTAACGCTGAGCTGTGATCGAGTTATACCATCGGAAGGACTCGTCCTACTTAGTTTTTTTACGCTCGTATAACTAACAACCTTCATTTTGGGAAGAGTTTACCTTCACATCGACTAGTAAAAAGGATTTTAAAGCTAGTAAAAAGACTGAGGATTCCTTGGAAAGGAAACAGACGAAAGCTGTGTGTAAATAGCAAAATGGCAAAAACTGCATCATCGACTTGGGTCGTTAGTTTAACAACTCTGGTAAGTTAACATATACATATAGTTTTTATACTCACTTTATCTTTGTTATTTTTTAATTTCGTCTCATGCAGATAGCTATAAGATCTCGCTGTATTTTTCAGCGTACGAATCGTATAAATCATTAAAATATTTGTTTACAAGCGCGAAGCTGAGCGTAGTTACTGCATGCATAAAAAGTGTTAACTCTTTAGAGCTACCAGATATATATACACACATTTTGTTCGTTGTAAAACGTTCGCCCTAATCCACTTGTATATAATGGTACTAAATGTGTTAATCGTGAATAGGATTTCTTTTTAGTATTTCAGGAAGGAACTTATGGCTATTACTATAGAATATTGTACTTCGGGTGTTTAAAATTCAGCCAACGCATATTTTAGTTTTGGTGTTTCTGCGCGGCGAATGTCGTCATGAGCTTGTTAGAGTTCCTACTGGAACCGCGTCAAGTGTGAATGATATATACATGAGACAATTTATAGCCAAGATATACATCAATATTACAAGAAAATTTGCCGTGAAGTATAATCTAAGTAGTATTTGATACATGCCATAGTTACCAACGAAATGGCCTAATATCCATGTATTTTTAAACAGTTGCTGGGGTTTTATGTCCAAGCAATTTGGCTAATGAATGTTTTTAACTCCGCAGATGATTTGGTAAATTCATGTATTGTCCTTTTTAAGTCCTCCTGCACATATGGTTATATAATAACGGCAATGACATTTTATCAACTGCGTTAACAAGATATATAAATTTAAAACGTATACATGTAGAAAATATTCTCAATCCCATTAAGCTCTCGTGGTTTACACTGTTGTGTGTACTACTTCAGAAAATATATTAAACGTGAGGTCCAGTGTAGGTAGTATATTCTACAATAAGCTGTCGTGGTTTGTGTCTGAATTACCTGAGAAAGATATCTCAAACGTGGTGATCCAGTGTACGTAGTATTCTACAATGAGCTGTCGTGGTTTGTGTCTGAACTACCTGAAAAAGATGTCTCAAACGTGGTGGTCCAGTGTAGGTAGTATTCTACAATAAGCTGTCGTGGTTTGTGTCTGAACTACCTGAGAAAGATATCTCAAACGTGGTGGTCTAGTGTAGGTAGTATTCTACAATAAGCTGTCGTGGTTTGTGTCTGAACTACCTGAAAAAGATGTCTCAAACGTGGTGGTCTAGTGTAGGTAGTATTCTACAATAAGCTGTCGCGGTTTGTGTCTGAACTACCTGAAAAAGATATCTCAAACGTGGTGGTCCAGTGTAGGTAGTATTCTACAATAAGCTGTCGTGGTTTGTGTCTGAACTATCTGAGAAAGATATCTCAAACGTGATCGTCTGATAATGTGCCACTCCGAAAGCAGCTGTATTTTCCCAGAAGCTGTCAATTTTTTGTAGGACGTGTAACTCATTATAAACCTATGAGCTGTTTTCCACTTCAACCGTACCTTAGCTACACGTAGCGTCTGTCATTCTTTCCTGGACACTCAGACTCATGACTTTGACACGAAGAAACACGCTACGGTTCCCTACGGTTGAAGTAGAACACAGGCTTATGCACTCGTTAACATTAACATATATTCTCTTTTATTCTCAGCTTTTGCTCGGATATGGAATCTGTGAAAGTGAAGAAAACGGTATGGAAAATTGTATATTTTTGTACTGAAGTCAAGTATAGCTGAGGTTTTCCCTTGAAGAAATGATCCTAATCCTCCCACTAGACATGCATAATAGTAATAATTTTGCATTGAGAGTCGAGATGTTTTGAAGCATTATGCGATTTTCTCATCTCTTGCCCTGGATTATCCGCTGAATAATCTTTTAATTCTTCAACAGATTTCTCGCTGGGCTGTTTCAAACAGAACACGAGCGAAACTCATTTCAATATTACAGCTGGAGACTATGTCTACAGTGTGAACCTCACCGGCAAAATCTGCGCCAAAGCTTGCTCCAACCTAAACATCAGCGTCACGTTCGCTGCCGTTTCCGTAAATGGTATTTGTTTGTGCAGTCAAAATGAAAAAATTTCCATGCCATCCGTTTCAAATTCGTCGTGTTTATACCCGCAAAGTGATGGTCTTTATTACAGAGTCTATAGCGTTGCAGTGCTACCAATGCTCACTGTTCCCTCGTCTGTAGCGACTCTTAAGGAATTCAACGTCACTTTCCCAGGTAAAATGTTTCGTTTTTTCTTTAGTTTTTTAACGTCTTTGACTGTCCCTCTAATGTTGAGTAAAATCGTCCTGTTTTGTAGTAAGAATCCGGTTTCATTTCCTGCTGCCAGTGAACTTACCACCTGGCGGTTATTGTCAGGGCCGCGGGAGAGAGAGAGGGGAGGTAGGGGGGCAGGTAGGGGGGCAGGTAGGGGGGCAGGTAGGGGAGAGGGGCACGGAGGGGAGGTGAGGCGGTTAGACGAAACGGGGGGGGGCAGGAAGAGGGGGAAGGGAGGGGGCAAAAGTTATATTGTATGTAGGATATTGCGTGGCTTTTTACAACTTATTCGCAATGTTTCTCATGACAGGTGCCACAAGTTGTTCGTATACACTCGACTTCGATGACGGGATAAAGAAAATCATTTCTAATATCGACACAACAGTGAGTCACTACTACGCAAGCGCTGGAGAGTACCGGCTCGAACTGTCCTCGAGCCCGCAGTGCATGCCTCAAGCGGTTAAGGCTACCGTTACGGCCACCTACGAAGGTTTTGCAAACGCTTCACTTGACTGTCCTGATGTGGTTGAGCTGACTGAGAAAGCGTCATGTATGCTGAGTGTCCTCGCCGCTGGGACGAATGTAAACATTACTAATACTACCAATGCAACGCTGGCTGGTGAGTTGTGACTTACTGCATCGCTCATACCAGCCTATTTAGCCGTATAAACATTTAAACCATGATCATATCTTCCCAGATACCGTTGTTGAAACGATTGGCCCTAAAATACTCCAGGAATCTGACACTGTCAGTGTTTTGTCTAATGGTACCTACGTCATGCCGCTGTCGTCAGCAATCAACGATGGGAGCCTTGTTGGTTTTCAAATGGACCTCTTGACTTCTGAAGATATTACAGTCCAGGTTTGTGTTTTAAATTGGCGCCCCCCCCTGTCAAGCCCAAACAATGAGTAAAACGTTGACTATATATGGACTATGATGATGCCCACAAAGGGACTGTTGGCTAGCACACGAATACGTTGCGAGTTGCAAGTCATTAGTCCACTCTTCTTTCTGTCAGATTCTATCACCCGTGTGTAGCTCCGGTCAAAAACCCTGCCGTGGAGGTTGCGTATCCACGTCTGATTCTTGTACTGGAGAAAAGACGAGCTATGGCGAGATATTGTCATTCTGTTCTTCCGCTACAAATGTCTCGACTGAAAGCAATCATTTTACAACGTACCGTGTGAGTTCAGGTGAGCTATGATTAGTATTTTCATAAACAGCAACTGAGTAACATCTTAAAAGCAATAAATCCCCGTTATTGAAGACTTATCCCAGTGTGGTGGTGGTGATTTCAGTCATTTATAATACTGTACTATTTACAATTATTGTACATTTTTCACATGGCAATGTCATAATAGTAATTCTGTCTTTATATTTTAGAATTTGTTTTTAAATCAACGGGAAGCCCTGGTTCAAAACTTATGAAAAGTCCATCCCCAGTCTCAATAAAGCGAGGGGATGTCCTTGCGTTTCATATCTCAACCGCAGCTAGGATTCCACACATTAAAACAAACTCCTCTTACGTGTTGACGTATTGTGGTCAGAAGTTCTCGAAGGGCCAAACGATAAACGTCTCAGATGCTAATCCGCAACAGAATGTTGTGATATGGTTTCGCATGCACCTGAGATCATCCGTGTCCTTGGAAATCCCGATTGACTTGAAGCTGCCCAGAGTGCATTACGTGTACAAAGTTTCCAGCGCATCATCTTTGGCCTATGAAATAGTCAGAGCTACAGTCCTGGTTCAGGTATGGAATCAAGATACCATCTGAACTAAACTAACTTTATTTATACTGGATAGCTCTGACAGTTCTAAACTGTTCTTCCTAGAGGTCCAGTAAGGATCATCTCTTATTGATCCAGTGTTACTACAGGAGGAAACCTAAACTAAACTAACTTTATTTATACTGGATAGCTCTATCAGTTCTAAACTGTTCTTCCTAGAGGTCTAGTAAGGATCATCTCTTATTGATCCAGTGTTACTACAGGAGGCAAACCTAAACTGAACTAACTTTACTTCTTTACAGGAGAGAATATCAGGTTTAAAAATTCTATCCCCCCGGATTGGAAAATACTATGCGACGGGTGTGGATATCCTCTTTGAATTCAACGTCACCAATGGAACAAGTGTCGAGTACACAGTCAAGCCCGCAGATGGAACTGCTGATCTAAATACAACCGCAAATCAACTGAACCATGTGTATAGGAATCCAGGTAATGTTTGATGGTCTGGCGTGAGAGAACTGGGACTCGAAAGGCGTTTAGCTTAAACGGTGGATAAGTTCAAAATGGAAAACGAAATTGATCTATTTATTGAACAACTGAGCTGAAATCTTTCAATGTAAATTGTTGAATTTTCAATGGAAGTACATATTACTGCATAAGATGCAGGTTCAGTCATCCACAAGATGTATGAGAGTATTTTTAAACTTTGGCTTATCCAGCGTTTAAGCTAAACTCCTTTCGAACAACCGTCCCCTGGACTTTATAGTTTTCTGGCAAGAGTCTATCCATCGATGAAAGTAGGTCGTTCCTTATTCCTAAAAACTCGACTGGTGCTGATAACTCCTAAAACAAAAGAACCCAAAAGAAATTGGTTTGTTTGCTTGTCTCTTTAAATTTCTAGGAAACTACACGTTTAATGTCACAGCATCAAACCGTATCAATTCCGTGAACGCGAGTCAGACTGTATCCATAGCTGAGGACATTAAAAATCTCACGTTTATCCGAGATCCGAAGCTTCATCCTGGTGAAGTTGGCAAGCCCTACCAAATTTCGTTTTCCCTCCAAGCTGGGGACAATCCCACGTTTTATGTTGAATATGGAAACAATGTGTCCATGTTTTATTCGTGTGATGACGACTTCAACAAAACTATTACAACTAATATCACGTAAGTGCAAGATAAATATTGAAGTTTTTTTCAGATCAACGATTTTCAGATCGGCTTAAATTTCTGGCCATTTTTAAACTGATAGAGCTATCCAGTATTTTTATAAAGTTAGTTTATTTTCTCGTGTAGTAACACTGGATCAATAAGAGATGATCCTTACTGGACCTCTAGGAAGAACAGTTTAGAACTGATAGAGCTATCCAGTATAAATAAACTTAGTTTAGTTTAGGTTTCCTCCTGTAGTAACACTGGATCAATAAGAGATGATCCTTACTGGATCTCTAGGAAGAACAGTTTAGAACTGATAGAGCTATCCAGTATAAAGTTAGTTTAGTTTAACGTGTTTTAACGGGTAATATAGCATCAAATGTGGTATAACAACTGCCCAAAATAGACAAAACGCTTCTCGACGTTTCGACCTGACGGCCTTCGTCAGGAGAGTTAGTGTTTAGTTCAGATAGTCTTTTGGCCAAAATAAGAACAGATTAGTCGTAATAAGAACAAAAGTTAATAAACATTTTAAATCTTTTTCAGTTATACAGAAGTCGGTACATACAACATCACAGTGTCGGCATTTGGTCTCGTCGAAGATAGTAAGCTAACTATAAGATCAACTGTGGAAATAATGTCTCCCATTCAAAACTTCTCTGTGAACATCGCAACTGACGAATTGAATGTTGAGGTGAAAAATGCAAGTTACTCTATCGAGAAACACGATGCCGGCAAATCCATATATTTCCAAGCCAATATCGGTTCTGGTTCGCCAGTTAGTTTTGTCTTTATTATAATACAGCCTGAACCGAAGGGCAAGTTGACACATAATGAGTGGGACGATAAACCGCTGGACAATACGACAAAGATCGTGCCTAAAGCCCTGGGACTTTGGAAAGTAATCGTCGTCGCAAAGAATGGAATAAGCAATAGGAACTGCACAATTTCAATCAATGTCCAAAGTCTCTGTGTACCACAAGTTCAGATTTATGACAGCAGAACCAGGGATCGACCATTTAGAACAAGTCTTGGATCCGATATCCGCGTAAACTCTAAAATTGTCTGGTACAACGAGAGCTGTTCGTATAAGATTTCTTGTTTGTACAACTGGACTCTGTACTCAAATCCAAACAATTCAGTTTCTAAGCAAAATAAAACGTTTTTCTCCGTCAAAGGAGGCAAACTTGCCCCAGGTACTTATCGACTCGAATTGGTCGCCGTTTGTAATGGCACCCGGCAATACAACAAGTCTTTTGATAAGAGCTATTTGAAGCTCGAGGCGAGTAAGCCAGTTGCTGTAATTAGAGGTAAGAGCAGATCGTACGCTGGAATCTTTACCTTTCATCACGATATCATTTCCTATTTAGACCTATTTTCTTTTTCAAAGTTTTTTGGCGTTCTCGGTGTTGTCAACAGCTTACGGTTAATTGTAGAAAAGGTCGTTCATTGTAAACCTTCAGCGTCCCTGATCTTGAGAAAGCAAACGAAAGCGCCCGTGCAATTTCTCCCAAGTCTAGCAAACATGCATTGTGGATTTCTGAATTGCGTTTTACGAACCTAGAAACTGAGAATCAGTTTTGTTGAATTCTTTAGGTGGATTGGAACGGGATGTCGTTTTACCAACTGATGGTATTATCTCGTTAGACGCAAGCGAATCCTATGATCCCGACGTAAAAAACTTCAATTCCACGGGTCTTTCATTTTCTTGGGAATGTTCGTTTAATTGCCCAAATGTGACATTTGAACGGAGAAATAGCTCAGTCGTGAGAATTAATGCGACGAGATTGCCGGAAAAGACAAGTTTTGGGATGATGGTTACGGTGAAGACGAAATTTAACAAAGCTAACGCAAACCAAACGATTACAATTGCGGACCGAAATGCACCTACAACGGAGATTAGGTAAGTAGATCGAGCATGTTGTTCTTACAAGAATCTAGCTGCATGTATCATGGATAGCTATCAGTTCTAAACTGTTCTTCCTAGAGATAACATCTTTTATTGATCCAGTGTTACTACAGAAGGAAACCTAAACTAAACTAACTTTATTTATACTGGACAGCTCTATCAGTTCTAAACTGTTCTTCCTCGAGGTCCAGTAAGGATCATCTCTTATTGATCCAGTGTTACCACAGAAGGAAACCTAAACTAAACTAACTTTATTTATACTGGACAGCTCTATCAGTTTTAAACTGTTCTTCCTAGAGGTCCAGTAAGGATCATCTCTTATTGATCCAGTGTTACTACAGGAGGAAACCTAAACTAAACTAACTTTATTTATACTGGATAGTTCTATCAGTTCTAAACTGTTCTTCCTAGAGGTCCAGTAAGGATCGTCTCTTATTGATCCAGTGTTACTACAGGAGGAAACCTAAACTAAACTAGCTTTATTACTTTATTTATACTGGATAGCTCTATCAGTTCTAAACTGTTCTTCCTAGAGGTCCAGTAAGGATCATCTCTTATTGATCCAGTTTTACTAAAGGAGGAAACCTAAACTAAACTAACTTTATTTACATTTGATAGCTCTATCAGTTCTAAACTGTTCTTCCTAGAGGTCTAGTACAGGAGAAAACCTAAACTAAACTAACTTTATTTATGCTGAGTAACTCTATCAGTTCTAAACTGTTCTTCCTAGAAGCCAAGTAAAGATGATCTTTTTGAAAATGGCAAATTATAATAAATTGTCAGTAAATTAATAAATTATTTCTTCCATATTTAGATGTCGAATAAACTGTCTCAAACTTGTAAATCCTGAAGATCGTCTTTCCTTGGAAGGCCACTGTCTCTCTTGTAACCATAGTAACGGTAACGGTAACGGTAACGTGACATTCACGTGGACATTGTATCGAAGCGGTGCTAATATTTCTGTTGACACTACGACCGGTTTTAGCAAAGAAAATATCGTGTTGTCGCCTGGTGTATTAAACAGGAGTGAAAAGTATGAATTACACCTGACGACTAAACGAAATAACTTACAATCCCGTTCCGTTTATTCGTTTGAAACTGCCGGAGAACTCACTGGAGGAACATGTCATATATCGTAAGTTAAGTCCAGAAGTCACTGGGCAAAATTATGTGCTCAAGTTGCCTTGCTGTTTTCTTTCCGTTGTGTTTTAAAACCCTGGGGCCAAGGGCCGATTGTTCAAAAGCCGGTTAGCGTAACTCTGGCTTAACTCGTATTTTTACATCAATTTTTTTTAATCGCTTGTTTATGAAGTTGAATATGTTTTTCCATAAATATTTTCTGGATCAATAGAAGTCCTATTTTGTAAAAATCTTGAAACGAACAGCACTACAGAAGCATGCAATATTCCCGGAGACCATGAAGTAACTGTTTGTTACTTTATATAAATATAATTTTAGACATATTTTATATACCTTCTTCTTTTTTTAACATTCCATTTCTTTATTTCATATTTAGACCAAAGAGTGGAACAGCAGCTTCGGATGAATTTGATATCTCGTGCTCTAAATGGAAAGCCGAGAAAGCTCCGTTGGTTTACGATATTCAGTACAAGACTTCTGTGGAAACGGATACGAACCTAAACACAGTTAAAAGTAAACAATATGAGTGGATATTATGGTACCACGGTCAAGAGGGAAAAACGCCGGCCAGAAAATTGCCCGCAGGCCCGGAAAAGAATGGTTATAAGATTGAAATCATTATTGAAATCCGGGATGGTTTCGGAAATTTTGCCAAAGAAAATTTAACAGTGGAGGTATGGACGTTAATTTTTGAATTCGTATCACAAGACACCCGACAAAGGTTGAATCAAAGTTTTTTCGAACGATGGGCAATTTTAGAACGATTGGAAAAAAGGCGGATAACGCTATCCAGCTTTCGTATAACCGCCCCCAGAATATATGCTTGAATCATGCAAACTGATTCGTTTATGTTTTGTCAGGTGAAGAAACAAGAGCTGGATCGCGATAAATTACAAAAGGATATAAAGAAATTGGAAAGTATCGACGGTGCTGAGAATCCTCAGGAACTGACACAAAGTGTGACACTGTTTGCACAAGTCTTGAACGATGGGCAAAACAGCAGCAAAGACAGCGAAGATACATCGAAGACAAGTGATAAAGAAGTACGTCATCCCGTTTGAGTTACTTGCTTGAAATGTTCTACTTTTCAGATTACCCCCCCTGCAGACACGTAACCTTGACGGGTGTTGGTTGAACCCCCCCCCCCTGTAGTAAGTTTATGTCCCTCCTATAAAATTCATTTCATAAAGATCCCTTGTAAAAACTAATTTTTCCACGTTATCATCTTGTTTAGCTTCGACATACTCTCGCTGAAAAACTATCGAAAGTTGAAGCGAATACTTTACCCCTGATCCAGCAAACTTCGACGGCAGTAAAACTTATTGCATCTGAAAAAACTCAGGTCGTCCAAAAGACGCAGGTTTGTTTATGTTGCGATTTGCGCTGGCCAATGATAGCTTAACTATCATTTAGTAAACACGTTTCAGTATCAACCCTCGAGCATTAACACGCTATTCGCTTTGTCCTTTATTGCTTTGGGCATTCACAAGCACCAGTTGATCAATTGATCGCCTATAGACCTATGTCCACTGTATTTTATTTTGTGTTTTAGGTGAGTGCAGTCACAACTCTAGAGAAGATGAGTGAAAGCCTACTAAAAATTGCATTCGACCCTGGAAGACGAACAGGACAAGAGATCGATAAGACATCAGGAAGTATCTTGTCAAGTTTGTCGAAGATTATGGACGCCTCCGTTTTTACTGGTCAAGATACAAGCAAAAAAGATGGTTTGTTTTCTTAACTCTACTAGGACTTTATCAAGCCTTTCATTCACTTCTACACGCGTAAAAACGCTCAGGTTGATGCAAGTTGATATAAACAGAATGGAGCAATGCTGTGCTGCCCACATTGTTCAGGGTTGTTATCAATATTGAACAATATTGTTACACCCGATTCAGTTTCAACAATATTGTTCAATGTTGATAACAACTCTGAACAATGTGGGCAGCACAACATTGCTCCATCCTGTTTATATCAACTTGCATCAACCTGAGCGTTTTTAAGCGTGTAGGAATTCATCCGAAGTTTTATCCAAGCGTAGGACTTGGCCAAACCTTCATCTTGTTCTATATGAATTGTCCTGCGTTTGAAAGAACTTCATGCAGGTGTGAAATTGAATTGGAGTTTTAATTGGATTTTAAACATGATAATATGTTTTTCAGCGCCCGAATTAGCGAAGAAGAATCTATATGGCACGTTATCCAAGCAAGGACAAGAACTAAGAAAGGTATGAATGATTCTGATGAATAATATAGTTATTAACAGTGCATGATAACTAAGAAAAGATTTGTACTTTTTCAAGAATGGTATATTTGTATTGGCTATAAATAATTATGACTTCATCATTCAGATGAATAAACCAAATGGTTTAGATTAATAAACTATATGGACTCCATTGAAATTGTGGATTCCTGTTTTACTGCAAGACCAGAAAGATGCCATTGTCAGCATGGCATGAAGTATCGTTGTAACAGGTCTTCTAACTCTTTGTTGTAATTTGTAATGTTGTAAGGTTGGCGTCAATACTGAGGATGTCATAGAGGTTTGGGACAAAACGTTTGAAAAAGTGACGGCAGCAATGTCGAAAGGCAAACTTATTGGTGAGAAGCCAACCACTATCAACACGTCAAACTTTGTTGTGGAGCTGAACAAGGTAGATAATAAACGTTTGAATCATGGGAAAATTAAGGAAAGTGTTTCAAGCGAGACTGGTTCAAAGGCTGCCATTTCGTTACCAAGTCTGAGTACGTTGGGTCTCTTGAAAGAAAACAAAGAAGGGCAAATTTTCACCGAGGTGAGATGTGTACGAACATTGCAGTTTATAAAACAAAGTTTTGTCCAATCTGCTCTCAAATACAAAAAAACAGACAGCTACATGAGTTTTGGTGGTGCTGAATTTAACGGTTTTTAGGAAGCGATGTGGTATCTATTTCTTTTCCCCTCATACAAATGAACCATCTCTGATCGTAAACAAGCAAAGCTCGACTTTTCTCTCGGTCATTCTTGATGGTATTTGAATTTTTTTTTAGATGGTTTATTTCAATAAGAATCCTTACACCTGGGATATCAAGACTTCTCATTACATCCAACCACGAGTATTTACTTTCAATTTTCGTGACGAAAATGGCAAAAAAATCACCGTAAAAGATCTGAAAGTTAATATCAACATCACTCTTTCAAACGATGGCAGCGGTGTCGTATACACTCCTCTAAATCAATCTAAGACCGACGATAAATTTTTCTGGTACGGTTTTTCTGTGAACGAGGATCACTTCGATGAACTGATGATGCTCAAGATTAAAAAAACCGGTCAGGACCAGAAAAAGCGAAAACCTAAGTTTTATGTGAAGTTTGGAGAAAAGGTGGGGTTTAAATTGATGGTTGAATCAATGATGTTGGTGAGAATTTCATCCGTGAATCGAAAACGCAGTCCATGATTGTTAGGCTTGTATTCTCTTCCACAGTTGTTCATCGTATGCATTTCAACAAAGTTCAGACCTTTTGAACGTTTAGTTTTCCATTTTCCCAGCATGGCCTTGCTTTGAGATGACGGGTTTGGTCTAGACTTGCTTATATTCTAAGCTTTCTTGCTTATATTTATCACGGAATTCATATCATTTCTAAATATCATCTCTCATGGCAACTGCACCATTGAATTTTTTTCTTGTGTTAGGTTTCCCGAACGAATTACGATTATCAACATTCACTGAAAGGGGATTGTGTTGGTTGCTCTGATTACCCTATAGATATTAAGGAGCATGCGGATGATACTTTTGTAGTCTTCTTTCGAGACAAAGCGAAACTGAAGTCAGTCAAAGGTGTTGTATCAGTTGGCTTGCTGGTGTGTTCGCATTCAGATGGGCAAAACTGCAATCCAGAGGATCAAGTCTACGATGTTTTTGTCCAAAGTATCTCTTGTCGCTATTGGAATCACACTGAATGGCTCAAAGATGGATGCAAAGTGAGTTACATGTAGTTGCAGACTGTGAGAATAAATTTGACTCCTGTAGTAACACTGGAAAGAACAGTTTAGAACTGATAGAGCTATCCAGTATAAATAAAGTTAGTTTAGTTTAGGTTTCCTCCTGTAGTAACACTGGATCAATAAGAGATGATCCTTACTGGACCTCTAGGAAGAACAGTTTAGAACTGATAGAGCTATCCAGTATAAATAAAGTTAGTTTAGTTTAGGTTTCCTCCTGTAGTAACACTGGATCAATAAGAGATGATCCTTACTGGACCTCTAGGAAGAACAGTTTAGAACTGATAGAGCTATCCAGTATAAATAAAGTTAGTTTAGTTTAGGTTTCCTCCTGTAGTAACACTGGATCAATAAGAGATGATCTTTACTGGACCTCTAGGAAGAACAGTTTAGAATTGATAAAGCTGTCCAGTATAAATAAAAGATTATGTATTGTTTCAAAGGTTGGTCGTAAGTCGACACCACTGAACACCGTCTGTCAGTGCAATCATTTGACTGCATTCAGTTCTTATATCGTGAGACCAAACCCTATGACGAAGTTTTCGCTTGAAGATTTCGAACAAGGATATGTTTGTTTTGTTGCTGTTGCGATAATGTTCATTTTCTACATCATCGTCTTGATTTGGGCGAGAAGAGCTGATCGATCTGACTGCGCTAAGGTGGAGTAAATATTCGTAGCAAAGCTGCCTTTTTGTTCTGGCGAGGCTTTGGAGAACAAGTTGGTCCATCTTTACTTATTTGTCTTAAGTTTATGTTTTCATACCTTAGGTCGGTGTGTGTGCATTGTCGGATAACGGAGCTCAGGACAGGTACCGATATGAGATCGCTATCTGGACAGGCATGCGCAGAAACGCTGGGACTGGCTCCGAGGTAACTATCATCCTTTCTGGTGAAAAAAACGATTCTGAAGCAAGATCTCTAGTGAACCCACAGAATCCGAGATTTGTTCGTGGAAGTATGGAGAAGTTTCTTCTCACCTCACCCAAGGTTCGTACCTGGATTCTCTTTGCTCTATTGTTCGCCCCCCCCCCCCCCGTCTCGTACCCAGGCGCATTGTGTTGTCCAGAATCAACCATCGAAATATCTTTTTCAGGAGATCGGCAGTTTGTACTGTATTCGTGTATGGCACGACAATAGCAAAGGATCATGGTACCTCAGCAGAGTGATGGTCACAGATCTTCAGAAAGATGAAAGATATTATTTCATCTGTGATCGTTGGCTTGCCGTCGACGAAGATGATGGTCAGGTAGATTGACCTTTCAGCAATCTTTCATTTCCTCAAGTTGAAATATTCGTTTCTTTCCTATGCTTAAACCCAGTCCACACTTGTCATAAGAATCTGGGATTCTCTTTGTTTGAATTCACTTGTGCGCAAAACGCTTTGTCTATTGGAAAATAATACAATAGACCCCCAATTCATAGGACCTAACGCGCTTGAACAAGATCTTAGAGAGGATACCACGTTGCTCGTAACATAATTAATCACAATTTCAGGTTGAAAGATTATTGCCAGTTGCAAGTGACGAAGAGCTTGCTGATTTTCATCATTTGTTTTACACAAAAACCAAACGTGGTCTCAGCGACACACATCTTTGGATCTCGGTTCTAAACCGTCCCCCACAAAGCACGTTCACGCGTGTTCAGAGACTCTCGTGCTGTCTGTGTATAGTTATGGCGACAATGTGTGCCAATGCCATGTTCTACCAGGCAGCGAGTGAACCAACAGCAAGTTCGACCAATTTCGTTGGTTCATATTCCTTCACTTGGCAGGAGGTTTGTAATTTTGTATTTGCTTGTCTTGTCAGCCACGACAGCTTATTGTAGAATACTACCTACACTGGACCACCACGTTTGAGATATCTTTCTCAGGTAGTTCAGACACAAACCACGACAGTTTATTGTGGAATACTACGTACAATGGACCACCACGTTTGAGATATCTTTTTCAGGTAGTTCAGACACAAACCACGACAGCTTATTGTAGAATACTACCTACACTGGACCACCACGTTTGAGATATCTTTCTCAGGTAGTTCAAACACAAACCACGTCAGCTTATTGTAGAATATTACCTACACTGGACCACCACGTTTGAGATATCTTTCTCAGGTAGTTCAAACACAAACCACGTCAGCTTATTGTAGAATATTACCTACACTGGACCACCGCGTTTGAGATATCTTTCTCAGGTAGTTCAGACACAAACCACGACAGCTTATTGTAGAATACTACCTACACTAGACCACCACGTTTGAGATATCTTTCTCAGGTAGTTCAGACACAAACCACGACAGCTTATTGTAGAATACTACCTACACTGGACCACCACGTTTGAGATATCTTTCTCAGGTAGTTCAGACACAAACCACGACAGCTTATTGTAGAATACTACCTACACTGGACCACCACGTTTGAGATATCTTTCTCAGGTAGTTCAGACAAACCACGACAGCTTATTGTAGAATACTACTTACACTGGACCACCACGTTTGAGATATCTTTCTCAGGTAGTTCAGACACAAACCACGACAGCTTATTGTAGAATACTACCTACACTGGACCACCACGTTTGAGATATCTTTCTCAGGTAGTTCAGACACAAACCACGACAGCTTATTGTAAAATACTACCTACACTGGACCACCACGTTTGAGATATCTTTCTCAGGTAGTTCAGACACAAACCACGACAGCTTATTGTAGAATACTACCTACACTGGACCACCACGTTTGAGATATCTTTCTCAGGTAGTTCAGACACAAACCACGACAGCTTATTTAGAATACTACTTACACTGGACCACCACGTTTGAGATATCTTTCTCAGGTAGTTCAGACACAAACCACGACAGCTTATTGTAGAATACTACCTACACTGGACCACCACGTTTGAGATATCTTTCTCAGGTAGTTCAGACACAAACCACGACAGCTTATTGTAGAATACTACTTACACTGGACCACCACGTTTGAGATATCTTTCTCAGGTAGTTCAGACACAAACCACGACAGCTTATTGTAGAATACTACCTACACTGGACCACCACGTTTGAGATATCTTTTTCAGGTAGTTCAGACACAAACCACAACAGCTTATTGTAGAATACTACCTAAACTGAACCACCACGTTTGAGATATCTTTTTCAGGTAGTTCAGACACAAAACACAACAGCTTATTGTAGAATACTACCTAAACTGAACCACCACGTTTGAGATATCTTTTTCAGGTAGTTCAGACACAAACCACGACAGCTTATTGTAGAATACTACCTACACTGGACCACCACGTTTGAGATATCTTTTTCAGGTAGTTCAGACACAAACCACAACAGCTTATTGTAGAATACTACCTACACTGAACCACCACGTTTGAGATATCTTTTTCAGGTAGTTCAGACACAAACCACGACAGCTTATTGTAGAATACTACCTACACTAGACCACTTTGTCGAAGGTACCCAAAGCGCTACATCACGACTGTTGAAATCACTGTATTGTATATTTCCCAGGTGTACATTGGCGTGATAAGCTCTCTGATCATCGTTCCAGTCAATGTTGTGATTTTGCATATATTCCGTAATGCTCGTCCCAGGGCTGCTCGCAAGAGCCAGCGTCAATCGAACTCCCTTTTGCCACGTTCAAGCTACGATAACATTCGCACTTCTCAAACGTCTCTTGAAACTCTCGAAGGAGCCCCTGGTAGACCCTCCAGAGATAGTACCGCAGTCGATACGCGTGATATTTACTCTCGATTGTCTTCTGCTGAACTGAAGAAAAAACAGAAAGAGAAGCTGTCGCGTTGGGAAAGATTCAAAAAATGTATTTTTCCCTCGAGTCTTCCTCATTGGTTCGTTTACGTTGGTTGGGTCATCCTTGTGCTAACAACGCTAGGTAAACTAAACTAAACTAACTTTATGCTGAATAGCTCTATCAGTTCTAAACTGTTCTTCCTTGAGATCCAGTAAGGATCATCTCTTATTGATCCAGTGTTACTACAGGAGGAAACCTAAACTAAACTAACTTTATTTATGCTGGATAACTCTATCAGTTCTAAACTGTTCTTCCTTGAGATCCAGTAAGGATCATCTCTTATTGATCCAGTGTTACTACAGGAGGAAACCTAAACTAAACTAACTTTATTTATGCTGGATAACTCTGTTAGTTCTAAACTGTTCTTCCTAGAGGTTCAGTAAGGATCATCTCTTATTGATCCAGTGTTACTACAGGAGGAAACCTAAACTAAACTAACTTTATTTATACTGGATAGCTCTATCAGTTCTAAACTGTTCTTCCTGGAGGTCCAGTAAGGATCATCTCTTATTGATCCAGTGTTACTACAGAAGGAAACCTAAACTAAACTAACTTTATTTATACTGGATAGCTCTATCAGTTCTAAACTGTTCTTCCTAGAGGTCCAGTAAGGATCATCTCTTATTGATCCAGTGTTACTACAGGAGGAAACCTACACTAAACTAACTTTATTTATACTGGATAGCTCTATCAGTTCTAAACTGTTCTTCCTGGAGGTCCAGTAAGGATCACTCTTATTGATCCAGTTTACTACAGGAGGAAACCTAAACTAAACTAACTTTATTTATGCGGATAACTCTGTAGTTCTAAATTGTTCTTCCTAGAGATCCAGTAAGGATTATCTCTTATTGATCCAATGTTACTACAGGAGGAAACCTAAACTAAACTAAGCTAGTATCAGTTTTGAACTGTTTTTTTCTTAGCAATCACGTATCATTTTCTAGGCTCTGCTGCGGTAGTTATTCTGTATGGCATGCAGTTTGGCAATGGCCGTTCACTCCAATGGCTTTTTTCGATAGTCGTCAATTGTGAAGACATATTTGTCCCAGCCTTTAAAAGTGCTGGTCTTTGCACTCGCTTTGCCTGATCATCAAAAAACCTGACGAAGAGAGTTCGGGAGTCGGAATATTACGAGGAGAACGACAGCACTCGCAACAAGGAAATGTCTCAGAGGCGGGAATGATACGGAGAAAAAGGTTTCAACACACCAAGGTTAGTAGGCATCATCGATTGTCGTATTGGTGTGACCTTTCACATAACTGTTAGAAGACGGTGCTCAACTTTCAGTTTTGCCACTATCCACTATGCTAAGGATTCTCTTTCACTATCCACTATGCATATCCACTATGCACTATCCACTATGCATAGTCTAGCTTCAGTCTCTCAAAGTGAAAGTATTTTTTTTAAAACTGTGAGGCCGGGTAATAATTGGTAAAACCATTCATGTAGAAGCCAGCTCTACCCCTCAATTTACGTACCAGATCTTAATATAATCGAGGGAGCATCCAGTCTATCAGTATCGTTACCTCTTAATCTGCCTGTCAAATTCAGATATCATCGAGTGACTTATCTGAGCAACCTGTGCACCTTTCCCACAATCAACCTACTAGATCCATCTAGACAACCCATATACCCACACTTGAAACTACCTACCAGATATTGATATTTTTGAGAGAACATCTGGGCTATCTATGAACCCAGCCGCGCGAGACTGAGAGATCATCATTCTACCTTCAAATTAGATTACCAGTTCGACCGACAGAGGAGATGTTGGCTGTCATGCGGAAAGCAAGAGTAAAGGAGAGGAAAATGTTCTTCCTAATTCAAGAAATCATCGTTCATTTGATTTTCACAATCATTAATGGATGGTCACTTACGGTCATAAGACACGAGATCTGTGTACATGTACAGACATATGAACCGGCTGAGTGCCATGACAGACAAGGTTAGTGTCGATACTTTGCCTTTTATTAGGAAACTAAACGAGTAAGTTGTCAATGCAATATTCCAATATTCTAGGAATTAGATAGCTATAATATAGTGTCTGTTATAATACGTCATTCACGTTTCTTCATAGTTGGATAACTTTTCTCATTTTTGGAACTGGTCGCGACAAGTTTTCATCCCAAGTGCGCTCCCTGAGAAACTTTACAATGGTCGATATGGCAACGTTATGGTTCATGGGACGATGGGTCAACAACTGATCTCGAAGGCAAGAATGAGAGTACTGAGGGTGAAAAACGGTATGTATCGTGTCATACCTAGAGTTTATCGTCACATACCCTGCTATGTTCTCCCTTCCTCGCTACACCTCGCCACGCCTGGTCTCACCACACCTCGCCATGCCACGCCTCGTGCCCCCACGCCTCGTCTCGTCTCGCCACGCCTCGTGCCGCCTCGCTTCGCCACGCCTGGTCTCGCCACGCCACGCCAAGCCACGCCTCGTCTCGCCTCGCCACGTCTCGTGCCGCCTCGTCTCGCCATATAATAAATATACAATAACACGTTGCAATAAAATCTCTTAAGAATCCTGCAAGATTCCGGAACAAATGAAAGGCGCTCTGGACTTTTCCCTCAAAGGTTACTCCATTTTCAACGAAGACGAAAAGTGTTACGCTAGTCGTTGGAAAACTAACCTGAAAGGAGAGAAAGACTCCCCGTGGTGTTTTCAAGATTGGCGAGATCTTGATGGTTACCCAACCTGGGGAAGGTTTAACACTTACAGCGGCAGCGGCTATATCAATGAACTGGTTCCAGGTAAACTAACTTTATACAGGGTGTATCAAAAAAAAGTTTACAGTTAGAAAAACGTCGTTAAATTAATCAGCGCGCAATGCTTGGTAAAACCTTTGGTGAAAATAAGTTGTTTGACGCCCATTGGTTTATCTGACAACAAAATTGTCTCAAAAAAGAACCATTTGTAGAGTGAGAATTTTGTTAGCGAAAAGCACTTTTGAATGAGCTTGCGCCGAGGAAGTATGGAACATGTTGTTTTAACTAGCAAAGTTTCATAGCATTTGGTCAATACCAACGCGAACGCACAGCCGCCAAATCTTAGATTATTTACTCTTTTTCGTTTTTAAATGTCATTTTTAAAGCCTCATTAATTATTCATTGTCATGTCTTTGCACGCTAAGATTTTTGCATAAATTATAACACGGATTTCCCCAAGGGACTTTACGCTTTCAAGCGTTGTTTAAGCTTTTTAACGTATAAAGCGTTTATTTGAACATTGTTTCGAACATTTGATCGTAGATATTATTAACAATACTTATTTACAATGATGTTTATTTACAAAAATTACATTGTTCTGTTTAATCTTCAACGTGACCGCCATTTCGTTCCACACATAAACCAGCCCTAGCAGTCATGCTACTAACAGCACGACGAACCATGGTTCTGGCCTGCCTTAGAATATCCATTTCGTTACGGATTCTCATCTCGAGGTCGTCCAGATTAGCCGGCTGTGTCACATAAACTTTAGACTTGAGTTATCGACATTGCAACAGTTTTTATAAATAAACGCTGTAAAAAGTTCTCCAATTTATGCAATAAATACTTAGCGTACAAAGACATGACAATGCGTAATTAATGAGGCTTTAAAAATGACATTTAAAAACGAAAAAGAGTAAATAATCCAAGATTTGGCGGCTGTGCGTTCGCGTTGGTATTGACCAAATGCTTTGAAACTTTGTTAGTTAAAACAACATGTTCCATATTTCCCCCCCACGTAATCAGATTGCATTTTAAACGTGTCATTTTTCGGCGCAAGCTCATTCAAAAGTGCTTTTCGCTAACAAAATTCTCACTCTACAAATGGTTCTTTTTTGAGACAATTTTGTTGTCAGATAAACCAATGGGCGTCAAACAACTTATTTTCACCAAAGGTTTTACCAAGCATTGCGCGCTGATTAATTTAGCGACGTTTTTCTAACTGTAAACTTTTTTTTGATACACCCTGTATACTGGATAGCTCTATCAGTTCTAAACTGTTCTTCCTAGAGGTCCAGTAAGGATCATCTCTTATTGATCCAGTGTTACTACAGGAGGAAACCTAAACTAAACTGATTTTATTTATACTGGATAGCTCTATCAGTTCTAAACTGTTCTTCCTAGAGGTCCAGTAAGGATCATCTCTTATTCATCCAGTGTTACTACAGAAGGAAACCTAAACTAAACTAACTTTATTTATACTGGATAGCTCTATCAGTTCTAAACTGTTCTTCCTAGAGGTCCAGTAAGGATCATCTCTTATTGATCCAGTGTTACTACAGGAGGAAACCTAAACTAAACTGATTTTATTTATACTGGATAGCTCTATCAGTTCTAAACTGTTCTTCCTATGGCTATGTGTTTGCTACACTAAAAATTTGAACTGTTCTTTTGAAATTCATGTTCATCGGGCTCTTCTCTTTAATTAGGAAAAGACAACAACAAGACTGCAAACGAACTGGAAGCATTGCAATGGCTTAATCGACAAACCAGGGCACTGTTCGTAGAACTCACGACATACAACGCTAATATCAATCTCTACACAGCAGTAAGCCTTCTTTTTGAATTCCCAGAATTCGGCGGTATTTCTTACTTCAAGAGTATAATGCCGATGCGTCTCAAACTTTACGTTGGCGGTTTCGCATTTTTCATTTTTGCTTGTGAGATGATTTTTGCCCTATTTATTCTTGGCTATACTTACATTGCCGTCAAAAAGATATATCACCAGGGAATGGGTTATTTCAAAGAGTTTTGGAACGCGTTGGATTTTGCCATTTTGTTGAGCTCCTACGCTGCGATTGGCGTGTATGTCTATCGCATTGACGTAACAACGAAATTGATGCAAAGGGTGAAAGATCGTGATGGAGAGTTTGTCAATTTCCAATACGTCTCCTATTGGAATGAGGTAATATCATTGAACTACCTTATAAACTTCTAGTTCAGACATTCACTTTGTTATATACTAACTCACTATTAACTAGTGCAACAAATTGCTATCATCTGCGTCTCAAGATAAAAATCTTGTGTTCTGACTTCACCATGACAGGTTTTGAATTGCATTATGGCCTTGGTGGTTGCCTTGACAACCGTGAAGCTGACGAAACTGATGCGTTTCAACCTTCGTATCTCTTTGTTTGGTAAAACACTTCAACACGCAAAACCAGCGTTGATCGGGTTCAGCTTTCAATTCGGGATTGTTTTTTTCGCCTTTATAATGTTCGGTGTCCTGGTGTTTGGCTACAACGTCTCGCAATTCAAAACGATTCCCTCAGCGATGATGGCACTAGGCCGAGTGATACTGGGCAAGAGTCAGTTCACGGAGTTGTTCTTGGCAGATCGTGTGATTGGTCCAATGTTCTTCCTCACGTACGTCATGTTCGTCTGCTGGATTCTTGTCACGATGTTTGTGGCCATACTCACAGACTCCTATCACGAAGTTCAAGACAGATGTTTTGGCATGAGCAACGATTATGAAATTGTTGATTTCGTTCTTTCAAGACTCCGTTCTTGGGCTGGGTTTGGCAAAAAGAAAAAGGTGGGTTTGATTCAAGTGAAAATGAAATCGTGTTTGCAAAAATGATTGATTCACCTGGCCTCAGGCTGGGGGGGGGGTTCATTCACCTGGCCTCAGGCTGGGGGGGGTTCATTCACCTGGCCTCAGGCTGGGCAGGGGTTCATTCACCTGGCCTCAGGCTGGGCAGGGGTTCATTCACCTGGCCTCAGGCTGGGTGGGTTCATTCACCTGGCTTCAGGCTGGGGGGGGTTCATTCACCTGGCCTCAGGCTGGGGGGGGTTCATTCACCTGGCCTCAGGCTGGGGGAGCTTATTCAAGCCAAAGATACCTTGTTCCACCTAATATCTACCATCATTTACTGAAATCGATTTTTTCTTTAGTTGATTCCTGCAGAGCAGAGATGGCGAAATGCTAAAATCAAAGCAAAGGCGGCCGCAACGCTTGGTCGCCAACAATTATATAAGCAAAGTGCAGAAGATATTGCTTATGAGAAGACAGGCGATCTTATGGAAAAGTTGGAAGATAGCGTCAGATCTATTGAGAAACGGGTCAATCATTTAGCCGTACGTTTTGAACTAGAAACTCTAGACTAGGTCTCAACAATACAGACTCAATTATGCTACATTAATTAGGTGGGCATTTAGATGTTTTGATCGAATTCAAAACACAAATAAATCCAACTCGATTGAATCATGCATTTGTACGTGTTTGTCTCAGCTGACAAAAAGTGTCCGTCTTGTAGTTTGTAAAAACCTTATAAGGAAGATCCTATTGGATCGAATTTGAATTGTATAATAAGATAAATGTATCATTTAGAATACCATAACAAAAATAATAATAAAGCATTGATATTTACAGTGTTTTTGTTGTTTGTTCAATCAATAATTTTAAACAAAATGAATGTTTAATCCCTATTAAGCATCCATGGTTTATAAATGTTTAATAGGCAAATCACCGACCCCCAGGTCATACAACAGTCCTAATTTGCAGTTCACTCATCAGAGTAATGGGTATGAGAATAAGGCTGGAAAATGATTTGAGATATAATGCATATTCCTTATACTGTGTTAATCCATTGAATCAAATGAGAACGTCTATCTAATAGTGCTGTACATGGCACATTCCACTGTTGTATAATTTTGTATTTTCTGCGCAGTCGATGCATTAGCAGGCGCATGCAGCTTGATCTGTCTTAGATGCGTGTCTCGTCCGTTCTGATGGTTCGTTAACACCGCAATTTGAATCATAAAAGTCTTCAACGGCTTCTCACTGGCGCCGCCAAGCGGAACAACAAGCCAACCACTGGGTTCCTCCAAATCCACGATATCAATTTGTTTCAAACTATCCAAACTGTTCCCAGCCCTGATGGAAATCTTACTGGGCGTGTAGCTCTCGTCTGACTTGTAATCCACAAAGATACAAACGTTTTGAACCAACGTTTTGCGCCGAAACTTCACGTTAACAAGATGAGGCTGAGGTCCGTCACTTTGCCAATATGTATCCAAGTTTCCGTCCCTCAGTTGCTCAACGCCGAAACCTGGCTTACAGGAGGATAAAGACCAGATAGCCTGATGACCGATTTCGCGTAGTTTCTCGTTTAACGTGGGCAAAAGAATGACTTTTGATTCATTTTCGACAACAGCTTCCTCGGTCGCCATATTGGAAATATCGCTGGTTATCAATTCGGGAATTCCCCCCGTTTTTTCACCAATTATCTCCCCCCTGCTGGCTGCGCCATATATATTGCATTTTGAAAAATGCATAAAGTATTGACTCACTTAAGTTATTTGTTTATTTCATTTCCTGCTGCCCGTTGTCCTTTAACGTGACCTCTGAAACTTTAATTGCGTAAAAGAAATCTTTTTTATCGTAGTTCCTGATTCCCCCCTTCACAAAACATCACTAATTTTCCGCACGTACTGGGACGAATCACAAAGTTTTTTTTCGTCTACGTGTAAGCTTAAAAGTCCAAACTGTCATTTAGCCGACGCTTCACGGTATTAAAAATGCATTCTTAATCCCTTTTTAAGAGGAAATTTGAGAAATTTTTCATGTGCTTTGTATTCATAATAAGTGCGTAGGTCAGCGAAGCAGCCAATCAGAGCGTCTTCTTCCTCAGCCGTAGGAAGTGATGATGGCAAATGTAAATACCTTGTTCACATAACCTCCAGTCTTAATTTAGAGAAAAATTTCAATGCTTTGCATAAAAATGTATTGTTAAGATTTCTGTGGCGACGAATAATGGTGTCAAAGGGTTGCTTTTGGCATCACGAAAATAATGCACAATAGCCGAGTCGCTCCATTTGCCGTCCAAACAGAGTCAAACGGTGTCAACACAAGCAATAGTATGGCGACTTATCCCGAAGGACATGAAGAATTACAACTTGATTCCGCCGGTGACGACGACAGCAACGATGAAGAAGGTGACTTATTTTATAGCTTAAAACCTAAACGATTGCCATGTTATTTAAACTGCTGGGAATGTCATGATTAATTCATTGCAAATGTTAAGTGTAAATTTGTGGTTTGTACTTAATTGTACACACCGATTTGGATGGCCGAAAATTCAGTGAAATCGATCTTATTTACGTTATAAGGATAATATTTGCAAGGGATAAAGCTTTGTTTGACCCACAAATAGAAAGTACTGTCTTTTCTTTTGGTTTTCAATATCCTAAAGCGATGTTTTTTCTGTTGTGTTTACAAAAGGTCTTGGAAACAGCCGAAGCAATAAATTCTTTCAAGGCCTACCAAGTCATATTGCAAACCGTAATGTCTCCGGGCCATCACAGAGTGCAGGCCTCAGTCGAGGACGTTTACAACGTTCTAGCTCAGGAAGAGCTTCTCGCAGCTCGACAAGGGATTTTAGAGACGCACAAGTCGTAGACATTGAAGATGAGGATCAACCTGCTGAGAGTGGCCATTCCTCGTACAAGGCTATGGCGGCACCCATGGCAACCAAACGTAGTGTCAGGTAAGCTGTTTTTAAACAAACAATAAAACACAACGATCAGTTTGTACACCTGCTGGAGTTTTTATTGGATGTGTCGTTATATTGCCTTTCAATAGTTATGCTCAACGCGCGTCTGCCGATACGTGATGTGAATTATACGCACTTAACTTTTTTTAAATTTCTTTGTGATCACTGAAGTTATCAATACAGCAGCTGTGAATTGTAAATGTGTTTTAAAATTGCGTTTTCCGACAAGAATAACCGCTATATTATATAAAACCATAATCAGATGTTAGAAGTGTTGTGAAACCATAAAACCATATAAAACCATAATCAGATGTTAGAAGTGTGTTAACCATAATCAGATGTTAGAAGTGTTGTGAAATTGTTTTTTTTACGAGATGAGCCTTTGCATGTAAAAAAACTAAACTAGGAATGAGAACTAGAGATTATACTATGAAGGATTTGTTGGGCTGCTCAATTTAACCACGTTATTGCCAATAATCTATAATGAACAGGCTATAAAGATATTTTATTGTTGTTGCTTCATGTTTGTGTGACTATGGAGACATACAAGATATTTTGAAATATGTCGTCATAAAATGAACAATAGAATATGACAAATTTTACCCATAGTTGATTGTACAAGAGATATTATATTATAGGAGCAGTTATACAGCAGTTATATAACTAATATAAGTCTTTCTGCCCTCAAAACAAATAAAGAAACCCTTCAACATCCTTAGCAACTGACGCCCATACACTTTAAAACTATGTATAACAGCTTAGCTGTTTTATTTTTGTACTTCCTCACATAAAATAGTGTCGTAAACCTTAAAAAGCAATATAAATTATCCGGACAATTAGTTCCATGTATAAATTCCACTTCATCCTTAATTATCTCAGAAATTTGGTCCAATATTTTTCCTTGTCAAAATGTTATTTTCATATAGAGCTATTTTCAGTTGAAACGTATTTCATATTTGGTGCATATTCTTATAATTTGTGCTGTGTGATAATTTTTTGTTACATGAAGAGAGAGGCTTCTGCCTTGCCGTTGGCAAAATGTCAATATCTTACAACATGCAGTGATAACAAGCTTACCAATTTCCAAACTATTTTGAAATAAAATGCTTGGAATGAGTTCAAAAATTTTAACCCACAAGATTAAGAACCTGATATATCTACTCTACCTAGAAATTTTGAAAGATTCCCTGACATTCAAAATTTAGATAATTTGTCATTAGACTTTTCACTGTAAGATAGCAAATTGGATATTTTTCAAAAATGAGTTTGATTTTTTATTATACAGGAAGGCCAGAATGACAAATGCACCATATTCTAAAAACCTGTCTTGTTGGAAGGGGTTTAAATTACGTACTGCAATGGTGAGTTCTGGACAGAAGCAAATTGTGTTTGAATAGACAAATGCTTAGAAAATGCATTTATCAAATGATGACAAAAAATCAATGCAACTCATCAATGCAATTAATGCAAATACTGATCAAACGTTTGAAGTAATGGCCTTTGTCAAGCAAATTTTAAACTGATTTGCCCTCAAAGCTATGCTATACACAATTTGATGTAGTGATTATAAGTGAACTCTTCTTTATTTTCAGTGGTGGCATCACACAAAGCAATCAATCAATGAAGGAATTCATGCTATGGAGTTGTGGAAAGGTCATTTGAAAGAAGTGGAAGGTATAACTAAAGAATCCTCTGTCTTTTTATAAATGTGACTATGTATGATTGATAGGACATGTCAGTTGACGTTCAAGTATATCTCTTCACAGGTCAATTTGGAAATGGCGTGTTGTCATTTTTTCTGTTTCTAAAGTGGCTTCTGTTTTTGGACATTCTCATCTTCATAATTCAGTTTTGTTTCATTTCCATACCGAAGTTGACATATCCAGAACCTGATTTACCTTCAAACACTTCATGTTCTGTAGCATATGACAATAGCTCGTCTACTGAAAAAGATATTGGAAATTTGATTGTGGACTTCATGACTGGTCAGGTGAGTTTCGCATTCACAGTTCATCAGAGCTGTTAAGCTAGATCGCTCTATTTGGAGGTGTATATTCATATATTCAGGTTTATATACCAGGTACAAGATGATATACACCCCTCCCCCCAATTAAGCTTGTACTTATATGATTCTGCTGTTCATAGTAGCCCTACTGGATGTCTTTGAAGAAGTATTTAGTAATTTGTACAGTATATTTCTATGTTTACTAGAATTTAGATATCAGGCTTTTGGAATTTATGGTGTAACTAATTCTCTTTTCCAGGGTTGGATCAATACAACCATAATGTTTTACAGCAGCTACCCTGCGGCAAAGCTTGTCAATGAGGATTCTACGTATAAACTACCATTGGCCTATCTCCTGGGTGGTGCGGCATACCTCGTCCTAAGTTTGCTTCTCATGGTCAGCAGGTATGTATTCTTCAGTGCTCTTTGACTTGTTGTTAGCCTTTGAATATACCAACAGGATTACGTTTCCTTTCAGCCTGGCCAAGAACTTTCAGCAGAGCTATATCGAGGGCGGTGGACAGTTTTATTCCTTTTGTAACAAAGCTTTTGCCTCCTGGGACTTTTGTATTACCGACGAAAAAACGGCGAAAATAAGAAGCCAGAATTTTTTCAATGATATTGAGGTAAAACTATATACCACTACATGTGACTGACCAGTCTCTTTGTGGAGTTTGCGATATCAAAACGAGTTCAATAAAACCTCAAAACCATTACTAGCAGTGGCGGCGTGTAGCTCTCGCTATTTTAGCTTTGTATTTTCGTCTTTGATCGTTAGTATTCTGTTCAAACTAAAGCAGTGTTCTGCTGTGTCATAGGGGACGCTAAGCGAGTTGAAACGCTTGGAGGAAATCAAGAATCGATCGAGGAAAATGAAGTTCAAACTTTACACCGTGAGGTTCCTTGTTAGCGTGGTGGTCATGGGTATTCTTGCTGCATCTATATATGGTATCTTTGTGACCACGGAAATCGCCCTTGCAGCTGCTGGGGTGAGTTGCAGTAGAGCTTTTTACTGAATCAATAAGAGATGATCCTTACTGGACTTCTAGGAAGGACAGTTTAGAACTGATAGAGCTATCCAGTATAAATAAAGTTAGTTTAGTTCAGGTTTCCTCCTATAGTAACACTGGATCAATAGGAGATGATCCTTACTGGACCTCCAATCCTTACTGCCTGGATTACTTCAGACGTTTAAACTTGCTGTGTCATGCTTTGCCTCTACGGGCAGGGTCTTATTAAAGTTAACTTTCTTTTTTTTTTCTTCCAAAACTAGGAAGGCCAGGGCAATTTACTTGACACTGTCAAACGTTACGCCTCGTCGCTGACGATCTCAGCGTTGAATCTATTCATTCCGCCCGTGTTTGCTGTCCTATGTACGTTTGAACAATACAGTCCAAGTTTTGAGTTGGCCATGAATCTCCTAAGGTGAGTCTCTATTGCGGGAACAGACGGCTACCCGCGCTTTTCACCACCAAATCAAAGTCTGCCTCGGCTAACCTGAGCAGTCAGTAGTCACAGAATGGACAATAGATAGAAGTGTGTACTTTTGTGCGCGTGCTCAGTAAAATGCGAAGTAAAAAGTCGGTATAAACACTCTCTGAGGAGTGCGAATATGATATTTTTACTGATAGTTTGTCTGAGAAGAGTTGCCTGCCTAATAAACCAGTCTTTTACCTGCTTACGCTACAGCCAACTCTTGTATTATATTTTCTTTCCACTCGATGCGCGCGCATGATGTTCGTCCCACAAGCCATGGCGCCATCCGTGTACTTTATAACTGAAAACATTTTCGTCTTTCGACAACAAACTCTGGTTTTCCTTCATACCACGTATAAATCTTTCGCCTTTTACTAAAGATTTCCGTGGAGGAGAACAACAGAATGAGTCTATAGACTAATTTTTCGTCACCCTGCCTAACGGCGGGGTTTTTTATTAAAATAAAAAAAGAGGGCTTAAGAAATGTCGAAGTAATTGTTTCGAAGCTTTTGGTAATACCTCTCCTGATTAGGGGGCAAACATTGGCCTTTGTGCAAGGATATTAGTTCAAAATCTTTGACCAGCAGACAATTTGATGAAATACAACTCCAAATATCATCGTCTGTGTCTTGTGTGTTTAAATCTTGAGTTTGATTTGAAAGATGATTTTATTTCGAGCCTTGATTCGATTTATATTCTATAGTAAAGGATGGTTTATAGGAATACTCAATTACCCCATGGTGAATTGATTTAAAGATGTATATTTAAAGCTGTTTTACTATTTTCCAGGACTGTTTTATTGAAGTTGGCGTCCGTGGCTTCTCTGGTAATCACATTGTTTATTGAGGCAGCTAAAAGGGATGATTGTGAAAATGTAAGTTGATATTACGACAAGTTTTAGGCGGAAGCTGCTGGTTATACAAAAACTGGATAGCGCTTCACAATCACAACTGTACGATTTTGACCCAGACTGAGATTTATCTGCAGTCAATATTGTCTTGTGACTCTTGTCGGCGCTCCAGCGCTGTCAGCAACTAACTGTAAGCGTTTCTTATTAACGAACGTTCGTGCTACATTTTAGTGCTGGGAGAACCAAATCGCCGCACAGATGTACATGTTGGTTTGGCTTGATTTTATCATTGTGCTCTTCACAACCCTTATCGTCGACTTAGTTTACAGGTTAATAAACTTTGTAGTATTTAAAATCCCCTGATATCCAGATACCCGATACCTCCAGGCATTACAAGTGGACTGAGTTTTACCATGCTGACCAATTTTAGGTTGTTATTTGACCACACAAAATTCAAGAAATTCGCCCCAGCTCCGGAATTTGACATTCCAAGAAACGTCCTTGAGTTGGTGTACGGACAGGCCTTGATATGGTACGTATAGTAGATATTTCATGATATACAGTACTTCACCGTTCTATATATAGACATTTTTGAATTGTCGATGTGGAGGTATAGTTAGTCTGGCTTTCTCCTGTAAGAATATATGATCCCTACTGAACCTGAGTTTACATTGTACATTTTATTCTTCCCATTTTCTCTTCAGGATTGGTTGCTATTTTTCCCCTCTCATGGCAGCCATGGGTGTCATCAAACTATTCATCATGTTTTATGCTAAAAAGGTATCATTTCTTATCGTACATTATACATAACACTGAGTCTCGTTATATACACCGAGTTTCAATCCACCTTTTCATCGTGTTCTTTTCGTCACTTGCACGGGCGATATCAACTGATCAACAGGAGCGTCTTTTCTTGTTTAGATAGGACTGATGTATAACTGCAAACCATCCTCAAAACCTTACAACAGTTCCCGTGCAAACTATCTATTCACCATGCTGCTTCTGTTATCATATCTGATCTGCCTCGTCGCTATCGGATATTCGATAACAAGGTATATATTAAACAGGGATTAATAATCGATTAAATGCATGCAGTAGACCTCTTACCTGCATGAAATCACGATATACATTTGTAATATTTCAAATAGATTATGAATTTAGCATCTATACTTTTTTGTGAACTTTATGAATTATATCTGAAACATCTTTTTTCTTTTCTTTTTTCCAGAATAAAGACATCCTGTTGTGGTCCATTTAGGTATGAAATGTTTTTTATACATTGTTACCCACCCGAAAGTCGACTAAATGTCTAAGTGGATCGTTATATAGGCTGGCTAAACCACCGCCCAATAAACCTCTCATATCCATTTCATTTTCCCCTCTCTCCAAATCACGACCCCATGACATAAGTGAAGTCGATTTCAGCATATGCCCACGGGTGTGGTTCATCATATATTTTCTTTTCTATCTTATCTTAGCAACACCAACTGCGACGATTCGTTCCGTATGTACAACGTCATTCCTGATGAAATCAACACTTGGCCACAGGTTCTCCAGGATATCTTGCGCTTTATTGGAACTGTTTCCTTCATCTTCCCATTCGCTGTTATTTTATGGCAAGTCCTGCACTTTAATGACTTTATTCCATCTTTGCCGGCGTGTTCACCATCAAAGCTTCGTCTAATGCCACTTCTGTTTTTTCTCCTCTATAGTTTATTGCTGTACTATTTCCGATCAATGAACAAGGCTCACCAACACATGATAGATATGTTGAAAGATCAACTTATATTGGTTTGTTTTATGTATTTTATTACTTCTTACCAGGAAGAACAATTTAAGGCTGGTTTCCATTTAATCGTTACGATCGCAAAAAAAAAATTTGAAACGATCGTGATCGGCGTCGCTGAGATAGAAAAAGGTCGCTGCAATTGATTTCCATTTAATCGCTACGGTCGCAAGTAAATTTTTTTAGCGATCGTAACGATTAAATGGGAACCAGCCTTTAGAACTATCCAGAGCTATCCAGTATAAATAAAGTTAGTTTAGTTTAGGTTTCCTCCTGTATAATAACACTGGATCAATAAGAGATGATTCTTACTGGACATATAGGAAGAACAGTTTAGAACTGATAGAGATATCCAGTATAAATAAAGTTAATTTAGTTTAGGTTTCCTCCTGTAGTAACACTGGATCAATAAGAGATGATCCTTACTGGACCTCTAGGAAGAACAGTTCAGAACTGATAGAGTTATCCAGTATAAATAAAGTTAGTTTAGTTTAGGTTTCCTCCTGTAGTAACACTGGATCAATAAGAGATGATCCTTACTGGACCTCTAGGAAGAACAGTTTATAACTGATAGAGATATCCAGTATAAATAAAGTTAGTTTAGTTTAGGTTTCCTCCTGTAGTAACACTGGATCAATAAGAGATTATCCTTACTGGACCTCTAGGAAGAACAGTTTAGAACTGATAGATCTATCCAGTACAAATAAAGTTAGTTTAGTTTAGGTTTCTTCCTGTAGTAACACTGGATCAATAAGAGATTATCCTGGATCTCTAGGACTCTAATAGCTCTTATCCATAAGGGAAAAAGCAGCGTCTTTTTGCGCGGAATTCCTTACATTTCATTTTCTAGCTCAACGTCTAACGTACAGCATATCTCTTGTACATAGGAGGGACGGGACAAACGCTTTCTCATGGAACGCCTTTTGGCCGACGCACAAAAAAAGCAACTCGCCGAAGAATTCCCAACAAACGACATTCCGTCGAAGACGACAGTAATTCCAGACGATTAACATTAATACTCGTCCACTTTTTATACATATATACATCCTTTGTCAATTTTACGTGATTTAAAGCGGTATGATTATGTCTTTGAAGAACAACTATAAAAATCAGGCATAACTGGAATTATTGTATAACTTATTTTAAAATTGTTATACTCATGCAATGCCGTGATGGAGGTATTAGTTTTAAGAGACTGTTGATATTGAAGATTTGAGTGATAACTTATGAGTTATGTTGCTATTTTAGTATGACAATTCTTGGATATAGTTGCGTATTTTTAGTCGGCATCGAAAACTTACTAAATTCCCAGCAATTTGTATATAATTAACACTAAGTTATTAATATTGTGTATTTTTATTATAAAACCGGTATTTATGCAATACAATTGTAAACATTTAACAATGTTTTTCGTTCTGTTACAGTATTTTTACTATTTTAGTATTATCAAAGTGCGATGGCCCTTCAGATCTCCGAGCAGTGTATAATGAAGCAGTAGCCCTTCTTCAAAGTTTAACGGCGTGGAACACCACCATTGGATTGACATCTATTTTGTCCGCGCATAAATTAAGCATAAGTTCCACACTGTTTATTCTTCATAGTACACATAATTTCATTCATTCAGTATACACATAATGTCATTCGGTTACAGAAACTTTGTCGGGGAGAGAACAGCATTATCACAAATTTGGAAGCAAAGGTTGCCACCTTGGAGGAACAGTTGAACGCCGAATCTTCGTAAGTTGATGGAATATTTTACATTTGTACTACTGATAAGGTGGGTCTTCCGATCAGTGGTAAAGAGTCCATTTTCCCTTCGATAACAATGATACGTGTTCGCGTCTGCCTCGTTTGGTTTCTGATGGTCACCGAGCATTCTCCCAACACTGAGATGCAAAAGTGCTCGAATCTTTGTTCTGGGTTTCTTCAGCCGAATTCGGATCCAATGCTCTGACGTCGCCGAAATTGCTCCTCGTCCATTATGTTGGTGTCAGATTCTGCATCTGGCTCAATTTCTGTTGCTACATTATTAATCGTCACCGTGCAAGATTTAGATTGTTTCTTTCTGTTCACTCGAGATGTTCGTTTAATGCGAAGCATGAATGCGAAGGTGTTGTATAAAGTCTTGGTCGTACGAGCTGTCACTGGAACAGGAATCCGTTGAGTTCTCGTCTTGATGTTTGACGTGTCTTATGTTTGGTTTTCCGTCATCTGGTTTAAGGTAAGGGCGGTTTCGCGTCTCTTTTTTCCATAGTTTATCATGACGTCGATACTGATGATTTTCCTTTCTCTTTGTTTTGTTTTTGTCGCGGGAACTCGTGATGCAACGTGATTCACAGGCGATCGCAAAATGATTTTGTTCTCCACACTTTCGACATTTCGCACCGAAATAGCGCTATAATGGCGCTACAAGAACAATCAAATTCTCAAGACGTTCGCCCAGCTATTTGTAGACCGCATGGAATCGATTCAAGTCCTTTAAAAATCCTCGAATCAAGATGAGAATGAACTTAGTGAATCCGTAATTGCTGCTATATGTTTTTCCGCTAAAATATAAAAAAAAAACCTCGAATGTCTCCAAAACAAAGGAGTTTATATTTACGGATACCAAAAAAAAGTACAGGATTGTTTGACGTCAGAAATACAAAGAATTCGGCACACAGTGACAATTCACCTTTTCAAACGAAACCAAAAAACTAGAAGCAAAAAACAAATTGTGCTTCAAAATAAAACTAGAATGCACTGCTTTTAAAATGTTGAAATATAGGAAAGGACAACTTTTTTCTAGGCTTTTAGTGATCGTTTATAGTAACATCGCTCACGATGATGTTCGGAGTTGATCGGCATGTTGTCGTACATTATCATACCACGTGATCTGCTATGATCACATGGTAATTATCGCCTATAAAACTAATCTCAACGTTAAAAAAAAATTTCTTTAGATTGGTGGCGATCGAAGGTGGACAGCAAGATCGAAGCTCAGCAAGATTGAAAATTGTTCGAGGAAGAAGGAGTTCGCCGTTGACTAAAAGGTGGGTTCCGGCGATTATATGCGTAATCTGCGGTTGCTTTGTCCGACCCCAGTAGGGGGACCGTTTGCCCTGAGCGTTTTGGTCCCCCGCACGCTGCTAGTTCCCACTTGTAGGCCTTTACACTAATCTACGGGAAGGCCGTAGGCCTTCCTTAAGGAGTACAGTGTAGCTGAGCCGAACCCTTTTTTTCGTTGTATATAGGTTTATCTGAACAGCTAGTTGTCAAGATGAACGTGAAGAGAAAAAAGATGGAATAGAAGACTCGCCCGGCCAAATTCAAAATGGCGATGCCAAAGAAAACCATCCACGTGGACCGTTCACGGACCTTTCTGAGCAAGATTGTTGTGCTGTCTGGTCAAAGTTAAGTATTTTACTTTGATGTTTGTGTGCCTTCTGCTAATTGTTGGCCAGAAATAATAAAAAGCCATATACAATATGAAATATTCTGCGTACAGGGTTATCTAAAGTTTCCAGCTTAATTCTGCCTGCAATGGTGATAATTTTTTACTGAAAATTTATGTCATGAGCAATTTCCGCACCCATAGACTGAAGCAGAACTGAACATTTTGTCATTAACGTTTATCTCAACAGCCAGTTATCAAGACGAACGTCAAGAGAACAGTTGAAATAGAAATCAGTTCAAGACTTGCCCGCCGAATTCAAAATGGCGATGTCGAACTAAAACCATACACGTGGACCGTTCGCGGACCTTTCTGAGCAAGATTGTTGTGCTGTCTGGTCAAAGTTAAGTATTTTACTTTGATGTTTGTGTGCCTTCTGCTAAAACTAGACAATAATTAAGATAGTTGAAAATGCAATTTTATATTAATAATGTCGTCTTATATTCAAGATTTTCCTTGGTCAAGAGTGCAAGTTGAGCTGTGGATATGAACTTTACTGTCAGATGAACATTGGAAGTGAACAAGATTTCTGTGCAAAGGTAATTCGATTGTTTCTTCAAAATTTATATTAGCCTTGCAGCTCAAATATTTGTCACTACCTTGTAATACATATCAACTGCCCGGGTATATATTTTGTTATTTCAGTAGTATAAGGAGGAATTTGCTGCAACTAGGATCTTTTTTTGGAAAATCGTCAGGCAGTCACAAATTTTGTTAAGATTACTAGGTTAACATTGCTTCCATGCTCACTATGTGTCACCAGTAATAAATTCCTGTGGTGGTCTTTAAATAAATATAGCAACCATAGTTACAAGTAGAGGGATGAAGTATAACCATAGAATACCTGACCAAAAACTAGACAATAATTAAGATAGTTGAAAATGGAATTTTATATTAATCATGTCTTCTTATTTATATATCTATATTCAAGATTTTCCTTGGTCAAGAGTGCAACATGAGCTGTGGATATGAACTTTACTGTCAGATGAACATTGGAAGTGACAAGATTTCTGCGCAAAGGTAAATTCGATTGTTCCTTCAAAAGTTTTATTAGCCTTGCAGCCCGGGTATATATTTTGTTATTTAGTATAAGGGGGAAATCGTCAGGCAGTCACAAATTTTGTTAAGATTACTAAGTTAACATTGCTTCTATGCTCACAATGTGTCACCAGTAATAAATTCCTGTGGTGGTCTTTAAATACATAGCAACCATAGTTATATGTGGAGGGATGAAGTATAACCATAGAATACCTGACCAAAAACTAGACAATAATTAAGATAGTTGAAAATGCAATTTTATATTAATCATGTCTTCTTATATTTAAGATTTTCCTTGGTCAAGAGTGCAACTTGAGCTGTGGATATGAACTTTACTGTCAGATGAACATTGGAAGTGAACAAGATTTCTGTGCAAAGGTAATTCGATTGTTTCTTCAAAATTTATATTAGCCTTGCAGCTCAAATTTTTGTCACTACCTTGTAATACATATCAACTGCCCGGGTATATATTTTGTTATTTAGTATAAGGGGGAATTTGCTGCAACTAGGATCTTTTTTTGAAAAATTGTCAGGCAGTCACAAATTTTGTTAAGATTACTAAGTTAACATTGCTTCTATGCTCACTATGTGTCACCAGTAATAAATTCCTGTGGTGGTCTTTAAATAAATATAGCAACCATAGTTATATGTAGAGGGATGAAGTATAACCATAGAATACCTGACCAAAAACTAGACAATAATTAAGATAGTTGAAAATGGAATTTTATATTAATCATGTCTTATTTATAAATCTATATTCAAGATTTTTCTTGGTCAAGAGTGCAACATGAGTTGTGGATATGAACTTTACTGTCAGATGAACATTGGAAGTGACAAGATTTCTTCACAGAGGTAATTTGATTTTGTCATGGATGGTCAGCATTTGATTTTAAAAAGCCACTACATTGTTGAGATGACAACTATGAAATTGAAATTTGCTTCTATGGTCACCATGTGTGAAACCAATGATGAAACTTAATGCTATAACAGCTGAACCAGTCTGGCTGATTACTAAAATTCCTGTGGGTGGTCTTACAATAAATATCCACGAAAAAGTGGGAGAACTTGGGAGAACTTGGGAGAAATTTTTCTGATTTCCCTGTTATTTATATTCTGTAGTACTCAGAAGGGTGATACCCAGTTTTTCTGTGGGTTGAATATATGCATGTGACACATTCTTTTTATTGAAAATGGCAAAAATATAATTGGCATAAAACAGATGACTAAAGTTAGATAATGAGTAATATCTTTTAATAATGATGTCAGGTTGAAAATACAAACTTTGCTGCCACTTTTTGCCTAAATGGATTGATGAAATGCTTTTTCTCTTTAGAATGAATGAAGTTGAAGAAAGTTGAAAGACACCCCTGAAGAACCTGAATTATTTTAGCCCTATCCTAGATTCATTAATTAATATATTTTAGTGCGTGATAACATGTGTGAAATGTGATCAATTATGTTACAATTTTCAAAACTTGGATTTATAAAGAGAAATTATTCTTTGTAAAGTTTAAGAAATAAACCTTTTTTGTGTGGTGGTGTTAGTGTTTTGATTTTGCATGTTTTTCCGTGTGCTTTAACAATTGAAAATATTTTGGCAGTTGGTTTGGGTTTTGTCTCATACTTTTTTCTCTTATATTTTCTTCTCTAATTTTTCTCTTGTCTTATAATTTTTCTCTGTAATTTTTTCTTAATGTTTTTCTCTTAGTATTTTCTAAATGTTTTTTGAAACGTTTAAGAAGAAACTTGATTTTTTTCTTGTGGTGTTTGTTGTTTTGATTTTGCATGTTTTTCCAGTTGCTTTCACAATTGAAAAGATTTTGGCAGTTGCTTTTGGCTTTTTCTTATACTTCTTTTCTCTTTAATTTCTTCTTAGTATTAGTATTTTTTTTCTTCAGTGTTGAAGAAAGTTGAAAGGCACCCAGATTCATCAATTAATATATTTTGGTGTGAAATGTGATGAATTATGTGACAATTTTCAAAACTTCGATTAATAAAGAGGACTTTTTTCTTTGTAAAGTTTAAGAAGTAAACCTTTTTCATCTGGTGGTGTTAGTGTTTTTATTTTGCAAGTTCTTCTGTGTGACTTGACAATTCTAAATTAAACCTTTTAGTATTTTTTCTAAGTTAAACCTGTTAGTAAACCTGTTATAAAGAAGACATTATTAATACAAAATTCCATTTTCAACTATCCTAATTAATGTCTAGTTTTTCGTCAGGTATTCTATGGTTACTTCATCCCTCTATATATAACTATGGTTGCTATATTTATTCAAAGACCAGCACAGGAATTTATTACTGGTGACATATAGTGAGTGTAGAAGCGAAGTTCACTTAGTCTTAGTAATCTTAACAAAATTGCGACTGCCTGACAATTTTCATGAAAAAGATCCTAGTTGTAGCAAATTCCCCCTTATAATAAATAACAAAATATATATCCGGGCAGTTGATATGTATTGCAAAGTCACTACAAGAATTTCAGCTGCAAGGCTAATATATTCTGGTTAAAGCAGTGCTCTCCGAGTTTAAAGGCGGAAAACTTTTCGAAAAGGGTGATGTCAAAAAAAGAACAATAGGCTTTCAACAAATGACGCGGTGGTCTAGTGGTTAAGACTGTGATCTCTCAAATCCGGGACAAGGGTTCAAGTCCTGGCAATGCAAAAAAATTAGCCTTGAAAATTTCGGTATGATTTGTAAGCTTGAAAAAGTTAAGACTCTCAGCTTTCAGGAAGGCCGTAAATTTGAAAGAAATTGGAAGTAAAAAAAAAATTGAGAAACATCTGAACAACTTTCGCTTGATAAAAGTACGTGTAAATTGACAAAAAAGCGTAAGTCAAAAAATATTTAAAAACATGTGTCTTGAAAACACTCAAAATTAGAAAATGTCCGACTAAAACTTTAAAAAAAGTTTAAAAATTTCCCCCCTTTAATACTAATGTTTACTTACCTTAATAATTTTTTTTCACGAAAATTTGACAGGGTGATTTTCTCGAGACTGAAAAAATTTACTTTTTTTCACTTTTTTAAAATTCTCTTAGATTTCTTTTTTGACGAAGAAGTATTTTGTCTTGGGCTACCTGTGTCAAGCCAGACACAGGTAGCCCAAGACACTTTTTTGAAATTCTCTTAGATTTTTTTTTGACGAAAAAGTATTTTGTCTTGGGCTACCTGTGTCTGTCTTGGGCTACCTGTGTCTGGCTTGACACAGGTAGCCCAAGACAAAATACTTTTTCGTCAAAAAAAAATCTAAGAGAATTTCAAAAAAATGAAAAAAAGTAAATTTTTTCAGTCTCGAGAAAATCACCCTGTCAAATTTTCGTGAAAAAAAATTATTAAGGTAAGTAAACATGAGTTTTTTAAAAGCGGGAAATTGTTAATTTTTTTCCGTCGTTAAAACTTTTTTTACTTGTGCTTTTCTTTCAATTTTCAGGTACTTTTGAAGGCGATAATTTTTGTTTAGTTTTTATATTTCAAATTTTTTGCAATTTACGGTCTTTTGCAAAGGCCGAGAAGTCTTTAAACTGTTTTAAACATTCCAAATCACACCGAAAATTTTCAGGCTAATTTTGTTGCATTGCCAGGAGTTGAAACGTTAGTCCTCGGATTGAGAGACGAACGTCTTAACCATTAGACCACCGCATCATTTGTCGAAAGCTATTGTTCTTTATTTGACCTAATCCTTTTCGATGAAGTTTAAATTAAAGAATAGTTTCGGTGGGAAAAATCGAACCTTTCCTATACAGGATTCGAACCTAGGATTCCAACCTGGTAGCCCGTAGCCTTATCCACTGGGCCACAGCATCACTTATCAATAGCTCTTGTTCTTTATTTACTTAATCCTATTCGCAGAATTTTAAATTAAATAGCAATTTAGGTGGGAAAAATTGCACTTTTCCTTGCAGGATTCGAACCTACGTTCACAACCTGGTGGGGCGGTAGCCTTAACCACTAGGCCACCGCATAGTGTTTTGATACTTATCATAAAATAATACATTTTAATACTTGATGGCAAAATTGACGACTTTTTCAATGTTCCAAAAACCAACGAAATATGCTCTAAAATGAAAGATATTAGTCTTAGGAAGCCATTTTTAGCATTTTAAGAAAGTTTTTGAACATTAGAAAAAGTCGTCAAAATTGACCAAAATGGTAAGGGGTAAGCCTTACCATTTTGGTCAAAATTGACGACTTTTTCAATGTTCCAAAAACCAACCAAATATGCTCTAAAATGAAAGATATTAGTCTTATGAAGCAATTTCTAGCATTTTAAGACAGTTTTTGAAATTGACCAAAATGGTAAGGGTAAGCCTTACCATTTTAGTCAAAATTGACGACTTTTTCAATATTCCAAAAACCAACCAAATATGCTCTAAAATGAAAGATATTAGTCTTATGAAGCAATTTTTAGCATTTTAAGAAAGTTTTTGAACATTAGAAAAAGTCGTCAAAATTGACCAAAATGGTAAGGGGTAAGCCTTACCATTTTGGTCAAAATTGACGACTTTTTCAATGTTCCAAAAACCAACCAAATATGCTCTAAAATGAACGATATTAGTCTTATGAAGCAATTTTTAGCATTTTAAGACACTTTTTGAACAGTTGAAAAAGTCGTCAAAATTGACCAAAATGGCAAGGGGTAAGCCTTACCATAATGGTCAACTTTGACGACTTTTTCAATGTTCCAAAAACCAACCTAATATGCTCTAAAATGGAAGATATTAGTCTTAGGAAGCCATTTTTAGCATTTTAAAACAGTTTTTGGACAGTTGAAAAAGTCCCCCTTACCAAAGCTTACCCCTTACCATTTTGTGGTCAAAATTGACGACTTTTTCAACTTTTCAAAAACTGTCTTAAAATGCTAAAAGTGGCTTCCTAACACTAATATCTTTCATTTTAGAGCATATTTCGTTGGTTTTTCGACAATATGCCGATCAACTCCGACAATATGCCGATCAACTCCGAACATCATCGTGAGCGATGTTACTATAAACTAACCAAGGACAAGGCAACCTTCAGAAATTCATCATGATCACTAAAAGCCTATAAAAAAGTTGTCCTTTCCTATATTTCAACATTTTTAAAGCAGCGCATTCTAGTTTTGTTTTTAAGCACAATTTTTTTTTGCTTCTAGTTTTTTTTCATTATAATATTTTCCTTCAGCATTTCAAAACTTGAACACCATGTTCATGTGTAGATTATTATCATCTGGTGTACCAGAAATTGAACGTTTTTCCAAAATTAATAATATGAAAATAAAAAAGAAATAAAAAAAAATAAATAATTAATAATACGTTTCATCATTTCAGTGTTATGGAGAATTGGAAATGAAATCCAATATGGCCGCCAACACGGAAATCCAAAATTCGGTTCCTAGTAATGTTGTTGTCGTTTTCTCGACATTAGCAATATTAATTCTTTGCTATCTATTTTGGAAATGGCAAAGGCAGCGAAATAATCAAACGGACGGGAAGAATAAACCTAGTTTCATTTCACGGTCGGATATGCTTAAAAACCGTCTGAAAAAATTCGATTTGTTAAGAGGTGGTATTAATACTGAGGAGGCTACACCAGTCGAACCTGACGATGAATTGACGGATGAATTCATTGGAAATACACTTGAGAAACCTGTCTCAAACTCTTCGGATGTCCCTGATACTGAATCAAAGACAGAAAATCTACAACTAACCTCAAGCGAATCCTGCGGCGTGGTACAGACCACTATTAATAATAAACCTGCAAATTCTAGAAAGCGGGTGACTCTTTCAGTCTCTGAAACGGATGACAAGTCATTTCCAGAAACACAACCGTTGACAAGTTTGGAGGAGTTGTTCGCCTGGCGAGAAGGATTTGATGGATTAAATGTGAGCTCTGTCCCATTGCATAGCGTCACCACAGAACGACAGCCAAAGACCATTGTTTGTCATGACATGAAAGGTGGTTATGTACAGGATAGGTGAGGCGCATCACAGACTATTTCACTAAACTGAACAGTTCAATTGGATCCATAGGCCTCATTATCTATCATCTGCCTTCCAAGGTCGAAAAATGCTTTCTCCTCCTATTAAAATGATTGTGGAATGGCCTTTTTGTTGGAAACGTATTTTATATGCAAGCCTCTTACAAGCCTTAATTTATTCACCAGTAATTTGGCTAATTGTGACCTATAATATTTCAGGTTTGTTCAGGGTTACCCATCAACCGAATCTTACCGTATCTATCATTGGCAATACATTGATATATTCATATACTTCAGTCATAACTTTATAACCATTCCCCCTCCTTGCTGGACGAATGCTGCGCATAGACATGGTGTTCAAGTTCTTGGTACTTTCATCACAGAATGGCAAGATGGTGCTGCTCGATGTGCAAAGATTTTTGACGATGAGTCGTCCTACAAAAGAGTTGCTGATCAAATGGTCTTGATAGCAAAATATTATGAATTCGAGGGCTGGTTGTTAAATATTGAAAATCCAATACAGGTGGTTTAAAAGTAATTGTCATGGCCTATACAATTTAAACGACAATCTATTTTAATTCAAATGCTAACGTTGTTGTGTATTTCCATTTCAGCCGGCACAAATGAACAATTTGATTGATTTTGTCAAGTACCTAACTGCAGAAATGCATAAAGTTAAACCAGAATCTCTGATCATTTGGTATGACAGCGTAATGTACAAAGGTGATCTAAAATGGCAGAACATGCTAAATTCTGAAAACAGGTTGGCAAACAGAAAAGTACACAAACTTTGTGGTGTATCAGTCATGTTTAAACGACCATGTTTTTTAGAGTATTTTTTGATGTATCTGATGGGATATTCCTAAACTATGGTTGGAATCAAAGGGATCTGGCTTTGTCCAGAGTGGCTGCTGGTAATGATCGACAGTATGACGTTTATGTTGGTGTTGATGTGTTCGGTCGAGGGGTATTTGGTGGTGGTGGATGGAATACAAATAAGGTACCCGAATACAAATTATATGGTTCATATTTCTTAATAATTAACTTAATTGCACCTCATGATTGAAATATATTTCAGGCAACTCATGTTATCAAGGAAAGCAATCTGTCTATTGCTTTATTTGCACCAGGATGGGTTTATGAAAAATTTGAGTCCACTTTCAAAGTCAGTCAAGATAAGTATGTGGTCGAAAATGTTCTCAATAATTATTAGATTGGAATTTAAGAGGTAGACCAAACCACATCTTAATGTTTAATTTTCCTAGGTTTTGGGCATCCATCGCCTCTGATTGCAACACTCGTTGTTTGAGTCCTTGCCTCCCGTTTGTAACATCTTTTTGTCAAGGTTATGGTGAAAAATGGTGGAATAATGGAATGGTACTATTAGTTTGGGAATTTTATGTTTCGACAAGTGGTTATTGAGCAATTAATCCATCCAAACTTAAAATTTTTTTTTTCATTCAGGTTAGTTTTAATCATGCATGGACGCATCTCAGTGCTCAGGAAATTCAGCCTACTTACATCAACCAAATCTATAGTCTTGGTAAAACAAATGGTGTACTTATCACATCCGCTGGTCATCAGATTCTTCATGCTTATCGAGGTGGTGGATGTCTTGAATTGCAGGGATCAACAACGTCAACTCCAACTGCATCCAAAGCTGTTGTAAGGTAAAACAGAAGCTCAGTTTGTGGTAACAGAATTTAGATAACCCAGTGTGGTATGCTGTGGTGTCTCATTGTGTCATAATCCTTAGGTTATTCAAGACTGACATAGTTCTACCAAGTACGGTAATGATTAGTTTCACTATCAAACTGGAAGACAAGGATTCATTGGACGTTGCTTTACAGTTGCATGTTGATAAAAAGCCAAATTACTTGATGCTATGTCCAGTTCAAGGAAAAGATTTGCAAGATCAAGGTACAATAGAGTTTTACCAGGTTTTCCAAAGTCTATAAATCAATTGAAAACATAGTGGTTGAGCAATCCACCAAGAATCAGTATAACTGGATCAATAAGAGGTTTTTTAAGAGAACAGTTGTGAATATACAGTATAAATAGCACTGTGCGTTACTCAACACAGGGCTTCTAGAGGATATATATTATGAGTTTCATATATTGTTCTTCAAAGATTTGGAAATGGACAATCTGAATGAGGCACTGATGCAACGCTATGGTGTACCAAGGTCGTCACAAATTGATATGGAACGTTTTACCTCCGTATCAGTTGGCCAGGAACATTACAGATCATTCGCACCTGTCTCAGGAGATCACCATGGAAGATTGGCAGAACTCTGTTGCATCGAAGAGGAGACCAGTTCGCTGTGGTACACGAGGTATAAGCATGCAGTTGTGAATTCCAATTTTTGCTCAAGTTGGATTAAAAATTATAAATCTCCTCTCACTGATTTCATTACTGTGTTGACTGATCTAGATACTATTTGTTAGCTGAGAAGGACTTAAAAGGATCTCGTATTAAAGAAATTCGTTTGGTTTTGATGAACAAAACCTCCTCTGGTTAGTTTGTTGCTTACCATAAAGAATCATATCTCTCTCATTTTGCTTGTATCATGTCTTGTTTTTGCATTGTTCCTCTACATTTTAGATGCAATTGAGGTCAATTCTTCAACTCCATTTCAGCTTTATCTTGGAGAGATTAAGGTTAGTCGTTATTTCACAACCCTCTTGTTTCTTGCACCTCTTTTTTCTAACCATCTTGCTAAGGCGTGAAAGAGTATTATCAGTTGAACAAAAGCATCTTCAATATGTAATTTTGTAATACAGATAATTGATGCTGTGTCGCTGAGGAAACCGCTTCCTACAGTGACATCATTGAAGTGTCTTGAGAGCAAAATCAAAACTCGTACTTTGAATGCAAACACCATCTCCATAACGCTAACATTATCATGGAATTATGACAGCTCAAACAGTGAACCTTGGCAGAGATTCGAGATTTATCATCTTACTGCAGATAACTCAAAAGTCTTATTAGGCATGGCTTATTCATTATCATATGTTGTATGTGACCTTGCCTTACCTAGATCTCAGAAAGAGGCCAAATTAACTGTACAAGCAGTAAGTTGTAGCCAACGTAAGAGGGCTTTAGCAGAGTGTCCAGTCATTACTGTTTATTGGTCTTGATAACATGAATGAATTCTTTAAACTATAGAGTAAGTAATTTATAAATTTATTGTATTAAATTATTACTTTACAGAGTACATCTTTGGTTATTGCTTAAGATTGACTGTTTAATTTCATCGCATTCTCACTAACACCAGATAAATTTTCACCGGTCAGTGGAAAAGTAATAAATTGTACCGTACAATAAATAAGGAGGTTACTGTATCCCAAACTGCATGCTTACGCTGTCTAAAAATATATACCTGCATACCAGTGCCACGAATATAATAAAATATATTTACACGTCCCTTTCACCTCAAACCATTAAATACTGTTCCAATTGACTGCATATTTCTTCTATTGGTTTGGAAAGTTGGACAAATTTTGAAAGTTTTATTCCAATCAGGCTCGTCAAATTTACAACCTAGAATAGGAAATTATGTTAACACCAAATGTTAAAGGGCCTTTTAATGATGTTAACAACTGGACAGTTCTACTGTTTCTAGTTTATCTTCAGATAAACCTGAAGAAGTTAGCTTTGCTATGTTATGTTATGTTATGCTATGTTACCATACAGAAAGATATACACACTGTATTTATATGTATATATCTTACCTCGGAACTGATTTTCATAAAATTCGTCAAAGCAAATAAGCAATGGTACACTATAAAAATACAAAACAATAAGAAGAAGAATTATGAAATTCTGTGAACTGAATTAGATTTAAAGATAACAAGAGCTGAAACTTGACTTAAAACATAATCTAAAAGGACCTATACCTGTGTTTGTATCCAAGTTGTCTCTCTGCAAACATTCGAGAATCGCAGAAGAACATTCAAGTGCAGATTCTTCACTCACCTGGTATAAAGAAAACCGGTGCGTATATGTTAATTATTCCATCTAGTATTCTACCCAACAGTTCACAAATCATCTAGATGGTCATAAATTTTTCTTGGTTATTAACAACCATACCTTAGCCATAGAAATATTATACACCAAACCAGCTGCCCTTTTGAGTAGCTCCATACCACCGTCCAGTATTGCTTTGACAGTCACCTCAATCACATCCCTGTGGTCAACAGCTGTCTCATGATGTTCAAGTCGTACTTGTGTATCATTACTTGAGCTTTTCAGATCACCCTTTGCTCCTGGGCCTTGGTTCTTGGTAACAAAAACCTCACATCCAGCATCAGTACTGCAAATATTTGTGAGCTGCAGTGGAAGAAATATTATCTCAGTCTATGCAGGTAATAATGGTCTGAGCTACAATAAACAGCCATGTTACTTACCAGCTCAACAACAGCGTTCTGAACATCTGGAGGATTAAGTTGAGGGAACTCACGAGCTAACCTAAATAATGGCCTGGACACTGAAACAAAAAATTGATAGCTAGTAAACAGGCTGTGATGTACTTGTTGCATTCACAGATTATTTAATTCCCAAAGAGAGCTTCATTTCTAAAGAACCACAAAGTACAGGTACAATACAGTACTTAATTCTATACATTTTGAATCAAATCTTGACATACCTGAATCTTGGCAAACAATTGAAATAATATGATCTTGCAGTACCAACAAACTGAGTGTTTGAATAATGCTTGTGAGTATACACACTTCCGTTGTGTGTTCATATTTTTCCAGAAGAGATTCTTTAATAAGACAACAATATTTTAATGAGTATATCTAGCAGTCTGGCAGACTCTGGCTAAAAGTCTATTACTCAATTTAATTGGTTACAAGTATATAAAAATAGACAATTTCCCTTCCACCTTTCAACTAAACCTTCTAACTGAACATAATTATTTCACAAACCTAATAATTCAAGATGTGTTTCATTAAGTTCATCTTGTTGCTCTGACTTTAATGCATTTACAATTTCCCAGATGTGCTGTACTTCTGGTTCAGTTAGCTCTCCTTTTTCAATTATTTTCTCTAAGCTGGATACAATTGATGAAACCTGCAAAAAAAGCCAGAATGTACTGTAGATCAGTGGCAGAGAAACTCGTGCGTAAATATAACCACAAATAACACAGCACCTTGTAGTTGTCAATAATAACTGGAGCATTCTTGGATTGCTGTAACTCTAATGTTGGGCCATCACTGAAATATACAGAATGAGCCAAGCATTTACTGTATATATGTATGTGATATTTTTTAAATATAATGATGTGTTATAGCTACAAAAGTATAGATCTTCAATAGCAGTACAAGTATTACATATACCTTATCAATGATCCAGAGTCATCACTGGAGGTTGTTGGCTGTGGTTCAGAGTTTTTCTGTGGGTTTGTTGGCGATGCGGTAGTGTCGGATACCAATGTACCGACATTTGGACGGACAGACATTGAGTCAAAGATTGGTTTTATCATAGCACCAAAAGGCCTGCAGAAAGAAATTTATTTAGGCACATATGTACAGGATGAATGATTGCATATATAACACAATTGTTTTCATCATGTTTTTACAGTTTAATGACACTCACGTATTTAAAACATCTTTGGGTAATTCTTGAATGTATTTAGGAATGGTACGTCCAGTGAGAAACTGGGTAGCCTCATTTGAGAAAGTATTGCAGTTGTGCTCAAAAAGATTATAACATTCTGGTCTAAAATACGTATGCACAAAAAAATCAAAATTAGTCATTTACTTGACTCCAAAGAGGAACCTAAATCCAGTTCAGTTGAGCAGAACATCCATACCGAAAATCCTTTTCACTAAGTTCAATCAAATATTGTTGGAAGATATCTTCAGGTATTTGTGTGGATCCCATATCCTTGATTTCATCTGGGGCTCCCAAATGAGTACCACACTAAAAAAAGTTTAGCACAATTAATACATGGTATGTATGTAACCTGCTCTTGTGATTATGGGTGGAAATTTCTTTCTGGAGACTATGGAGATTATGGAGACTAGTGGTTACGTATATACTGGCCGGACCCTGATCTAAATGTCTGTATGCCTGTATCTGACCGAAAAGATTTTTTAGCAGAGAATTAGCTTAGATCATATGTACTTACAGGCAAGCAATAATCAATGCCATCAGATCCAAAGAAGAATTCCTTTTCATAGATCACAATCCCCGTGTGCCTTGAAATAATTGATGAACATGATTTAATAAAAAGTGTTGTCAATCATTCCTAATGGTCCAGGGTGAATTCTGCTTACCCTATGCCAGAGATATTCGGTATGGAGTTTGTAATATATAAATTGTAATGTATTTTATAGTAAAGCTGGTGTATTAATTACTGTAACATGGAATGCACTGTACAGCTAATCACTGAGCTAATGGTTAATGGTGCTTAATTGAGATTTGGGGGGTCAATCGAGAGTTGGTACAATTGATCAGTGGCGTGGTCAGTGGCCACTGGCCAGCCTGACAATTTAGTCATGCTACAGCGCTACGCTAATATTTTGGTATTCATCGACTGTGAAAACAATGAATTTCTAAAGAATTCCAATGACTTGAAATTTGCATAGCATGACCAAATTGTCAGGCTGGTTGGCCATGCCAGTGCAATTGGTACAATCTCACTTACCATATGCCATCGATTTGCTTTCCTGCAAGGAAAAATAAATCCATGATGAAATAAAAGATGCAACTTAACGCACGAGAAATATATAAAACACAGCAATACACACAGTTTTTCTAAGCTTTTGCAGACAAATATATATCAATAATTCACACACCTAACAGCAGAGGTGACATTTGCTTGGCAATACCACGAGATACGTCGTAAATATGCAATTTCACCTTAAATTCAGAAGACATATTTATGCTTTATACCAACTAAGAAAGCAAAATTGAACCGGATTTTCGTTTTTAGTTTGGAAAAATAACTTTTGAAAATATTTTTGTTGATTCATCGTGACATGTGCATTTTATTGTAATTGCTTCTAAGACACTGAGCTATATAATAATTACTGGAATACGTCGTGCTCTCCACTAAAATACCGCCAGATACGGACAGAAAAAAAAAATTAAAATGGATCAATAAGTATAAATAAGCCCTAAATTGGGGATTTTGCAAAGGCGTGATTGAAGAAAAGTCAATATACAATGAGATATAACAATGTTTTATTATTGTCTAAATGTAGAAGAAAGCATTGTTATATCAAACTTATGTGTTCGAAATGTAATTTACTTTAAAATCAATGTGTTTAATGCTGCTATGATTATAAGTTTAGCTTGTTTTTTTTGTTATTCCGACACCCAACAATCCTAATCTTTATCGCATCTTAGAATTCTGGGTGTCCAGAATGTTTTGAGATCAGTCCTGCCCTCTATCCAGTTATAATAACGAGGTCAGAAGAGTTAAATACCACATATATATTGTGACAGTTTGTTGACATCCGTATTGGACTTCGAGTCGTTTTTATGCAAATTTTTGCACCTTTTTACGCTCCGATGCCTCGTTTCTGCGCTTGCTTGCAATCAAGTGAAACTTATTAATCATTGATGTGAAACAGTATGCAAAAATCGGGGCAGTTATTGTCATTTTTGTAAGCGCGATACATCTGGCCCCTTTGATCGGTGTCAAAGTTTCAGGAAGAAGAGGACGATTCTACTACGATGTCTTTTGGCTTATCAAAGAAGAATCAGAACCTAAACCAATATACATTGTTGAGCAATTTAGAAGGTGGGTTTTATAAAGGCTTGCACACAAAACAAAAATTGTTTGTCGTGCGCCAACGCGATTTTATAGTCCATTGACGGTTTCACGTTACAATTTTAATTCTGTTTTTAACATTTCAGATAACGTCGAACAACTAAAAGCAAGCGCAGATACGATAAAAGATGACAGCATACCTTTGCAACGCTTCTGTGCGACTTTTGAGCAGATTTTATTGGAAGGAGCCCGAAGTATGGAGTCTAGAAGTTTTATATTTATATTATCTTGACCAAAGCAAATTAGTGAAGCGTATAAAAAATTTATAACTGCAAAAATCCTTTGTCAAACAATGTTGTTTCAAAAGCGCAGATTTCATTCATATATATTATTTTTCGATAAATTCATTATTTTATGTGTTAAAAACGTTTAGTTTATATTATAAGAAGTTCTATGTTTTGCGCAAAAGCTTGGAAGCAGGCAGTTCATTCCAGACTGTTCGTTAACCATTAACTCACGTGTTATGTGCTGACAATGAACCTTAATACACCCAACTCTTGTATTTTAATATTTGTGAGGATATGAGGCAGGAGCATCAGTATTAAATTGGATTGTACCGCAATAATGTACCATTTTCTGGATTTTCAGGAAGCGTGTTGATATTTAAACAGAAACACTACTGGAATTGCATTGTTGGTGTTCCGAAAATTCTTCAAAATTATGGAAGGTATATACTGAGCCCATTTTCCATGATACTGTAACTATATTATTGAAACACAGCATGCACAATGTTGCTACAGTACATCTTACCGTATAGCGGACCCTCTTGTATGTATTTGCTATGGTCATAGGTTTCCTAGCTGCCAATCATGCAGTACTGCCAATTAATGCCTTGCAGAATCTAAAGAGTAAACATGCCCATCATTTTGATGTTCTAAGCTACAGGCTTCATACACACACAATTTCTGTCGGTCAATTTCTCTTTCTACGTACCATATGTCATTTAGTAAATAATATACACAGTTTATACACTCTTAAACCTACTCAGTTGTCTACACCAGGAGGAGAAAATCACTTGTGTTCATAGCAAAGGCTCATTCCACACAGTACATATCTATATCCTATTCTTATATATTCCTCTTTAGCAATGATCCTAAACTGGCTTATATAGTGAATGCCGTTGAAAGCTCAACAAAGGTATATCATTAATGGTTCATATTAAGTCATGTTAGTACATTTAAAGTTGCTAAGAAAACAAACGTCACTCACAAATATAATAAACATCATAAACCAAATTCTTCTGGTTGATCAGTTCCAATCAACTTGTTGTATATCACTTGCATGTAAACAGCTTAACGACAGGTACCATAGGAAGTGGATATTTGCCAACTGTCAAATGCAAGTAATTAATCTTTAATGAAAATTGTGTATAGCTTTGGCCAATCGAAACCAAAGGTCGGCAGTTCATTCGGATGGCTTTGGTAAAGAAATGCCTTCATACTCCTGTAGAAGCTTTGAATAAATATGGGTCATTCCTGCAGGTATAATGTTGAGTACCATATATTATTAATTCAGTTCAATTCAATTCAATTTAATAATATATGGACTGTGGTATATAATACTGTATAGATATTGCAACTGCTTGTGTAAACATTAGAATTCCAGTATATTTGTGTATCGTAGTCTAAATATGGCAGACAATGGAGACATACAGTATTGCTATTGTTGGGTTAACTAAGCTGTTAGTCTCCAAAAGTTAAACTATATGAATTAGCTGGGAATTCACAATATTTTTATGCATCCAGGACTTCTACACAGATGGTTCATTTATTGCAACACCACATTTACGAGGTGAATAATAAATTTGATTATATTGAACACATACTTTGAAACATCTCTGAAATGTTTGATACAATATCATTTTCGCTAGAATCATTGTTGGAACTTCTCCAGGAAGTTAGCAAGCTGGATTTTGATCTAAATCTTCAGGTATTCCAACCATTCGCATATGTAAACTAATTTTCGGTTAATCATTGACCAATCAATTTTCTTTTTAAAGGCTCTAGAGTTTCTGAACGAAAGTTGGGCAATACCGGTATGGCATATCACTTAATGCTTTTGAAATGACTCGCACATTGTCAACATACTTTGACAACTAACAACTAATATTTGTATTCTTAGAAACGAGAAGACATATTAACAGTTCCTTGTACGCAGTTGGGGATTACAGTGAGGTAGAATATTTTGTTACCTGTCAAAAGTGTGTGGATATCCAGGTTATTAATGTACTTCTGTGGATTATGTGAAACTAACTTGGTTTTTTCTTCTGAAGTCAAGTGGAAGGCCGAGCTGTCATAGCGCATGTTTTGCCTGAAAGTATTGGACAAGAGGTAAACACAATACTGAACAAATATTCATCAATGTTGTTCAAGAATTTGTTTCAATGCAGTTCGGCAAGTTGTTCAGCTTAGAGCAGGCCCTTAGTCAAGCAAGTCATATGAAGTTATGAATTGGGTTTTAGCCACTGATTTTAGCGTACAATAAACTATTCAATATTATAGCCTATGTGACAAAAGTAAAAAATTGATAGGAAGTCTGTAATTTCTTGTTCCAGAACAACATGGCTGTTGGTGACTGTCTTCTTACCTTGTGTGGAAGAATTTGTTGGGGACAAAAAGTTGGACAGGTCTGAAAACAAAACTTTGTGAAAACTTACCCGTGAAGAAATGACACGAGAAATCTGATCAGCAAATCTGTTTGATTGTGTCTTGCAGGTTGCAGAAACGTTGAAACAAAATCATGGTCAACCAATATCCTTGACCATAGCAAAGGTAGTTGATGGATAATTTGACACGAAGCTGACCTGTCACAATCTGGAATTTGAATCCTAAAATCGATAAAAGATATATAAAAATAGGTCGCATACAAAACTTTCACCACTGGCCATCTTTCCTAGCTTTTACGACTATTTCCCCGAACAAAAGACACTGCTATACACTTTAAGTTTAAACATGATAATAATGTTTTTTACCATAACTAACGGCGCGGTATTTCGTTCTCAGATCAAACTGTCAAACGGTCAACTGTTTCCACCGCTAGAGGAAAGAAAAAAACTGCTGGACAGCGAAGAGTTCTTTTTACAAAAATACCATGAAAAAAACGGTGTCTGTAAAGCACCGCTAAGATCCATGGTGACAAGTTTTAACGAAACTCCTGTTCATGGCGTCCCCAAGGGAAAGTGAGTTTGCTGTTATATATATATGGCCTCCGTTGATGCCGTTTGTTTGCTCTCTTCAATCCTCTTTATAGCGAGAGCATCTTACTTTGTAGATATATGTATATTTAGTATATAAGTAAAGGTGGTCTGGAGTTAAACCATTCCCCTTTTTGCTAAGAATGGGCGAGTGAAATACCCCAATACAAAATAAGATAATTTTCCAATCTATTTTGCAGCATGTGTTTTGAGGCAAAGTACATCGGGAAAAACAGGACAGGAGAGGTTAGACTTGTATTTTCAATGTGAATTACTGTTGGATATTTTTGTTTGAAATAACCGTAGTTCATTTTTGAGTTGCCGTGAATCTTATTTCAGACTGGCGACTTGAATTTAATTGAACCGTCTATACTGACCGTTGTGCAACAAAAGAACGATCCACTGGTAAGATGTCGTTCATGGATGTCGTTGATTGATGTCGTTCATTGATGTCGTTCATTAATGTCGTTCTCAGTAGCAGGAGAGACGAAATGTTGTATCATTCTGATTCAATCATCTCATTTATCCGTTTCTCATTGCTATGGAATTCATATCATCCTACCCGCACTTGGTGATCATTTTAAAAGTGCTTTACCTTGACAAAAATACGTTTCTTTGCATGTGCAGCCGGTGCTAGTGAAACTCGGGGAAACAAGCATCGAAATTCAGGATAAAAAGACAAACAAGGTTAGTTAACGGACAAACGGTCATATTTCCTACAACTTATTCTACAGTTAAAACAACCAGAGCTCATCTCAAGTCTGCAAGCCAAACACACGCTCTGAAAGTACAAATGATATATATTATGGTATTTGGAGCATCCTATGCTGGAGTCAGTCTTATCTTTTTATCATTTCAGACATTGGCTAATCATTCCTACACCGTAACCTCTGCCTGTGGCCGTGGTAAAGTTGATAAGAATGTCTTCGCCTATATTTCTGGGTAAGAGCTGGACGCGAGAAATATTCCGACTAGAATGAAAATAGCGAAGATTTTTAACATCAGGAAACGGTTTAAATAAAATGTCGGTTACAGCTACTTATATATATCCACGTATTTTAAAACATTTAGTGATACGACGTGTACAATATCCAAGAATTTCACATGTTTTGTATTTACGGTTGAATCTGAAGATCAGGTCAGTTTGAACTCTGTCCTAGCATCACTAGAGCTATCATCCTCTTATTGTTAATATTTCACTCGCGGAACTACTCTTAATATTCATCTTCAATTCTTTACAGGCAAGAGAAGCGGTTTATGGCATAGGTATATATGTTAAACTTATTAAAATTATAAATTCAAAGGAGATAATTTGGCGTAAAACAGCTCGTATAGGGCTTGCGTTTCATATGGTTGGCCACATCTTATTTTTCCTATTTTGTTCCACAGCGCAAGGTTTTAATCGGACGTTGTGGTACGTGTGATTGGTATGGGGGATAAAATGGGATCACGAAGAGTAAGAGGTGGCTTTCATCATGCCCCAATGTGCCGGTGAAACGTTGTTTTGCGAGGATTTGAAGATTTAGATCACTTGGTATAGCTATATACGAAACTATACAAGTACTTTCTGTACCGTAATTTGTGACAGAACTACCTACTGTAATGTTCAACAATGACCACTAATGTCCAAACCACTGACCTATGCTTTAAACTGTAGCTAGTACAGAAAAGGTTAGTGATCTGAACACATATTTGATGCAATACGAGTCCTCCCAAATATAGGAATGATGGTGAACGATATACTTCCCAGAGTCTATATGACATTATTTTGTAATATAGCAGCATTTTTATAAAATATATAATATTTAATAAACAGTAATGCGTATTCGCTGATGATATAGAGAGATTTTATACGACATGATCAGCGTCTGTAATATGTAATTCAAAAATTCCTAATGCAATAATTTAGCAAAGAATGTTAAACATTCCAGTTTACGTTTGTTGTCATTTCCAGATTAATTGTAATTCAGTTTAATATTTCAAATAAAAAGTCGTTTGTATATTTTCGTATTGTAGTCAAAAAATATATTTGTTCCTAGTGCAATTAATTATCAAATTTACATGAAAAAAGGAAACTTAACCATTTTTATTATATCGATTTTGTTCGGTAGACAAGTAGACTTTTCTAGCTCATAATGACGTCAAACGTCTGACGTTACACGTAGTTTGATTGGCTCCGCAAAACTATTACTTCATGTCACATATATTCATCATATTTACACACACTGAGTTCACTCAATGTCACCACTCAAGTTTCTACTTACGAACACTTTATCTTCGCAGGAACACTTGGCAAGGACTATATTTGAACTACCATTAGAATTCCATATACCAAGTGCATTTTTTCTTCTGTACAGTACTTGAATTTGATTTTTCTACAACAGAACACAACAAATAGTAATCAATAAAAAGGAAAAACAGATTCTCAGGCAGTCGAAATGAATTGATCTATGAGCATTGTGTAGCTGAAAGCAGTCTGACTAACCTATTGATCGATTTCGTGCATCATAGCTTAAGCTCGAGGAATATGAAACTCGCTCCAACCATGGAAACATCGTGTAAACTCGTGCGGTTCCGCGCCTTTTTGAGTGAACCTCAGTTTTCGTGGATTACCAACTTTGTGTTCATATAAATATTGAATGTACACCTGTGGTATGGAAAGTTAGAATCACAGTTAGATTACTACAGGACCCAGACTAACTCTATTTAAAACTAGATAGCTCCATCAGTTCTAAACTGTTCTTCCTAGAGGTCCAGTAAGGATCATCTCTTATTGATCCAGTGTTACTACAGAACTTTTTTGTCATAAACCACAGTAACCACAGGACAATACAAATACCTGGGCACTTTTAAACGTTAATTTCTTCTCCACATGACTTGCTTGGTTTCCAAACCACAAGAACACCTCATCCCCACTGTCCAGAATCATACAATCATCATCAGCCAGATCATCCTGGATGAAACATCAAGATGTCAGACATATTATAAACAGAAATGATACCAGGAATTAAACACAATAAACAACATTACCTGACAGAAATCTGAACACTTTTCTGAAACTTTAAAGTATCCTTGCTCATTGGAACAGCGGAAGAGACGACAGGTTCTCATGTAATCTGCTGCCTAAAGACATGGAAATTTCTTCTGAAAATACTACACACATATTAGTTCGCCCTTGATGTATAACGTTGATTGTTGTATACTGGTACCATTTTCACGAGAATTCTAGCTTTTTAATGCTCATGCACATCTCACTCGTTTGAGCAATTCATGTTTATCATTCACTTACCTCGTCGTATTCAGTTTTCCCGCCTAACGCCACCCAGAAGAAATTCTCTGGTTCGGCACCTTCCCGTATTGTTTGAGTCGAGGATACATCCTAGGATACAATGGGGAATCATTGGTATTTTAGGCTTATAAGAGGTCACTCAATCCCCCACAATATCTCATGAAATGACTGTTGATGAGTCAAGAATATCACGTAATTCTAAGTGCAGTTCTGAACAACTTACGTTCCAAATTTCTTGGCCAATATCTGTCGCTTGGCTTGAATCATGATCGTTTACCTTACTAGAACAAAAAGTTTCTTTTTAAAGAAGAACATTTGGCAGCAACTTGCATTGCAAGGCGATCTAGTTCAGGCACAGCGCTATGTTAAAATTGTCCCCAAACCAGGCAAACATTACCTTCCATTCCAGACATAGACAATACCACCACCACTCTCGTTATCGAATGGAACTTTGAGGATATAACTGGATAAACACATACAAAGTTACCGTGAGTTAAAGGGCAAACAGGAGAAAGTGGGGTATATAAATTCAAAGTGGGTAACATGCATATAGCTTTGATGATAGTCTAAAATGACATCATGCGGAGATGCAGGAAGCTTTGCTCTTACCTGAATTCGGAGTTCAGCAACTTTGGATCAGCAGGAATCTAAGAAGTTACATATGAATGTCTTAGAATCATATTTATCAAATAGTTTTGGTTGCTTAGTGTTATTAACTGATAATAAATCAATCTGAGCTCACCTGTATCGCTCGTTTGTAAAGATTTCCACCGTTGGCTCTGATGTGGAACAGCTCTGGCTTGAGTTTCTCTCCTTCGGGCACTTTAGGGTGTCGTTTACCCTAGAACACAAAGTCAAGCACAGCAAAGTTTCAACAAAAATTTGAGATGCAGTCGATGCAATCCAAATCAACGGGGAATGATCGTACAATAACAGAGGAATAGTTCCTTTACCTTGTGTATAATAAAACGTCCTTTAAAGTGGGCTAAGAATCGCGGAGCCTCTCTTTGCTAAAAGATATAAACATTAAGATTTACCTCGATTAGTCGTAAGTTATCACCTGGGAAAAATATCCTTATGTTCGAAGCGAAAAATCTAATTGTATCCTATTCGCTTTTACCTGAGGTGTTCGAACAACTTCGAGTTTCTCCCCGAATAAAGCTTCGAATTTCTTTTGCAAACTATAAAAGAGAGAAAATTTTATCGAATGTTAAACAGATGAGAAATTGCCGAGGCAAAACAAGATGAGAAACGCGATAAATACCAGAATAGAGCTTCATAAACTGTCTCGCTTTGGTCTGAAAACCTTACCTGAATGTGAATGTTAGCCAACCCATATTTCCTGCGTCACGACCCTAGAATACATATTACAAAAGAGAAGAGAAGTGTCTATTTTAGGCAGTTGTTATACCACATTTGAAGCAAACTTGTTAGATGACGCTGCCAAGCTTCTTCCTGGTTATAATGGAACGTATCTATGGGTTTATTCCTCTGATTATGAACAACTACTGTACTGTAGGACTTGATCTCCCAGAAATCATGTCGCTATAACAGAAGCGCGATGGTTTTGCCATAACAAACTATCGTGTATTTCTCTCTACGATTGAACGTAACTTGTTTACCTCCCAAAAGTAGACAACGCATTGAAAATCCTCATCTTCCTCCTCATCATCAGGTGAACCTTCGGCTTCTTCATCATCAGACACTTCCACGGGAACAAAATATCGACAAAGAAACACGTAACAGGTTCCACTATAGAAATGACCTGCAGGAAAGAAAGAAACGATCACAGGAAAGAAAGAAAAGATCAATCTAATTTGTCTGAATGATGGATTCAAAATAAAGAAGAGAATTTACAGTCGTTCACGTTCGTCATGTTTTCATTCAAATCAAAATGAATAATTACCAATCTCTTCTTCAGGTAATCTGGTAAACTTTCTTCCTTCAAGAACGAAACACTCCATGCCATCCAAATCTTCATTCCACTCCTCAACAAGTTGTGCCTTATCAAACAAACATTTACATAGATCAGAGTTCACCTTACATTCGGGCGAACTTCGTCACCAATCGCTTTTGGTCGGATAACTCAATCTCGCCCGAGAGAAGGGAGTTTTCTGTTGTTCTTGCAATGTCAGATTAGTGCATGCTTTGTACAATATTGTCGCGAGAGGGACAGCATTAAAATGTAACACAACTATGGCTAAATGATAATGCTTTTCTTACCACTTCTGCATCAGGCATTGGAGCTTGGCGTTGCGTGAACAAGGCGGTTAGATCAACCTAAAGAAATGGTACCAACACTTGAGGGTTGAGTTCTTGGGGTGAGGGTTTGGTTGAGTCCAGGGTTTGGTTTGTCTGAGTGTTCACAGCCTTACCTTTGCAATCTGCTCTGGTAGTTGGATTTCAGTGTTGCTTTTAGTCTGGAAAGGATAATTTGAGAGAACATGTTTAGGTTTTAGACCATTGAGATTAAGAGTTAGTTTTCACGGGAGAGAAAAACTGTAGTGAGGAAAACAGAAGAGAACCAATAAATATCAAGGAACTAACTTATGAGAGAGTTTAGAATGAAGTTATACCCAACTTGCATGACTGGCTAGATTTATGGAAAGGCGCTGAGTGTAAGTTTTATTCTATGATTTTTTTGCATGGTTTTAGTCGAAACTCTCGCTCAATATTTACCTTAGCCACTGGTAGTTTTCGTCTGCTGGCTACAGTCTCGGCTGTTCTCGTGAAGTCCACCTGAAGCACATCATTCCAACCGTAAAACTTCGACTTGAAGATCCAACTTTCGGTCCTAGAAAAATGAAAGAGATGGAAACAAAGGTCATGCAACGCTAGGAGCACAAACGACATGCAGAAAGTCCTTCTTACTTTTCCAGGTTTCTGGTGACGATGGCTTCTTCTGGTCTGGATATCATAACTTTCATTTCCTGAGCAAGTTTAAGAGCAGCGGCCCTCACCAAACGTGGTGATTTACGACCTAACCTGAAGGCCAGAAAACAGTGAATATATCTTGAGGTCCAGTAAGGATCATCTTTTATTACGAAGTTAGCGTGATCATGCTCGCAAATTATATCCTATGACATCCTATGACATCCTATGATACTCACCAGGTAAATATCTCAGTTCGACAGTCAATGATATAAACACCCTTTGTATCCAGCATCGATTGAAGTAATGGTTTACCACGGGTCTCCACTGCAAATACAAACAGAATAAGAGTTGGTTTATATTAGAGGTTAATGCTAGAGCGACGTAACCTAATCAACGGCTCTATACCTTGCGGTAACTCCAGGTAACCCATACCCAGGCCAACCTTGTAGATAATAGGATGTGTTGTCTTGAAATTTCCGTAGGCTGACACTTCCTATATGAGCGGGAAAAATACAATAAAATTATACTCAAAACAGCAGCGCCTAAACACATATATTTACATATACAAAAGATCGATTATTCCTTGATGGATATCAACACTCTGTACCTGAATCTTCGAAGGTTTTCCTCCAAGAAATTCCCAGAATTCGTCCTCAGGTTCCTCGGTCTGCGTGTGAACAAACGTTTTAATAATAAGAGTTTCATCAACCAGGGTTGACATTCATCTACACCGCAGCGGCGAATGTAAACAACTCTAATTCATACCTTATCATAAACGATCACTTCTGCACGATTCTTACGATCATTCTTGTTTATCTTCTCGCTGTACAACCTACAATAACAAACATTCGGCTTGTAGCGAACACGTTATCAAATTGTACAACAGCAGCGCCATTTTATCAACATACCTTCCTTTTGTATGATCGGTCAACTTCGCCTTAAATTGAATAAACAAAATTTAGTTCAATTCACTTGAACATCGTTGAAATGTTTCAGTCCCTTTGCATGTCGAGTGCTTGAATTTGCATTGCATTAAAAAAAATAAAACTTGGCTTGTGTAAAAGATGAAACTTCTCAACACACACCTTTCCTCCGGACCAGACAAATATCTTCAAACCAGTGTCCAGCACAAATGAATATCTCGGATCCAGGGACTTGAAAGTAAGAGGAACCTGTTGGAAGCAGAGCACGAGAGAGTTGTAAAAAACATTGCGAGAGAAATATTGTGAGAAATATGAACTTACTGGTTCAAGATGAACAACAGCTGTTCCAACCAATCTGTACAGTCGAGTGACATACACCTAAAAAAATGAAGTCAAAGAAAATTCAAGATTTCGTTAGATGTCTTTGAAAACTTTTCTAACAACGCCACGATGACCTAGTAACGCCACAGGTGAAAGTATTCAATCTTTTCTACATCCTAATGTATCCTTGGACAACCACTAACCGTTTCCTCCACAGAGTAGAACCCACTACCAGAACCACCTGTAAAGAATGGAGATATAAGAAAATTGCAAAATACTATAGTTATGTCAGTTATCAAAGACTGCTTCAAGGAGTGCAAAATTTCGGGCTAAAACCAACCTTCAACGTATCTTATGGTTTCATCGAAGAGATCAAGAAATTCCTCAGATTCGTCACCTTGTTCTTCCCGCTGAAATGAATTGAGAATTGTGCATTGTTATCTTTTTTCATTCAGGGCCATGTTGGCGCGTGAAGACTGTGCAATGATTTGTCTCGAAACTGTTACTGGATAATACATGAAATGAACACTGAATAACTCACCACAATTCTGTTCTCGGACCCGAGGAAATTCCTGAGGTTTACTGAATGAATTGCAGAACAAGCCTTGCTGTCCAGCTAGAACAAAACAGTGCGAATATAAATTAATAAACAAGTGGTTGAAACAGCATTAGTACAAATCTACCGAGGGCTTGTTTTGATTTGTCGTGGAATACCGTACAACAGTACGAGGGATGATGGAAAACTCGTGCAAGCGAAAAGAGAAAAACCCACCGCAGCGTCCCCACCGATCCAGTAATAAATATCCCAGGTCAACTGATCAGTGTCGTCGTATTCGGTCTAAAATGAGACGCAAAATTTAAAAATCTGATTAAACCTCTGCACGTATTTATATCCTCTGTACATATCTTTCCTGAAAGAGGATTCTGAGTCTTAACAAGTGGTTACCTTTAAGATAATATAGCAATCACCCGTGTAAAACTTGCCATAAAATTCTGAAATTGTAATAGAAGAAGCATGGTATATTTCATCGACAAACTCTGTACAGTGCAGTCAAACTAAATCTCACAGAACCTAAACGTACGACAAACTCAAAGCCTTTATGATTAACTGTACCTTCTTCTAGTTGAACTGGAACGAAATTCTCAATATGCCATATCAAAAGACCTTCAGATAAGACAAAATAAGTCTTCAAGATTGCATTTTGCAGTATAATGCCTGGACAGTGTCAACGGTTTATAATTTAATTTGTGGCACACCAACCTTCCTCCTGTCCAACATTATCTGTGAAGAAAGCTTGGTAGTTGAGATTGGGTCTTTTCAGTTCTGCCAACCAATTACTCCTGCAAAGTAACATGATGTTTTAAACACTTTTACACGGAGTAAAATACAACAGAATGTGTCTCAAGACACATTCACAGCCAACGACACAGCTAACGACTTAACAAGAGACAATAATGTTGAAATCTCAACTCAAAATAAGTTTGTATTTTACTTCTTTTGAGTTTCTTCAGCTTCGGAATCCATTGAATCTCCCTAAACGGAATCATTGTTCGACATTTAGTGGAAGAAGACAAATATGGACAATATCAAAGGGAAAACTTCATCGTCTTTACAGGCGCATATTTTGCCGAACAAACTCAGGATTTAAACCGTTTTCTTTCATGGCTAATTTCTTACCGTTTTCATCGATCGTTTTGTTTTTCCTTTGTGTTTCTTCTCTTCGGCATCACGAACCATACCCTGAAAGAAAGGTGAAAGTTTGAAATGCAAAAGGCTGAACTCTTGACGAACAAGTGGACGTTGTATGAAATACCTTCAGGTCTTTTGAATCAGCTTCTGACACGGACCCGCTGTGATAGCGCCGTCCTCTTAACCGCATCTAAAACGTTCAAAAACGAATGTTGTTTTTCCAGTTTAATATAAACTGATTGATGTCTGAAAATCATCGCAATCTCTTGCCCCAGATAAGGTCCTCTACACCTAGAATATTTGCTGTGTTTTTCTTTTCGTAGATGCGAACGAAGTGGATAAGTTACGTGGGGTAAAATAAGGGCACTTATTAATCAGAGCATTCATAACTATTCGCTCGATTTCATCTATTGAAAGGAGATTGAAACTTGCAAGTATACGAACAGACATTTAGGTTTAGTGAAAACTACAAATATTACAAGACGCTATACCTTTCTTTGGGCGGGATCTTTCATCACTGAAAAACGAAGAACAAGTAATTAAGACCAGCGTTACGGTGTATACCAACTGAATGAAATACCAGGAAATGTAAAACTTACTTTGCTTCGCGGCTTGATCAACATGTGAAGCACCGGCCGCCAGTCGTAGTTGCGTATCCAACGTGAAGTCAACATTGTAATACTCTGCTCCGCTACCAATCTGTTGAGCGGCTGGTTTAGGAGGCATTTCTAAGTTTGGGTTGTTGTGTGTGTCCAATTCCTGCAGAAAAATAATTGAAGAGAGACTGTGTTTACAGTATGATACAGCTCCGATTGCATGCATCTCTCCTAGCTCTGACTCTGTGATTCTTGCAACATGCATTTGTCTTGCAGTTATCTGACTATAATTTCATTTTGAGATGAGAAGAGTGCTTCCAGTCTTCTTAAAACACCGCGGGCTTTCCCACAAGATATTCTTGTTTCCCTCTCGTTTCTGGCTTAAAAGACGATACAACACAAAGATATTACCTTCAAATTTGGCAGGAAGTGTATGGCTTCTGGCAGAGTTAGTAAACAGTTTGAATGAAGGATCATTTTCTTTAGTTTCAAACACCTGAAAAATTTTGAATTATAAATCAAATCATAATAAATTATCCACTAAACATGTCACTATTATTTGCAAAAAAACAGACTGAGGTAAATCAATGCACTGAGTGAGAGAGTTAATTGAGTAATTGCAATCTAATTAACCATTGATTGATTAATTTGTTACTGTAATTAATATATTACCTGCATAATCCTTCAGGAATACATTCCAGCTTATTACAAGCAGCTGCAAATATTTCCTTTGAAAATAAAACAACCTCTAATAAGTGATTGGTTTTTATAAAGTCAAAATTGCCAGCAGAATGTAACTAGATGTTTTTCTAGTTCAAAACCAATTCTCATTGCTCTTTGTACTGTATGTATCAAACTAGAAGTCTTAAATAACCATTGTATGAAACCCACTCACCAGCTTGTAGAGTTTGCTAATTCCAGTAGGAATCCCCTCAAAGTTCAGGTTGTTGCCTACAGAAACAAGCCCATTAAAAGTGTGTATTCAGTATAACAGTTTAAAGAAATAAAGATGTAGGCTTCCATAATGTAATTACTGCTTCTAATACTATTCTATCAGTGGTGAATGGAACCAGGAAAGGGCAATCTTGTTCGCAAAACAAACTGTAATATTTACACTCACCATTTAAATATAATTTTCGTAGATTAGTCAGTTTGCAAAGTGCTGGCTGTAAATTATAACGCACTGTTAGTATTTTATCTAATGTTTTGTGACTTTTGATCCTGGCTATTACAGGCAAGTAATGTCGCCCAAGGCAGGTCATTCTTCAGGATTGAAAAGAGTCTTTTCTTACAGGCAAAGTTGTCAATTGATTCCTTGACACATTCAACACTTCCATTTGAGTCCATGTATCTAAAGATTATAACAATCCATTGAGAAAAGTGTTGCAGGTAATTACCTCCTATCCTAAATTTTAGATCCATGGCTTTGTCCTTTAGTTAAAATGCACGGTAAATTTTGGCCACTAACCTGTCAAATTTGATAACTCCGAGATGCAATTATGACTCATGTTCAATCTCTTGAGGGAACTCAAACGATAAATTGGTTCAGGAACTGCAAAGAAATTACAAACATATGAACAAATTGCAGAGTTGTGAGGTGTTTTAGCGCAATATTATACTGAACCTCTTGGTAGATCATTGTACGAAAGATCAACATCTAAGAAAAAAATTGAATTATATTTCAATAAAACATTTGACGAGTCATTTTAAATTGCATGCAGTAAAATAACATGATATATAGGGCTAAATTAATACGTTTTTTGGTTTAAACTTTTAGAGGAAGTGAGAGTTTAATTTTACAAATATATACCTCTCAGATTAGCTAAACTGTCCAGCTTGTTTGGCATGTTTGTTATGGTTCTCTGAAATTGAAAAAATATAAGATGAAAACCATGAACTGCATTGATTTCTAACAGTTAACAAAGTTCAAATATATGTTTCTATTAACTCCACACAGATTACAACTGTAACCATACCTGGGTACTCCGTAAATGCAATGTGTGAAGTGACATTAGATTAGGAAGCTGCCTAAAGATCACAGAACATACAAGATAGCATTTGATTATTTAGTTCACAATACCAGAACATATTTTCAGCTAATGTTACATCACTTACCTCAACTGAGCGTGCATCAAAGGATTGTTGTTTAACACCTGAAAGTTTCAGTTAAAATTACAATTCAAGTGCTCAGTTACGATCATATAACATGGCCAATACTCATGGGCAGATGGTTTGTTGGGAGTATGCGGCTCTTGTAAGTTATGATTTAAAACCTGTGGAAACTAAGAACTGTGAAAAAAGCAACCCAGGATCCACTGAGCTAAATCCAGCGAACTAAATTATCTACAAACTTAGTGTGGTTGCATACAAATAGGTGTGTTTAACTTTAATGAATTACTTACCAAAACTTGGAGGTTAACTAATCTTCGAAGTTGAGGTGGGAGAGAATCTGAACAACAAATTATAAAATAAATCACAAATTCACAACCAACATCTAATGTTCACTTTTGATGAACAAAAGCAGTTAGATTTAACTAGAATGAGATTTAAAACCAGTTTGTGAAGAACAAGAAAAGATAGGATGGTAGGATAAGAAGTAAATATACTGTATTGTGGTATTTACAAGCTGGTATGCAATGACCAAACGTTCACCTACCTAGCTGATTATCACTCAGATCTAGGTACATCAAGTCTGTACAGTTGATGAACAACTATAAAAGTCATGAGAGAAATCTTCACACTGCTTTTGAATGATCATTAGAAGGGCATCAATGCAGTTGGTTTAATGAAAAATACTGACAAAAAATACCTGATTAGGAATGCTTGCTATCCTGTAATATGAAAATGGAAAAAAATGAAAGATTTGTACATGTGAAACTACTACATATGAAATACAACAACTTACCTATTGTTTGCAAGGGATAAAACAATCAATGAATGAGCATTTTCAAGTTCTTCTGGAACCTGGAATCAGAAATGAATGATTATTTCATAAATCATAAACTGTTGGCTAATAAATGTTGGTAATTACAATACCACAAAAAATATCTTCTCAAATAACTTTAGTGGTTGGTACATTACCTCCTTTAGCTGGTTGTGACTAAAATCCTAAAAGAAACCAAAATAACCATTGCAGTTTTCCTTTTACATAGGTAGTTATGACACTTCTGTCCACAAGAAAATATCAACTTACAACTGTAAGTAGTTCTTCTAAACTGAATACACCATTCGGAATGCCAGAGTTTTTCAGCTGGTTCTTACGAGCATTGATGACCTGAAAAAATATAGTATTGTCACCAACACACCTTGCTTAGATGGCAATCACACAGGGTACATTGTCAAATTTCAATTGTATATCATACTGCAAGTTAACAAACAGCTGTGTTTGAATGATATTAATTGTTCATGTCAAATCAATCCACACATATGCATTTATTAGACTCACTTTCAAATTGCTTAAAGCTGTCAAGTCTCCGTTGTGAAGATTGGTTAATTGATTCTTCTTCACGGATAAATTTTCCTTCAAAATTGAAAAAATATCAGATCTGTCAGTCGGATCAATCAGCTAAAATTCGTCAGAAAATGTATTGTAAAAAAAGAACAAGAAGACAGATAGAGAGAGATCGTACTGTACAGAAGAAATAATACTACGAGAATTTACAAATTCTATCGATTTCGTTAACCAGGATATATTCTTAAATCAAGCACAAACTCACGAGGTTTTTCAAATGCGATATTTCATCCGGTAATTCCTCCAGACTTGTTTTATCGAGTTTCAACCATCGTAGATTGGGCATGTTTGCCACACGATCAGGGAACGTGTGTGTCTGTTCACAGGAAATAAACGTAATGAATCATGTTAAAAGTACTCATATTTCGGCTGACAACGAGCAGAAGTTAAAAACGAACCTGAAAATCATTTTGAGAGAAGTCAACGCCTCGAACAAATGGCAAAATACCGGCCGCCATCTTGGATTAGAGATAAAGGTTTACGCTAATAACAGCCTCCTTGCAGCATTTCTCCAAGTAATCGCCCCTCCAACCACGCCCCACCAACAACGCTCCTCGTTCCCCCCTTATTGGAAAGGTTTCCTTATGGCACAGCGATAATCTGCCTTAGCAACCTGAGAGTTAAGTATTTTGTCTCTAAATATCTTATATGTAATGTACCAGCTCAGTTGATTGTTGTCGATCGCGGATCTGGCTGAATGAGTTGAGCTTTTGGTAAACTAGCAAAGCGATTATCGTAGAGACACAATTTCCCTCTGAAGCTTTCCTCATAACGGGATGAAAATGGCGAGCTAAGAGAAGCTTATGACTTATGAACTATACACCCATTGTGGAGCTCTTTCTAGGAAAATTTTCATGTCTCGCTACGTCTCTCAATATGGACAAACCGCAACAAACAAAGCTGAAAAAATTCAGAATTTTAATACAACTTTTCTTTCCGCCACATCGTTTCCCATGGGTGGTAGGCAACCAGCTAGGTCAGGTCTAAAAATTGTATTCGAATTTACCTACCTACCTCTTTGAAAACCCTCTACCTTTTTACGATCGAGATTGTCTAAAAATATGTATACGTAAGAAAGTTTAATATATTCTATATATAAAGCTAGGCAGCATTCCTGGCTAGGTTATATTTAATCGCTCGATCGCTCGGTTAACCAGATGAGGCGATTGTTTAAGCCTGCGAACATAAATTTAAAGAAAAAACCTGCAGCCCAAGCCTGCGAACTTATTTAGATAAAAGTAGAGTTTGGCATGGCAATGAACCTTACATATTAGTATAATGACTGAGTTAATTATAACGTTTAAGGTGTATTTTCTAATTTCACAAAAAAAATTCCTTACAAGAAAATCTGCGCAAAATTAATACGGTTGGTTTTCGCAGAAAAAAGCACGATGACCGGGGGGGGGGAATCTGCTCGCATGCTTACACAACATGAATTATGGACTATCACGACGTCATTCACAACGACGTCATTAACCTTACTTCCTTCAAACGAAGTGAACACATCTCAATGTAGCGTAGTGATTTTTGAAAATATTGCATTACTGTCATTTTCATCCGAATACAATCGACTCTCATCTTCTCGAGAAAATTCCTATGCAATTAAGAAGTAGTACACAGTCACAGAATTTATCGCACAAGCCAAATTAGAGGTTAGTAAGTTATTAAGTGATCAGTAGAAGGATCGTATATACGACGTAGCATACTTTTGCCAACGAGGGTATATATTTTGCATGGCATATCCTTAAATGCAACGCCAATCAGTGTTTCCGATTCCTAATGAAAAACCTGAAAAGGCAATTAAGAGTCGGAGAGTATATTCTAAGAGGTATTCGGCTAAGAGAGTATACTAATTTTACAGGTTATATCTACGAATATATGTGCCAGTAAACGCTTCGTCTCGTGTCAGGCATTTTAAGTAAACTCAGTAAACTTTAAACAACATTTGTTGTGCTGTTTAATTTCTCTATAGTATATGCACTAAATAACAATCGATCGAGTTATATGTAAGAGTTCGCACATCACTTATGAGTAAGTGGTTTGATCTCCTTTCTTGTTGGTTCTTCTTCGACCAAAATCAATTAAAATTTATCATATCGATCGTTTTTGGTAATTTGTAGGTCATCATGGCTGTTCCATTTCAGGAATCAATAATAGAGCAGTTTAATGGGGCACAAAAGAAAAATAAAATATTACAAAAAAAAAACAAAATTTTGGAGGCAGAGACATTGCTTTTAAAGGGACAGTTTACTGAGGCACACAGACAAATTGAAAACCTGACGGTAAAAAATGGGGAATACATTAAAACGATTGGTGAAGTACAGAATAAATTTCAGCAACAAGAAGAAGAAAAGAAATATTTGTTCAACAGAATTGAACATTTAAAACGTATGATGTGTGACAGAAATTGCGTTCTACTAGCCATCCATTCCATTTGCACTTATTTTCTGGGTGTGTCTAATCTTTGTTGTCCCCTGTTGAAAGATATCATTCACGGGTTTGCGCGTAAAAAGAATGTTAGTGTCGAACCTGGGGATTTAAAATGTGGAAATCTTTTGGACGTGCTTGTAAGATGCGCAATAATTACTGAGTTAGTTCTTCCTGGAATGTCTAGTGATGAGATCATCAACGAAGCATGGAAACAAATCATGTCAATACCTGAAGACCGCATCGTCCTGATTCTTGCAAGAATCCATCAATTGCCTAATGGTATTGGTCATGTTGAAATATGTGACTTACGATCACGGAATGGGGATAGTATAAGAATCTATGACCCACAGACAAATTATTCTGGATCTGGGAATGAAATCGATTTTCGAAACTATGTCAAAAATGACGGTGGCCTGAGATTGTTCGCAGTGAACTACGATACCCTGAAAGAGATGTTAAATATGTTTGACAATATTTTACATAAGTGACACTTAGCAGTTTGTTGGGACAGATGTCACAAATATAGGCCACTTCAGTCTTCAAATACACGAAAATTTGTTGTCAAATATGATAAACTAACCGTTATTGCTGAGAGAGGCATATAGGTTGTGTTTTAGGCCTAGCATGGCCTAATAAATCTATATGGGGCATACCAGTCCTTTGTTTAAATATGATTACACTGGACAACACTGTTGATCATCGAAAATTTACATGATGGAGGTCCACAAACTATTACAAACTTTACTAAGAAATATTAGAGGCATAAATCTGTGTAATGCATGACGCGTGTCGTACTAATAAATAATCTCTTAGTATTAAATAGGTAAATGCAAGCTTTAACTTAAGTGTCCTATATTTATTGTATTTTGCCAAAGATAATAAAAGTGTTAGGTAATAATACAAACTGTAACATGTTGATTGTTGGCTGAAGTCAATATTGTAAGAGAGTGCTGAAGGAGAGGTCACAATCCCAATTCCCATTTCGAATTTTTGCAAAATCCCAGTACCAGTTGAAATTTTATAAGAAATCTCAGGCTAAGTTGTAAAATTCTCAGCCTTTAGATATATATATATATATATATATATATACATATATATAAAATAGGTTTAACAGCTTGTCTTCGCCGGTTTCAAAGAAAACTTAGAATATCTTTGTCGCGTGTTTCCTTTACACAATTGCTTTTAGCTTTTAACAAGAGTACACACTATCTAGAGAGAGTAGTATATACGAACCGGCGTTCAAACGCAGAAAGCGAAATTAGAGGTAAGATATTGAAATAATACGACTCATAGATCAGTAATAATCATGCAAACGTTCATCGATATACTCTAGACAAACAAATTTTAACCGTATTTCTTCTGAATAATCTCTTTGTAAAAACTAAGTCATTTTAAATCCCGACATACGACAATAATGCCGTATGGCTTTGAGACTTTTTAAGAGATTTATCCGTTCCATTCACTGCGGATATCAGACTGTGTGTGTATGTAAATTTTGAACTTCGTCCAGTCGAAAGACAAACATCTCCCACTCAATTGAATTTATACAAACAATATTGGTGTAATAAAACGATACTATGTCTATGCATGTTTACCTTATTAAAGAAGTCTACACTTGTGGGTTATAATAATCAAGTTATGAATAACATTCGTTTCTACTTCTCAGATTCGGAAAAGAAAATCTGTCCAAGTCTATACAGTACAGTCTGTACAGGTTTTATCCCCGAAGATGATTATGGCTGGAAATCACACAGAGTTCGGGACTTCGGGATGCCTTCTTTGGAGGCATTAACATTGGAGCTGAATGAAGAGCGTCGCGAAAAATCTGTACTTCAACATTTGCTTGAAGAACAGGAGAAAGTTTGCGGGCAAATAGTGGCACAGGTGAAGAATGAAAGCTCGATTTATGAAAGGCAGTTACAGGGTGAATACGAAACCATCAGAGCGGAGGATCAGCGGCTACGCCAGGAATCGGTCCTACTAAATACCGCCCGGGAGCGCCCGGGAGTACGCAAGGGTGAATAAATCTATGTGTGATCCCTTTTGAAGATTTTTGACTTGAGCCCCGGCAACGAACACTGCTGAAGGGCCGCCCCCGCAGGAAGCTATGTGAACATGATATTTGAGATGTTTTTAACAGCCTGAAATATACATAATAATGTACAGGAATTGTGGATTATACAAAAATGCACACACCAAACCACGCCAGACTGTACATGTATATATGTTTTGAACAACATACAATTACATCATTATTGTCAGGTTGGGGTTAAAAGATGTTAAAAACATCTCAAATATCATGTTCACAGCAGTGTTCGTTGCCGGGGCTGGTTGAAAATTACTTTTATTTTTAACATTGTTTTTGTTGAAAAGAAGAAGTCAAAAATCTTCAAAAGGGATCACACATAGATTTATTCACCCTTGCGTACTCCCGGGCGCTCTTGGTATAATAACAAGATCGAGCAATTAGAGCGTATGAGATGCGACTGAAGAATATGTGTTTTGTTAGCTATCCTTTTTATTTGTATACTCTTTTTTTCAACAAAAGCAATGTTAAAAATAGAAGTGATTTTCAACCAGCCCCGCCAACGAACACTGCTGAAGGGCCTCCCACGCAGAAAGTTATGTGGAACATTATATTTGAGATGTTTTGAGAGATATTTGAGATGTTTTCAGCCTGAGATGAACAGCCTGAAATATACATAAAAATGTACAGGAATTGTGGATAATACAAAAATTATATAGAAACTGTGTTTTGTTAGCTATCCTTTTTATTTGTATACTCTTTTTTTCAACAAAAACAATGTTAAAAGTTATTTTCAACCAGCCCCGGTAACGAACACTGCTGAAGGGCCGCCCACGCAGGAAACTATGTGAAACATGATATTTGAGATGTTTTTAACAGCCCGAAATATACATAAGAATGCACAGGAATTGTGGATTATACAAAAATGCACACACCAAACCACGCCAGACTGTACATGTATATATGTTTTGAACAACATACAATTACATCATTATTGTCAGGTTGGGG